CCAAGCGCACATGAATCTCTCTCCCGCCTGTCCAACGTTCCAGATCGCTGTCGTACGGATTGGTATGGTGCACGGCAGAGAAACTTTGACCGGGGGGATTGGAGCCAAGATGCAGCGCTCGTCGTTCCAGCTGGGTAAGCCGGGACCCGTGCGTGCCCTAGCCCGCCTCGCGGGAACGGAATCAAACCGTAGGTCTGTACGAAGTATCCATACCCGGGGCGCTGGCGACGCGCTTGCTCGGTAGGGCAACGATTGGCATCTCCCGGATGACGATGCCCGGCCAGCTCCATCTTTATCCTTCGCCACGTGCGGACACCGCGCCGCACCGGACCCGGACGCCACCAGCAAGCCGCCATTCCCAGATCCGACGCTGCAGAGAGGCGCGGTGATGACTATTTGCGCCCGAAGCCACCTACATGCATGGGAGACAATTGCCGAAGTGCGGGGCACTCGGTTTGCAAGGCGCCCGTGTGGGCGGCGATCCCTGGTTCGACAAGCAGCACAGTCCAGACGCTCACTTTCGACCAACGCAACCCAGGCTGGGAGCGGAAGAGCTTCAAGTTGCTGACAGGAGCAGAGGGACCCCTGGCCGGGATGCCACTCATGTCTTGACTTGTGCATCTCTGCGCGCCTCACCACCACTGAGGGCACACAGGAGAGTAAATACCAGGGCCAGCCCCCTGGCCCTATCGAATCGACGGGCAAAAGGTATAATGGAGGACCTAGAGCCCGGGCTGCCACGCCTCGGGAACCAAGCCAAGACGTTTCCATGTCTCACCATTCTTGAGGCTCGTCTCCGCGCCACCAGCTCTCACGAACGCCAGTCGACTCGTCCAGCTAATTGGAGAGCCGTGGGGGGCTCTCGTCTTGCCCGACATATCAGACGATCCAGGGTGCGCCGACGTCGAGTAAGAGTGAGCTCCAGCCAAAGTCAAGTATCTGAAATGTGCAATGCCATCGTGCATGCGGCCTGTTCGTTTGTCCTCGCCAACGGGGCAAGGAATTAGAGATGAAAAAGGGGTTTCGAATTCGCGTTAGGGATTGGTCGGAAATTCAGCTCATCATCAATCAGACCTCAAACGGCTAGGGCGGTGTTAAGTTGGTCAGGGACCAAACGCGTGTTCTCGACTGCCGACGACGCGAATGCAACGTCGACCTAAGGCGATAAGGCTCGCATGGCTGACGGGCTCGCACCCGTCACTCTGCGAAGCGGTTTGTGAGGCTGACGCTGGCGGGACCTACGTCGACGATCATTCGCATAGGGAACGTGTGCAAACGCCTCGAGCAGCTGCCGACAAGCGCCAGAAGGACGACGTCTGCCCGCCTAGCGCCTTCGTAATGCAATCATTTGTCGGCAGCGTTCGACAGCATTCGGCATTGTCTGCACATAGCGTTCTATGCTCCGACGCGTCGGCCGAGTCAGTCTCGCGCCCGCCGGCGAGGATGGTGATCAAACGGGCAATCGACCATCATCATGCCGCATGTATCTGTCTACAGCTCGGATCCGAAATGCTGCAGCCCGCAGAATCTGCTAGATTCAGAGCTGGCGAGGAGGATCACACAACTGTCCATGAGTAGAAGAAACCTCTGACTCGGCCTCCCGCACCTCATCCAAGCTTCTTCAGGCAGGGCAGGGCACGAGAATCGCTCAAGGTGGCAAGGCAGTGTGGTCGATGGCTGACGAGCGTTTGAGCAAGGGCGCTGGCTGAGAACCGGCCCCGACGTCGTACCTCGAGTCTCAGCTGCACAACGCGGCCCAGTGGCCGCGCGGAAGATTAACTAACGGCCCGCAGCGTTGGGCAATCTCGAGCTGGATCAAACAAGCCCGTTCCCGTACGGTTGGTTTCGTGATCGAGAACGCCAGAAGGCTGGCCTTCAGCAGCCGGCATCTTTCGAATTGCAACGGCCTCCGCGAGCCAGTGAAGAATCAATGGTTGAAGGCTTGTGAAAAACGGGCCGTCGATTCCAAATCGACGGCAAAACTGCCAGGATTTCTGCAGCCCAGCGTTAGATCTTGATCACGTCCCACACGATTGGAGCGTTTCACATTATTTTCCAAATATCCCCGAGACGGCCAACCCTAGCGTCGGGAAGCCCGCTACTACTCTACCCAGTGCCAGGCCCAATCCCGCATCGAAGTTCTGCCATGGTGCGCTTCCGTTGACCCGATGACGATCACTTCGTCGACCAAGGGACAGGGGCGGGGGGCATTTATGTGCGTCGAGCAGCAAAGGCATATGCACATCTTCGCATTAGAGATCCGCCGTGTCAGATCAGGCACGTTGGCGCGTCCCTTGGATCAGACGACACGGTGATCTAGCAACCTTATCGCACAGACGGCCGCTCTTGGATGGTTGAGTGATTATTGGATCGCTCTGCCAAGCTTTTTAAAACCAACCCCACAGACGTAGGCACCGTGGGCGATAAGAAGAACTGGCCGAGCACAACGCTGCGAATCCGTTTCCTACATGGGACGTACACTGGTCCTGTTACGTCGGTCAGTCTGCTTGCCGAACGTCCAAGTGGGAAGCTGCAAAGGACAATGTCACCATACCATACCTTATGCACGCGACGCATGCGAGCAGAGGATAGAAAGCGAAGGGAGGGGGGGAGGAGAGGGGGCTGTCAATGGCCCTCGAAAGCGTCTTGACGAGTATTATCAGAGGAATGGTAAGACGCGGTCCCACCGGTCAACGTCCCTTTTGCAACAGCTCCCCGCCCTGCTAGGTATAGTAGACGTCTCCACCCCGTTGGCACCGTAACCCGGCCTCGATGGCATGGTTGACCAATGAGGGAGCACTCGTGGACGGGCTCCTTACTGGTGGTATGCACATAGTACATCGTACAATATCAACGACTTGCAGGCCATCGATTCGCAGTTCCCTGAATCCGGTCCCAGGAAGCACTCTGTCCAATCGTTAGCTCCATTCCCATCATGGTGTTGAGTATCGGGCATGATGCCTATAGTGTGTTGAAGTATGATTGTGTACTGTGCGACCTTACGAGGGGCCTCGGATACGTACCTCAGTTCAGTTGCCAGCCGATGCCCAGAAGCGCGCTTGCCTATGCATTCTGGTTACTTGAACGTCGAGCTCAACTGGAGACAGGTGGTTTGGAGCCTATCCTGCTCCCCTCTGTCTGGGAGTCATGTTGGCTGCAGCATTGACTCTAACCCGCCCGATTCAGATTTGTGAGAAGGGACCCGAAGCAGACGCACTTAGTGAGACAAGGCGCCTCGGCTCTTGCCGCAATGCTTAAAAGAAGCAGGTGGGTTCCTGATGCGCGTGCAGCCAATAAGGGACACTCGCTGCGAGCACAACAACACCCCACCACACTATTCACACCACACGGATTCATGCATAGCCACCTCCAAGCTCAAAAACTCCCATCAACAAGGCCCTCTGGCGCAACGGTAGCGCGTTCGACTCCAGATCGAAAGGTTATCCGTTCAAATCGGGTGGGGGTCACATTTTTCGTATGTTGCATGAGATGATGATCATATTTTTTGTGTTTTGTGTTTTATGGTTTGTGTTTTATGGTTTGTGATAAGTGAGAGTGAATGAGTGGGAGTGAATGGTGAGAAGATTATGGCGAGGAAGAAGCTACTTGTAGTGAACTTCGTCCCTGTCGTAGTCTGGCACCACACGTGCTTTCCCTCTAAGGTCCTCCCTCACCTGCCATTTGTAGATCTTTCCATGGTATCCTTTCAAACTCAATACTAGAGCTCATCGGCTTGTCGGCACTCAAATGTACAAGAGTGTGTGTTCATGTGCTTGGTACTCAGCACTGCAGAAAACACCTGGGTGCAGATGCATGTATGTCCCCTCTATACTTGGATTGAATTCCCTTTTGCGATCCCAAGGGACAGCCAAGAGGGTCTCTTGGTGGACCTTGGGAACTTCAGTTGTATCTTGACAAACAAATTTGTCTAACTCTTTATGACACAGGGGCCTTCCGACCTGTGTTTTGCCCTTGAGTCTTGACTTTGAACAAGGCCTCCACAGCCGTGCTAGTCAAAGCTGCTATCAGCTGGCTAGGGATGGAAGTGACAGAGATTATCAAAACAAGAGTGTTGACCTAGTCGTAAGGTTGACAGAAGCTCTCTGCCTGCCTTTCTGCCAACGGGTGTAAAGGTGATGTAAGGAGCCTTGTTGTCTCAACAAAGGAGAGTAGCAGTACGGGAGACTTGAATTGGAGGCGAAGACCTCAGCTGAGTGAATTGCCGGGCTACATGCCTATTAGTAGTAAGACCTGGCCAAGAGCTTTCACCTGAACCTTCTCGTCAGTAAAACGTTTAGGAACTGGGGGGATTTCTTCCTGCCTAAAAATCTCCCCCTTGACCTACTTCACCATCTTCTTCTACTCATCTCACAACCTCACTCTTTGCTCCATCAAGTTCGTCAACTGAAGGCTGGATAAGAACCGACATAGCCTGATCCTCAGCCTCTCTAAGGCAAAGGCTAAATTTTCGAGGCCTTCCTCCAAGTCAACTTGCCAACTTCACCAGCCCGCCTAATTACCCCAGCTGACTTGCGCTTTCCGTGGTCTCTACACATCAGGCATGACTTCTGCAGGCAAGTGGCCTTTTATTTTGTATCTTCTTTTCCCGAGCTCTTACTCACCTTACTCAGATGCCATGTAAGATGTCAGACGGAAAGGCCATCAGCCAAAGGGGCCATGCCAGCTCCCAGCAGAACAAGAAGATCTGCGATCAATGCCTTGTAGCTGGCCATGAGCTCGCAGACTGCACTTTTATGCGTGGCGTGGACCTGCAACATGGTGATATGCACGGTTGCCCGATGTGCAACACGAAAAGCCACACATACGACGAATGCGGACAATTGCCTGCCGACGGTGATGAACTTCTTCAGCATCATCTGGAATGGCTCGTTCGACGTCGTTGCCATCTTCCAATGATCTCCAGCAAAGTTAACATATGGATACTTGTCTTGGGCTTTCCGGATTATGATGGCGGCTACCCTTGGTCAAAGGCCTTCACAATGGGTAACAAGCGGGCTCGGGTCATCACAGAGAACCAGAAGTACAATGATGGAAAAGTCAATACCGGTATTGTTGATCCCTCAACACGCTCCCTTTCCCATATCAAGCGTCACATCAACTTCGAGGTTCCACAAGAGATCGACACTCAATATTTCAGGAACAACCTCCTAGCCCAAGGGATTGTCCATCGTTGCACTATCCGAAGCCTGCTCGAGACCCAAAATTTATCTGAAGAGCAGAAAGACAGACTTCAACAAACGTCTCTGCCTAAGAAGAATAGGTTGGCAACCGTTTACCATGCTGGTGCTATATCTGCGCCTGATTTCGCACAGAAAAATATAGCCTTTGCCGAGGCGTTCGGGGACTTCCTCCTTCACGAAAATCCCAAGGGACTGGCAGATTTCGCCCCTCTCGCAAAATTGAAAGACCAGGCGTTGCGCAGGGCCAAAGACCAGCAGGCTACCCAGCCGAAACGCGAAGACGAGCCAGCCATCGCTATGGGCTCAATCGAGAAGACGGGCTCGGGAAATTCTGCTCTCATGCCTCTGGTGACTCGTCGGGAAGTATGGATGTCTCTGTGCCCCAACAGAAAGTGCGTCGGGGGCTTTCCTTTCGAGGTTCCCATCCCTGCGGCTGTCAGGCTCCAGAAACACGTCATTGAAGAGTTGGAGAACGAGACGAATAGCTATACGGGCAGAGGAGAGGACGCAATTCAACGAGATGAAGGAAGCCTAGCGAACTACATCCATCCTCATGTGAGAATTGACGTTGCTCAACGAAAACTGCCAGATGGCAGATCCATTCACGTGCTCTTATTGGGCCTCGTCGAGGATACGTATAACTTGCGTTTCTCTCGCTTGGGCCTGCTGCAGGCATATGACATGGTCGTCTGCTGGGCATCGAGGATCGACAGCGACGGGATCAGCATCTCTTTGAAGAGCGCATTCGACGGCTGCAACCAAATCACCGAGTTTATCGTGGCTGGCAGCGATCGTATCAATGAACTGGCGGTGCTGGAAAGGCGGCTAGAGAGATTCATGCCCGACATTTCTCAGTTCGATGAAGCTGTCGAGCGCATCTCCCAGTGGATGGAACGGCGTAAAGCCAAGCTCGTCTCTTCTCCTGAAGACCGGGAGAGAAGACTTCGCAAGTGGTGTGAGAAGCAAAAATTGGGAGACATGGGTAACGATCTCCTGGAGCAGGCCTGTCAGCAGGCGGTAGAAGTCAAAACCAGGGAATGGAAGAAGAGCACACAGAGAAACAAGCGCGCCAGATTCGACGATGTCATTGACGGCGCCCAGCCGACAAAGAGAAGAAGGAAGGGATGAAGTTGATTCCGACGAGAGACCTTCATGATTGCTTCGCTAGAGATATTGTTACGTGGTAACCGGCCGTGGACCTCAATCAAAATATGTTGCAGATTTGCAAGGCGGAAGCGGCATAGAATTATGTCGAAGCACTGCCACCACTTATGAGGTGGTTGACTAGGCCTTGTTACTTCCCTTCCATAGTCGCTTGTTGTACATAAATGTATCCACAGTTGCTACAATCCTGCCCCCATCGATGTGTCTGGTGTTTCACAAGCGGCTCATCTACTGTTTAGAGTTCCGGGAAGCTATCTGTGTTGACAGAGTATATATGTGCCCCGAAATGAAACAAAAGCTCGACATGATAAACTTCAAGGATGGGTATTAGTACTCTTGGGTATCATATCCTTCCCATCTAACAATGCCTTCACCTGAACTACAGTCCCGTGGCTGACGTTCCTCAAACACCCTCCTGTCCCCCCTCCACCTGAGCCTGCTCGTCCCCATCGCCCTCCAACCACTTCTTATTCGCCTTGGAATCCCTCCTCGCCAGAAACCAGATCGCGCCGGTGACAAAGAACTGCACGACCATCGTCCCCACGACGCTCCTGAACCCGCGGGTGAAGCGGGGGGCCTCAACGGCGGGGAACTGCAGCAGCTGTGCCCAGGCGACTATGGCCTGGCCGATGGCATTCATTGACGCGGTGACAATAGCGCGCTCCTCGGCATCGCCGGCCATTGTCACCGTCGCCCACGCCATCGTCAGCGAAGGGACCGCGCCCTCGAAGCCGTTGAGCATGAAGGCCACCAGGCGGCCGCCCTCGCCCACGTCCCAGACCACGAGCAGTACCACGCCGACCAGCGAGGGAACGGTGGCGGCCGCGGAGAGTCCAGCAAACCAGCCGGTACGATCCGCGACGGCACCCGCCGCGAAGGCCGAGACGATGGATATGGCCGTCGCGACCGTCGGCAGCGTGTTGATCCGCGTCACCGAGTACGTCTCGGGGAACGCCTTGAGGTACAGAGAGAAGGGGGAGCCGCTGGGCTGCAGGTTCTCGTTCATGATGGTCCACTGCGCGACGAAGAGGTACCAGTGCCAGCGAGTGAAGACGCGCCTGAAGATGTCGCGTGAGGCCCTGAGCTGCGGCGGCGCCGTCAGCCCCTCGAGGCGCTTCTGCGCGAAGGCGTGCAGGCGCGCGGGCAGCAGCTTCGGCCGCGAGCGCGAGGGCACGTCGGGGAAGACGAAGAAGCCGATGAAGGCGATGGGGACGGTGATGAGAGCGTCGACGATGAAAAGCCAGCGCCACCCGGCGAGCCCGCGGGCGTTGTGCAGATTGAGCCAGACGGCGGCTTGCAGGTAGCCTGCGAACATAGTGCCCAGGGGCGCGGCGATGTAGAAGAGTGCGACGCGGCGACCGACCTCCGACGGCTTGTACCAGGAGCCGATGACGTAGATGATGCCGGTGAAGGAGGCGGACTCGAACAGACCCGTGAAGAAGCGCATGGCGTAGACGGTCTCGACATTGCGCGCCCAGGCGAGCCCAAATGTCGACAGGCCCCAGCCGATCTCGAGGACGGGCAGGACGACGTTGATGGGGTAGCGGGTCAGGTAGTAGCAGGCCGGAATCATGGACGTGCAATACGAGGACCAGAACACAATGGTCATGTAGTTTAGCTCGTTGCCACGGATGCCGAGGTCCTCCTTCATGCCGCTGGGCCGGTCAGCTTCGCAGAGACGGGCGAGAGGGCGGCGACTTACCTCACGTAGGCGTTTGTGAGAGACGACTGGTCGAGGTACTTTGTGAAGAAGCACATGCAGCCGAAGACGAGGATGAGCAGGTCGAGCCGGAGCACGAGCTCCTTCTCCTCGCTGGGCATGCCGTGGGAGTACCAGTGAAGGGCCGTCATGAGGCGGATCCACGGGCCCTCACGGGACGTTTCATGCGTCTCGTCGCGGGCGTCCGCAGCAGGGCCGTCGGCCACTGCGGGCGATTTTTCGGTAAGTGAAGCCATCGCGATGGTCGCAGCAGTCGAAAGGCTTGATGTCTCGGAACCCAAGTTTCTTACAACTTACTATAGAGTAAGTACCCTCTTTAAGGGTAACGAGCCTAGCACCCGCCTGATATCAATCAGACTGACTCGCCGCGGAGGTTGGTTAAAAAGCAACACGCCATAATGTAACTGATCGATCTAGTACCCCAATCGGCAAATACGCTTCTACTGATTCGGTCAATATCCGCATCAGTGGATGGGTCGTCAAATGGCGCAATGCCAACCCACAATGATGGCACACAGTAACCCAATCTGCGTCCTATGGGACGTCGTCGCTGGGTGCGGGGTGGAGTCGGGATAAGATACCACGAGTCTTTCATAGAGGCCTCACTTAGTCCGGGCCGGGTGAAGTGGACCAGCGGTTGTTCAACGGCGACTGCATGTCGGAGTGGAGACTTGGACGGGCGGGAACCGTCGTTCTTCGGACCAGGATCGGAAGCAATGTGATGGGATGAACAAATTTCACTCAACTGAACCCTTTACGATTGACCCCGCTTGATTCCGCAAACCCAAACTTTTCTATCATTCATTGCTTTCCCTCCTGTCCGTTATTGCAGTACCCCCCCACATTAAGCACGAATCCCCCATACACATGCTAGGCTCAGACCAAGAATCCCCTACGCGCCTTCACGGGCGCCCTGCCGCGCGCCAGCAGCGCCTTTTTGGCGTTGACCGATGACTTCTGCGCCTTGGGCGCCAGCCTCACGTCCTCCTTCTTGACAACGCGGAACAGCGTCGACCCGACGACCTCGTCCTTGGGGCCGCGACTCTCGCGCGCCAACTGCGCCTCCGCCGTGTGCAGCTTGAGCGCCTTGCGGGGCTTCCGGCCCGTCTCGCCGTCGCCGCCCTCGTCCTCCGAGTCGGAGTCGAGGTACTCGGCCGGGAGCTCGGAGGGGAGGTCAAGCTTGTTGAGTCTCCGGCGTCCGGTCGTCTCCGGTGCCGGGGCTGAGTCAGCCTCCTCTTCGTTGGACTCCTCCGCCTGGGCCGCGTCCTCCTGAGCCTTGCGCGCTGCGGCCTGCTCCTGAAGGCGGGCGTTACGCTCTTGGCGCTTGCGCTTTTGGGCGGCTTGTTGTCTACGATCTGTTAGCTTCGAACGCTGGGAAGCGGCAAAAGCGGCGGAACTCACTCTGCGATGGCCTTGTTGGCTGCCTGTGCAGACTTCTTGGCCTGTATCGCAGCCTTGGACGTGGAAACAGCCTCGGGCGCCTCGTCCGAGTCTGAGCCGTCATCCCCCTCGGCGACCAGCGCCGTCGTCTTCTCCGCCGCCTGGCCATCGTTCACGGACGCCTTCGAATCGTTGATGACCCTTTCCTCCCCTGCTTCCGGTTCCGGGGCCGGCTGCTCGGCGCCTGTGATAATCTGCTGCTCGTGAACCTCCTGGGCGTCATCCGGGTTCGCCTCCGACCTCAGCTCGACGACAAGCGACGATTTCCTTTTTGACGACGGCTGGCTGCTCTCATCCTTCTTGCCGGAGGATTTCTTGGGCGTAGTCTTGCCGTCTTTTGACCTGACGGGCAACTTCTGCTTCTTGGGGGTCTCGATCACCGGCGCCTCAGCGGCTGTGCGCTTCCCGTTCCGTGTGGTGACCATTTCGGGTGTGAATATGTGATGACGGGCCGGGGGCCAGCGATCAAACTCTTGGTGACGGTTTCACTGATGGGTGCAGCTATGAGGAAGCTCGTGTTATTATGAGGCTGATCTCTTCGATAAACAAGCTCCTGGAAAGCTTTGGCCAAATGCCGGGTAATGATGTTATGAAAGAGTTGTTGGTGAGTTGGTGAGTGAATGTCGCCGCCGAGGGTGTAGTTGCACTTTTTTTTTGAGGTGGGGCAGGCTCGCCGTTGTATTGGTAGAGATTGATTGGCCAAAAACATGGACCCACTTTCATCGCGTGGACCCCTGTTGAGCTCATGGCTGCTTGCTGATGAGTTCAACTCATATTCAGCATACAGAGACACTCACACAACCACACGGCAGCATCAGTCAATTCATTCCGGACCAATCTGAAGCTATACTGCAACTTCTTGGAGATTCATCGATCACACCCACCGCCGGAGGCCCACCGACTGCTCACTTCGTTATGGGGCCTTGAGGACCAACTCACCATGTTCCACCTCATGACAGTTCCCGCCCGCCACGGGAGGCACCTCCTGATCGGCCTCTTATCGCCAGCCGTCCATGTTCCAGTGTCGTTTACTACCCGAAGGACTCTCAAGCATAAAGCGGAGCTTCGCCCCAATCCGCAGACCAGACAGCCGATGACGCCGGATATGCTGCCGACAAAAGTCCCGGTCGCACCCCGCTCGCTTTCAGAGTTCCAAATCCTGATCAAAGACTTGAATATGAAGCATGTCGCGGCGCAAGATGCGCACGACATGTACACGAAATACATGAGGGCCGTGGCCGACAAGCAAAGGCCTGCCGGTTGGCAGGAAAAAATCGCGACAAGTGACACACCTCTTGCACCCCCCAACTGATCTGCGCCGCCTGCTAATGAGCTGCAGACACAACCGCCTCGGCTGCCGAGCTTCATGAGACGGCCAAAATCGTGCTCAACCTCCCCGCACTTCACGAGAGTGAGTTTGAGTTCTCCTGCACCATGCTGAGAGCCGCCGCAGGCCTCGGCAACGACGCCGCCGCCCTCAGCCTCGGCCGTATCCTCCTCCGACGCACGCGCGCCAGGCAGAATTACTTCCACTGGGACAATCCATGGTGGCGGCAAGCACGTGCTCGCTGCATGGCGCTTATAGAAGAGGGCCGCGACGCCAACGCCCTCGTTCTCAAAGGGCTGATCCACATGAAGCGTAACAACCCAAGGGACGACTCCCTTGCCCTCGAGGCCTTTGCGCAGGCCGAAACAGTCGGCAAGAGTGCAGACCGTTTCGATTGGGAGCCGACGTGCCTTGAGGGCCAGGGGAACGCCCACCAACGCTTGGATCAGAAGGAACAGGCCGAGGAGGCCTTCAGGCGGCTCGCCGACCTCGACTGTGCGGAGGGCTTCTACCACCTGGCCAGGTTGCTCCCCAGAAGCGAGTCCACCCTTGAATGGCTCACCAAGGCGGCCGCTTCGGGGCTCAGGGAGACGTACCAGTTGCTGGTGGACGAGCACGAGAGGCTACGCAGCATCTGCATGAACCAGGGCAGGGAGAAGGAGGCCCGGCGGCACGAGCGAGACGCTGCAGAGTGGACGTTGATCATGAGGGCACAAGCGACACGGAAAAAGGAGCTTAACACAGCCACCGAGCCTATGCGAAACCAACTGTTGTAAACTATGTACTATTAGATACTACCCGATCTCGTGAGCGCCGAGACGGCCCCGCAGACCCGTTTCAAGCATATTCCTGTCGGTCCTTCCATCCGGGCTGGAGATAGCTCCAGTCGCGGTTGAACTTGAAATCCGTCTGGTACTGGCCGTAACGCACCAGTTTCAGCCCGTCAAGCTTGGCACCGGTGTCGGTCTGCGCCCACAGGCTGACGGCCAGAGTGTTGCGCCCGCGGTTGTTGAGCACGCCCGGCGGGAAAGGGAACCGCGTCTGCGGACCGATGTGCGGGACGAACTTGCCGTACTGGTACCCGTTGATCCAGAACATGACGCGCGCGATGGTGCCCGCGGGTGCGGAAAACTCGAGGCCCAGGGGTGCATCCAGGTCCGAGTCGATGTTGAGCGTGAAATCGGTGACGTAGAACCGAATGCCCGCGCTGGAGAGGCCGTCCAAGGGTGTTTCCGGCTTCCAGGAGGAGCCGGTGGGCGCGAAGCCGGGGAGGTGCCAGCCCAGGCGCTCCGGGTAGAGGCCGCCCTCGTTCATGGGCCCGCGGACGGGGTCGATGTTCGTCTCGCCACCGGCAGCGCCCGTGAGCTTCCACATCTTGAAGCCCGTGTTGGTGCGTGTGCTGCCGGGCTGCAGCTGGGCGCCGAGTATGCCGCGCGGGTTGTTGATGCCCTGCGCCGTACTCGCCTGGTCGTGTCCGTGGTAGTCGACAACCACCGTCACGACGTTGTTCGACTGGCGAAGCGCACCCCGGGGGAAAGCGAGCGTCTTGTCGGTGGTGGTTGCCAACGCGGACCCGACGTCGCCACCGAGGAACTGCCCGTTGACCCACGCCGACCAGCCGAACGCCAGACCGCCCGAGGCGGTGATGTTGACAGACGTCGCGTTGGCGCCGTCAAAATAGCCGCGGTAGATCTTGGCGCCGGGGTAGAAGCCGTAGTTGGAACTGTAAAGCACCGGCAGGGTGGCGGGGGCGTACGGGCTCGGCGTGGCCGTCTTGTTGCAGACCACCCAGCGGGAGTCGTCGTAGTCGGGCGCCGCTTCGGGTAGGGCTTCGGCGGCGCGCCAGTTCTTCAGCTCGGGGAGGGCCACGGCACGGTCCTCGGCGCCGGGGATCCGCACGGTGAAGGAGCCGTAGGGGGTCTTGGTGGCGGCCAGGCGCTTGCCGTTCCAATCGATGGTCTCAATGGGCTTGTCGCCGACGTAAGCCTCCAGGGTGGTCGATGTGTCGCTGTCGCCCGAGACGTGGAGGACGCCGTGGGAGATGCTGGCGCTCCTGACGAGGTACGGGCCGAGGATGAAAAGCTGCTGGCTGGGCTTGACGATCGGGTTGGACGTCGTAGGCGGAGCCCAGAAACGCCATGCCGTCTTCTGCTCGAGGAGATACACCAGGACGCCGTTGGAGAACTTGATTACCGTCGAACCAGCGGCCTGCTTCCATGTGAAAGCCGCGTGGTCGCCGTTCGTTGCCTCCTCGAGCACGGCGTCGCCAAAGACCTCGAAAGCGAGGTCCCTCTCGTCCTTGAAGGCAAACTCTCCAGTCTGGCCCTCTCCCAGGTAGAAGACAAGCACTTCTGTCTCGAAGATGCCGTACGTGGCGATTTCGGCAGAGGCGTAAAGCAGGGTGTGCTTGCCAAATGCGTAGTCTGTGACAAGGATCTTGCTCTGTCGTCCATTGAGCACAACGTTCGGGACGGTGACGGAGCCGGCGGTTGTGGCCAACTTGACGTCAAAATGTATGCGGCTCATGGAGTTGGTGCTGTTCTGCTGCACAATCGTAAAGCCGGCCTGGGTGTCAGGGTTGCGGAGGACCCAGCTGAAGGCCGAAGTCGAGGAGAGCTGCGGTTGTTAGCCGTGGTATGAAGGGGACGGCTGACCACTTACGCCATAGCCGGTTCCGTTTCCAACCATGTCGGCCTTGAGCAGGTCGATCGAGACTCTAGTAAACAGGCCGATGAGTTTCGTCTGGAAGAGCTTGGTCCATTGCTCGCGGGTCTCTCGGAGAGGGGCGCTGTAGTCGTAGCTTGTATAAACTTGAGGAGCGGCGGCTACCTCGGGTCAGTGGCATGGCTGAAGAGCGAGGAACGTCGTGCTCACAGTGACCCCAGTTCGTTCCCCCGTAAGCCATGTAGATGCTGAGCAGGGTAACTCGCTGGCCAATATTGTTCTTGTAGTAGACGTCCGCGAAAGCGGGGTCATGCTCGGAAGCACACTGCCCGGTCAGCTGTAACTTCGGGCCATGGCGGTGGTGTCCAACGCACCTCGTCGTAGAACGTAGGGCTGCCCCAGTTCGAAAACCATCCACCCTCGAACTCGGCCAGATATCCCGGCTGCGTGACTGCGGCATTCCGTAGCCACTGGTAGTACCCCCGATTCACGTTGAACCCAACCGTGGGATCTGTGCAGGAGAGGCCGCCCGGGTAGCTGTCGAGTCCGTATATGTCGACGGCGCCGCCGACGTTGTTGTAGTCTGTCGACCACGAGATTGAGCGCATGCCCTTTTCGTTATGGGTGAGAGGAACGACGATGCCAGCGTCACGGAATGCCTTCTTGAGCTGCTCCATGTAGATGACCGAGGTGTGGTTCGCCTGGTAGACCGTCTCCAGGTACTCGTTTTCGACCTGGTTAAGGATCACGGGCTGCAGCCTTTATCAGCGGGGAGCAACGAAGGAGACGGGAGGAGTAGGACACACGCCACCGTTGGTGATTTGGTTCGCGGCGATAATCTTGCCGATGCGTGCGATGAAGGGAAGCCATCCGGCGTGGTACCGTTCGTCCGAGGACCTCAGCTTGCCGAAGCGGCCATCAGATCCCCACAGAGCCAGCCCGCCACCATTGGTCTCGGCCTGCGGGCGTCAGCATCTTGTTTGGGCCTCGGATTATGGGGCTCATGACGCACGTTACAGTATGGTCCCGCTCTTGCGATGACATAGAGCCCGGCTTCTTTGCAGTAGTCAAACAGCCGCTGGACGTTCTTCCCTCCCGTCTCAAAATCGTACACGCCCTCGGAGGCGGAGTGGTAAGACCAGAAGAAGTAGATGCTGGAGGGAAGGTGCGATGAGTGAAGCACACCAGCGTGGCAGCGGCACCACCTACCTCACGGTGTTGAAGCCGTTGGCCTTGAACTTTTGGAGGATGTCCTGCCGCGGATGTCAGCGGATGAGAGAGCAAAAGGGCAAAGAGCAACCTACGAGCCACAGTTCAGGTACGGGGGTCCGTTGATAGTGGAACTCTGCTGACCTGACGTTTATCAGTGTCGGGTTGCTGCTTTAGCTCACGGAGCGACTCACAGGATATAAGTTCGGGTGTCGCTGACCATGACGCTGTACTTGTCCCACGTCACCGCATCAGTGAGACCATTGCTGTTCGCCAGAGACTTCGACACGAACAGCCAGACAAGGGCCGTCAAAGCCCGGAACAGACTCATTGAGGCGGTTGATGCGAACCGCAGCTTTGGCGGGACTCAGGTCGAGGGTACACAGATCGTGAAGATGGCGTTGCACTCCAGATCAGCGCCGCTGCACGGAACGCTGGGAACAAGCCGATTCATAAGGAGCTTCATGGTGATCCGCAAGCCAACGGCCTCCCGCTACCCAGCCGCGAAAATGCAAGCCGAGTGCAACATAATGAAGGTTCCCACGCAAGCGCAGACTACCCGCCATTCCAGCAATCAGCTGGTCCAGGGTTGTTCGACTTTGCCGGATAGCGGGGTATCCCAGTCGTCAGAACGGTGCCGTAGTTCCTGAGCTACTTCACCGTGTAATTCTTCCACAAGGCCTTGCATTGTTGGATAAACACAAGAACCGGTAAAAGGCAGACGAAGGCTCGTTGCCCGTGGGATTCACAGAAACAGGCGACCACTCGGCGTTATGTTGGCCGAGAGGACGTCGTGGCCGCTGAGATGCGGGGTCGAGACCCATGATCATCTGGAGATCAGAGGGGCAAACCAGGCTTTTCCCCAGATGCAGCGCAAGCGTGCCTGTCGGAACGCTGGAATACAAGGAGAGAGATAACCTTCTGGCGCAATGTGCCGTTGCCCGAATTTTCGTCGATAAATGGCTTCCCGGGCAAGCCAGCCTTGACGCTTCTCACCCGCATTTGGTGACAGCAACGTGCCAGCTCATGCCTTCATCGTCAACGATAACGCGATGTCCACGGGGTTGTCGACAGCGATTTTTCCGACTGCCATTTTCTCCATTTCACCCCCCCCCCAACAGCCCGACAAGACGTCGGCTGCTTTATTTTGACTAGAAGGTATCCGCGGACAGAAATACGGCACACATCACAAGGGGCAGCGACGATGATCTCGCCGGATCCAAAACCGCAAGACTTTTCGAGCATCGCGACGAGAGATTTGCCGCCTTTAAAACAACGACGGCCAATGATACCGAGCAAACATGCCAGTATCGAAGTTGACGCAAGGCGCCGCGCGATCACGAATACACGTCTGCAGCAGGCCGTGGTGACGTTTGCAGGAGTCGAGGACATGGCACACACCGGCTCCAACACGGAGGAGCCCGGGCAAGCGACTGCCGGCCATCAAATGCCCCGTGACCCTCCACTTATTGCGCCCAACGCTCAGACTGGATAGACACCCGACCGGTCCAGGAAATGGCGGTGCCGAGTCGCGTCTAATTGCGAAAGGAGGCCCACGAGGCATGGGCTGGGTCGCAAGAGAACCGTCTGGTACAACGCTGTTTGATCTCGCGATGCTGGGCCAGTCCTCGACCTGCTTACGAAGGACGCTTCGGTCGACATCACGGTCAGAGCTTTGGACCCGACGGTCTTGCTTTCAAGGACGTAACGTGCCGCGAACACCAGTGCTCGTGCTTCCTTCTGCCCCTGGATTATATCAACAGCGATATACCCTTGCTGGGCCGTCGGCATTGCCTTCCTGACTTGAGATGAACTTTCATCCCCGGTTCCACGGTAGGTAGTCGAGCGCGGCTGTGTGCTTCAACCCGGAGGGCTTTGATGAGAGATACTTTCTTTCTCGCGGAGCAGGGGGTGGTAGTGGCCACTGCACTGACTGGGGTAGCCGAGATTGGAAGGACGACAGAGAACATTCCGGCCCCCCTTTTCGAACGATGCTGGCACCTTGGCAGGGCGCCTTTTCGTCAAATTTCAACGTTGACCATTGTCATTTCATCATATTGGGCCTGTCCACGACTTGCCTCGCCCCGGATTCTCAGCCACCGACGTAAACCCGCGCGGGAGTCGGAGAATAACTCTTTGCGCAAGGGGAACCAGGACAGTCGTGAACCAGCCAAATACCGAATATGGAGACCCAGGCGCGCGTGCGCGAGACAATACGGATATACAGCCGCGCGTGGATGTTGCTTACTCAAGATTGCCGTGGCCGTCAATGAGCCGGCGTCATGCCGCAACGGCACTGACTTGGACAACGTTCCAGCGCCGACTCGCGTGCGCTGGCTGTCACCTCTCCGGGGCCATCATGGAAGCCACCCGACGATTCTGCAGATTGCCGTGGACGAGGGCGAGACGGCGTGTCAGTCATCTGTGTTGACCGGCCGCGGCGTGCAAATTGAGGCAGACACCTATCGCTACGGGGCGGGAATCAGAGACATAACCCCAAAATCGACCTAATCCTGCTGCTCTGGCTGACAAAGGCCGCTGTTCCTACCATGTGTAGTAGTAGCTACGCATCAGACGTCATCGTTGCAGTTCCCCGCGTGGCGCCGCTGAGACGACTTCGCCCATGCGCCGGGCGACTCTAATGGGCTGAAGGGACGAGGGAGATAAAGACAACTCTCGTGGAGATGAGAATGGGATGCCCGACGACAGTGGTAGGCTTCCGCATGTCGGGCGCGGCGCGGTGCAGCCCGCCATCGTGCTGTTTCACATATCCCTAAAAAAACAAAACCAGACGATAGAGACAGTAATTGCCAGAGTATCATTGTGTACGTGTGCAACCTTGAAAGAGACCGCCTTGGGTAAGTACCTCGGATAGCGACAGTGATGGTTTGGCAGACAGTGGGAAATTGCAACGTTCGCTCGTTCTAGGCGCAAGCGGCCAACAGCAGCTAAATATGCTTTGGCCTTTCGGCGGCGCCGGCTAAGAAACGAAACTGCTGGGCGTGCCGTGCGCGTTTTCCAAACATGGCAACACCAAGGAGCGTTGCAATGACAACCGTTGATTGACGATAGAGGTGGGAGTTTTGTTTCCGTTCAAACTTTGTCAAAGATCGCCTGGGAAGCAGCGGTTTCCAGGCGGCAAACGCCTGTCTTGATGTCATCTGCACCGAGGCCTAGGAACCCCAGAACAGGGCCGACTTGTTATTACTTGGAGTAAACCATCCGCTTCTTTTGCCGTGATGGCAGCGTTCCAGACGAACCGCCCTCTTCTGACAGCGGCCGTTCCAGGCAGGATCCTAGGAGCGGGCTGCGAATGGGAAGCGACGGCAAGGGCCCAGCTCGGTAGTGTGGAGCAATAGTTCTGGCCGAGTTGCTTTTCTCGCCGCTGACTGCTGTGGAAAAGAATCAGTTCCGGGTCGGACCCCACACGTTGATGACTCTGCATCCCCTCCTTCCGAAACCGCCTAGTGAAGATCTTAACGGGCAGAAAAAGTCTCAAGGTGTTGTGTGCAGTACATAGTACGGTACGTACGAGTACCGCATACCTAGATGGTCGCGGGTCGACCCCGCAGCGAAATGCATCAGCAAGCCCTAAACGCAGGAACAGGCACAGCATTCTTCGTCCGATGGGAATGCGACAAATGACATGCGACGGATTTGTTCCAACCATGGGCCGCGGAAGGCGAGCGGTTTGCCTTAGCTCGCATCGCAGCGAATCGTAGGGGTACATGGGTCTTTAGCTAGGTAGGTACGGATAGACGCGGTACGTACTGCCGGGAGGATCGAGGCGCAATGTACTCTGTACTCTGTACTGCAGGTGTGAAGTGTAGTTAGTGTACACTATCCGTAGTCGTTACTACACTACATAGTAGTAGGTCCGTCCGACTCTGGTGCTCGTGGAAATGGCGGGAGCAAGGCACTGCAGCTTATGATTGTGTCCCGACCCTCTTTCGCAACGAGTGCCTTCATCTGTACAAGGTGTGCCCCGTGTAAACGAGGGACTCCTGCATGCCAGTCAGCCCAATGACGAGCCACCAGCATGCCGATCGCAGGGCTTGTCTCATCTTTAATCGGGAGCCCATCGATTTGAGAGAGAGGATGAGCAGCGGGGAGGCATGAGCCGGCGTCACTGGTTGGAAAATGTCGGAGAAAAAGGAAGCAGGGACGGGAAATGTGGAAATGTGCCGCAAGCCTCCCCCCAAAAGGAGCGACGGCGCGCGCCCAGCATACTAGTGTAGCTGGCTGGCTAGGTACCTAGTTGGACTCCTGACACCATAAGAATAGACGACCGGGCTGCTCGATCAACGGGAGAGGGCGGGCGACAAGGAGGTTGTCGAGTGCCGGTAGCTTGCTTCCAGTCGGAAGGGAAAGTCGAGTCAGGGCCGGATGAATCTCAGATCGATCTTTCGTCATCAGCACCACTTCTTCCAAGGCCCAGGAGTTCCAGGCTCCTGGCCATGGACGTAATTCCCGCAAGTCTGGTGGCAGGGCCTTGGTATGCCGTGCCTTGTCAATGCTGTCTGTCCGCCTGTCTGTTGCCCTGCCCTGCCCTGCCCTGCCCGGGTATTAGCCCTGTCGTTCGCTTGACGGAAGTCGCAGGCCGGCTGCAGCTCGACTGGAAGAGAGAGAAGGGGAGGTCCATTCTCAGCCGGGGCCGTGTCGTGGAAAAGTGGTTATGTTGTGGAGAGAGACGGAGACGAGTCTGGGTTAAAGAGGCCGTGGTGGAAAAGTCTGTACACTAGATACCTGTTCTGGGCCTTGTTGCTGATCACTGGCGTGCGAGATTTGCGGCGGGGAGGAAGGAAATGAGAAAAGTCATCGAATCAGGGCAGCGGGATGGTAATACCTACCGTAACGGCGGGAAGGGGGTGTTGGGGTCCACAACAGGTGGGTACGCTGGCAGAGGCGTGTGCGGGAGGGGCAAGAACGTGCAAGGTGCTCGCTTGGGTTGGACGGGAGAGGCCTTTCCCGGCGAGGAGGGGTTTTCATTCCCGGTATTCTGAACGTACCGAGTATCCGTCCGGAGTACTCCGTAGTGCACCAGGTAATTGCATAGTACCTACCTACCTACTACTATGTACAGGCACAGCCTACCTAGGTGAGAACTAGGTATGCGGCGGGATACGTTACCCCTGGCATGGCCATGTCACATCTGCCACTGTCTCGAACTATCCTCCGTATTGTGTCGTCGTCCTTTCATCAGAGCTCCCTTGCTCCTTCGTAGGGGGGGGGGGGAAGGTACGGCAAGCCGCCATGCGCATTGCTGTATTCGAGGCAGTGGGTTCGCACTGGCCTCAGCCTTGCAGCATCGGCACCTGACCGACCTGGCAACCATTGCCGCTGACCACGTCCCTTTGCGAGCCAAATCCGCCAGGCGTTGTTGACGGCGATCGAGAATAGAAATGATCGCACACGAGACGCTTGCGGCTCGTGGCAAACCAGTCGATTGGGCCCATCGGGAAATAGGTACTACTAGGAACTCTGCAAGACACAACGAATGCACCTCTGGATCAAGGTACCGACCGGCTTCTGCTCCCTTTGAACTGCGCCCATCTCCATGTACCTCTTGATTTACACTTGGACACCCATGAAAATATTGATCGATAGATCGGACTCCCTGTCTCTGCCGGTCTCAAACCTGGCCTTTCCTTTTCGCGAGTTCTTCTTTTTTCTTCTTCTTCTTCTTCTTCTCTTTCACTCCCCCCTCCCAGTAAAAGGTTAGGCCGTTACACCTTACGACATGCCTCCCCTCGCAGAAATCACAGTCAAACCAAGTCGTTGGAGGCCGAGCCATTTCGGCCCAGCTGGGAATTTGCATGCGCCTTCACGTCGCTGCGAAGCAAAGCAAAATAAAGTATGGGTAATAGAACGCCGGCGATGCCATCGGCGGCACCGCCGGCGCCGTCGTGCGCGCGAGGCACAACACGGAACGGCTTTACTCTATCTGTACCTTATCCAATGTTTAGATGACCACACGGTTCCCGCTGCATAAGCTCGAAACCCACAGCGTGCGTGCTCCAGGGTAAGGTAGGGGAGGCTCAAAAGGGGCGCGCCCTGTTGTTATGCAAATCTTTCCCTCTAATTAATACCTATGTACGGGCATGGACCACCCATGCGCAGAGCCATTCCGTCATCCCTCCCCTCTGCCTTGTCTCTCCCTGAGCCCCCTCAGGTACGTGTACCCACCCCGTCAGCTCCCCCACTACATAGTAGGCCACCACGAACAACCCCGGAAGCTGCTTCGCGGAGAATGGCACCAAGGAGGGAACACCCCTCTCAAAAACAAGAGAGCAATGGCTTTTGCCCTCTTGCATGGGCCAATTGCCATGCCAACGGCCGGATGGATGGTTCGGGATTGTCCAACCAAAACCACTTGTCTTGCTGATTTTTTGTTACATTCTATTTTTTTTGACCCGACGATCCAGCAGTCAACGTCGCTCCCGAAGCTTTCTTTGGGCCCCTCACCTGTCTTGAAGTCATCGTGAGTTGCGCGTGGCGACCACAACCTGAGTGAATCCCTCCCTTCGGTTCGCGACCAGCCGACAAGAAACCCCATGTCCTGTCTCAACAAAAAGAAACACCACATCAGACGCCATGCATCTCATTGCTAGCTTCGCCGATCGCAGTGCCTCTGCTGCGGCGGGCGAACAGTGTTGAGGCCCGTTGGCGGATGATTAATGATGGATGGGGCCGTCTGATTCGCGGATGCAAGGGACACAGCTCGCCATTGGCAACCTGCGAGGCTCGGAGATTATGTGTCTGCACCTCCCCTCACATGAAATGGCGACTGCCGCCCTCGAGTCCAGCCTTACCCTGCGGCGAGGCCTATCGAGAGCACAATAGTGCCTCTTCATCGGCACATCGTTGCGGCCATGCCAAAAGCGACACGATGTAAACAGAGCTAAAATGGCCCAGAGCTCGCTGCGTTCCAAGCTATCGGTCCCCGCGGGGGCCTTGTGCTCGGGTGGGCAGAAAGTAAACAATGGATGCAACCAACAGCAATATATCAGGGAATAACCACGCAAGCCACGCAAGGGGACAAGCTCCAGGCTTAATGGCGACGGCTACCTATATCGGAGACGAGGTGAGAGGTGGTGGTGGCATGGTCTGTCGAAATGCCGTACGGAAGTGCCTAGCACAACATATGTCGTCAGCCAGCCAGCCAGCCACACATGCCCGTTTCTTTTTTACAGATAATATTAGGTACCTATCCAATTCCATTGTGGCAGGTGAAAGAAAGCCTTCGTTGCTTCTTCCAGAGCCGCCTCCTAACAGGTTGATGGGCGATCCCCCTCCCTTTTCACCCCCGAATGCGCCCATCGTGTCTTGTGTTTTCGTTTTTCCCATGTCTCACGTTGCGCTTGTGGCCTCGTCCTCATCTAGCCTCGGTGGCGAGGCCAATCATCCCCTGCAGCCCTGCTGTCGGCTCTTGCCATCTCGTCGCCATTTCATGCCACCACCAACATAGATCATGCCGTTGTCGTGCGAAGCGTATGGTGACGGGTCTCAACACGGCATCGAGGCGCGCTCGAGTGCTCCCTCTGCCGGGTCCCGTCCCACATGCACACAGGGAACGACGAGGTCAGAGAGTACCTACGGAGTACGGATATAGGCAGTTTACAATACATGGGCCTCGTTTCGTCCGGTCATTGACCAGCAAGTACCTTGACTGGCTCTGTGCACAGCGGGTAGGAGCACCACGTACAGCGGCAGCAACAGCGACAGCTGCGTCGGCGGATGGGACGAGATAGCCCTGCTTCTTCTCGTACACTACACTTGTAAACACGCAGCTTGGCTCTACAGTCAGGTATTCCGAATGCATGCATGCCCCAGGGCCATACATACGGCAGAGCGTCAGCAGCCCATCAGAGATCCATCCTCTCGTCACCAAGCCCCAGTCCTGGCCAAGATCCTAGGCCGCTCATACTACTACTATGTATACTATTACATAGTAGGTAGGTCCGGGCTCTCTGTCCAGCGTCCCAAAAACACACGCCCCCCGGCACACGGACAAGGGTAGCTGCCAGTGTTTTGTTCCGAACGCCCCGCCACGGCATCCCAATATCCTTGCCTTCGCCGTCCTCCACTCCCTCGCCTCTCACTAACCCCTGGGCCATTGGGCTTAGGACCCGGCAAGAAGGGGGTAAGGGGGGGGGGGGGGGGGGGAGGGGAGGAGTGAATAAAAAATAGATAAAAAAAAAATGGAAGAGAGCCCACCGGCCGGCCGAGGCGTGTGCGTAAGGTACGAATAAACTCGCTCGGTCTGCCGTTTGCCCACGCGACGTAGCGCCTCTAGTATTAGCCAGCTCCTCCCTCCACCCCGACAGGGAATACCATCAATCCCCCAACCCAGGCCACGCCGGGCACCCGCACGCACAAAAACACGTCCACGACCGCCTGCCATACTTTATGCTTTTGCTTCCCAGGTTCCGTTCCTCATCCCCCTCTCCGCTTACACATACACCTCTTTTCCTCCAAAACCCCCTTTCCATTCGTTCCCACCAACTGTTATTCTCTCGTTCAACATATCGCCTTCCACATTTCGCTGTCAGCAGGCCCGGCTCGACAACACGGCCCATTCTCACCGCCTTCACCCAAGCACACCGGCCCGTTTGTTGCAGCTCAAAGCCTCGCTGATCGTTTGCTCGACATCCTGTTCGTCACTTTCCAACAACAGCCCCCAGCCTTACTCGTCCCTGTCGAGAGAGTTTCTACACGGAGCTCTCTTACAGATCGAACCTTCACAGTGCTCATGTACACGGCTGGCCAACCGCGTCCCAAATACACCCGCTTTTCCCGTAGACGCCTCGCTGGAACGACTCTCCACTTACACCCGCCTTCGTTTCGTGGCCGCCTCGCCCGCCCGGGGCCCAGCCCTCGTCGACTCGAGTAGCCGATCAACTCGCCGGTCGGTCTGTCATCTCGTCAACGATCACGGTTCGAACGGGCTTCGCAGCGTCTGGGTCCGTCCGTCGTTGGAAAGCAACCAGGCCGCCGACCCACCCGTCTCTGGCAGACCAACCAACAACGCACCCTCTGCCTGTTTCCGTGCGATATAGCTGCGTTTGCAACGAAGCAGACCCGGCCCCCGTCTTCACTTCGTTCATTCTCGGTTCCTAGGCTTTGACAGCCGCTTCACAATGGCTCTGCCCCGACCTCTTCCCGTTGCGGCCGGCGCCGTGGCGCTGATCGCCACCATCACCATCGTCGTCATCCACGTCGTCCTCGCCGCCCACATTACCGTAAACCCGCCAGTCCGGACTTCGGCGATTCTGTCCTCGATTTTGGAAAGCATCCTTCTAATCATTATGGGATGGATGATGTCTGCGAACCTAACCCGCAGGTCCCGAAGCTGTTCAAAGCGCCTCATCAGCATCATGTTCGCCACCAGCATGCTCACGTGCATCCTGGCCACCGCCGCCTCGGTGGCCACCATGATCTGCCTCGGCAATGCCGCAAATGCCCTGCCAGATTCCGTTCTGGGTGCGAAGCAGACAAGCTTTCTCATCGCTTCGTCCGTTGCTCTCGGCCTCTGCTTTGCGTGCCAGCTCATTTTCATCGTCATTCACTTCGTCCTGGCTCGCCTTTTCGCCCGCCAAGGGGCGGACTCGCTCCACTCGGATGAGGAGTCCCGCAAGACTCCCAACGTCCACATCAAGTCGGTCCCCTACCACCGTACTTGCCCGACGTTCGAGAGCAGGGGCCGATCCGTTTCCACGGGCTCGCAGACCCCGCCCCAGTCCAGCAGCGGCCGGTCTGCTACCGAGACGCTGTACTCCATCCGCTCCTCGCTGTCCAACGTCGTCCGGCCCATCTCCTCGAGAACTCGTCTGCTGCCGCTGAGGGAGAAGAAGCGGGCGTCGTCGATCGACTCGAACCACTACCGGTCACGATCTAGCAGCGTCAACGAGGATCCTTCGTTCGACTCATGGGACACATCCTCCGTCGACATGCAAAGCCGCTTGACAGTCCTCGGCACGTCGTCTCCTGTCCCTGGAAGGTTCCTCGAGACCATCCCAGCCAGCCCTACTACCAGCCGCAGTCCCAGTCCCGGCACGCCGCTGGACATGGACCTGGAGACCCCGCGCCCTCGCCGCCGCAGCCGCAGTTATAGCCCCGCCCCCATGGGCAGTCTCCGGAATCCTGAGCACACCTTTACGCTGCAGGCTTCTGCCAGCGAGTGCTCCCTCCGGCGCCCCGAGCCCGCATTCACCATGCAGGGCTCCGCGAGCGAATCGCACATTCACCCCTTATTCCGGTCCGACTCCCCGGATCCGCCGCCCATGGTGACGCCTGGCACCGTCGTCACCGCGGCTCCCGACGCAGGCCGTGTCCTTCCAGACCGGAACAGCATTCGGCGCATGAGAAGCGGCAGCCTGCCTTCGGGCCCTAGCCCTCTCAGCTGCGCAAGCAGCTTTGAGAACTTCTTCCCCAGCAACCCGCCGTCCATCAAGGAGAAGGGCGAGCTTCCGTCGCCCCAAGAGGAAGATGAGGCTCTCGGCGAAAGACAGATGACGCCTCCCATTCCCGAGTGGATTCTGACCGCCGGGTCCCGGACGAGCCTGTCCGGATACCAAAGCCGGAAGCTCCGGGTCGACGGGGACGTTGAGCAGGGGCAGTCATGATGATGACGGCAAACGGCATGCCGGCAGTAACCAAGGGCATGCCTGTGCCTTGGAAACCAAAAAGGGGATACGGGAAAAAGATTGACCCGGCGCGGTCCTCATGAATGTCTAATTGCTATTTTGTCCTCGGACAGCAGGAAGTATATGCTCGGGCGGTGATACCATATTTGACGGATTTGTTTTCTTTGTATAGCGCGGCGTTGTCCTAGGTGGCACAGAGAGAGAGAGAGAGAGAGAGAGAGAGAGAGAGAGAGAGAGAGAGAGGAGGTGGGAAAAGATCCCGCGGCCGGCGGCCGAGACGCCAATAAATTTAACGAGTCACATGAACCTGTTGATGAGTGAGCAATGCGTGTGCGGTGCAAGCGGGTCTGCAGCAGTAACCAGGACCCGACTGTCTGGGTTGAGTTGTCTTCTGAGGGGATAGACGACAATAGGTCCCGTGTGTCGCGCCGGATCGGTTGGTGGGGATCTCGGACTATGGATGATCCTGCTCCGCAACACCGCTGCGGATCTCTTGGCAACCCGGTGGGCTCGGGCTCGGGCTCAAGCACGGGCACATTCTTACCTCAGCGACAGGTCCGGTTCCAGCTGCGGACAAGGCGTTCCTGCAACTTTCCAGCAAGATCAGTGCTCTCTTACTGGGAAGCCGAGCTGTTCAGAGAGTGGCTTGTGATATTATGCAAGCTGGACACGTTGTCGTGGAAGCCTGGGGCTGAATGCGTTCGTACTGACCTAAGGCGTTTGTACAACGCTGACAGGTACAACACCCCGCTTTCTGTGGCTGCCGAAATTTCTGCGTGATGATGCTCTGCACGCGGCTGCGAGGACGAACGGGATGATCATAAACCATGGGAAAGCTCCCTGAATTGCCTACCTCATGATTTTATCAACCGTCGTCTCGCAATTCTGGTACTGTTATCCACCCATCTCGGTGCTCCTCATAATCTGAGCCACCAGGAAGGCCCTCTTGCACCGCCACTTTCCTGGAGCAAAAGAAAGTTTGGCTAGGAAAGCGCCACCCGACCGATGCGCTAGCCAGTTATCTGTGCTCTTTCCGACCTGGTTTTTAGTGGGGAAGTGGGCGGAAAGACAGTGAACCAGCACCAACTCAGAAAGAAAATGGAAGGAGGTACCTCAGCCAACCAACTGGAGCCGCCCGCCGCCGCCTTCCCCCACTGCGCAGCAACCAAACACCGACTTCTAGGTCACCACTTACCTTCGTCATCTCCATTAATTCTGTACCAGTCTTTCCCGCGCACAACAAAACCAACCGGGTGACGGGTTTCTCATCTTTCACCCACAGCTTACTGCGCATTTTCTTTCAGCGCTTGCCATCACAGCCATTCCGCATCCTTTTGTCCGACCTCACCGGTTATCTCACCCTCCTCCCCTTGTGATTGCAGCCCTCTGCTGCCCAAAAGCTAGCCAAGATGAAGGTCACCTTCAAGGTATGCACAGCCCAGCTTCCTCCCACCTGAGGGCGGATGGCCCTGTTGCAATGCGCCTCACCTCTCCTAACACGAGCTATTGCTGACGTTTTTTCCTTTTCTTTTCTTTGTCTAGGACTTGAAGCAACAAAAATTCACGCTCGATGTTGAGCCCACCGACCTTGTGTGTTCCGACCCCACATCCCCGCCTATGAGCTCTTCCACGGCTGCCTCACGATGACCTGGTCACGAAGCTAACGCGATGAACAGGTCTCTGCTGTCAAGCAGAAGATTGCCGGAGAGAAGGGATGGGATCCCAAGGACCAGAAGCTTATCTACTCTGGTAGGTCCCTGGTTTCGGAGGCGTGGGGGGAGACGCGATGGCTTAAGCTGACAGCCACTAGGCAAGATCTTGAAGGACGACGACACTGTTGAGTCCTACAAGATTGAAGAGAAGGGATTCGTCGTCTGCATGGTCAACAAGGTCCGTACAACGGCGGCCCCATCCCGCTTGCTTGATTACTGATGGCCCAATAGCCCAAGGCACCCAAGCCCACACCTGCCGCTGAATCCTCGGCGCCCGCTGTCCCGGCGACTCCCGCTCAGCCCGTCGCCGCGACTCCGGCCGCACCTCCCGCTCCCGCTGCTCATGCTGCCGCGCCAGCCGCCGCTCCCACCACGCCCACCCCCGCTGCCAGGACCACAGGCGGCGGCGATGCTGGACCCACGGACCCGTCGATGGCCATGGGCGCCCAGCGCCAGGAGGTGATTGCGAACATGGAGGCCATGGGTTTCGAACGTGCTCAGATCGACGCCGCCATGCGTGCCGCCTTCTACAACCCCGACAGAGCCGTCGAATACCTGCTCAACGTAAGCTGTCACGGCCCCGTAGCCGACTTCCGCAACTGACATTCTTGCAGGGCATCCCCGACAGCGTTCAGGAGGAGCAGCAGCAGCGACAGGCTGCCGCCGCCGCCGCCCAGCCCGCCCAGCCCGCCGCCGGTGCTGCCGGTGCTGCCGGCGCCGACGACGATGGAAACGTCAACCTTTTCGACCTCGCCGCCCAGGCTCGCGGTGGTGGTGGCGGTGGACGTGGAGCCCCCGCCGGTGGCAACACACAGGCTGCCGCTGCGGCTGCGGCCGCCGCTGCCGCCCAGGGTGGTTTCGGCAATCTGGACTTCCTCAGAAATAACGCCCAGTTCCAGCAACTGCGCCAGGTTGTCCAGCAACAGCCTCAGATGCTGGAACCCATCCTGCAGCAGCTCGGCGCCGGCAATCCCCAGCTTGCCCAGCTCATCGCCAACAACCCCGATCAGTTCCTGCAGCTCCTCGGTGAGGAGGTCGACGATGACGTCCCTCTGCCCCCCGGCGCGCAAGCCATCCAGGTCACCGAGGAGGAGCGTGACGCCATCGAACGGGTAGGTTATTCTGCAGCCTGGTCTTTGATGCGAGAGTACTAACAATCGCTCAGTTATGCCGCCTCGGCTTCGACCGCGACGCCGCCATCCAGGCCTACTTCGCCTGCGACAAAAACGAGGAGCTCGCGGCGAACTTCCTGTTCGACCAGCCCGACGACGATGAAGGGCCCCAGAACTAAGCCGATCCGCTATGACCGCATGATTACACATTCTACGACAGACACGCAAGGCTCAGGGATTGCCGGGCGGTGTTGGCTGGGTAACAACGACTCGAGGGAGACTTTAGGATACCTAGTCGCGACGACAGGATCCATGTCAGCATGGGAACGAGGCCGCCGTCCTCATTGTTCGTGGAGTTAGATTCTTTTCCCAAGAGCCGGCGCGGAGGCAGGTCGGCCGAGGACGACATGCGGGGTTTGACTTGCACACATACGGAGGTCGCATGTCGCGCGCAGTTGCAACGTACATGCTTGTCTGTGGCCAGGAGTGCTCCAGTTCCGGTTTGGAAGAGAGCGCGGCGTCAAACCTAGGTAGCCAGACCAGGTAGTACCGACTAATCCAACTTTCCAATTCCATTTCTCGTCACAGTGTTGCCTGGATACATGGTAGATTGGTGGACGCTGCTACCGGTAGTCGAGACAAGTCTGATTGGTCTTAATCGTTTGGCCTCAGTGACGCTGCTGACTATGGTTTGGCCTCACTTCAAAGTAGTATAACTAGGCGCGTGCCTTCGTTCTTTTGATGATATCTTTCTTTTCTCTATACTTACCTGCTTGACGGCCCGGAGATCAAGAGCCCCGGGCCGTGGAGGAGGGGTACCTGCATTGCACACCGCGGCCGTACCCCTCGCCGTATGGGGCCTCAGAGGAACCGTACGAGGTCTAATTTTTAATGTCTCTTTCTTGGAAAGTCTTTCTTTTTCATTGTGCTCCTCGCCTGGCGCGGTTACGAGGAAGAAGGGCGAGTAGGCGCTGGCAAACATCTACGGTTAAAGCACGTTGGCTGGAAAAGAGGGTCCTAAACGCCTCAAAAAAAAAAAAGCTATTGCGAGTGTTCCCGCGGCTGTGCGCAGGGCGTCCTGCCCGTGTGTGTTCCGATTCGATTCCTGAACCCTCGCTGCAAACTACATAACCCAAAGAAATCGCAATACCGACGCCGCCTGATGCAAAAGTAGATGCCCCCCACCAAGACCGTGTTGTATTTTTTCCTGGTGAAAAAGCAAAGGGTATCTGTCTCTGGTAGCCGCTCCGGTTTCCCACTCCCTTGCCCGCGTAGCCCCCGTTCTCCCCGGCGCCTTCATCGGTGGATGATCTCGCCGCGCATGTTGTACTCGACGGCCTTCTTCTTGGCCTTGGCCGCGCCCCTCTTCTTGCCCCGCCCGGCGTCCAGGTCCATGTCGGTCTCGTCGATGGTGATCATGCCGTCGGCGTCAACCGTTATTTGAGGGCCCACGTTGGCCTGCTGCTTCGGCCTGGACTTGCCGCCGCCGGCCGCACCACCACCAACACCGCCCGCTGCCGCGGAGGACTCCTCCTCTGCAGGCCCGCCCTCGCCCTTGTCCTGCAGAGAGGCAAAGTTCCTGGCGTTGATGGCGTCCTTGGCCGCCTTGATCTTTGCCTGCTCGGCGTCGAACTCGGCCTGCTGCGCGCGCTGCGCCGCCATGATGGCCTCGACGGGTTCGTACTCGGCCTTGGTCCACGTCTTGTACTCCTCGAGGTCGATCTGGAGCTCCTTCTTGCCGACGAGGATGGCGTCGATGCGCGCGGGCGCGTGGCGCTCCTCGCGGTTGAACTTCATCTTGACGTGCCGCCGGTTCTTGCCGGGGAACATGCCGCTGATCATCTGAAAGTCGGTGCCGAACATGCGGAGTCCGCGGTAGAAGAGCTCCGTCTCCTCCTCGGTCCACACGTTGGGCCCCTTGAGCTTCGAGCCCGTCCTGTAGCTGTTCTGCGTCGTGAGCGTCGTGAAGTCGTTCTCTTCGATCTCGAGCATGTCCTCGCCCTCGGCGGCCGCGGCGGCGATGGCGTGACGGTCGAGGCTCAGTGAGTTTTGGTCCACCACGATCTGGCCGTCGATGATCTGGAACTGGGGCCCCGTCGAGACCATGCTGGTCGGCTTCGGTGGGAGGGCGGCCGCGGGCGTCGCCTGCCCGCTCGAAGTGGGCGCCGGTGTCCCGCTCTCCGAAGCAACATCTTCCGAGCCGTTCCTCTTGGCCTTGAGCCTCTCTCGGGCCCTCGCCTGCTTCTCGCGATGGCGCTGCAGGAGCTCCTCGTGCCGGCTGAACTTCTTGCCGATACGGAGGTCCCTCGTCAAGTCCCCCATAGTGAGGGTGCTGAGGTCAGCCTCCTGGTTCTCGGCATCCTCCGGCGTTACCGAGCGGGCTCGGCGGGGTCTTGACGACGTCTTTGATGTCGTGTCCGTCTCCGTCGTCGTGCCGTCCTCCGTCGTCCTCCTCTTCCTCGGCCGAGGCGGCCGTGTCGGAGCCGCCTCGCCATCCGTGGTGGCTTCCTTCTGTTTCCGCGGTCGCTTGGGTTTCGGGGCTGCGGTGCCGTCTTCGGCTCCTGCGGCAGTCTCGGTCGCTTCTGTGGCTCGTTTTCGGGGCCGCTTGGCGGGACCTTTTGTAGTTGCGCCCAGCGCATCATCTGATGGCACAGCTTCAGCGTCGCCCTGGGTTTCTGTCGTAAGAGCCACCTCGGTTACGGGAGGGGCGGTGGCGGGTGGTGTGTTCAGCTGGGCGGCGGGCGTTGACGTCTCGGACATATGGGCTTCGCCGGCAGTCGATGCTGGCTGCTGGTCGCTCTGCAGAGAGGCGGTCGGCGTCTGCGTTGTTGGCCGGCTGGCGGAAGGCTCGGCGGCTTTCCTCTGGTTGGCCTTGTTCGATGTCGAAACAGGAGCGGCAGGCTCATCCGCCGACGGTTGTGGTTGGGGCATCGTGTTCGGCTCGGTCGATGGCGGGGTATTGGTGGGCTGTCCTCCGGCGGGCTCCTTCGCTCCCACGCTGGTTCCGGCCATCGTCTGCACTGGCGTATCGCTCGGGACGGCGGCAGTCCCTGCCTCGGCCGCGGGTTCGGTCGCAGTCGACGACGGCGCCCTCGGGGGCTGCGGCGCGGCAGCCCCAGGCGCTCGAGGACGAGCCTGGGGCATTTTCGGCTTGAAAGCCATACCGCCCTTTTTCTTGAACATGGAACTCATGATGGCGATGGTGCATATAATTTATTACCGTCGTTTATAGAGCCTCATGGCCGGAGCAGAGGCGTACGGGGTAGTCGAGTGGTTGCAGGTTGTGGCTTGTCGCTTGCGAACCAGACTTTTTGTCAGTCATGGCGGGATGGCGGGATCTCGAGAAAAAGTGATAAGTGAATTTGAGGGACCCCGACGATTAACCGAACCGTGCACTTTGCGCGAGACGCCTGACTGGCCGATAAGAGGACGGTTCCCCATCCGGACTAGCGCGAAGCTAGTCCTGTTTGAGGAGTGGACCGGTCTGGCTTGATTTGAACGTGAAGCGTCGGTGTTCAACCTCGAAAATTCAACCTCCTTTGCCCAAGGCTTCCTTCTTCATTCCGCGCCGAATCAGACTAGCCCGACAATCCCAACACACGTATGGCTCGGATCGACTTCTGAACACCCTCAGCTGTTCCATCCAGCCGCTTTGATCGTCTCGCCGACCCGGATGCGTACGCTGTTGCAGCATCCCTACCTTTCTCATGCCTGTAGCAACCTCAGCCCCGACTGTTTCCCCCCGTCCGTCCACCTTATCCAAGATGGAGGATAGGAAGAGACCTCCCATCAGCACCGCTGAGGACCTCGCCCCGCCCAGCAAGCGGCATCAGACCGTCAATGGAAGCAAGTCCAAGGGCGACGGTGGTGACACCGCCGAGGAGCACTGGATCGAGGTAAGTGTCACGAGATCACAGTTTCCCAACACGTCAAGTTTTCTCAACAATCAATGGACCCCCGCCCGATTCCCATCTGCCATCAATTGCGACGCGACATCACGACCATCGAATGCTCAAAGCCACGTCCAACACTGGCGGGTCGCGGTCGACTGGCCTGGAATGACCTTTCGATCCGCCGACGAGGCTGCATGACGGCACTGCGTCTACCTGCCTTGCACGCGTCCGATCTTCCTCCACGCTTTCACACATGAACACGATCGCCTGGCGCGAAATACATGGAAAGGGACCCGAGCTGATGATGAGTTCAGAACTATCAAAAGGGCGCCATTTATCGACAATTGCAAGAAACAAAAAGGGAAAAGGCCGACTTCGAGTCGCGCGTTGAACAACTGCAGAAAGCCCTCGTATACCGCGAAGACCATATCCGCATCATTGAAGCATGGTGGAAACAGGTTGGTCCGGCCGATCCCGTGTCTCGGTGCTTGGCTGACTCTCACTAGGTTCTGGAGGAGATGGAACAGCTCGCGGATCCGGCACTATCGCCTCTCTCGGGCCCGTCCAGTAAATACACCCCCCTTCCCGATGCAACCGGATGCAAACTGACGCAACCAGACCCTCCATATATCACTAGCACTCACTTTAAAGACAACGACGAATTTCAACGACACCTGGATGACACCGCCTCTGACATCAAGAAGCGGGCCGAGGCCGTGCTCAATCGCATCGCGAACGCCAGGGGAGAGATTACGCCGAACATTGCTGACCTGGAGACGCGGGTCAACGCCTTACTCGCTCAGCAAAAGGATTATCTGGTCAAGTTGGACCGTGCACAGCAAGAGAACGAGCAACTGTCGGAGGACCTGAACAAGGCCAGCCTCCGATTCTTCAAGGCCGAGAAGCGCATGGACAGGCTGAAGAGCGCCCAAGTGCAAAAGCTCGAACAACAGTTCATCGCCAGCGCCAAACCGACAATCGCCGGCGGAGAAAATGGAAGTGCCGCAGCAGAAGCAAATGGAAACGCCGCCGAGGCACTCATCAAGTTCGAGGAGGCATCGGCGGTCGTTAAGAAGCAGAAGGAACAACTGGAGTCTGCGCAGGCGGACATCAAGACCCTGCAGGAGGAGAACTCGGCGCTCAAGGCGCGAAGGGAGGGCCTCACCGATGAAGACTTCATCCGGACGGATGTGTTCAAGCAGTTCAAGGGCCAGAACGAGGACCTGATCAAGCGGATCAACCACTTGGAGGCCACGAACAAGCAGCTGAGGGAGGAAGCCGAGAGGCTTCAGGCCGAGCGGACGGCGTTCCGGACCAAGCTCAACGACGAGGCGCAGATGATCACCTCGGATCTCGAGCGCCAGGTTGAGGAGCGCGACGCCGACCTGACCCGGATCCGCGCGGCCCGGGACGAGTGGTACGCCAAGGCTAACATGCTGGAAACGCGAGAGAAGGAGGAGAAGCAGGCGCTGCAGCACCTCAAGGAGCTCACAGGCGCCCAGGAGGACCGAATCGCTTCCCTGGAGCTGGAGCTGCAGCGCCTCAAGCCCACCGAGGACCAGCAGATGGCCGACCCTGATCCCGAACTGGAGAGCATGCCCGCGGACGAGCTGCTCTCCAAGTACAAGAAGCTCCAGCAAGATTTCGAGTCTATCAACAAGGAGCTGCCCGCCCTTCAACAAGCGTACAAGCGATCGATGGGCCTGGCGCAGAAGAAGGTCATGGAGTACACAGTACTCGAGGAGCGCGCATCGGCTGCCCTTGCCGAGAAGCAAAAGGTCGACCAGAAATACTTCGCCGTGAAGAAGGACGCCGACATGAGAGACCGCGAGCTCAGCGTGCTCCGCAGCCAGAACCGCAAGAGTTCCGAGATAGTGACTCAGCTCAAGGAGGTCGAGGCCCAGAACCGAGTCCTGATTAGCAACCTCGAAAAGCAGCTGTCGGACCTGAAGCAGGCCAACGCGGCCATGGCGGCGGAGCACAAGAAGATGGAGTCCGCCAGCTCCGATGCGGCGCGCCGGGCCGACTCGTACAAGAACCAGGTCAGCGAGCTGACGAACTTGGTCAAGTCGCGCGACGCAGCCGTGGCGGCGGCCCGAGAACGCACCACCACCCAGGAGGCCGAGGTCGAGCGTCTCAAGGTGCGCGCAGACATGGTGCAGAAGGACAAGGACGAGTGGAAGCGCAAGGCGTTGAGCAACTCGTCGGAGGAAGAGGAAATGCTCAGGGTAAGTCGGCGTATTCCGCCGCCCGTTCGACCGGATGGCTAACAGTAACCCCCAGACCTTCGCACTCTGCACGGTATGCCGCAACAATTTCAAAGACACGGCCTTGAAGACATGCGGGCACCTGTTCTGCCACCAGTGCGTAGACGACCGCATCAGCAACCGCATGCGCAAGTGCCCCAACTGCTCTAGGGCGTTCGACCGGTTGGACGTCATGTCCGTCCATCACTAGACTCCGTCGTGGGGGTTTGGCTCACATGAATTATTTTGACTCGTCGAGAGGGTGACGAGAAATCGATGTTTTGATTATGCATCACAGATGTTTGCGCAGTTTGGAGTTCGCTTTCGCAGCAGGGGATTTCATGGTATGATACCTTGGGGGTTTACCCAAAAGACGCTCGCAATTGGAAATGATAGGTGGTTGTACTTTTACGCGTATGGAAGACGACCCGGGCCCCGGGAATGTACATAATAGTGCCACGCCCTCCGGCAATCTCGACTGGTCACACAATAGTCGGAGGAGGCCGGTGAGAACGGTGTGCGAGAGCGCGGAGTACAGGATAGACCTAGAGTCGAGCTGGCTCAACACGTTCAGATTACTCCATGGCTACTTCAAAACGGCATCGCCTTCCCTATCTCCTGCTGGTGGATCCGAAACCGGTGCTGTCGTGACGTGCCGAGCTCGATGATGAACTGTTCGACCTGGACGGGCCGGCCCCCCACGAGCTTGAGCTGCTGTCGTTACCCCAGCCGCCGGTGCCGTACCCTGACTGGTTCCTCGCGCTGTTCCTGCCGTGATAGTAGCCGGCTCCGTAACCTGCAGCGCCGCCCGCGCCCGCGCCCGTCCAGAACCCGGGGCGCCATCCCTGCTGCCCGCCTTGGTTGGTGGGTTTCGTGCCCGGATACGGTGGGGGAGGGTCGTCGTCCTGGCCAAAGCCGGGGTCCCATCCGCCGCCGCCACCTCCGGGACCGCCGCATGGGCCTACCAAGTTCTGTAGGGCAGACTCCGGCGGGCGCCCGTTCCCGCCGGGCCTTCGATTCTGCGCACCAGCCACGCATGCCGAGTACACGATCCAAGCTAGAACGCCAACGAAGATGATTCCGAAGAGGTAGGCGCCCCAATCCGACTCGCCATCCCCATCCTCCCCTTTGCCGAGGTTCGGGTAGCGCCGCTCACCCTTGTCGGTCAGAGCGAGTCGGTACTGGACACCGCAGCTCCCGCGGAGAATGTACGGGTCGTCGGAGCTGGCGTAGCCTTCGCAGATGACGTCTGTCGACCCAAGCTTGAGCTCCTCGGGCAGCGAGGCGACGCAGGACCACTGGATGTCCTCGGAGGAGTAGCCGGCGCCCTGGTTGGTACACCGCATGACATCAATGTCGTGCAAGTCGCAGATGGCCTTGGAGGAGAGGCATTTCAGCTGCGGCGCGGCAGCTACGCGGCGGTGGGTCGTCTTTGCACCCCCGCCGCGGAGGGTGAGGGACTGGACCTCGGAGAGTAGGATTGCGTTCTTCGGCACCTTTGCGGCCGATGCCAGGCCTGGCAGTAAGGGAATTAGCCCCAAGCCGAGGACGAGTGGGCAATGCATGACGGTGATGCGTGGAGGGGCTCTTTGTTGCAAATGTGTATCCCAGTGCGACCTTGTGTCTCGTTCGGGCCGTGCTTGCCGGGAGACGTGAGGAGTATGTTCCTCGTCAGAGCATGAGAAACGACGTTTCCAAGCCGGTGGCGTGTTTGAAGGACGATGTAAAGTAATTCCGTGTATAATGCCTGCCCAAAACAAGGTAGATAAGTGTAAGGACAGATGTGATATTATTGCCTGGTTGCCCGATCGAGTGGTGCCGAGGGGAGGCTGCAGTCTTTGATGAAGGTGGCGTAGCGTGGCGAGTGGAAGCGGGCCACCTGTTTCTTGTGGCGCTCACCAGATCCGATTATCTAAGCAGGTCTGTCATGCTTCCATGGAAAAAAGAAGGCTTGACAGGTGTCCAGGTTGTGGATCGCCAATGACCCTTCACAACCACCAAATGTCCGTCCTTGCTTGGTCTGAGCGGTCGTTGTCAAAGCGCCTGACGTTGCACCGAAGCAATGCAGGTCCATGGATCTGTCTTTGGAGACTGATTCATAACGCGCTGAAAATCTCCACAGATTAGCGGCATCGGCTCGCTCTCGGCTCGCTCTCGCCAGGGTTACAACGCTTCGAACGATCCCTGGTCGTGTCCCACTCGCCTCTGTCGTCTGTGAGCGCATTTACGCTGAAAGTTGTTGTTGTTGTGTTGTTGTATTTAACGCCGGGCCGTCCCTATTTAGGGCAAAGGGCGCCTAGGCAGGTCTACTCTAGTGTACAAATATACTCTATTGCTCCCTCCTAGGAATCTTTCAGTTGCTTGTCCGTTGCTGTCAAGTGCCCAAGGCTCTTCAGTGTCCAGGTTCTGCCTCGGTCTCCCCCTCACCGCGTCTCTCGCCGCGGTCAGGGGGGTTACGCTGAAAGTGGCAACCAGAAGTAACCGTTGCGGCATTCATTACATTGGAGAGTCGGGTACTCTGTAGCGGGTGTGAGATTTGGCTCGAGGAGTCAGACTGGAGGGATCAGACAACGCGGGCCTTTTATCGCTCATTTCTCTGTTTTATGCACTGCAGTTGCATGGAGGGAAGAACGTGCACGGAGCCCATTTGCCGAGTTGGGGCTCTACGGGACCCATCCAGGTGCGATGAGGCGATATTTCATTTGAGCTTTCCAGCTTCCTCTCTAACTCTGTCGGGAGCAGGCATGGCATCCCTTTCGCGCAAAATGACTTGAACAGGTTCGTGCTAATGGTCGCATGCCCACGGAGTCCACCTCGTCGTTCATCACATCACGGATAGCCTCAAGATGTCTGGCAAGGCGCTCTTGAGCAAGCAACGCCAAGCGCGACGGGCATTGCTAACCAAAATCTACGAACCGGCGTTGCGGCTGCAGAGAGGGTCCCCAGAGTACGCCAAGCTCGGGTCCTCAGGGCGGATATGGGAAGACTACTTCCGGCCCGGCAACAGCCTCGAAAAAGGGTACGTAGGGCTCCAGCAGGAGCACAAGCGCATGCTGGACAAAATCGACGCCCTGAAAACAAGCCTTCCGACGGCGGAACTGAGTAAGACAGTGGTTTCGGAATACGCTCAACAGTCCGTCATGATTGAGAATAATCATTTGACCGTCGGAGACGCTAACCGCATCCTCGAGTCGTTACAAATGGGCGTTTTCAGACGCGTGGACCTGGCTTCAATGCCCAGTAGCGAGCTTGTCAAAATCGTTACATGCAAGACCGAGGGCGGCACCGACTCGGCGACTAACGAGCTGAGGAACCACATTGTCGCATCGCAATGGATCGCCGAGGGCGCGGCAGCAAAGGCTCGCACGGCGGGACTCCGCGAGGATGAGGTGCGGGATCTCGCCGTCGTATGTATCCGAGACACAGAATCCGAGGCGGCCTATGAGGCGTCGAGAGGCGGATACCAGGCCGGATGCCCCAAGGCCGGCACCCTGGTGTGGGGAGCACGCGTTCCGCTTGGAGAATATCGGAACCTACCCATCGCAGTGCGCAGCAATCGTCTACGAATCTTCCCCTACCCACAGGAAGTCCCCGCCTGCGTTGCGCGGTTCTTCGAGTGGCGCGACACGCAGCATCGCGAGAAGACGCTGCACCCGCTAGTTCTGGCTTGTCAGATGACGGCGTACTTTGTTCACGTTCACCCGTTTCCCGACGGTAACGGGCGCACCAGCCGCTTGATCATGCAGGATTACCTCGCTCGTCAAGGCTACTTACCAGTTGTCATCCCAGGGTTGGAGCGGAAGGACTACTTGCGGATGATTGACGACGCCTGCGAAGGCAAACCGGGTGAGCTCGTAGCGGCAGTCGTTGAGGCCCAGCAGGCGGCGCTGCACATGTTCTCCACGCGTTGCCAGGAGGCCGGGCGCTAAAGGGTTGGGTTGAGAAGGATCCGAAAAACGGTTCGTGTCCGTGATTAAGCGAATGCGAGAAACAAGTGTGTAGTGGCCCCACTGTCAGCAGCAGAAAGTACTTGTGTTATGTCCGCATGGTCAGGTCTTGCACACCCCTATCATGTCTACACCGAAGGGCCCAATGTCCGGCCGCATAGTGTACAGGCGGGCAGGTTTTGTTTGTCTTCCAGAAGGTCACGCCTGGTTACGCCAAGGCCTATCCCTGCTTTGCGCTAAGGCGTTGAAGCCATTCGTCCAAACCAGTTGCTATTCTAGTATTGGGACGATTAACCATTGGGCGACGGCAGGCTTCTCCCATATATTGAGTTGAGCACCGTGCATGGTACTTTTACTGTGTTTGTTATTACTGCGCATGGTTAATATTGTGTACCTGTGTGATCTTAAGAGGGACCGCTTTGTATTAGTTAGTGCCTTAGCAGGCATTTCCCACCTCTGACTATCCTGTTAAACATGAGCATCTAGGTAAACCCAACAAAATCTTCTTTGACCACTAGCTGCCGCCACCGCTTTCAGCATGCGCGTCCCTGTGACAAATTGCGAATCTCATTCTTAGCATCGGGCCGGAAGACGCTATCGCCGGCTTGGGTGGCCCGGACATAAGCAGGGCAGGGCCACGTCCAGCACACCATAGGTATCTATGTCGAGGGGGGTGGTGGGCGTGGCGGGGTAATCATGTCGCTGCGAGAGAGGACAGTCGAATCTCCGCCGTCAGACCAGGAAATAGCTAGCGCCCGGGGTTGGAGAGGGCTTTTCGCAAGGAAATGAATGGATCGGAAGTCGGGCTTGGTGAACCCCGAGGGAGCGCGGCTAAGCGGCGTTAGGGCGCAGCCGACTGACTCAACCCGGTAACCGGACCCGACCTACCTAGGCAAGACTTTTACGGAGTAGTACCTACGACAGGTACCGTATCCTCTGGTTAAATTCGTCCACATCTACTCTGCAAGCTAACGGCAAGTGGTTTAGCTGCCGCTACACATGCTAAGCCCCGTAAAGAAGGCGGTCAAGCCATTCATCCCCCTTGCCAGCTAGCTCGCTGCTGACGTACATGACTAACCCGTGCTTTTGCCACATACAGGCCCCTGTTTCTGCCAGCGCACTATACCCGTCCCGGCGGCCGCGATACCGCTTACGGTTAGCCTCCAGAGTGGATGTGGGCAAATTTAACCAGAGGATACGGTAGATCCTCTTCCGCTCCTGCCCCTCGACGAGACAGAGCGGACAAAAAGCTCGTAATATGTTCGAGGGCTTAGGTACGTAATGTCTGATTGAGAAGTGCGTCGGCTTGGCGATCGGATGACCTTAGCATGACGCGCAGAGGGCGGGCAGCGTAGGTAGGGAGGCTGACTTGACAATGCAGCGACCCAGAAAAGCTTAGCAGACGTCGTCCCATGTACGCACCGTCGGTCGGGCAACCGAAATAATACAACCTCGGCAGACCGACTGCTATAACTGAAGAGGCACAGGAGGCCAGCTTACTTGGTCGAGGTGTGTACTACTTTGAGTAGTAGGCACGCATGCATCTGTACAGGGTACCCGCGTATCGCAGAGCTTTCCTTCCCCAGACTCGAGCACAAAATGTCAATCCCGACTGTGGATTCCGCTAAATCCCGGTCGACCGCACCTCGCACGTTTCTGCAAGCTTATTCACTGCACCAAGTGTACTAGCACATGGTGGTCATCACTATTGGTACATTAGGTATGGTAACACCACAACGGTGGAGGTGCTATTGCACCCCCCCCGATGACTCTTCGCGGCGTGCCCTCCTATCGCACCAAGCTGATGGGCGCGCCCGTCTGATAGTGAGACGGACCTCTTATTCCACCGAGGCACCGATCGATGCGCCTTGCCGAGTCGAGATACGCACGCCTGCGGCGCGGGTCAAGAATGGCCCAGGTAGCAACTGGGCTAGTGACTGTTCGGGAAGTTGACAACAGCGAGGTCAGGACCCACACCGGTTGGCCATCATCCACCATGTTCTACCTATTGCTGGCCCAGGTCCCCCCCACTATTCGCCCCATGTCCTTGTCCCAGACCCATCTATGATCTATCTACCTACCTACCTAGTTGATACCAAAAAGTGAACACCCCAGTCCGTTCACGGGGACTTTTATAGGTAGTTTTCTCCCTTCACTCTTGCAACGCCACGACGGATGATTAGCCCCAATCCCCTATCCTGGCTTGCAACACGAGTGGGAACGCCTCTTCTTCTCGATCTAACCTTGGTTTGTTAATAGTCGCGAGGGGAGCCCGTTTATCGTTTCCCACAATTTTGTCTACCCACCCAGACCCTTTTTCGTTTGCGTCTGTTGACCATCTCCATCCGGTCGGCTGCAAGACATTTGCTGGCTTCCACCGTCATCGGTTATTGTTATTCTTCTTCCTTCTTTCCCTTCTTCTTCTTCTTCTTCTTCTTCTGCAACTGACCTCTCGCGCATCAGGCAGCTTGAGAAGCCCATGTCTGTGCAACGGCATCCCATGCGATAGGAGAAGAAAAAGAAAAGAAAAAAGTGTCATTTCGAGCTTGTCGTACAAACATCAACGGTCGGTGGCGGCATCTGGCTTGCGCGCCGCGCATACCTGCACAACAAGCTCGCCTCTTCAGCTCCCGATTCCTCGTCTTGCGCAGCTCTGTTGGAAGACCCCCCAGCATGACGCTCGAAAACGAAAAGCCCGCCGGGGTTACCCAACAAAACTCGGCGGAGGTGATCGAGAAGTCTGGCAATGGCCACTCGGACAGGGCATCGTCACACGGCGACTCGACTGAGGTGGACGCCTCCGGCCCGCCCAAGAGCCGGAGCGCTGAGCCCAACAGCCTCGAAAAGGCCGATTCCAAAGCCATTGCGCCCAAGGAACCCAGCGATGACCCCTACGAGCACCTCCCCGAGGACGAGGCCGCCATCCTCAGGCGCCAGGTCTTCACCCCCGAGGTCAAGGCCGGCATTCTGACACTGTACCGTTATTCCTCGACCAACGACCTTCTCATCCTCGCCGTCGCCGCTCTTGCGTCCATCGTCGTCGGCGCCGCTCTGCCCCTCATGACCGTCGTCTTCGGCAACCTGCAGGGCACTTTCCAGAACTACTTCACCGGCATCATCACCAAGGACGATTTCAACCATAAGATGGTAAGCCTGGTTTTGTATTTTGTATATCTTGCAATCGGCGTCTTTGTGTGCCAGTACATTAGCACGGTCGGCTTCATCTGTAAGTTTGCGCCCCTAGCGGTATCGTCCGAACTGGCTCCGAACTAAGGCTCACCAAAATAGACACCGGAGAGCACATTAGCGCCAAGATCCGCGAGCACTACCTACAGAGCTGTATGCGCCAGAACATTGGCTTTTTTGACAAGCTGGGCGCCGGCGAGGTGACGACCCGAATCACGGCCGACACCAACCTGATCCAGGACGGCATCTCCGAAAAGGTCGGCCTCACACTCGCCGCCGTCGCAACCTTCATCTCGGCATTCGTCATCGGCTTCGTCCACTACTGGAAGCTCACCCTGATCCTACTGTCCACCTTCGCCGCCCTAATGCTCAGCATGGGCGGCGCCTCGAGATTCGTCGTCAAGTTCAGCAAGCAGTCGATCGAGTCTTACGCCCAAGGGGGCAGTCTCGCCGACGAGGTCATCAGCTCCATCCGTAACGCCGTCGCATTCGGCACCCAGGACCGCCTGGCCAAGCAGTACGACGTGCATCTGACCAAGGCCGAGAAGTACGGCTACCAGGTCAAGGCCGCCATCGGTATCATGGTCGCCCTTATGATGACCATCCTGTATCTGAACTACGGCCTCGCCTTCTGGCAGGGAAGCAAGTTCCTCGTCGAGGACGGCATTCCCCTGTCCGATATTCTCATCATCATGATGTCCGTCATGATTGGTGCCTTCAACCTCGGAAATGTCGCGCCCAACGCGCAGGCCTTTACGACCGCCCTCGCCGCCGCCGCCAAGATCTACAATACCATCGACCGTGCCTCCCCGCTGGACCCGTCGGCCGAGGACGGCATCAAGCTCGACAAGTTCGAGGGCTCCATCCGTCTTGAGAACATCAAGCACATTTACCCATCCCGCCCCGAGGTTACCGTCATGGAGGACGTGAGCCTGACCATTCCTGCCGGCAAGACCACGGCTCTGGTCGGCGCGTCTGGCTCCGGCAAGAGTACGATTGTTGGTCTCGTAGAGCGTTTCTACGACCCCGTCCGCGGGTCCGTGTATCTGGACGGCCACGACATCAGCACTCTGAACCTGCGCTGGCTCCGCCAACAGATGGCCCTCGTCAGCCAGGAGCCCACGCTCTTCGCCACCACCATCTACCAGAACATCGCGTACGGCCTCATCGGCACCCGGCACGAGAAGGCCACCGAGGAGGAGCGGAAGAAGTTGATCGAGAACGCCGCCAGGATGGCCAACGCACACGACTTCATCAGCAGCCTTCCCGAGGGCTACATGACGAACGTCGGGGAGCGCGGGTTTCTCCTCTCCGGTGGTCAAAAGCAGCGTATCGCCATCGCTCGCGCCGTCGTGTCCGATCCCAAGAGTAAGTCCGTCCGGCCAGCAGAGACGACGAATTCCGGCTAACCTTGCAGTTCTCCTCCTCGACGAGGCCACTTCCGCGCTCGACACCAAGTCGGAGGGCGTCGTGCAGGCCGCCCTCGAAGTTGCTGCCGAGGGCCGCACCACCATCACCATTGCCCACCGCCTGTCGACAATCAAGGATGCCCACAACATCGTGGTCATGTCCAACGGCCGTATCGTCGAGCAGGGCACCCATAATGAGCTCCTTGCCAAGAACGGTGCCTACTGTAACCTCGTTTCCGCTCAGAACATCGCCCGCGTCAACGAAATGAGCCCCGAGGAGCAAGAGGCCATTGACGCCAAGGATGACGAGCTCGCTCGCGAGAAATCCCGCGTCTCTGAAAAGGGCTACGTCGTCGACCCTGAAGACGACATGACGGCTAAGATGCAACGCACCACCACCTCCAAGTCCCAGTCGAGCATTGCCCTGCAGAACCGGGCGGAGGAGGGCGAGGCCAAGTACAGCCTGTGGACCCTGATCAAGCTCATCGCCTCCTTCAACAAGAAGGAGTGGAAACTCATGCTCCTCGGTCTCCTTTTCTCCATCATCTGTGGCGGCGGCAACCCGACCCAGGCCGTCTTCTTCGCCAAGCAGATCACGACCCTGGGGGTTACCATTACCGACAGCACCCCCGAGGCTGTCCGCCATCAGATAAAGAAGGACTCGGATTTCTGGAGTGCCATGTACCTCATGCTCGCCGGCGTGCAGTTCATTGCATTCGTCAGCCAGGGCGTCATCTTTGCAAAGTGCTCTGAGAGGCTCATCCACCGCGTCCGCGACCAGGCCTTCCGCACCATGCTGCGCCAGGACGTCGCCTTCTTCGACAAGGAGGAAAACACGGCCGGGGCACTCACCTCGTTCCTCTCCACCGAGACCACCCACCTGGCCGGGCTCAGCGGTGTCACCCTCGGCACCCTTCTCATGGTGTCGACGACCTTGATTGCCGCCCTGGCCCTCGCCATCTCCATCGGCTGGAAGCTCGCGCTCGTCTGCACCGCGACCATCCCGATCCTCATTGGCTGCGGCTTCTTCCGTTTCTGGATGCTCGCGCACTTCCAGCGTCGCTCCAAGGCGGCTTACTCCAACTCGGCGAGCTACGCGTCCGAGGCCATCTCCGCGATCCGCACCGTCGCCTCGCTCACGCGTGAGGACGACGTCATCCGCCAGTACCAGGAGTCCCTGGCCATCCAGCAGCGCGCGAGCCTCATCTCCGTTCTCAAGTCCAGCTTGCTGTTCGCCGCGTCTCAATCTTTCATGTTCCTGGCCTTTGCTCTCGGCTTCTGGTACGGCGGCACGCTCATCGCCGACGGCGAGTACAACATGTTCCAGTTCTTTGTCTGCTTCTCGTCCGTCATCTTCGGCGCCCAGTCCGCCGGGTCCATCTTCTCGTTCGCCCCGGACATGGGCAAGGCTCACCAGGCCGCCCGCGAGCTCAAGGTGCTGTTCGACCGCAAGCCGACCATCGACACCTGGTCCGAGCAGGGAGCCAAGCTCGACGCCGTCGACGGCACCCTCGAGTTCCGCGACGTCCACTTCAGATACCCAACCAGGCCCGAGCAACCCGTCCTCCGCGGGCTGGACCTCGTCGTCCACCCGGGACAGTACGTCGCCCTTGTCGGCGCCTCTGGCTGCGGCAAGTCCACGACCATTGCTCTGCTCGAGCGCTTCTACGACCCCCTCGCGGGCGGCATCTTTGTCGACGGCAAGGAGATCAGCACGCTCAATGTTAACGAGTACCGTTCCTTCATCGCCCTTGTCAGCCAGGAGCCCACATTGTACCAGGGCACCATTAGGGAAAACATCATCCTCGGCGCCAACAGCGACGTCACGGACGAGGCCATCGAGTTTGCCTGCCGTGAGGCCAACATTTACGACTTCATCGTCTCGATGCCCGAGGGTTTCAACACGGTGGTGGGCAGCAAGGGCGCCCTGCTCTCTGGCGGACAGAAGCAGCGCATCGCCATCGCCCGTGCCCTCATCCGCGACCCCAAGATCTTGCTGCTGGACGAGGCGACGTCGGCCTTGGACTCCGAGTCGGAGCACGTCGTCCAGGCCGCGCTCGACAAGGCCGCCAAGGGCCGCACGACCATCGCCGTTGCGCATCGGCTCAGCACCATCCAGAAGGCCGACATCATCTACGTCTTTGACCAGGGACGCATCGTTGAGCAGGGCACTCACGCCGAGCTGATGAAGCAAAACGGCCGCTACGCCGAGCTGGTCAACCTGCAGTCACTGGAGAAGAGTGCCTGATCGCGCGCGCGCGGGGGGGATGTTTGTTTTAGTGTGAATCGCATTTGTCATGCTATCTCCGAGATATCCGGATCGCGACGCTGATCCATGTCTATTTTGCATTGTTGGGCGTTTTTTATTTTTATTTTTTAATGACAAGGGACAGGGGTGTGTGATAGTGGTTTAGACTGGCCACTTAGATAGACGTCGAGCAGCTGTATGTTTAACTTGGTTCCACGGGCAGGGTTGAGAATTTATACTCTCTCCTCCACCAGTGCGACCTCGTCGTACCCAACTACTAAGAAGTCATCCAATCTTTTAACGACCACTTGTCTTCCCCAGCAACGTGCTTAGATCGTTCGCCACCGGCAGTCCAGGGCCCACGGCTCAGGACGATGCTCTCGAGCGCATAAACAAAGCATTCGTGTATACGAGCCCAAAAGCCAAGGCTAGCCGGCAGCCTTGCTACGGTACTGCCTGAAGATGCCGTTCGGGCCGGGCGGCTTGCATACCATATGGGGGGCCACGTCATGTGTCCGCGCGGCTACGATCTCAGTAGCGGCGGTGACGTTCTCGATCTCTCGTCCTCGAACGGCCCATCAACACGACCTTGAGCGCTGTGCAACTGCCAGTCTTTGGCCCCGGCAAGGGCAGATGATGATGCGTCCCGGCGGCTGTTATCCACGTAACCAGCCGAAGCCGGGCTGCCGAGCCGCCGAGCCCGGTGCATTTCCGCCCTCGCCAGCCTGGCCTGTGATGGAAATGGATCGAGGAGTATGTCACTGGCGATGCCGTGTGCTCATCGCCCGTCTCGGCTCGCTTGGACCAACTCGTGCCAGACATGTGTCGCAGAAAAGCGTGGCGGTGAGACATGTCTTGAGGTCCCTGTAACGAAAACTGACGGCATGCACATTGGCCCTACGAACCGCCGCCAGACATGTAGGGAGTGTAGGGTTCCAGCCACCGAATGTTTTGGCGACTTCGTGTCCTGAACCTTTGGTGTTTGTTTCGGAACTCCCTCCCTCCTGCGATGCCGTGGCCCTTGAGACCGGCCTGGACAGAGTTGTACGACGTTCTACAGGAGTCCGGTCTGTTGCCGGACCAGACGGAAACGGCTGGCGCCGAACGACGTTGTTCAAACCACTTCGTGTTCGTGCAACATGCGCGCGAGCCGACGAGCCGCCTGTGGGCGTCGGGTGGATGAGGGGAGGGAGGCAACAAACAGTCACGGCTGGGTGCCAGTGGGGTGTTGACACGGAGGCGCATCTATGAGAAGGCCGAGCCAGACGATGCGTGGCATGCTGGCATTGGTGTCCTGGAACGCCCAACGGCTGGCATAGGGGGACAGGTCAGTCGTCGGTCGAGAGCGCCCGCCGGCTGCCTTTCTCGGTTGAGCGCGATCGGTGGCGCCGTTGCACAAATTCCGCCACACGGGCAAGAGCTTAAGCGGTTTCCATGTGACAGCATGAGGGGAGGCGCAGGTACCCGCCGATTAGCAGAGGCGCCGCGAAAGCCGACTTGATAGACCTCGCATCGTCGGGGCACTAGCCCGCCGCGGTGGGGACCCAAGGAGAATCGGAGTCGAGGAGGCGAGCCAGAGCCAGCCAAGCCGGGCCCGCCTCTTTCGGGGCTGCGTGATGTTCAAACACGCAACGATGTAAGATGCCGCTCCTGCTGGGTTGATCGGCGTATGAGGATGGCCGGGTGGCACGACTTGAGGTGAGCTGTATCACTCTCAGCAAATACTGGTTGGTGGGCCGAGACTTCTCGAAGGCTGGAGGGAGCGACTCCGTCCTGCAAGGAGCCGATGGCGGTAATGAATCAAGTTGGCCGACTACCGGGCCGCTGCATCCGATGGTAGCAAGAAGGAAGACTGGGTACTCCATAGCCGGTTTCCCTTTTCTTGCTGTATTTGACTTTGTCATGCCCAGGGCCCCAATATTGATGACGACGACTCATCGACAGCCATCGTCGTCCGAGGGCGAGCCGAACAGCAGTAAGTAATTTAGGGCGCGATACCAAGTCTCGGGCCTAGTAGCACTAAGCTCGGATAGGAGAGCTGCTGAATCATGACAAGAAGTCGACAACCAGGAAAACCCCTCACAGAGTTCGTTACAATTGCTACCTGGGTAATGTATCCGTACGGAGTGCCTAGTCAGGAAGGACCCCCATCTCCAAATGCATCGCCGGGAAGATAAGCTATAGACACAGATGGCGAACGGTGCGGCCTAAACGAGGAAAGACGACATTGATTACGGAGTATTGCTTGCTGGCTGTCGAGTATCCACATGCCCCGCCTCCCCCCCCCACCTTCCCCCGATGACAAGCCACGCTACAATTGGCCCCCAGCCGGCGTAGCACCTTCCAATTTAATTAACTGTTCTTGCTGTGATTTCGCCAAACCCCTCGCGCCCAGTGTATGCACGCTGCACAGTCATCTGGATCACGCCAGCCTGTGGGTCCGCTGGGGTTCCCTCATTCGCCCATGGCGACGGGTGGGTTGCGCTCTCCAACGCCGCGATGCGAGTGTGCTGTGGTACTGCTGACGGGGTCGCACAGCTCACGCGATGCCGGTGCAGAAAGTGCGGTGGCCGATCTCCGCGCACGCTGCTGGCAGGAAGTAGTAACAGTAGCAACGCGGATGCTCTCAGTTCTTGTCAAGTCAGGAGAGTTGCGCCAGGTGGGCAACATTGTGGACTCTCACCTGAAGACACATGAACGGGATCCGCCCCCACAACTTTAGGCGCAGCAACTGAGAGTCGGACATTGGAGCACAATGCACGCTCCCAAAGAGGGGAAGCATGGCGGGCCCATCTCCCGTCGGCTGGGTCTTGGATTTACTTGCTAGCCTCTTCCTGGGTCGTGATTCTGGAGTACCACAGAATCGGCCGGCCTCCCATCAAAGACAATAACCCCAGCCTGGCGTGCTGCCCGTTCCAGCCCGGTACCAATCAAAGGCCGTTGCCGCTCCTCCCTCGTTGCAACCCTGCGATGCCCACGAACCATACTACATAGTAGTAGTAGTAGAGTTCTAGACCCTCCGCTGGCATGCCCAGTCAACCACCCTCGCGAATGCTGGCAACCACCTCCGTCCTCCCCTGCGTTGCAGCCGAGGCAGGCCATCCGTCTTGGGCCCCTCCCCTGGAAGATTGCACCATGATGGGACTGTTTATCTTCCACCGTGCCATCGCGCTGCCTGCCTATATGCAGCGCACCTATTATGGCCATTGTGGTTCCTTGCTCGTGCGCCTCGGGAGTGTCACGCCGGATGTATATTCCGGCATTCATAATCCGGACCTTAGTTTGCATAGCGGGTCCCATGAAGTTGGTACGACGTCAACTCGAGTGCCCAAGGTTCCAAGGTTTCGACTGCGTAACCTGCTGTCATGGGTCCAACATTGGACGAAGACGCAGGCAGATGCAAAGGGAAGAAGTTTCATCCTCAGAGCAGGAATAAGAAATTCGATGAATAAAAACCACGCTATCTGACGTGCACCTGATTAATGCAGGTGCTGGCGCTGGTGGTGACCGAGGGGACGCCCCCATTGGGCTGTCGGGGAGGCGGCGGCAGATGCAAATAAATATTGGCTTATGCTGGCCGGACCCGACGCCAAATCTCCCCCTCGCCTGGCTACCCCTGTCTCCTCCAGCCAAGGGTGGCCGGTCCATTCCCGGGCCTGGGCCCAGTCCAAGTGTGTGCACCATCCAGAGCAGCGCAGCGCAACGCGACGCAACGCAATGGAAGAAGGGGAGGAAGGGACGTAAAAAACAAATAAATAAAAAAGCTCCTTCAGGGCCGGCCCACCCATCCATCCGTTAGGGAATAATACGACTTGTCCCCCCGGCTACCTGTCCATCGCCCGTGCTCCGCTGAATTGGCCCGTTCACAGCCCACCTCGTTTATTTCTTGTTCCTGGTTTTCCACCATGGTGCGAAGCTGCATCACCCCTGGACCCTGCTTGCTTCCTTGCCCAGCCTACCACGCCTGCCACCACGAGGACGAAGCCTGGTAAGCCGATATTGTTGCCATCTTACCCCCCTCCCACACCTCACCCACTCGTCGTCCACTTTGTCGCCTCCTTCATAACCTCTGCACCTCCCTCGCCAGCCAGGGATCGTCGCCGCCCTTCAAGAGCCCCAGCTTGCTTACTTGGCCAACTCACCAAATTCAACCGAGCCTGACGACCGACGATTCGACTGTGGTGGAGGACCATCGAACAACTGTTGACTTGCACAACCTCCTGGGCCGACGCTTATCCGCCAAAGAGCTTCCAAGCATCACCTCCAGCCGACGTCGAGACGACTCTTCAAGACTCTTCGGTCATCTTTGACCGAATCCGTTCGTTAATCAGTCACCTTCGTTGGTAGACAACAGCCTCGCAACCCACCCGCACCCAGTGGAGGGGTGTTCTTGTTTTTCCTTGGTGCCATCTAATTATCCACCATCGCTTGCGTGATCTTGTCGATCGCCCCCTAGAGATAATCAACGCCGATCAACGTGGGGTTCCCCAAGAGACCAGCGCGACACCGTCCGTTTTGGCCTTCTCACTCGACTTGCCGCCCGCCCCAGGACAGGATTATGTCCTGTCTCTTGCACCTGCGTACCGCAGCTTCATCATGATGGCACCCGCCTCTTTCACCATGCCTTCACTATCCATCCGCCCGCCGCGGTCACTATGGCTTTTCCTTTCCCTTGCCATCGCCTCCACAGCGCTGGCCTCGACGCCCTCATCCGACGCCCTACCGGCTCTAATCACCGCTCCTGCGGCGATGCCTCCCATGGACTCCCTTGTCGTCGACGACCGCACGCCCATCATGGTCAAAGGCCGCTGGACCATGGTCCCACATGAGTACGCCGAGCTGAAGAAGCGAGACGAGAGCATCACGCCCTCGCCAACCACTGCTGGCACAGCAACCCTCCAACCCACGACACTGACCGTCTCCGTGACGGTTCCCGCTGCCACGGTGGACCTTTCGTCGCCACTGCCCTCGCCATTCGACACCAGCCTCACCTTCAACTTCACCAGCAACGACGGCGCCTCCTGCCCGCGCTTCATCAACTCACTCCTTACGAATCAGAACTTCAAGAAATGCTACCCGCTCTCCATTCTGCTCCAGGTATGTGCAAGTCGTCGGGCCGTGTACGTCGTCAACTAACTCGCGTAGGGCTCTGAATCCTTCTTCCAGGCGGAAAAGCAGCTTCTGAGCATCGTGCGTGTGCTCGATGCCGCCTGCAGCGCTGATGTCGAATACTGCACCGGCTTTCTCAACGGCGTCGCCGGCAACCTCACCCTGGACTCCAACTGCGGCTCCGACTACCAGAGCGGTAACCCTATCGTCATGCAGGCCTACCTCGGCCTGAAGTCGTATGAGATGCTGTACAAGGCCACCTGCCTCACCGACCCGGACACGTCCATGTACTGCTTCGCCAACGCCGTCACCAACCTCACCACGCCCGCTAACGTCTACTTCTACTACCTCCCGCTCAACATGACTCTCCCCGCGAGCGCGAACCCCACCTGCGGGTCGTGTCTCCAGCGGACCATGGACATCTTCCAGACCTACACTATGAACCGCAAACTCCCCATAGCGTCAACGTACGAGGACGCCGCGGCGCAGGTCAACACGATGTGCGGCCCCGAGTACGTCAATGACACGCTCCTGGCCGCCGTCAGCATGGCGGTGCTGTCGGCGCCGTCCTGGACCCTCACGGCGACGATGCTAGCCCTCGCCACTGCCTATAACTTCCTATAGGTCATTCTCGGCGTCCGTCGGCGGGACGACGGCGAAGCGGCCGGCGCCGACGGTTACGAGTCATGCTTTGAGTTCTTTGATTTTGCAGTAAGCGCCATGATACCCTCGACATTCTCCAGCATTCAAACTTTGTAATTCTATTCGTCACATGGTCCGAGTCTCTCGGTCATGGAACTATTTATTGGTCCTTTTGTTTCGGTTTGCGTTTCGATATGAGAAGGTAGAAGAGCTGGGTCCCGAAAGGGCGGCTTCGGCTGGGGCGGTCTCGTGATACTGGGACAAACACGTGGCCGCCAAGGCGGAGATGAGACGGCGCTCTCACCAGGGATATACCGTCGGTCATGAACACGACGGCTATTGGCATCCGATGAGATGCAATATACATATAATCTTCGCACGTTGCGACTGTTAATACCATTCTTGTAGATACCCCTTTTTTCCCCCTTGTCGTGAGGGCGGTTTCAACCTTGGGGTAGAGGAAGACAGGTTGTCACGTTCATCTCAATACAACCCATTTAGACCCTCATGAGCGAGTTGAATGACGTGATGCCGTCGTCAAGATGCCCGTACTGGGCTGGACGCGGAGATGCCCATCGTCCGAGCGATAATGAAGTGTCGCAAAGGTCTCCGTCTGTTGTTCCTTAACGACTATAGGAAGGCGGGCGACATTGCAGGGGGGGCTTCACATACCAAGCTCGCTATATCCCGGTCTTTGGTGCCGGCTGCACTCGGGAACCTTGTTACATCCAGGTGTCGCCATTGCACTGACGTTGGAATGCGGGACGTTTGGTCTATTCTAGGAGGTCCATGTGACATTCAATAATATAGATAGCATGACCCGGACTCACTCATTCAGCCCAAGCCCCTCGAGCTCCTCCCTGAGAATCTCCACGGGGCGGAAGGTGCTGTTGAAGTGACCCAGCTGCAACACCCGCACCGGCACGCTCTCCTCGTCCACGACGGTCTTGCTGTCGGCCCTAGCTCGCTCGGCCTCGATCTGCGCCACGCTCTTGACCTCGGCAAAGTCGCCCTTGATGCCGCTCTTCTCCTCGCCCCAGATCTCGAAGAAGGGGCAGCCGCTCTCGGCGTACGATTGGGCATTGATAGGCGTGTCGGGGGCCGGCTGGCCAGTGACGGCGCTGAACGACTCGACGTCCAGAATCTGGAGGTTCACCATCACCGAGGCCTCGACGTCCCAGATATTGGCAGGGTGTGTGTCGGCTTCTATCGTCTGTTTGATGAGGCCGCCAGCCGCGAGGCCCATCTCCTTGACCTCCGGCGGGGGTGCTGCATGCGCGGGCGGGGCCATGCTTCGATTGCTCTTGCTTCGATTACTGGGACTGTGCTCGAGCAGCGCGGCCCCATCCGGACCTGTCTCCGCGATCACCTGTGGGGCAGCAGCAGCAGCAGCAGCCATCATAACCATCGGGGGCCCACCGCAGCGTGCCCGCATTCCGTATCTCATGGCGCCCCGATGCTGCGGGGACTGATGGCTAACACTGAGCGTCGAGAACTTGGGCGGAAAGTAGACGTCACCGAGCTTGGCATCGTCCGACAAGTCGAAGAATGCGGCCCCGAAGTGGCCAGAAGCTGCGCGGTTTCCGTAATCGCTGAGGACCTGCTCCTCGACGGCGATATCGAACTCAGCACTAACCAGCTTCTTGACGTCCCTCCAGGTGCTCTCGGTGGTGAGGCTTTTCTCGGCGAGGTTGAAGGTGCGGGTGACGACCTCGGAGTCCCTATTCTGGTATCGAACATCGAACTCGGCGGGCAAGTTCTTCTTGACGGGGATGAGCTCGATCTGGATGCCGCCCACCTTCTCATCCCCGGTGACCTGTGCCTCGACGGAGAAGCCGGACCCTTTGGGTTGCGCGACAAACTGTCGGATCTTGCCGTCCTCGGAGACGATGCCATCCAGCCAGTTTTGCTCAGGCACCACCACATAGTCCTGAATCGGCTGCCCGCTGCTGAGCATCTTCAGTCTCTTCTCTTTGGTCTTTTCGTTTTCTGTCATGGGGAATCCGGAGACGGCGTTGACGCCGCCGACGTAGATCTTGATGGCGAACGGCGCCCTGGAAGAGAAGCCGATCCACATGGCCTCGCGCTGGTACATGGGGAAGAAGACGCCGCCCTTCTTGGCCATGTCTTCGGGCATGTTGTGTGCGAAGTCGCGAACCTTGAAGAGGGGGAAGTTCCCCATGCCGGGGGGCAGGTTGTTGGTGTCTCTGTTGTCGGGCACACGAACGGTGCGGTTCAGCTGAATGGACAGGACATCCCTGTTGCCGCCATGGGATACGCGTATACTGTCGCCGAGGAGAACCGTGACCTTCCGGTTGTTGGCGACGGGCTCCTGCTTGGTGCGGATCTCGGGCATGACCTCGACGGTCTCGTGGTCGGCGGTCTGCGACATCTTGTATCGTGTGCGTATTTATTCAACAATGAGGGCAATGATGAGGGTGAAATGCCCCGTCTGTCCAGGAGCCCGCGGTTCCTTCTTATATCCCGGAAAAGAGGCTCTAAGGCGAGCAAGCAAAGGAGACGCAATTGGTGGCGTCCTTTGAACGCATAGCCCGGGGCGTTCTGATTGGTCGTCAATGCCCGATTAGGAACTCGCCGTCCCCGCCTTTTTAGGACTGAGCCTGTGCACGGATCAGATGCAGCGAGTTTTACGCAGCGGCGCATTCCGCTAAGGCAGGTAATACCACCGCGCGCATCCAAAAAATAAAAATAAACCCCCGAACCGACCTTTCCACTTTTCTTGATGGTGACAGAAAAAAAACGGGCGATTCTATTGGACTCCGCGTAGGTAGGTGCCTAACTACCTATTTCTTTTGTAAGGGAGCTGAGTGCCTGACGAGTAGGCAGGCACTCGGACGGAGCAGCGACTCCCGGCTTGGCGGCTCGAGTCGACCCACACGGGACCCCGGGCTGACGGCCACTGAGCGGCACGACAATCCAACGTCGAAGGCCGAACCAGCAAATAAATACATGCCCGGCGAAAGTTCCGTTGTCGTGCGCTGCTGTGGTAAAGCCAGGCACTCGGCGTGGTGGCAAGGCCTGACCGTTGTTTCAACATGGGGACATGCCATTCATCATTAATGCTACGCAATCATGTACTTCGCCTGGGACGATCTAGCCTACGGTTCGTCCGATCGGGAAAGGCTTCTGCGGGCATGCAAACACCGTTGCAGAAAATATCCTGGCTAGAACTTTTGTTTCTTATCGGCATGCTGCTCGGCGCTGCCCTCGTCGGCACTGCGCTTGGCCGGCGTAATCTCGTCTCCCGTGGGCTCCGCCTTGACGGCCGGATGGTCGTCTTCCGCATGGTCTGCGCGCTCGCCCTGGTCGCTCTCAAACTCGTCCATCATCTCGGTATCCTGACCCGCGAACAGCTTACGCCAGCTGCCGTCCAGGACCTTGTCGTCGTTGCCGTGCAGGCCGACCTCGTAGGCCTTCTTCATCGCCGCCAGGCACGCCGTCCTTCTCTCGTTAAAGTCGAACATGGGCTTCGGGTAAACCCCCCTTTCCTGCGTCTCCCCGCGGCCGGTCACCCTGACCCCTGCCTTTTTCTGGTCTGGCAGCGGAGCCTTCCACGGCTCGTAGATGTACTTGGCATCCAGGTCCTTCAGCTCCGGCACCCAACGCCGCACATAGGCTCCCTGCTTGTCCCATTTCTGCCCGAACGAGACGGGGCTGTAGCAGCGAAAGTACTGCGAGAAGAAGGCTGTGCAGCTAAGCCACTGCCAGTTTCCTGCGTTGCACGCGGGCTCGTGGTCGAGAAGCCACTCCTCAAAGACTTCGCAGCCGCGCTCCCAGTCAATATAGCAACCCCCTCGCGTAAGGAAGCAGGCGACCGAGTGGCGGCCCAGGTGGTGGATCCAGCCCTCCTCGCGCAGTTGTCGCATGAGCGCGTCGATCCACGGAAACCCCGTCACCCCGTACTTCCACCGCCTGAACCACTCGTCCGCCTGCGTCGAGTCGACGTGGTACTCGCCGGTGACGAGACCCGTCTTCGCATCGACCTTGGACGGCAAGTGCCACGGGATGAAGCGGCAGTAGGGGTTGTTGGCAGTCTGCGTGAAACTGTAGCCCAACGCAGCGTGCGCCGCGAAGTACATGTCGCGGAAGAGCAGCTGTCCGAGCAGGCTCTCCGGCACCTTTGACGCTCCCTTGCCGTACGCGTCCACGACGGCCCGTACCCTCCAGTAGAACTCGCGCACCGACAGCGCCCCAAAGTGCAGAAAGGGCGACATAAATGTCGTCGACTGCGGCTCGAACGCTGCGGGGCTTGTCTTCGGCTTCTCAAACGTTGCCGTGTACTTTTTGTCCGCCAGAATCTCCTCGAGCATCCCGAGCGCTCGTGTTTCTCCGCCCCTGTGTGGCGTGCTGGCCGGCGGAAAACCCAGCTCCTCCATCGTCTCGATTGCGAAGTCACCCTCCGGACCCGCAATCTTCGCGTAGGCCGCATCCCCCTCCGTTCGCTGCTCCGCGTTGAAGTCGGGCTCCGTCTCGGGCGGCGTCTGCCCGAAGTCCACCGGCATCTCACCCGGGTTCGGCAGGCTCTGCGGTGCGGGGATCGGCTTCGCGATGGGCCCGACCTTGGCGCCGGCCGTCTGGAGCTGCGATATGGACATGGTCGGCTTGCCGCCGTGCTTCGCGACGACGGCGTCGCTGTCCCACAGCGTCCGCCCGCTCTTGACGATGACCTCCACACCGGCCTCGCTGGCGGCCCTCATCACGACCTCATCCCTCTCGCGCGCGTACGCGTCCGTGTCCTTTTCAAAGACCAGGTGCGTCACCTTCCACGCCTTGAAGAGCTTGGGGAACAGCGTCTGCGGACCCTCGCGCAGGACAAAGAGCTTGGACCGGGAGTTCAGCTTGGTGATGCTCTCCGACAGGTCATTTTGACAATCGAGTCTGTGCGCTCCGGTAAGCTTAGGAGGCGTCCGGCCCGCCGGGAGACGTACAGAAACTGCCACCGGTTCAGGCCCCCGCGGGCGCGGTAGACATAGTGCGGATCCCAGGTGAAGATGGGCCAGAGGACGGCCGGGTCGAGGGCGAGGGCAGCTGCGAGGGCGGGCGAGTCGTGCAGGCGGAGGTCTGTTCGGAACCAGTAAATGACGCGCGGTCCGGTGGCCATTGTGGTCAGAGGCGAGGGATGAGTGTCACGATGACGACGATTGGGCGAATTCTCGAGATCAAAAATACACCGACCAGATCAGCATGCTGCAAAATGACAGGGAGCGTGCAGCCTGGCGCGCGCGCGCGTTCAGGCCGGGCTTTCGCTGCGAGAATTTGGCGCAGAGTCAATGATGTCAACGACTCTCTGCAACGCGACTGAGCAACGGGGGCCCCCCAGCAACAACAACAACAACAACAATAAAGTCCGGGGTCGGGTCCGCGGGTCCGTCAAACGGGAAGTCGTACAAGTTGATTTACGATCCGCCCATCCGCCCTACATTCCAGAAGGCTTAGCGGCTACCGAATTGCGCGGCGCACCGCGGCCCAAGTTCCGGGTACCCTGATTCGCGGTGCTGCAGATCGTCTTTGGATGACGGGATATGGTTGCAGACAATCACCAGAGACACACGCATACCTTCGGAAGCTCCCTCGCCGACCCCGATCGAACATGCCTCCTATCTCGGGCCGAAGGCCATGAGCACATGTTCACGAGTTGGGGGGGAGGGGTGCGACGATGGCCCGGCAGCCGGATAGAGATCGGCGGCGCCAGCGACGCCCGAGGTGCGAGAATGGGGTCATGTCTAAGTCAACACCCCGAAGCGGCTCACGACCTACCTCCCTTGCCTGCTCGCTGCGGTTAGCGGCGTCGCCAGGTCTCGCCTCAGCACCAGGCATGTGTACTAATGTCATAGATAAGGCGGTACCCCGTATTTCGTTGTCTTCATCCGGTGCCCGGCAAGGAGGTAACGGCAGACCCTGTACACATATGGGGGAGGGGGCCATTCTAACTAAATGATGTACCCTCTTTCCGCCGGTGATACAGCCGAGTCCTCAGGAGTCAAACACCCGTCAGGCTTTTGTTTCTCCATGATCGTAGCCCATAAAAGTTTCACTAAGGGTATATATAGATACGAAGAAATGGCGAGCAGATCGCAGAAAAAGAAGAACAGAATGTGCAACAAAAAGAAATAGACAAGGCCTTGATCGCGGGAAGCCCCCCCCGCTTCGAAGCCTTGATGGGGTGCCCCTCCCTTAGGGGAGGGCGTCGAGCATGTGCATTCGTTCGCGTGCGCCCGAAATCGCAAAGAGCAGCCCGACCGAAAATAAAAATAAAAACCATCGCCGCCGTGTATTCGCCGATTTTGACCGTCTCCACCAACGCCGTGTGATACCATGCTCCGTCTACCGCTTGCCAGCCTGCCGCCCCGTGCACCGCTGCTTCACTTCTGCTTCCGTGTCTTCTTGCGCTTGGCCGAGGTCCCGCACTCGTCGTCGTCGTCGTCCTCTTCTTCTTCGCTGTCGTCCTGCTGCCGGCGCGGGTTCTTGCCGCCCGACTTTTCGTTGCCCTTCTTGATGGAGATGAGACACCCCTGCTCCTTGAGGCGCTTGGTGAGAGGCGTGCTGGCCTGCATGCCCGGGAATTCCTTGGCGCTGTAGACTTGGAACACGTCGCTCGTGATGGAGGATCGGATGGGCGCCCGCAACGACCGGTGCTCAGCGTCGACAACGACCAGGACGAACTTGAGGCGGTAGTGGCCAGATGTGCGGACCGACATGTCGGGGAAGCAGAAGAAACAGCCCTCCTCGCCGTTCTCGTCCAGGCCCACAAAGGGCGACGACACGAGCGAGCCCATGATGCGCTTGCCGGGCCTCACCATGCTATCGTCCATGTTGGTGCAGTCGCCGGTCCCCGCCTCGTCCCAGAGGCTGCAGTGGACAACGTAGGCCGGGTGGTGGAGTTTTTGGTACAGCTCGTCAGGCGTGAGGTCGGGGTTGTTGATCCTCAGCTGGACGATGGGTGGCGGGTCAATGACCCTCCGATCCCGTTCGCCGTAACCGCAACACCGCGCCGCCCTGGGCTGCTGGCGGAAGAATATCTCGTACTCGTTCTTAACCACCTTGACGTCCGGCTCCGGGACGCGCTGGATCGACCTCGTGTCGAGACCTCCGCCGCTCAGGAGATCCTCGATCTTGACCCTGTCCGGCTGGCTAGTGGCGCTACATGGCGCTCCGGCCGCCGGCATGGCGGACCCGCACCGCTGCGCGGGGATCCTTAGGCTCGGCGGCGTGAAGGGGATGGCAACCTTTCCCTGATATGTGTCGTTCAGCACGCGCGGCGCGCCATGCGGCATCTCCGGCATCTGCGGGGGTTGGTTACGCTTGAGGAAGTGGGCCTCTCTCGCCGCTTGGTACTCGTCGTAGGGTTCACCGACCGAAGCCGACGTCGGCGAATCCTGGGGATACCTGGGCACGGGCGCCGACCTGTATGGATCTGAGAGCTGGGCGGGTTGCTGCGGAGGCGGTTGGTAATGCTGATACGGCGGCGGCGGTGGCTGGTGGTGGACTGGCGAAGGCGACTGGTGGTATTCGGGATGGCGGTGTTGGCGGTGATAGTCCTGGCGATAGTATTGGGCGTGTTGGTACTCGGGCTGGTGATGATCAGGCTGGTGTTCGCGCATGGCGGTCCTGGGCTGCGGGTTCATGCTCATCGGATGCGGGAGCCGCGCAGGCTCAGGCTCGTAGGCATAGCTGCCTTCCGACCCAGGCGGGCTGTACGTTGGCGAAGGGGCCCACGGGGGAGGTCTCTGAGCCATGCTGTCTGTTCCCGCGTCGTAGCCGGTGTGCTGGCGAGGTGTGGGTTCTGATGCGTAAAACGACATGGAAAGGTGAAGATGAGGACGGGATGCTACCGAGAGCGAGGTCCCCTTGTCAGCACCGACGCCGGTTCTGGCGCAAGGCCACAAATACACGTTCTCTGCTCGAGATGTGGCGCTCGGAGCAGACTCACCAGCGGGTGGGGAGGTCTCGGATCCGTATTCAGTCCTTGGGCGAAGGAAGCGTGGGGCAAGAAACCTCTGCTCCGGATGCGCTCACAACGATCGGCGTGCGTGGGAAGGCGAGGAATGGCGGGTTCAGATGGTCTGATGTGGTTGGGCGATGGGCCAACGGCGTCAAATGGCGGGTGCAGGTCAGAGCACGTCCATTGAGAGCTCCGACGGAAGCACAGAGATGGAGGAAGACCAATCGAGCCGCTGGGAGGGAGAAGGATGCCGGCAATGAACGGGCGGACGGTTCTTTTAATCCGCGTCTCACCGGATGGCTCCTCGCGCCTTGGCGGACGAAGATGGGCAAACGTTTCGTAGGATAACGGGTCGGAGGCAGCTAGTTCCGTTTGTCCTCGTCTTCTTCTCCACCTCGCAGTCCTAGGCACGGGTTGTTGAGGCGCGTAAGTGGGTAACCGTCTACGGGTTATGGGTGAGGGGCAAACATGTGCAGTATGAAGTTGACGAGAGGCGAGCCGGGAAGATGGTTACTGCTGAGGTTTTTGGCCAGCGAGTTCAACGCTGATGGCGGCACCCAAAACCCGGGAGGGATGGATTGAGGATGGGGCGGGCTGGTGTCGCCTTGCATGCAGGAGAAATATGGTGACTGAGAGGCAGACCAAGCGGGCAGGGTCGAATGGGCGTGGGCGTGCTCGTGCGTGCGGGACGGCGAGGAGGCGAGACACAGTCGGGTGGTAAAGGGGAGAAAATGCTAAGGCGGTGGTGGGCGGCGACGGGGGTCTTTGGCACGTATGTATATGAAGCTGCGGACAACCGGGGCAGAGCCAATACGCAGTTCCAAAGACGATTTGCGGCGCCGAAGGAGTGCCCTGCTCGCTCAGCCCGCATGGCGGTACATCGCTCGTTTGGCTGAAGGGGGGGGGGGGGGGGGGGGGGGGGGGGGGTAAACTAGAAGGTCTTTGTGACTCATGTAACTACTCATTATGTTTGGTCCCCTAGTTCGTCTGCACGAACATTTGTGAGTGTACTTAGAGCCCTGCAACACCTCCGATGGGACGCACCGCTTGAGACGAGGGACTCTTAGCGGGAAGGCATCTGCCGTTTCCCCGAGGTGAAAGGCGATAAGCTAGATCTGTATAGTTAGCAGGTATCAGCAAGTCCTAGGGCGCGAACCGGCAAAATGACTAGGTTTGTCACTGGCGGGTAACACCAATAGTAACTTACGCCTATCCCTTCTAGTCTTCTTTGTTTGGTTAAATCTAGATGCGGTCTTAAGTAAGTTAGGTGGTGTGGGTGAAAGAGCTGCCGCCACACTGACAATAGGGCAGGAAGGCCCGGTATTCGGGGGGGGGGGGGAAGGAGAAAGGAAAGGGCAAGGGCGGGCGAGGATCAATCAGTACGCGGCATCCGCAGAACACCAGGCGCAGTGTTGGCTTGTCTTGTCTTGTCGAGGAGGGACCAGGATCAGGCCCCACGTCGAACAATGTGATGGATGGGGAAGAGAAATTGGGGCCTTGGGTGTTTTCTGGACATGTTGGAGGCGAAGGACGGTAAGCGAGGAGAGAGCATTGAATTGGGTTGTCCAATTGGGCACCACGCGAACGCGGAAGTAGACCGACGTAGACGGCATACGCAGACAAGCAGAGCGAGAATAAGGGACGACAGCCGGCGAGGTAATGACAATCAATTGCTGCTGCTGCTGCTGCTGCTGGTGCTGCTGCTGCCGCAGTTCGTTCTTTCAGGCGGCCAAACCGACAAAAACAAGCACCGACGTGGAGGCGTTGGTCCAGTGGCAGAACGCGGACGAAATGATTTGTCGCAGGTACCCACGCACCACGATGACAGGAGGAGGTGCCACTACACTACCTACCTACTATGTACGTAGAAGAGACGGGAGAAGGGGGCGGAAACGGATGGGATTGTGACCCTCGGCCAGGAGGTTTGGACAGGGCGCGGCGACCAGGACAGGGTCCGGGGTCATGGGTCCGGCCAGGAAAAGACAAGAAGCGACATTCGCGGGAGGGTGCCGCATCGCACTCGACCACCGTCTAGTTGGGGAAAATGAAGGACGGCTTTCCCTAGGTGGAGAGCGACAAAGACAGAAAGAAAGTACGGAGTACTCCGTACAGTAGTACCGGTAGCCTAGGTACCTAGTAGGTAGGCAGGTAGGGACGGATAGGTAGGTAGGCAGGTACTGAGGTACGTATCGCTTGGCCATCGGTCTGATTGGACCAAGGAAGGAAGGAGCAGCCAAACAACACTGGACGGACTCACTCGAGTGGACGGGTCATGCGGGACGATACCTGCCTCTACTACGTAGTAGGTAACCGGTCCTCGGTCTTTGGGTCAAGTAAAGCCATCTCTCTCCAAGGCAAGGGCATGGGGACGCCGTTGTGCAACATGCACCGAAACCGAGAGCAAGTCTCCACCAGCGTGCAGATTGCGCATGCAAGTCTTCTGCGTCTGGTTGAGCGGTTGGGCGAATCAGGCTCTCTCGGCCGTGTCGTCGGAACTGCAACTTTGGGACCTCGACGTAGCACGACCATGCACATACACGCCTTAAGCCAGCGAGGTGGATAAAGGTCATCGTCCCCTGCTGCTATATGTACAAGTATAGCCACAGTACTCCGTACAGTGGTCTTGGACCAACCACTTGAGAAGAAGAAGGCTTGCTTGCTTACAGAACTGCGTAGCTAAGTGGGTGGTCAGTCCCCTTCGCTACGCTACGCTCCCACGGTCGGGTTCGCCATCTCCACTGCATGAATCCGCAATGGTGCCTACACTAGGTATACAGATACACATATCCGTACCTACCTACCGTACCTACCTCACTCATCGTCGTCTGAATACAGCCAAGACGACTGTTTCCATTCCGTTGACTTTGCGGGGATGCGCTACCCACCAGGGCCCGCTAAACCACGGGTGCACCCATAGCGGCCGGTGATTGGCGTCAGGGGCCATGCCTACAAGTTCCTTTTATTCGATTTTTTTATTTGATTTTCCCTCTGCTTGGTTCTTCGTGTTTTAGGCCGGCCTACCCAAGTCGCCTGGCGGAATAAACCACCGTCCCCAACCTGGGGTGACACGACGACGCGCACAAAGGATGACAGCCACGATGCCCCTTTGCATCGATTGCGCGTGCGGCGAAAACCCTGGAGCTTGTCACCACGCTGCTGGCTCTGCGACACCGACGCTACTCCCGAATAAGAAAGTCTGTATGCACCTAGTCTATACTACGTAGTGCACAGGGACCTATGTACCTACCTATACCTACCTACATAGTATACCTATACCTACCTGCCTGCCTGCCTGCCTGCCTGCCTGCTGCCTCTGTTGGACCGTGGAAATTGTTATAGTAAATTACCGGGGCTCTGGTATTGCCTGCCCTGCCTGCATCACTCTGCCCGAGACGCGACGACGCTTCTGGAATACAGTTCGGCGGCAACCCTCCTCGCCCATCGCATCGTATCGCTGCCGCAGCCCCCCTTCCTTCCCCCTCCCTTTCACTGCGCCAGTCTCTGCCTCTCTCTATGCCTCAGCCTCCGCGGCTAACCCGGGCAACGCTCTCTCCGTTGCATTTTGTTTGCTGCTGGTTGACCTACACCGGGCCTCGCTCGCTCGCTCGATCGCTGGCGAATCATTGGCAAAAGTCCTTCTGCCAACAAACCGACAGGTCAGGTCGCCGAGTGGAGGTGGCTGTCGTCGCGCTTACTGCCTGCTACTGCTGAGCCGCGCAAGTCGGGGATTGCAACCACACTCGGTCGGTGATCTGGAAATATGCCAGACCAGCGGCGTACGCAACTGCGCACCCATCGCCTTTCGGACGAGTCGTCAGCATCCAGGACGACCACACCTTATATCCACCGAGACGGCCAGCCCTGAGCCACCTACAGGGGCATTTGCTCTGTTCAACCTTTGCCAGACCTCGCGCAAACAAGCCGCCTCGATCGAGGCAATGCTCCGTTCCGCTTGCTTGCCTTCTCGACGCCGTCCTCATGCATACTGGGTCCCTTTCCACCGGCAGCTCGACCGCCTCGGCCTCATCACTCACCCATCTTCGCCGACCCGGTCGCCGGCGGGCGCCCACACTTGCGTCCCAAAGCTGTAGAGCTGTAAATCACGCCGGTCCTGGTGAGCGAACCCCGGCACCGTAATATATTGGACCATCTCTTGTTGGCCTTGGCCATAGCTGATTGGCCGGGGCGTGGTGAGGATCGGGACATCAAAAGGTACTTACTACACGTGGAGGCACCGCTCAATAGCCATGTCCTACCCAAGTACCCCGAAGAGTATTGCAACGTCGGTGTGCAACGGCCCGACAAGTAAACGGCTCGAGGGACGTCGGGTGCTGCTGGCGGTGTTCAAAGTACGGACCAAGAAGTGATGGACCGTGTCGAAACGCAGAAACGATGGTGACAACGGTCGGTGGCTGGTGTGGTACCGCCCGGAGTGCCAGTGGGCAATGGTCACGGACTCGCTTACCTTTCAGCCATGTTGCTGTTACCGAGAGGAAACAGGGGCATCAATCGATCAGGATGGACATTGGGACGAAGTTGAGCATATCGTGCCTAGATTCCCGGCCACTTTGGGGTCTCAGATGCTGGTAAGACAAAGCCTCCTTGTGTATTCGTAAGGTTTTTTTTTTAGTTCCATACCTCTCTGCAATGGCTGCATCCCAGGGCCGCTGCTCATCCTTCCACCTGCGCCCGCTAACCGAGTCGGCGGTTCTGGCCGCTAACGACGGGCCATTGCAGTCCACTTCCGCACGCGGCCGTCGGCGGGTTCGTGCTTTATCTGTCTGTCATCGAGGCGCACCACACGTGTGCTGTGCGGGCTGGCGTCAAATCAACCTCTAGTGCCTGCAGGGCTGTTCCCGGTGTCCGAGTTTGTCGATCACGGACAGTGACGGCCTCTGTTGATACCTGCAAGCGAGGCCAAGCTAACAGGAAGGACACGAGTCACGGCGTTGGGAGGTCTCACGATGCAACACTTGCATCCTGGCAGTTGCTTGCCAGCTGACGGGCCGTCAAGGCATGGGCTCTGGAGAGAAGTTAAAATCGTTCCATGTTGTACTCGTTTACACTACGGATACAAGGGGTCATCTTCCATCCCCTGGCGTCCCTACCGTCGACCCGCCTCCTCCACTGTTGTTGGTTGTCAGTTGTTTTCACCGTGACGCTGGCAGGGGTCCCGGGTTCCCTCCCGTCGACAATGAGCTGGACGGCGGGTCCGTCATCCCGCCAATCTACCTACCTACGAGTACGCTTGGTCCACCGCGTTCCACGCGGCCACACTATGTGGTGTGCTTCGGTGCACGAAGAGCTTTGATTCTTTGACGCTCACTTCGCAGCGCCAACTTAACCACATGACTGCGGCCAGGACGGCGAGCAGTGTCTCGAGTCCTCTATACCCAGGCGAGCACGTTACCATCGAGATCCCCACGCCTGTTGAATGATGGACGGCCACCGAGTGCTACCAAGCATGGAATACCTTGCGATGGGCGTCCCGGCACGACGGTACCTCGGCCACCGTAGCATCTTGCGAACAATGCGAGGGCTCCGTCCTATACGACGCCGGACATACTCCGAAATTCCCTTCAACTACGGCTCGTAGTCATGCTCATTTCCGCATCTCACGTCCGTGCCGCCCGGTAACAGCTTGTCGGGTCGCGAGGAGACCCTGCCAACGCATCGCTCTTCTCACAATGGCAAAATCACCGGTCATGTCGCCAATCACCGTCCTCCGCGAGCAGGGCCGCAACAGGTCAGACTCATCGGCACCGAGAGGCGGGTTAACCTGTGCCTTGGTGGCCGTATTCCCCCGAATGTCGCCATCTACGCATCATAGAATTGCCGGTGGTGTGTGACACTCGCGGGCTCGGATCGCAGACGCCTAGGCACCGCAATCTTGGCCAACCCTCTGGAATGCCATTTTGAACATCACTGACGGATGCCTAACCACTCAACCCCGCACCAGGCTCTCCACGGCGATTGGTCTGCTTTTCTCGGCCGGAGGCCCACGAGTTTGTTGGAACGAGCAGAGCCATGTGCAGGTGCATCGCCGCGGAAGGCTCGACATGCAGCCATTCTCCTAGCGTCCCAGACGGCGGTCCTGTCACAGTGCAGGGAGGCGCGGAGAGCAGATCATATCTCAACCATACTTGGCCCAAAGTCAGGTTGGACGGAACCAGTAACCTGGGTGGGTGACTGGCTGACTCTCCGCCGGTCATGCTTGAGCCACCGCTCGCCCCTTGCGTGGATTGTCCTGCTTATCGCCCAGCACCTCAATCCGACACGTAGAACGGTCAAAGTTTGTAGGATGGGCAACGGTTCATCCGAGCCTTTCCAAACGTACGACGCCGTGTGCCGCCAAGCGCTTCTGCGTGATGACAGTTTATGCTTTGCTTTGAAACAGCGGCCGATTGCAGCTACCGGTACCAAGTCTCTTAAGGAGTCGTGCAGCCTTGGCCGTTTGCATATACCTACGCAAGGAGCTGCAGCAGCGCCGTTGGCAAAGTTGTTATAAGATAGAGGCCATCGGTCAACCTGCGTCAGCTTTGCTTGATCTTCCATTCCACCGGCGAATTCATCTCCTTCTGGTCCCGTGCTTGGGAGCTTTCGGACGACACTGGGCGAAGTGCCAGAGGCTCGCTCACGTTTCCCTGCTGCACGTATGCAAAGCCGGCGCCAAGGACTCAGATACTGCTTCGAATCGAATCCCTAGGACGCCCGCGTCCCTATATGATAGGGCATATGATACAGTATCGTAATGATAAATAACGGGACGTTGAATAGCGTCATATTTAACCCGAGAGTGAGTAGATCCTTGTTTGCATCAGCCCTTCCGCGACTCAGATGTCCACGATGGACGATACACTCCCGCCGAGGTTAAGATGGTCGGGGACCCTACCAGGCATCCGGCCGTAGGCACAGTCCGAGAAGAAACGAGACCATGGCCTGCAACTTGGGCTTGATATGTGCCTGGTGGCGTTTTCCGGCACTTTGGCCCGTCTGATTGGCTATCCACCTGTGGCTGGGCTGGCACACAACCCAAACGCGTGATGCCGATCGCTTCCTGGTGCGGCACCAGGCAGATCGCTATGGCTGATTCCCTGTTTTGCGCCGCGGCCAATTCGTAATTGAAGCCGGTGCCGAAGGTAGGTATAGTCAACGTTTTATCATGGACGCAATCCTCGGCAGACAAATTCTGGTGCGCCTCCTAAGCGAGAACGTACTTTTTTTTTGTTTGCTGCACTGCTGCTACCATGGGACTAATTATGGATCATTGGCCACCCAGCCCAGCCGGTAACAACAAACTGTCGCCCCTGGCCCCAATGTAGACGCCACACATCCCTGCCGAACGTTTGTTCCCAAGCTCGGCCTCTTCAGTAGGTAGACGCCGCCTTGGCCCTCAGCCGAGCTCCGCACTTCCAGAGAAGGACGGGGAGCGGAACGGAGATAATCACGCCCGCCGGGGCCTTGACCCAACGTTCCGAGTCAGGGAAGCCCTACCACTGTATCCGTAGACCAACATCAGAACCAGCTGGGGCAGCAGGGAAGCCATCGCGAGCTGGGGGCCTTCGGACCCCGTTGGGAAATAGATAGTGATGATGAAGATTTTGTGCAATAGGTGGTCCTCTCATGGATTGGTGCTGTGAGAGCAATACAGTGACAAATTTAATGACAGGTCTAGTGGGTGCAGTGGCAAGAACCTGTTGGCTTGGGTGGCACTGACCCAAGCAATATGACTTCAGAAGCACACTTCAGTCCAATAGCTCTTACTATTGAACCTAAAACAACTGCAGGGTACTGTACTCTATACACATAGACTGCATCCTGCAGTTTGTCAGATACAAAGAGCCTAGGTCTATAATCACAACATGCAGGTGCCGCCTAGTGATAGAATGCCAGCTACCGGTGAGCCTCGTGCGCGACTCAGTTTGTCCGAGCAGCCTTGGGCGCGTTTTCCTCCTTTGCTCGGTTTTTTTTTTTTGCATTGTGTGTCGAGGCGACGAGGTTGCCATTGTTGTTGTAGTTGTAGTGGTGAGACATGAGGTGTTGGGTTGTGAAAAGGATGAAGGTAAGGTATTTATTTTCTCTCTCTCTTGCGTATCGAATACTAGGGAATTCATTCATCTGGAAGCAGAGTTTGGACGAAAGGAGCAATGTTTACAATCGATGAACTTGTCAAGCTCATGTAAGTGCGACCCAACCGGCAGACGAGATACAAGTTTCGCTGGAGGACCCCCGTTCCAGCCTTTGAGCGCCTAACATGGCTTGTTGCTATCTATGTATTAATAAGGAAAAAAAATCCTTAGTCTCTGTTTTCTACTGATACATGTTCTTCTTTATATGTTTGTACACCTGTATATACGGATATTGATAGGTTAACTTGCGGCTGGACTCGGAGCTAGTTTATAATTGTCTAAGCAAGCAGATACTAGGCCGGCAACGTTTCCTGGCTGTCACAATCATCTGTAGATAGAGTTCGAGATACACTGCGCTGACGTGCGCCATATGGTAGTTAGGGCATGGTCTATATTGCTTCCGATGATGGAGCCTGGGTGTGGTAGGTAAGTTGAAACTGATATTGCATGACCTACGGCAGGTGTCAACCGAGCGTCAGATAGAAATCGGGACATTTGTAGATCAGCAAGAACACTGCAAGCCATAGGTCCTCAGAGTGAAGAATGCCACACCACAACCGGTGGTCTTGCTCTAGTTGATAAGGCCAGTACGGTGGTTAATCCCAGGGAGGTCGAGAAAGGAAGGAACAGGCTAATATGCCAAACGGTCCCCAACCTCACCCGCATCGTAAGGTCAGGTGACCTGTTGCTTCCTGCCTAGAGAAATCTTCCTCTCTCTCTTTCCCCCTGGATGAAGAACTAGCCCGACGTGATGACGGGTGGCCCTCATGACGGATTCCAGAGTTACCGGCGACTCGGCGAGCAGCAGAAGGCGGCCACGAAGCCTCGAATACCGAACTTTTGCTTCTTTCTTCGTCTTCTTTTTTTTCTTTTCTTTTTTCTTTTCTCTTCTTTTCTTTTTTCTTTTCTCTTCTTTTCTGTTTTCACGCCCAGGCCCGTCACCAACTAACCGCATGTTCCTCCTAGCAAAGTCGATGCGTCCACGCCAGATATCACCAGCACCGTCCGACCTCTCATGGGACGACTGGTGGCCGCCCGGGCAACATGTCGGAATTGACTTTTTGTCAAATGCGCAATCACAGCAACGAGAATTGGAGAGGAACAATGCCACCGCTAAGCACGTGAAATGTCCTTCCGGGGTCCACCCTCCGGACGAGCTCGAGCCGCCACGACGATAGAGAAGCAGCTGACGAGGGAAAACTGCCGACGACCCAACGAGGGTGGACGCGATTGCAAGTTTCAGCCGGTCCGACGAGGCTGGCGGCTGGAGCCAAACACTCTGTATGTCGGGGACACCCGGCCAAGGTTCAGACTCAATCGCCAAAACAAATTTTCGCCCTGACGCCATCATGTCGATTCCTCACCATGGGCTGAGTCGGGGGGAACACCACCAGGACGTACAAGACGTCTCATCCGAGCTCTCAAGGCCTGGGTGTCCCCGGCACCGACAACAGACCTGACTCCTGCTCGAGGAGGGGAGGACCTGAGTTTGAGGAAAAAGGCTAAACCTTGGCAAAGGAAACGTGATTCCAATTCTTTTTTTTTTCCGCCAATCTTCTCCCCTCCCTGTCCTTCACAAGTCACTACATCAATCGAAAATGGAGCACCCTTTGGACAAGCACATGGCTATCGACAAGCCGGCGGCGGCAGCAGCAGAGGCGCCGGAGAGGTTTTTTGAGGTGCAGTCGCCGGCGAGCTTCGCGGCGCGCATGTGGGCGCGCAAGTACAGCGGGGTGCCGGTGGTGCCGGACGGCGACGTGATCCTCGTCGTCGGGGTCGGTGAGGAGACGGCGGAGCTGCGCGCGGACTCGGTCATCCTTAGGCGGGCGTCACGGGTTTTTGGGGCGATGCTGGGGCCGCGCTTCTCCGAAGGCCAGAAGCTGCTGGACCGCGGGTCGGACCCGGTCAAGATCAGCCTCCCCGACGAGGACCCCGAAGTGATGGAGCTCGTCCTCACCATCCTGCACCATCAGAACGCGCGCGTGTGCCAGATCGCGGCGGCGGACTCGATCCTAGAGGTGGCCGTCATCGCTGACAAGTATGACCTCGTCGATGCGCTAAAGTACGCGTCGCAGACCATGCTGCGCTACCACGAGCCGTCGATTGACCGTCTGACGGTCGGGGACCTGTGGCGGCTGGGCCTGGCGGCGGGGCTGCTCAACGAGGCCAGGTCGTTTGAGAAGATCACGCGCATGCTAGTGTGGAACCACACGATGCCGTACATCCAGCTGGCGGACGCCGAGGACGTCATCGACATCGAGTTTGCGCTGCGCATGTGCTGTGAGTAAGGTTCCGTCCCAGGTGAACGCGGCTGACGACGACAGACCTCCTCGAAAAGGAGAGACAGGACCTCAAGGCGTCCCTGCTGCTGCACCTGCTGCCCATCATCTCGACTGGCAGTCAGCTCCGCCTCGTCGAGATCAAGGTCGACTCGGCGGAGCACTTCGACGCGTGGCCGGAGCTGATGAAGCTATTCGGAGCGAGCCTGCAGGAGACGACAAAGTTCGCCGAGGGACTGGTCTTGGCGGACAGTAGACGCCGTGCGGCGGGACCCGGGTCGGACTTTATGAGGCACTTCAAGGCCCGCGGCGGCATACGCCTGGCGGATGTGCGGAGGGGACGAGACTGACGGACGGTGGTTCTAGAGCGTGTCGATTTTTTCCTTCATCGATCGTCGTTTAGCCTCAGCGGACAGCGGGACCAATTGCATGGGGTGGGGTGGGTAGGTGGCATTGAATTTCAAGTTTATTTTCATTTAACTCCGTACGCTATTCTTCTTAACCGAGGGGGGCTCGCAGACATCCGAGGGCCCATCGAGGCGGCTTCGGTAATTAGCAGCCGCTCGGTCAAACGCCGTTCACTGCACTCGTCGTAAAAGCCACGTTGGGGCCCGCTTGATAAGCCAGGGTGGGTCCGCGATGGGGCTCGTTGTGTAAACGCTCGTCCCGTTGTCGAATGAGATTCTCGCACGATCCGGATTTGAAGACCCTTGACCAAGGCAATAAGCAGCCCTGCTAATCCAGTTTAGCAGGTGGCGGACTCTCCCAAGAGCCGACGGTACGGGAAGCGCCAGTTAACCTATGCAGGGAGCCTCCCAGCCAGCAAGGTGATCTCCATACATTCGGCTCCGGCAAACCGCATCCGAAGACAATTGCGAAAGACTCGTGGTTCGGGAGACATCGGGTGGAGCAAGCATCGAGTCGTCGTCTCTCGGGCGACACTACGGGATTTAGTAGTCAAACTGACGTGTCGGACGGCGCAGCCTGCGGTTCGTTCGTTGGTCCCCTTATCGTTCGGTTGGAGATGGACAGTCCAGATCCGGGGGGTTTCCCAAGCCCCAACAGGCAATGGACACCCGTTTGTCGGCCCATCCACTATCTAATCCTTGTGAAGCATGTTTGCCAACAGCAATGGATTGAATGGCGCAGTCATATTATAGCCTGGCTCTTCGCATGCTTGGCTTCGGGCGCGTGTTTGTGTCGTCGCAGCCAACCCCTGACAGTCGTCCGAAGTCTTGCACTCGCATTCGTGGCTTTGTACGGAGTATCCATAATGAAGAAAAAAGGGTAGCGGTTACCAGGCAGACACGCTAAGGGTCAAAACTGGGGCAGCACTTGAGTCATCAAAGTACCTCTTGAAGTCTCTCACTTAGCGTGCACAGACCCCAGCACAGACTAACTTACCCTTTTGCTAAGGAAAAAAAGAAGAAAACAGAGATATCTCTATTAGCTTAAAGTGCATCTAGAAAATAGTAGCATAAATCAACTTTTTAGAGAGATCTACCCCCAGGAGCCTTACTTAAGCTAATAGTAGCCTAGAGTATCTATATATACTATTAGAAAAGCTTTTTTTTTTTTTTTTTACTTAGAGTTAAGGATTTGAAGTTGGTGGTGTAGAGATAGACGGGAGGTGGGTTAGTTACTTAAGAGGAGGTGGGTCAGTACTTAGAGACACCTGGTCTGAGATGCTAAGTTTGATCCACAGTGTCTGCCTGCCAACCGCTACCGAAAAAAGGAGAGTGCGTGTGGATATGAGCACTCAACTCCGTCGGAGTTGGACGCTGCACCTCGGCACAGAGGTTGAGGACCCGCCGTGAGTGAACCGCTAACCCATGCTGACGTATTTGGTGCCCCGCTAGGGCCACACTGGGCCCGTTCAGCAGAGTCAAACCAGGCTTAAAAGGGAAAAGAAAAAGGAAGGAAAACGCGCGCTGATCCACATCCATGCAACTGCGTTCGTCCATGCTCCCAACGCCTGCCATCGCACCCTGACAAAGCCAAATCGGTGCAATCCCGCTCAATGCCACCCAATCCCGTCCCCGTCATCACACGCCGGAAATGGGAATGCTATAGACCCCGTCCGCCTGCAACTTTGCCTTTAGCCTGGCCTCAGGCCCGGAGATAACCACTATCTGCTGTTGTCCCCGGACGAGCAGGCGGATTCCTTGTCGTTTAGCCATGGACTATCCGTAACACGAACCAAGTGCTCGGGTGGGCATGCACCGGTGGAGCGTCACGCCCCTTGTCGCTGGGTCTCATACGGGGGCACCGACGAAGGGGATGGAAGTAGTATTAGAAATGCACACTGCGACCGTGGTATATAGGACAACCCGCCGTCCGGTTCTTCAGTCACATCTCGCCCTAGATCTCTTCATCTGGAAAACTTTGACCATTGCACTTGACGATCTCTCAGCACGTTACCCGCAGCCAACAGGAAGCTTATTAGCCCCGTGTCAAGCCAGGACCCCCCCGACCCCTTCACAATGGCGTCACCGCCGCACTCCTCGTCGTCCTCAATCACGGCGACCGAGGCCGACGTCGAGGCCCAGAAGCCCGTCAGCAAGGCCAACTACTTCCACCACCTCTTCGACCAGGCCGGTGTCACAGAGGCCGTCCTCGAGAACAAGTACCCCGGCGAGGGCACCGACGACGCGCCCTATGTCGTCGACTTCCTCCCCGGGGACGATCGCAACCCCCAGACCTTCCCCAAGTGGAAGAAGTGGACGTACACCCTCGAGCAGGCCGTCGCCACCCTGGCCGTCGCCTTCGTGAGCACGGCCTACTCTGGAGGCATCGGCTCCGTCATCCGTGACTTTGGCGTGTCCACCGAAATCGGCATCCTGGGCGTGTCTCTGTTCGTCGTGGGCTTCGCCGTCGGCCCCCTGATGTGGGCTCCCTTGTCCGAGCTCTACGGCCGCCAGTTCCTCTTCATCGCAACTTACACCGCACTGACGGCCTTCAACGCCGGTGCCGCCGGCGCCACGAACATCGAGACGCTCATCATCCTCCGCTTCTTCGCTGGCACCTTCGGTGCCTCGCCCTTGACCAACGCCGGCGGCGTCATCGCCGACATGTTCAGCGCCGAAGACAGATCGTTTGCGACCGCTATATTCGCCTCGGCCCCCTTCCTGGGACCCTCGATCGGTATGTCTGCCCTTACTGTGTCCGGCCCCTGCTGCAGCGCCCGCTAACACATCTAGGTCCCATCGTTGGTGGCTTCCTCGGTGCCGCCGAGGGCTGGCGCTGGGTTGAGGGCCTGATGGCCATCTTCACCGGCACGCTCCTCATCATCGTCGGCCTGACGGTCCCTGAGACCTACGCCCCCGTGCTCCTCCGCCGCCGCGCCGAGAAGCTCTCCAAGATCACCGGCAAGTCGTACATCTCCAAGTATGAGGCCCACCAGCCGCGCAAGACCGTCGTCCAGCAGTTCAAGGTCGCCCTCTCCCGCCCCTGGATCCTCCTGTTCAGGGAGCCCATCGTCCTCCTGACGTCCATTTACATGGCCATCATCTACGGCACCCTCTACATGCTCTTCGCTGCCTTCCCCATCGTTTTCCAGCGCTACCGCGGCTGGTCCCCCGGTGTCGGCGGCCTGGCTTTCCTGGGCGTCGCCGTCGGCATGGTCGCCGCCGTCACCTACACGGCGTTCGACAGCCGTCGCTACGTTAAGGTGTCTGCCGCTCACGGCGGCTTTGCTCCTCCCGAGGCCCGCCTGCCCCCCTCCATGATCGGCGCCTGCCTCCTGCCCATCGGTCTCTTCTGGTTCGCCTGGACCAACGGCATTGAGATCCACTGGATCGTCCCCATCATCGCCTCGGGATTCTTCGCCGCCGGCTTGGTCCTCGTCTTCCTCGGCCTGCTCAACTACCTCATTGACTCGTACGTCGTCTTCGCTGCCAGCGTCCTCGCCGCCAACGCCGTCTTGCGCTCCCTCTTCGGCGCCGCCTTCCCGCTATTCACCACGCAGATGTACGAGCGCCTCGGCATCCACTGGGCCTCGTCCGTCCCGGCCTTCCTCTCCCTCGCTTGCCTGCCCTTCCCCTTCCTCTTCTACAAGTACGGCCACGTGATTCGGAAAAAGTGCGCTTTCGCCGCCGAGGCCGCCGCCGTCTTGGAACGCATGCGCCAGACGAACGAGGATGTCAACGAGGACGAGGCCATGGCCGAGGAGGAGAAGAACGAGCGCGCGCGCGCTGGGTCCGCCAACGGCGCCGGCGTGCTGTCGGACGACGAGCGCACCGTGCAGGACGAGCCCCGTGATGACGAGGTCGCCCGCAAGGTGCAGGCCTAGGTTTGAGCATATTCTTGATAATCACTTATTTTAAATGTTCGGATGGGAAAGACGAAAATACCCGGTTAGAGGCATGTGTCACGGCCACTGTCTAGCATTTGTATGGAGTTTTGGTAAAATCTTTTTTGCGTTACCGGGGCAACAGGATCCACATGGATACCAGATGGATGCAGTTTCTGCACAAGTATAGATAGAGTAATAGAGTTCCGCGAGACTTAAGCCGTGTCGCCCGAAGCTAAAGCTCGTCCCGCTCCCGTCCGCCAATCTTGATCTTCAGTCCCGGAATATTCTTGACCTTGAGGCTGCGCGACCCCGTGATCCGCACGTTGCCGCCCCCGACGTCCTCGGCCGGCTTCTGACCAGGCGGCGTCCACGGCCTGACGCGTCCCTGCCATACGTCCAGCCCCCACCCCTGCAGCTCGCGCGGCGTGAGAGCCCTACCCTTGGGGTACGGGTAGATCCGCCCGTTCGACAGCTGGTGCACCGCGCCGGCGGGGTAGCCGTCCTCGGAAGGGTTGAGGCCCAGCTCGGCCGGGAGGTCCGGGAAGTAGGTCGGGTCGACGGTCACGGCCGTCAGGGACGAGTACTGTTTCTTTGCAAAATCGTGGAGGTCGTCGCGGATGGAGGCGCGGACTTGGGGCGACGGCGAAAAGATGTAGACCATTGGCCAGCCGCGCTGGGTTTCACGGTCAGCCGATTCGGTGATTGTTAGGATTAGAGGGGGGGGGGGGGCGGTTACATCGAGGAAGCGTTGGTGGTTCGAGCGAGTGAGCTCCGCGATGACGGGCCTCGAGGCCTCAACGACCCACGCCTCTAGCTTGTCGTCGGCAGATCGGGTGTGCACGCTCTCGTCGTCGCGTTTGTGGCAGACGACCTTTGCTTCTATGACGTCCGGGCTGTTGTCGACGACGCCAAAGGTGAACTCGGTCCAGTACTTACTCGCTACGGCCTCGAACGCCTGACGGGCTGCCGTGTCGGGCGACAGGTGCCCGATGCAGACAAAGTCGTCCACATCCTTAAAGGAGTCGACTTCCTTGGCTGACAACGTTGCAACTGGGGCTTGGGAACAGCGCTCGGCGCGGCTGAGGAAGCGTAGTATCCTGGGACGGTGTCAGCCACACACAGCCTTTCCGGAGAGGGGAGGGGCCGTACTCGTCACTGGTTCGTGGTCCGGGATACTCTACCGACGGCTGGCCGTCGCGGAGGAGCCTGATTGAAGGGTACTCGTCTGCCGGCAGGCCGGCGCAGAGCTCGTCGGCGGGGTTATCGATCCAGCTCATGGGAAACTTGGTGGAAGACTGCGCTGCCTTCCACTCCGCCTCCAGCAGCCTCGAATTTTCCGACGGCTGTGGAAGCTGGTCAGTACTATGCGCAAGACGCCATCCACGCATCACCCACCTCGACACCTACGCCAGTTAGCTCAGGCTCATTTTGAATGCTCGGGGGACTTACAGGCAATCAGCCTCATCTCCTGGGTCTCAGACACAGGATCCTCCGCGCCGAGCGGCGCTTGCTCCTGAGAAGCCACGCCCACGAGCAGCGGTACCCAAAAGCCCACGCGCAGGAGAGCAGAGAAGTTCATTGTAGGTATCTTACTTCGGGGTAAGTTGTAGATGGAGAAAATCGAAGCCGGGAAACGGTGGGACGTCGTCTAGTACCCCCTGTTTGGCAGGCGACAGGGATGTTCTCCTACGCCAGGGTTGAGAGTCCAGGTCGCGTCGTATGAAACGACAGCATGGTCCCAAAAATCGACCCTCTAGGTGTGTCGATCAGTTCCGACTGTTCTTGATGATGCCGAATGGCCATTCTTTCTCCTGTGCAAAGAGCGCATTCGGCTTTGCATCGACGAGGAAAGTTGTGACTGGCCCTCTGTCGACGTATGAAGTGATTGTCAAGCTAGCCACTCCGCTTCAATTAGAGAAGTCGAACTTGTTGCAGAGACAAGTCAACCAAACAACTGAAGTTCAAACCCCGCCGACGACACTCAATAGCCTTCGCTCGTCCCTAGCTCCAGGTCTTCGGACTTTCCACGTCAGGGAATTTAGATACACCTGCCATTGATGAATGTAGTCGCTCTAGACCCCCATTAGCGGTTTAGTGCAGTCCACCTGGTACATATCACGATAATAAAAACCCCATACGTAACATCTCTGACCTGCGCTACATCTCAATCTCTTAATACGGTACAGGATACCCGATAACGCATAGCAAATGCCTAGTATACCGAGATTCGTGAGGATTCTAGACTCCATCGAGGACAACACTGAGCCCAGCTACTTTGTAAGATGTCACTTATATTAGTACTGAATAACTTAGTCAAACCCACTCCACTCATCTTCACCCCCGTCGTCTTCGTCACTCCCAACCTCCGAGTCCTCGCTCTCATCCTCCCCGCTCGAATAGGCCTCCCCCCCCGCCAGTACCTGCGTCGGGGCCGCAACGGCATCCTCCAAGACCACAGGCTCCCCCGTACTCTTCAGCACCGGCATTCCCGCCATGTCCCTCACGATTCGCCCGTCCTCGTCCCTGGCGTACGGCCCATCCTCGTTGGCCGAATCCTTGCTGCCGTCCCGCACGAAGGCGGCTACGAAAAAGCCCATGACGCCGTGGCCATCGCCCTTGTACGTCCGGATGCACGCCTCCGCCACGGCCTTGTCGCCTCCAGCCGCCTCGGGCAGCCCGCGGACGGGCCACTCGCGCATCCCGCGGACCTGCTTCTCCCGCGGCAGGATCTTCCACCCGCGCTCCCTCGCGACCTCGGAGGCGAGGGCCTTGATCACGACCCCTTCGTTTTCCTCCGCGTGGATCGAGCAGGTAGAGTAGGATATCTTCTTCGCCGAGGGGAACTTCATCGCGTGGAGCAGCAGCGTCAGCTGGAACCCAGCCAGCGCGTCAAGGCGCCTCTGCAGCTCCTGCTCCGACTGCATCTCGACGGCGTTGCCGTCGTCGTCGACCGTCACCGGTTTCTCCTCGGCATGCTTCCGCTTGCGGCTGACCTGCGGCTTCCCTTTGGTGCCCTTGGCGGCGACGGGGCCGGGAACCTCGGGCAGATGCAATTCCGGCATCGAATCCCGTCCCACGATACCGCTGCCCGAGCAGCTGGGGTCCAGAAGCAGGGCCCCGACGCTCTTGTAGGCGCCCGCCTTCGGGTCGACGTCCAGAAAATCCTGGCCCGGTCCGATCTTGGTCAGGTCCCTGCTGCCCGCGATCTTGACCATCTTCTCCAGCGTCTGCGCTCTCCGAGGGTCCCTCTCGAACGCGAAGATGGTCTGCTTCTGGGCACCCTGCTCCGGCTCGTGCGACTTGACGATGGCGGCCAGGTGCGTCGTCTTGTTTCCGGGAGCCGCGCACGAGTCGATGACGTCGCCGTCTTCCGACCGCGGGTCGAGCAGGTACGCGGGAAAGCAGGAGGCCTTGTCCTGCAGAATAATCTCCCCCTTGAGGTACGCCGGCGTCTTGGTCACATCCGTTCCGGGCGATGCTGCCAACAGGTTGGGGACGTGCGCGTCGATGAAGATGGCCTTGCCCGCTGACTGCGTCACAGCTTCGACGGACGGCGCCCTCTCGTACGCCTTGAATGTCGTCTCGAGCTGGTCCTCCACAGTGCTCTTGAGCGCGTTCACCCGGATCCACCGGGGGTGTCTCCCCTCGGGGTCGGCGTTCGCGTTGACGTCCGCCCTCAGCGCCTCCAGGGACGGCATCTTCCTCCGCAGCCTCGCGCGGGTCAGCTCAGAGGCCAGCCTGGCCTTGTGCCGCTCGATAGATGTCCTCAGGCCATGGGATTGCGGCAGCGCAATGCCCTTCTTGGCCAGGAGGAAGTCGTGCACCAACAGCAGCGCCAGCACGGGGGTGAGCTGCGATGAGGTCAGCGATGCCCGGGCAGGGGCGGCGCACGGGGACTCACTTTGCGCTCGTGGCGTAGGATCTCGGCCGCCTCGACGACCTCCTTCAACACGGCGCTCCACTTGCACGTCTCGAGCGCGAGGGCGTAGACTTGGGCGGGCGGCGACTTGAGGCCCTTTTTGCCAAACACGCGGCTCTTGAGGCTGCCGCCGTGGTCCGGGCTCGCCGAAAGGATCTCGGCCGTCTCGTGATACAGCGACATGGCGGCGGTGACTATCCAGTCAATCAACCAAAGGAATGCAGACGTCACCGGCGTTGGTTTCCGGCGTGGTGCATCCCGTCTCGGTGTGCGGTTGTGGGGAACGTCGGCGGTAGAGGTGAAGTTTTCTGCGGTGGGGCACCGTGAGTTCGGAGAATTTATGGGGATCGGCGGCAGCGCACAGGCTGCCGTTCAACTTTCCAGCGGATCTGTCTTGTCGTCCTCCTTGCCGGGCGGCCGAGGAGTTATCGCTGGTACGAGCACACGAATCAGAGGATCTCCTGGCAGTGGGAAATGAGGTCAAATTCTTGCGCAGACGAAACCTTAAAACGACGTCGTGGCGGTCTAGGCCACGTGCCTCGCAGTTCAATTGCTGGGCGCCTCAGACATCACGTTACGCTTTGGTTGATGGCAGTCTCTGGTTCAATTTCATATAATCTACCAGAGTATCACCCAGTTTTTGTCTTTTCAAAATACCTTCCCAAATGCGGAACGTCTCAGCGAGGTCCGTAGAAAGAATCGAATGTACGCGTCACGGAGACAAAGAAGCGGATCCATTCGCCCCTTGCTCGTGTCCCTGGTTTCTCCCCGATACGAGGTTATGTATGTATCTGATCATCATCGTCGTAAGAGGCACAAAAAGCAAATCGAAAAAAAATAAAAAAAAAAATCGGCAGCGACGGCGGTGTTCTTCCTCGCACAGAAGGGACGCTCTCAAGCCCCGCATTCCATACCCAGTGTGCGTGTTCAAACCAGCCGTTGGTATAAGTTCTTAAACTCCCTCCCCAGCCACAGCCCTAGACTATCTAACGAAGAGAACTTTGGTACAGGCACAAAAACTTTCGAGTGTGAGGGGAAAACTCTTTCACGGTGGGCCAGCCCGCTTAGTCGTGATGGCTGCGGTGACGGTGCATGTGCTCGTGGACGTGGCGGCGAGCTTTGCTGTAGTCGTCGGCCTCCGGGGTGGCGGCGGCGGCACCGGACTCCTCGGAGGGAGTAGTGACGGTGACGGTCTTCCACATTGTCCTGGTCCTGCGGGTGCAAGATGTCTTCTTGGAGGGCTCGGAGCCGCCCAGGCTGACGGCGGGTGCGGTGGGAGCGGCCTCGGTGGGCTCGGCAGGCTTGGTGCTCGCCTGCACCGGAGCAACCTGGATGGGCAGTTGAGAGGAAGCAGCGGCGGCGGAAGTCTTGGGTGCCCCCCCCTGGCTGACGGCACCGGACGCAGCCTTGCTGGCGGAGGGCTGGGCGGGCGCGACGGGAGGGGCGCTACTGGCAGGCTTGACCGCTGCGCCGCTGCCGCTTCCGCTTCCGCCAACGAGGGGGCCGAAGGAGAAGCCGCTGAGGAGGTTGTCTCCGGGAAGACTCTGGAGAACGCCATCAGTGACCTCGTCAAGAGGCGAGGAGATCGTGCAGTCCTTGTCGGTGTTGAGGCCCTTCAGCAGACCGGGGCACTTGTCCATGCCGGAGGAGCCGGCGTTACAGTTGTCGATGATCTGCTGGAGGACGTCCTCGTCCCAAGCGGCGATGAAATCTGCGTGGAGACTGTAGCCGGAGGCGTCGCCGTTGGAAAGGACGAAGGGTTGGGCGCCCTGGCCGGGAGTCCAGCGGCTGGCGAACTTGGGCGTGTCCCAGTAGACCTCGAAGAACATGTGGGGGACGTGGATCCATCCCTCGGGGCAGTTCGCGCGGCGACCGTTCGACGCGCCCTTGCGGGAGGGCCAGGCCATACTCTCGTAGTCACTCAGCGCGGCCTTGGGGTTGTAGCATGAGGGCATGTGGATATCGGCACGCAGGGGGGAGCCGAAGCCGTCACAGTTCTGGTCGGGGAAACCGACGCCGGAGCCCTTGTTGTTGGGGTCGACGATGCCGGCGGTGGAGCCGTCAGAGTTGGCGGGGTACGAGGGCGGGTCGTAGCTCGACCTCGGGCAAGTCCACTGGACGGGCTGAATAGGGCCGTCCTCAGGCTCGAGGTTCTGCTTTGCGCCGGTAGAGGGCGGGGCACGAGCGGAGGCATTGCCGCTGAAGATCTGGAGGCCGCGGGGGAAGGCCTTGATCTCGTCGTCGGTGCCGTCGAAGCTGTGATTGTTAGTTTGTTTCACCTGGCGGCAACATGGACACTCACAAGTAGTAGACGTTCACATAGAAGACATCGACCGACTCGAAAGCTTGGGTCTTGGGGTCGCGGAAGTACAGGGAAGGGAACCAGTAGGCACTGTTGTCGCCGCTGATCATGGCATTGCTGCACTTGGACTGGGCAAGGGTCTCGCCGGTGGCCGACATGCCGAAGTTGCTGCCTCCCATGACGCCGTGGACGTGGGAGGAGATCTTCCCGGGGTCGATGATGGGGTCAAGGCGGGTCTTGACGAGCTGCTTGTTGTTGAAGCGGAGGACTGCGAAGGTTCTATCGTCGGACTTGGAGCCAGCCGAGGCGGCGCCAAAGAGGGCGGCCAGCGAGGCGGCGGCAGCGAACTTCATGGCTGCGGTTGATTTGGGGGATGAGATGTGAGAAGTGGGAAGGACGGGCAGGTATAAGGCGGTCTGCGGGAGTCTTGCTGGTTTTGGGTAGAGACTGTGGTTGCTATTACCGGAGCACCTTTCGAAAAGTATGGGTGATTGCTCGGTGATGGCGGTGACTCGGATGAGTGGGTGAGTGAATGAACGGAATCAGACAGATCAGAGACGTTGTCTAGGTGTGGTAATGAGAGGCGTGCTAAGCAAGCTCAGCTTTCGATTTTTGAAAAAGAAGGATAAAGGAGAGAGAAGAAATGACCAGCAAGGTTCGACAGTGGAAAAAACGGTGGAATGGGGAAGGTGAGGTTGAGTGTAAATCACGGAGGGAGGAAGTGGGCGATATAAACATCAAGCATCATGGACGACGACGGCGTGTGGCAGTTGGCGGACGCAAGGTACCTGGGATGAGGGTTGGGATGGTAATTCATCAGCACTAAGAAGACGCTAGGAGGGGTGACCAGATATGCTCGGCCGTGACGCCATGGAGAATCCGCGAAAGCGCGAGCCTTGAAAGACTGGCGATGCAAGTCGACCCAAGCGCAGGGCGTAGAGGAGTGAGGGGGTGAGTGTACAGCATGCCTTGGCAGAGAGTCAATGATGGGATGGATGCAGGCAAGTTCGGACGAGCAAAGTACCACCTTGGGCGACGGAGATGAGTGGCTGGTTTGCCTGTATAGAAGCAGCAGACGGGCGGGGAGAAGAAACGAAACGGCGGCAAGCTGGGTGACAAGCTGACGCCCCCCTTGGCCGACCCACTCTTGCGGTTTCCTCTACCTACTATGTACTATCTACTCCGTATGTGTGCTATGTACCGGTACGCATATCCGTACGCAGAAGAACGCATTGAATAGGGGGCGGAATGCACAAAAAAAGTCGGGATGGCATGTTCCTGCAGAATGCATAAAATCCACAGCAGCCCATTGGCTGGATCTGGGCTCGGCTGCTGACTTTGTGCAGGTCGGCGGCCGGCTCGTCGCGCAGTGTGACGCCCGGGGCTGTCCTGGGCCCCCGAAGCCTCTCTTCCTTTTCTTCACTAGCGCTGCGCTGCGCGAAGTGGCGTCCAGTCACCGGGAGCTGAGGAGAGGGGACTGCCAACGGGCTTCAAGTTTTGATTTTGCGCCCGTTTGTGGCGGGAACCACCTGTGCTTGGAAACGAACACCCAAACGACACTATTTGACGCTCAGGGCTTGGTGGCGGTCTTGACACTGCACATCGCTATTTTCCAGGGGGGGCAAGGCAAGCCGAAAATGACGTGTTGCCGGCTTGTCAGAGTGTTTTGGGTTTGTTCAGTTGGCCTGCAGTGAGTATCCGTACACACACTATTATCAGGTGCGATGTCGTCGCCGTGGAAAGAAAGAGCACGTGATGCTGCTCAGGTCAGAGGCGGAGCTTCCCTGATGATCATGGCAGCCCCTTCTTCCCTTGATATGGGGGGGCCTCCAAAGGCCATGACTTCTGTTCGTCGCTGTCTCCAACGTCTTCAGTTCGGCAGCGAAACGAGTAACTGGGAAGACACCAGGGAGGCAGCTAACCTTATCCGGGCAAGCGGTTCCTGGGCTGCTTGTCACACTTAGGCAGGGGTTCCCCCTGCGTGCCAGATTGCAGGGGCTCAGCAGCCTGAGAAAACCCGAAAACTATTCGAGGACGATTGGGTCGATTCGCCTGCCTTGACCGAACATTGAGCACGCTCCCGTCAGTTGTCTGTCAGACCAAAACCCACGTCGTGCGGAATTTGAGGGTCAGCCTTGGTGAAACCACACCGACGCACAATCGAGCAAACAATCCCTTTCTTGCCTCCAGCCGGGTTCGGGAATGCCCATGTCTCTCCCACCTTGCTGCCCGGGCCAAAGATTTTTCTAGCTGCATAACTTGGGCGCCCGACACCACCACCTCGGCCTCGTCGGGGGCATGGTGCCCGAGTTGAGTCCGCCGCCGAGCGATCCTAATCATTCTTGCGGATGACGACTCGGCTTTGACCGCTCCAAGAGCCGCTCATGAATTCCGCCCTAGTGAATCCGGCGAGGCCCAGACTCTGTCGATGCTAGCCTTCGTTCTGTCCTGACCCCTGCTTGGTGTTCATCCCATGTCTACCCGCCTTCTCGGGAAACAACCACGGGCGATCCAGCCGCTGCCCCCGACTGCCCCTGACGAGAGACGCTGGAAACGCGCCACCCAATAATATGTCTAGCAGGGGCAACACCTACGGCCGCCGCTTGCCGGCGCTATTCCTGCCGACACGCACGACCTGGTCGATACACCTGGGTTGTCAAACACACCGCGGCTTCTGCCTGACTTTGCGCCAACTCAACGTGGGTGGTGGCAGGACGCCAGCACTGAGTGGTAGTTTGACATGTCTGAATAACGCCTTGGAGGGTATCGGTAGTCCACTTGTCTTCAGACATTCACCGCCATCATTTCCATATCGTCGTCAGTTTTCAACATCGCCTCCCATGTCGTTTGCGGGCGGAGCAGCATCTTTTGCAATGTGGACGTGCATGGGATTGTGCAACGCCACAGCGCCTCGTCTTCGGTACTGCCAGCCCCAAATACGGTGTTTGTACGAGGGTAAAGGCCTCAGCTGGGATGAATGACGGGCGAGACTGATGATACATACAGTTTATCTCCAACACAGCAGGCTCTGTTGTCTGGGCAGAGCGGCTCTCTCTCTACTATGAAAGCAATCCAAGCTTGCCCCTTAGCCGCTGAAAGTGCCGGAATCGTAGGCGCTTTTGTAACGCTCCCCCCCCAGATGGCGGTCCGCCCAAGCCAACGAACGAAAACTGCGAGCCAGACATCGACAACCGCAAAGTGTTGGTGAAACAGATTGCCCCCGAAGCTGGGACAACCGACATTGCTTGGGACGGCGCAATTACCGCCCGCAACCATCTCGTCTGCAGCACGCTGTCAGCACGGAGGAGCACCTCGCCATCCCATTCGCCAATCTTGCTACATGGCCTCTCAGGTACTGCACCTCTCGACCGCCACCGGCAGTTTGGCATGCAAGCTTTGCTTAGCTTTCTTATTCATGTCGGAAGTTGCGATGATCTTTTGATGAGATGACAGTTGCTCCTGCACTTAATTTAATCTCTGCCTTCAACGGATTTAGCCTGATCGCTGCGCACGAAGCCAGACGGTGCCATGATGCCATCCCATGTCCAGCACGTGTCGCCGAGTTCCGAGCTACAGTCGTATGGCGAAGCTAGCTTGCCCTGGCAGAGCAGAGGGCGAGCACACCACTGCTCCCGTCCCCCGTGAGGGGTTTCCCTTATTTTCACCTCTGTGGCCGGCGTAGCTTCGGCTCTGGACCTTGCTGCTAGCGACTCCAAAAGCCTCGTCCCTGCATAAGCGTGTTCACCACCGCTCACCGGCGCGCGTCTAGTTTACCGATCGCCTCCCTTGCCCCTCTTCTGCTCCAAGGGGATGGTGCGAGATAGGGCCCAATGCCGCGTACCTGGTTCCAGAGACATCAGGCCTGGACCCGGGTCTGACAAGTCACGACCCTCGGAGACCCTCTGATGCCCATGGCCTTGTGAACGGCCACGAAGACGCCAGCCCTCGAGTTCCACGAGAGGCGCTCGGTGCAAGCCGCTCGTTTCCTCCTGTTCTCGAAGCCGTACGGATAGTTATGCTGCTGACCCGGGGTCTTTTATCGCCCGGATGCTGTCTTGGACCGGATGACGAATCGCGGTTGCAGGTTTGCCGTGTGCTACCCTGCTTCATGGTCGCGCAGAGCCCCCGAGGAGTGGGTGGGTTGTACATACATAACTTTATGTCTGCGGCCGGACGTTCAACCAAGCCGTGGTGCAAACTTCCAATCGTAGGGGGTTTCTCCGGCCAGGCTTTATATGTGCAACGCTCATTTCCGGCCCAAGACCACTGTTAGTTTCACCTTACTTTTAATACTTGGAAACCATATGAACGAAGATGGTATTCGACTGCAAACCCTGAGTTATTTACACTCGAGAACGTCGCCAATGCGACAGTGCCATATCCCTAGGGCCATTGCCTTTGTATCAGTGACATTTGCCACCCCTCTGATTAGTGGACAGAAGTCCATCGCTCTACCGGCTTGTAACGTGGCACAATCGCGCCTATTCATCATGCTCTTGTGGCCAGCAAGCGGCGACCTCGAGCTCGCCGTTCTTGCCCGTCTCGAAGCTGAGCGCCACGGTCCCGCCAAACTCGAGAGGACTGTCCTCCCACACCACAATGTCGCTGCTCCTGGGGAGGCCGAGGATGTCCTCGACGTTGGAGGAGACGAGGCGGACGGCCTCCTTGTTGCCGAGGCCGGCGTACTTGGCGGCCCACGCCGCCTCGAGAGCGAGGTCGTGGATGCGGTAGTCGGCGGGCATTACTATAAGCGTTTGTCAGCGGGTTCCCTTACGCGTCTGCGCCTCTTTCCATCGGCAACTCACTGTTGGTGACAATGGCAACGGCGAAGTAGACGCCTGCCTCGCTCAGGATCCGAGCGGCACTTGGGGTCAGAGGCGGGCCAACGACGGCGTCGCGGCGCCGGAAAGAGGTGGGCGCCGGGCGGGTCTCCGTGAGGATGACGGGGATTTGGGACTCGGCGAGCTCTAGAGCGACCTGGTTATCTGGTTAGGGCAGTTCCCCGGAGGGTTCCTCTCGAGCACTCACCAATGGCGCCTCGGCACCGCCCTGGATGACAATATTCGCGTCAGGAAAGTCCTTTTTGATGTTGATGATTTGTTGAATGTCCCACTGGCTTCATGTCAGCTTCCACCACATGGTACCTGCCGGACCCGACTCACGTGGTTGTTGGCGTTGATGACGAGCGGCAGCTTGCCGGAGGCAACCTCACCGAACGTCGTCTCGTTGTGCTTGCCTCTGCCTTCGACGAGGATCTTGCGCAGCTTCTTCACGGCGGTGCTGATGGTACCCACGCTGGCCTTGGCCTTCTCGTCGATGGTGACGTGAAGCGCGACCTCGGGTCGGAAGACTCCGCCGTCGAGCAGGGTGCGGCCGGTACGGGTGAGAATGCCCACGCTGACGCCGTTGACAAAGCCGCCCGCATTGTCGCCGAGGGGCGGCGTGATGGCACGGGTGATGCCGCCGATGCGCGCACGGGAGAAGGCTTTGCCCTCCAGCTGGACGCCGTACTTTGCAAAGACCAGGTTCTCTGGGTCGTTGCCGTCTTTCTTCGGGTCCACGCTGCCATCTCCGGTAGATTCCTCCGACGCAATCTCAACCATGCCGAGAGAGGTCGTCACGGCCGTCAGGCCCGGGAGGAGGTGGCCGTTGGAGAGATCGAGGGTGATGGCCTCGGCTTCCGTTGACACCCGGGCGACCGCCGACGAACAGCCCCGGGGCGTGTCAAGGCAAGTCACCGCCCCGTTGCTGACGACGAGCGTGTAGTTGCCACCGCTGGCGTCGCGAAAGACGGTCGGCACCTGTGGATGGTTCTCGAGGAAGGTGCTTGTGATACCGTTGATGACGAAGTTTGCCTCGGCTTTCTTGGTCTTTCTGCAGAAGGTTTCTCTCTTCCCGGGCTCAAGCTCCGTCCGCATCTTGGGTGCTACGGGGAGAGCCTCCTGGGTCGATGCCTCGTTGAAGGCCGTGCCCATGCTCTCCTGGACGATTGGATTCTCCAGCTGAGGGTTACCGTCGATGTAAACCTGCAGAGGGGTCGCGCCGACGGACAGCGGATGGGCGTCCCAGACAACCAAGTCAGCGTCGTAGCCCGGACGAGCGTACCCGACACGATACCCCAGGTCGATTGCGTTCGCAGGGATGGACGTGACGGACTGTAAAGCCTTGTCTTCCGGGAGGTGGAATGCGTGCCCAACGCCCGCTTGGAACATGATGTACTTGGCGTTTGTCCTACAAGATGGCGTTAGTTTCAGCTCTCCTAAACTCGACGAAATGGGGATACGCGCTCTTCTTCTACATGATCACTCTTAAAAGCAACGGGGATGCCGTGCTCGTTCAGAATCCTGCTGGCCGACAGGCTTGGGGAGTAGCCCTCGAACTTGTACAAGCTAAACTCGGCAAATGTGGCGATGGTGACGTTTCTGTGAGGGTTAGCAGAGGTCGCTGCAGGACATGGTGGTTACGTACTCGCCATACGCCTTGAGCATCTCGGGAACCTGCCAGGCCTCGAGGGCGTGATGGAAGGCCCGGACCCGGACGCCGTACTCCCGGGTGACTCGAAGCATGGTTTCAAAGTCCTCTGGAAGGTAGCAGTGGTTCTGCATGGAGACTCGGCCACGCAGCATGCCCACGGTCGACTCGAGCCTCAAGTCGGTGGGGAAGTCGCCGCTCTCCTTGAAGAAGCGGAGCTTCAGCTCGTCGGACCGGGCCGACATGCTGGCAACGCCCTCGCAGTACTCATCCTGCTTCTGCAGATGCTCCTTGGCTTTGGCAAACTGGTCACGCAGGATGTAGGCGTTGCCCATGCTCGTGTGGCCGTAGAGCCGCTTGGGGTTCTCGCCGCACGCCAGCTTCATGTAGCGGTGCCGCTCCTCGACCGGGATGTTGTGCTCAAGGAGCAGCTCCTCGACAACGTACTCGCCCAGTTCGCCGGCCTTGAGGACGTTCTTGACGACGGTCGCCTCGCCGCCCATGATGTTGGCGGAGCCCGGCAGAATGAGAGACGTGGTAACGCCGCCTGACATGATGATGCGAGCGGCGCCGTCGTATGCCTTCATCGAGTCAAGGACGCGCATGAAGGGTGTTAGCGGGCCGTATGCCTTGTTTACCTCGTTCTCGTCCCCCGTGATGGGAAGCGCGGGCCACAGGCTGCTGAAGTGGTGCGAGTGCATATCGACCAGGCCGGGGGTCACGAAGCGACCGTGCAAGTCGTGTTCGGTAGCCCCGTCGGAGGTGATGGCTTTGGAGGCCGTTGTCGCAAGCTCGGTGACCAGGCCCTTCTCGAACCTGATATCCATGGGCTCAGGGGCGATGGACTCTCCGTCGAAGAAGGTCATGTTGCGCAGCACGACCGGCTGGTTCTGTCCATGGGCCGAGTTCCATCGCGGGTTGGCCTTGCGGGACTCGGGCTTGGGGCTCTCGGGGAAGGTCTTGAGTGCAGCGCAGTGCTTGACGGCCTCCTCGAAGCGAGCCAGATGGGTGGACGAGGAGGCATGCTGGGCAGCGTCGCGGTAGTAGGTTTCTCGCCCGAGGTGAATGGTATGCCAGGCGACAAGGCTGGCGAGGAAGATGCAGACAAGCACACGGAGCGAGACGAGGCCCCGGACAAGAGCGCGACGGGGCCGGACGTGAGGATAGGCGGTGGCTTCGTACGGAGGCGGGACCTGGAAGGTGTCGCGGTAGAGGTCCGGCTCCTTCGAGCGGGAGGTTTGTGGGAGGGACATAGGGTGATGATGCTTAGGATGCGGTGGTCATAGAGCCGATGGTCGCGCAGACAACGGATGAAATTTATGATAACAGGAGCATCAATCGCATCATTTATGAGTCAAACGCGAGTCGACGGTGAACACTTCGTGATTGGATCATCAAAAGTCCTTCCTTCCGGATGGGCCAGGGGAGCTGGTCGGAGCTGACGACTTTGCTTACCCGTCATCCATACTGCACTACCTACAGAGGCGGGCCCGGCTTGGACCGGATGGGAAGGTCAATTGAGTTAGGTTCTACCTAGGTAGTTGTTGCTGCAGTCATGGAAAACAGCTCGGGTTGAGCGGGGAAGCAGCCATGGTACAAGTAGTTTGTCCGATAAGGATGCTAGTGATGCAGCGCCGCTTTGGCAGTGTGGCTAACAGTGGCCGATGTGGGGGGAGTACCTTGTCGACGGGGAAGCTTTATCGCCCACCAAGAGCTTCACTGCAGGGGGGGGGGGAGCCGAGGGAAGTTGCAGTGCAGCTCCTCCCCCTTTCCTTAGGAGCACCTCCACCTCCACCTGCATGTCTCATGCCCTGGGGGGGACGCAACCCAAAGGGCGCGTCGAGGTACAGAAAACATATGTACAGCAGTAGTACGTGTAGGCCTTACCAGTGACTACGCAGACTGACGGACATCGTCGTGGGCTACGGTTCTCAGGTTGCATGGAATTTGTCCAAAGACTAAATCAACACAGACACACACAGTATCCTGCGAGGTGTCGAGGAACAAAGTTTCGTCGACTCGTGAGGCAGCTTCCGCCAAAGCTTGCTGTCGGATCATTTCGATCACAGGCATGCCGTTGAAGATGTTTAGCTACCCATTATCCGTAGTTCAACGCGGTATTTATACCGTGATATCCATTTGATCAGCCGTTGGACACTCTTTGGACGAGGCCAGGCGGCGGGAAGGAACAGACTGCCGGAAACTGCAGCGTTTGTGCTAGTGGAATCTACATCGTCTCCCCCCTCTCATGGTTGGCTTGGGCCCCCTGCCCGAAATGGTATCTGCCACAGTGGGCCCGTTTTGACTCTGTTTGGGATTGTTTGGTCCTTGGAATACTAGCTGCTGCAAGCTTCCAGCCAGCTTCACCAATCCCACGTCTTTTTTTGTCTGCTCGACATCGTCTTCGTTCGTATACCATCCTTTGTATTTTCATACATCGCACTCGACTCAATTCTCTTTGCTTTTCTTCTCTTGGCTTGTCTACAGATCCTCGGCCCTTTACCCGTCGTCGATCCTCTACAGTCGTCATTGACACCCGTCGTAGTTTTCGGATCCCGATACCACAACCGACGCCTTGCGACTAATCCAAAACCCACAATGCCGACTCCGAAGCTGGAAGAGGCGCTCCAGCCGCGTCCCCCGCAGACGTCTCTCCAATTGATGGAGAGGATATGCCAGCTCGTCCTCGTCTTCGTCCTATCCTTTGCCGCCATGTTCCTAATGATGACCAAAATCTCGCCTGGCAAGTGGCCTTTGACGGAGCCCTCGATAAGCAAGCCAAGGCTCCAAGTGTCGTCTCAGCGTGACTACACCATCGCCATCTTCTCCGATCTACACTTTGGCGAGCAGGAGTTCGGCTGGGGCATAGAACAGGACCTCAACTCCACCCGAGTCATGCGGTCGGTCTTGAAGTCTGAGCAGCCCGACCTGGTCGTTCTCAACGGCGACCTCATCACAGGCGAGGACACGCACAAGGAGAACTCGACAGCCTACATCGACCAAATCGTGCAGCCACTCGTCCAGGGAAGCCATCGGTGGGCCTCTGTCTACGGCAACCACGACTCCAAGAACAACCTGGACCGAGCGCAGCTCTTTCGCGCGGAGAAGGGCTACGACCTTTGTTACACGACGTCCATGGGCGACGATCTGCCGGGCATCACAAACTACTACGTCCCCATCTTCGAGGGAGACTCCCAAGACCCCATGCTGCTGCTGTGGTTCTTCGACAGCCGCGGCGGCACTAGCTACCAGACAGATTCCGATAACATGGACGACATTCCAAACTGGGTCGCCCCCGAGACCGCCGCATGGTTTACCGAGACCTACGATGAGCTCAAGGAGAAGCACGGACGCGTCATCCCGAGTGTTGCCTTTGTCCACATTCCGCCGCACGTCTTCCTGGAAGCCCAGCAGTCCAATCTGGACCCTGCCAAGTTCCCGGGATTGAATGCCGAAAGCCCGCTGGCCATCCAGGGCCAGGGCACCGAGGACTCGCCCTTCATCGAGGCGCTGCTCGAGGCCGAGGGCCTCCACAGCGTCTACGTCGGGCACGATCACGGCGACTCCTGGTGTTCGACGTGGCCCGGCCACGCCGCCGGACTCGGCGCCGAGGCCCCGTTCCTCTGCTTCGCCAAGCACACGGGTTACGGCGGCTATGGCACATGGAATCGCGGTGCACGTATGATCAAGCTTTCCTTCACAAAGGGCGGCGAACCTCAAATGTCGGTCGAGTCATGGGTCCGCATGGAGGACGACCAGGTCGTCACACGCGTTTCCCTCAACGAAACGTACGGGGTGGACAGTTATCCTTCCAACGTCGGCGAGTGAGGGGCGCAACCCCATCCGCAGAATGTGCTTCGTGCACGATGCGACGCCTCCCTTTGCTGACACCTTCTCTGGCGCCAATAAACATTCCAATCCTCGCGTGGTCTGATGTCAGACTAAGACTTGTGAAAGGATCCTGCGCCCCGTCACTCTATTTTACATACATTCCTCCCTCTGGGCTCGGACGGAGATTGCAAAACGTCGCCCTGCGGCCAGCTGCCGTCAGCCAGCCCTTAGCGACCGTGCAAACGCCTCAAACTAAAAAGGCGCCAAACAGCCATCCGAGCAACCGCCGTAACACCATAATACCATTGTCTCTTTCCTCATCGGCTCCTGGTGCAATTCCTCCTTCCTTCCGGTTTTTTAGGAACCAACGATCAGAAACGATGCACAGGAGCCAGACATCGACAGAACGACCGCCGCCAGGGTATACGGCTTCTAAGCCGACCGACATGTCTCAGCAACCCCTGCGGTACGCTCGGCGGCCGGTTTACATCCTCGCCGCCTATCTTTTTCTATTAGTCGTTCCCTGGCTCTGCCTGTGCGTCGTCAACCGACGAACGACCTCCGACCCGCTGGGGATTGTCATGCAAGACGACCTCGACAGCTACCGCCGGTGGCTAAGCGCGGCTTCGTTTCTGGGCATCGTGGCGGCGGTCGCTGCCCTGCCCTGCGTTACGGCGCTTCTAGCCTACGGCGCGGTTATCTTCTCGCAGCGACGATCGAAACAGCAGTCGCTCACAGTACGACAACTGCTGGCCATCTCGGACCTGAAGTGGACGGCCTTCGTCTCAAGCGGCGAGTCGTCGTCCTATTTGCTTCTGGCCACCGGCCTGCTTTTGCTGGGTAAGCCAGACTACGGCTCCCACTGATCTAAGCTAACACAACCAGCTGCCGTGCAACCACCATTGCAATCACTGTTGATGCCGGCGTCCAGCCGCCTGGTGTATCCTTGCGACAGTTCAAGACACCTCAGCAAATGGGATCGTTCATGTGATGGCGTGGAAAACCGTGCCCAGAAGATCGGCAAGGACGCCGAGCCCGTGTTGCTCAGGGAAACAGGCGCCCCGCCCATCGTCGGCGCTGTCAGAAGCAAGATGGTCAACATCACCTCGGCGGACATCCAAGAGAATCTGTGGCGGGACGGCGATACGCAACGTAGTTTCATGACAGGAGAGGCCCAAGCATACAACGAATCGTTCTGGGTATCGGCGGTGCCTGCGGGGGCGACGACGGGACCGCTCAGGCAGCACTCTATTCGGCTCAGCTCATCCGCGAAATGCGAGGTTGCGGGCCGTGATGCGTTTCCCGTCAGCTGCGACGGCTACGCAACCTCTCTCGAGGGCTTCGGCGTCGTCGTGCGGACATGTATGCCAGGCAGCCATGCGAACACGGACAGCGGCATTCCCCCGAGACGTCGCCAGGATGTCGAGGAAACCCTCTTCATCGATGCGCAAATCAGTGGCGAGGCGGCCAAGTCAAAGGACTTTCTGCCGGAGCCAGCGGAAAATGTCACCATCAAGTGTGTCGCCAGGACGACGCGCGCGTTCTTCGAGATTGGCAACTTGCACACGGGGTCCCGTCCGTCGGATATCGTCGATGAGTGGCCATCGGACATGGCACACTTTCATGATTATGACTGGCTGGGCAACCTCATCACCAATACGTGAGTGAAGAATAGGCCGCCGCAAGAGCGCAGGCTGACACTACACAGGTCTCAAGACGACTGGAACCGCGATCGGTTCGCTGGCTGGACCTCACCGCAGGGCCCGCTGCGATCAACTGTCGAGGCGCTCTTCGGCAATGGCTCGTACCCTGAAGCCGTCTTCGACTTCTTGAGGCAGACCTTCCCCGACCAGCAGTTGCCAGATAACCAAGCCCCCGATGGCGCGGTCCGGGATGCCACGCGCAAGGCCTGTGCCTTGGAGGCTCCCTTCAGCTCCTGGCAGCTCCCCTACAACTCCGACAATGACGAATTCGATTCGTGGTTTGCCTCGGCATACCAGGCCTGCTCGCTTAAGGAGCTCCCGAAGACGCTGTTCAGGATCGCGCAGGGTCTCCGGTATGAGAAGGTGGCAAAGAGCACCCTCGGCGTGGGCATGTACCTGTCCAACGCGGCCGTTCTCCAAGACGCCGCTGCGAACGACGCGGCAAGAACCATCTACAACTTGACCGGCATCGGTTTCGTCGCGCCTCGTTACACTCTGGGGGCAACAGTCGCCATCAGCCTGCTCATTAGCGCGCAGGCCGTCGCCCTCATACTGCTCGTCTTCTACATCTACAGCCTGCCCACTTGGACCGACACGCTGGACGCCTTCGCCATGATGAGGCTCGGGGCGCATCTGAGGGAGTCAGTGGAACTGCCTAGCCTAGGCCGCGTCAACCGGGGGGAGGTCGCAGTGCTGGGCGAGACGGACGGTCTGCTCGGGGTCGTGCCCGGCACGGCGGGCGACTCGGAGGAGGATGTCGAATTGGCCGCATTGGCCCCCTCCAGCGCCACGCGGAGGGACGGAGCATCCGCACACCACTACGCGATGCTTAGCCCACTATCACCGACCAGTACACTCTCGTCCCGCGAGGCTCTAGTGCCGCCCACCCACGCGCGCCAGGACGCCACGATGCCTGGAATGGACGCTGGCGAGCTGAGCGACTTTCTCCAGGGGGCCCCGCCGGCGACTCCCTCAGTGTCGTCCACTCATAGCTCTCCACCGCCACCACCGTACATGCCGGCCAGATCGCCAAATAGGGGCCAACGGGCGAGGGGGCCGCTCCGGTTGGCATTGGGAGCTTCTGGGCCCATTACGGGAGCATTGTAGGCGAGGTACAGGCCCCGGCTCTATTTGGAAAGGAAGGAAAATGGATTTGTTTATTTTAGATAGTTTGATACCCATACAATGCATACTATCTCCTTATGCGGCATCGATACCACCCCTGGCCACGTCGCAGCTGGCGAATAAGGCCGACTCGGCCTGCCACTGAAGAGGACAGACTGCGGCTAACAGGAACTAAAGGCAAGTCAAATTCCGGTTCGGCCCTGCAATGTGGGCACATTAAAGTTTCAGGAGGGGGGTTTTAAGCCAGCAGATCGTGGTCTCAAGCTACCGCCCCTACGCTAGCCTTATTGAGGTGCTCCCTTGCTTCCAGATTGCCCGCTTCTTGAAGCTCTCAAAGCCATCAGGAATTTAACCAAGACAGCTATTTGGCTCCGCATGCTTGATGTTGATATCTTTGTCAAGCAAGCTATTTTTGGTAGTGGGTTCCCAACACATCCCAGGCAAGCCAAAAATGAGTGGTTTGTGTTCCTGGTTATTGGTGTTGTTGTTTGGTTTATACCTCAGGAAGCATTCAATAGCCTGTCGGAATTCTGCAGCTACATTGGTCTCTCTTTAAGGTAGTAAAGCCACCTTTGTTATTGTATTAGTTGTGTTTAAAACATACTAATCTGGTGCTCCAATAAAATTAACTGCGACGTTGCTAGCGCCGCAATCCAGGGCGTATATGAACAGCACGTAGCTAGCGTTAGCCCCCCGCTTCCAGTCTCGGAATCAATATTCTTTTGATGCATCGTGAACAATGAGGAAGTAGGGAGTTGCTGTGATACAAACACAATGGGGCCCTGATCTCCTTCGTAGTGGACTGGCCACTCAATCAACGACCAGTCTCAACCTCTGCGCCACCGCCTACTGCGGCATGCCAGCTTGAAGTGGTTCGCAAGCAGGCTACAATGCAGAGGACCGATCCAAGAGAGGAATCTCACTTGTCAACCCAACCCTGCCACTGAGGTCTCCAGCTGCCGTCTTGCCAGTTCTTGCTTGATCAGCTGTGACATGGTCTTCATCCGACCAGAGGCCCACCAGGTCGTCCGGTCCCCCAAAAGCAACTGCGAAGTGTTGTAGAAATGATAGAGCACAAGCAACGCCCTTGAATCGTTGGCTACAATCATGTCCATAAACGGCCCGAAGCAGAAGAGTGGGAAGGTGAGTATGTAGCGTTCCAGGTCCGATCGCTCACTTGGCCGAGTGTTGGTCTCGCGGTGGGCATGGAGCGCCAAGATGACTGAAAGCAGATCGATGATGCCACGGAAAGCCTCGCGCTCTGTGTCGTTCTGAGCAGCACAATCGTCGAGACTTGCACCGGCTGTCAGCTCGTCGTAGCGTGCCATAAAACCCTCGACAATGCTGCCACGATCCATCCCTTGCTCCGCGACAACCAGGCCGAGCGCGTCACACTTGGAGTTCTGCGAGGCACCGGAAAAGATGCTGCCGGAACCCTGGGCTCTTGTGCTGGACAGGAACACCCTTACGCCAGAGCTGAGGAGGAAGAGCTGGTCGCGCGAGAGGTCCAGCACCGGGCCGTCCGGAACATGCTCATCGTGGAGAAATTCCAGATTGCACCAGGTAAGATAATGGATGAGCTGCGCTGTAAAGAAGAGCGGGTCGTACTTGTCGCCGCGGTCAAGAACGGTACTGAAAATAGAGCAGCTGCGAGACAACAGAGCCATCGCCGCTTCCGCGTAGGCTGTTTCCTGCGGTCGCAGGATGCTGAGGTGCCGTGCGGAGACTGCAAGCATGGCAGTCATCAGATACTCCTCCTTGAATGCGAGCGGAATGGCGGACGGCCAGATATCGTCGAAGCAGAGGGTGGGAATTGTCACATGTTGGAAGTGGTGGAAGAGCTCCATGTGCAAGAGGTTGACAGGCCCAGAGGAGTCAAGCGGCCCCTGGGCCGGGGGCGACTCTCCGGCCTCGGGGCTCGACGGCTTTGGTGAGGGAACACATGCTTCATTTCGCCTGAGGCAGTTTCTGCAGGGGCGAGATTCGTCGCACTGATTCGGGTGAGTCCTGAAGGGTTCTCGTCGACATGGAGCCGCATCTCACCTTGACCTTCCTTTTCTTGCATGATGTGCAACCGTCTCTACTCTTCTTATGGGCCAGCTTCTTCTTAGGCTCGGGGTGGGTAGAGCTAATGAACCTTAAGGGCAGAACTTCGGCGCCTGTACGAGGGGGGGAATGGTTTTCTGTCATGAGTAGGAGTCTCGTGATCTACCATGTGGATACTCGTTTACACAACCCTCCTTCCTGAGAGACGCCTATAGAAGCTGGATACTGGCGGTAATAAGCCTCCTGAATGCAAAGGACCACTGAGCGCTGATGGCCGAAAAAGAAGGCAAAGAGTATTGTTGAAGGCTGGCGAAAAGCAAAGACGAGATCAAGCCATTGGTTTAGCGGCCTTGGATGGGGAGGAAGTCGAGACGGGAATCTCGGTTTCCCAAAACGGAATGCGAGGGGAAGGAGCCATCAGCCAAAACAGTTTAGCGCACTCTCTACCGCACGATCCTTGAAGGAGATGTAAGGGTCCTCTGACCAATGACGTCATTGTAGGGACTTCGTAAGGAAGCCACCACCCCCACGAGACACAACCGGTGGTTCATAGGCAGTTTCCATCAAAATCTGACTGCTCAATTGCCGAGAAGAATACCTTGATATTGTTGTGAAGTAACATGCTCGGGACCTTCTCTGTAAATATGGTTCGGCTGAATATTGAATGGGAGGTTCCACAGCGCTGACCAACACTAAGATGGCTAGGCTAATATGCGAAGGATGCATCGGAGAAACCAGGCGACTTATTAGTACAAGACTACAGCAGCCCCCGCAACTTTCACTAGATCTTTCATCTCGACCTAATCATATTGAACAGCCTCGAAACCGCGGTAACCGGCTGCTTTGTAAGGGCACAGGGATGGCGGGACCAGAGTTCGAGGGAGACCTCCTCATCCTCCCTCACAGGGAAGCTTGCATCCTCCCGACAATTGCATCGAACGGTCCTCCTAGCCCGTTCAATATTGATATATTTACTGACGCGTCATTTTCTATGACCAAGGGATGTCAGGGTTCATCGAAGCCATCAAATCCCGCGGGCGTCGCCGTCTTCTGGAAGCCGTGGCCAGGCCTATTGGTACGGGACCCATGGCACTCGCGAGCCTTCCAGCTTCTGGCGTGTCGCGACAGTAGAGAAGCGGAGCTCTTTGCCGTCGTCACGGGGCTCGAGACGGCCGCGCTGCTGGCGCATCTCATGCCGGAGCTGAGACGGGTGACGGTCTTCACGGACTGCCAGGATAGCATTCACACACTGATGGCGGCTGCTGCGAAAGCCTCTGACCCACTCGTCAAGCGCGCCGTTGCCGCATCCGTCGAACTCGTTGCCAGAGGCGTCAGGGTTCTCGTGCGTTGGTGTCCCGGCCACGTCGCCATTGAGGGGAACGAGAAGGCCAACGGCCTGGCACGTGAGGTCCGCTATTATAACTTCAGGCACTTGGTGCCCAAAGAGCAGCCGGACTCGCTGGCTGGGTATGAGATTCCAGAAGAGTATTTGGAAAGGGCACGCCGCGGAGACTGGTGGAAGGATGATACTTTGAGACAATAAGCACCCGGCCCTCTTAACGACAGGTAGACAATACACTCGGCTAACATTACACATGATTCATCTTCAAAACAAAATCAGTAGTTCAAGCCGAGACTCAAGGGAAGGGGGCGGGTCGAAGCATCCACAAACCCATAATCAGCAGCTCCAGTCTCTCCAACGTACTGCGTGTCCAAGAACTTGGTACAGGACGCCCTGAGGATACCTCGTGGAGGGCTTTTACGGCTTGCACGAAGATGATTGCTGACTCGGACGAGATGACAACGGACTTTGGGCCCGACGGAGACCGCACGTATCCTAGGGGAAACCTGCCTCGGCAGGGGCTTGCGCCCGCACCATGCACCATCGCCGGTGTAGTGTTTGCTGTGAGCTTGCGGCAACTATAAGAGCTCACCAGTCACGCCGGCTGCGCACGCAACTATCATCAAACACTTTATTTTGAGAGTCTATGGTTCCTATTCCATGTAGCTAATATGCAAACCGCACGCCGCCGCCCAGAACCGCCCAATGCTTGAAACCATCGCGAGCCATGCTGCGAAAAAAGCGAGATCGTCTCCTCCGTCGTATGTGTATGTGTGTGTGTGTGGAATGTCCATCTTCTTCATGTGCCAGAATACCGCTTGTCTTCTGTCAGAGCTCCAACCCCACCCAGGTCTATCCGGGCAACTAATGCTGCGCCAGATGTTTTCTTACGTCGTCATGCGCAAAGGTCTATAAATACAGTGAAATTGAGGCCACCATGTGCGGCACTGACTTGGCATATTTGTATGTTACTTGCGCCGCCTCGTCTTCGGGGCGGGCGCGGGCTCGGGCGAGGGCTCGGCGGCCTGTCTCTTCTTGGTCGCCTGCTTCTTCGGGCGCGGCGGCGGCGGCGGCGGCGGCGGCTCCGAGTGGAGGTGGCCGAGCTCCTCCATCGCGGTGGTGTTCTCCCACGCGAGACAGCGGTAGTTGGTGGGCTCGGGTGTCGGCTCGTGGTGGCGGCCCCTCGTGCTCATCCGCTTCGAGTCCCGCCTCTTATCCTTCTTCTCTCCCTTCTCCTGCGGCTCCTCCGCTTCTGCGACGGCGAGGTACTTTTTGCGGTTCTCCATGTGCTGTGTAATCTTGTCCCTGAAGGCGACAATCTCCTTCCTCAGCCGCAGCTCGTTGAAGCCGCGAGGGTCCAGCCACTTGAGAAGCTCGTCGACCTGCTCCGGCTCGCTGTAGTAGCCCCACTGATTCGCGTTGAACACGCTGGTGGCGCCTTCTTCCCGTTTCTTTCTCTCCGGCACCGTCACGTCGAACTTGCTCTTGTACTCGGCCTGGTACTCGGGGTCGGCGTCTATATAACCCTCGCGCTCCAGCTCATCGGGGCCCTGCACCCAGATACAGCCGTTGGCGTATCCGGCCTCGGCCGTCGAGCTGTCGGGGAGCCCCCCGTAGGGCATGCCGTTGCGCTCGAACCAGTAGTAACGGTTCCAGAAGCGGTCCTTGCCCAGCACGCGCGTACGCCCGCAGTCGGCCTCGCGCAGGTCGTTGTCAATGACTGCAATCTCCTCTTCGCACTTCTTGATGAGGTCCTCCTTCTTCTGAATGTCTTTGAGGACCTTCAGGAACTGCTTCGACGGCTTGGGCACCTTGGCGGCTTCGGCGGCCTTCTCCTTCCGCTCCTTCTCCTCCTTGCGCTTCCGCTGCCTTTCTGCGGCGCGGTCGTTGGCGCGTCGGAAATTCCTGCGTGGGGCACACTCGTCGTCCGAGTCGGGCACCTCGTCCTCGGCATCCGCCGCCGACTCGTCTGCATCGGTCATCTTGACGTCTTCGTCCGCCTTCTGATCGGGCGGTGGCGATGGCGGCATGTTTTCCGGGAGCAAAATCTTGCGTTGATCGTTAAGGGTGCGCAGTTCCTCGATCCTGTGAATGGTCAGCACTCATCTTCTCAAAACGGTCGGTGGTCCCTTACGCCTGTTTCCTCTGACGCTGCCAGTCGATCTTCTCCTTGCGGAACGCCGTCATCTGCTCACTGCACTCCTCCATGTACGTGCGCATGGCCTTGGTCTGTGTCGTGAGGATGCAGACGATTTGCAGCGCCTGCACTCGGTGGTTGACGTCGAGGTTAGCATAGCGCTCCCGCACGGTGACCTGTGTAGGGTCCACGTCCGGGGGGCACAGCTGTGCGAGCAGGTCTTCGCATCGCTCCTCGAGCCGCTCGTTCTTTGACAGCTGGTGCAGCAGGCCGACCATGATGCGCTCCCAGCCGCCGTTCTGGAAGTTGCGTTTCCGAAGCTCCTCAATCCAGTCGTAGTCTTCGAGCAGGTCCTCGGCGCGGTGCTTGATCTCGGGTTCCACGTTCTGGCTCTCCTTCTCGGCGGCCCTCGCCTCCGCGAGTAGCCTCTCAGCCTCGGCCTTGGCGAGGCTGCTTCGCGTGGCCCTCGCGGGGGGGCGGTCGGTCTCTGGTGTCGGCTCTTTGACTTCCTCCTCAAAGCCCTCTTCCTCGGAGTCTTCTTCTTCGTCGTCCAGCTCGGGCAGTTGCACATTCACCTTGCCGCCGTCAGCCTCGGCGCTGACGATCTGCTTCAGGACCGCACAGTGGATCTCCTCGAACATCTGGACCTTGGTGTCCTCGGACGCAACACACATGGCCTCGACAAAGTCGTCGAACGTGAAGGAGTCGAGCTTGAAAATCTCGCAATACACGTTTAGCGTGTCCCAAGTCTCCAGGAACGAGCCGACCGACTTCATCGACAGCTTGTCGCGTACGCCGGCGCTGCCATTTACAGCGAAATCGGACGTGGTCGGGGGGTCCTTGCAGAGGAACGCCAAGGGTGGCCTGACGACGCCCTCCCTCAACGGCACTTGGAGGTCCTCGATGGGGTACTTGGGTGGCGGTGGGGGTGGTGGGGGCTCGGGCGCGGTCATCGAATGCGGCAGCGGTTGGTTCCGGAAATTGAGCGGCAGCTGGAAAGGATTCTTGTGTGGCGGCGCGAGGAAGATGCCTGTCTCGGGGCCTCCCAGCATTCCTGATGATCCGTTCTGGCCCTGTGGAAACTCTGGCGACTGATTCTTGCCCTTTTGGCTCTTCGGCGCGGGTTTCAGCTCGGGCAGCCGCGCGGGGCCGTTTGCCATGGCGCCGTTGACGCCGTTTGTGCCTTGAGAGTCCTGCGTCGGGGTGTTGCTAGCTCGTTTTTGTGCCTGCAGCTGCTTCCTCTCCATCAGCTTGGTATCGTAGCGCAGGTGAGGCGGGATCCGCGAGTCGATGTGGTACTGCGAGGCGACGTCGGGCTTCACGAGCCACGGCGCGCCGTTCCAGGCCTCGCGCGTCACCGTTTTCTTGATGAACGACCGCAGGACCGACTTTGTGAAGATCTTGCGATCGCGAAAGATGTGGTCGTCATCGACGACGGCCTCGGTGCCGGGCCGATCCTCGAGGCTGACCGTGTATCGCGTGTAAGGAGCGGTCTGCGTGCCGTCGGGCAGCACCTTGCCGCCGAATCGAGTCTTTTCCCTAACAACTCCCTGTAGCCGTTCGCCGTCTGCCGTACTGACCGTCACGGCTTCACCGGGGTAGTAGTCCGCCCTGAACTCCTCAAAAACCATGTCAACGAGTGCATCGATTCGGGAGACCGTTTGGAACTGGACGCGACGCAGGACCGGACCCTTGAGGGCTTCGGGAAACGCCTGCTCGACTTCTTCGGCGCCGGCGAGCTGCACCGGAGTTAGCTAATTGCGCCACGCTGGAACCGTCGATACTGACCTCGCTCTTGAGGGCTTCGAAAAACGTCATGCCCGAGTGCCCCGTGATCTGGCAGATGAATCGCCGCTACGCGCTGGAGTCAGTCTTGGCTCGGCGCCCCACCTCGCTGGGGGCGTACCTGTTTGTAGAAATCCATTCTTCACCGCGTTAGCACGGGCACCGGCAGAGACGCAAAGGAAGCGACGCCATCTCACCTGTTGAGGTAATCCTCATAGTGGGCAAATACCTCGCCAGTCTGTGGGATGTGCCAGACCTGAGGGGCTGCATCAGTACTCATCGTATCGTTTGTAGATGTCACTTCGCGAACCTCTGCATTGTCATCCTTGACGTCCTTGGGAGGCAGCAACTGCACCGGTTTGCGTTTGAAAAGAACCTGGGGCCTACGTCAGTGCTCGACGAGCTTCGAAAGCGCGTAGGGAGGCCGTACCATGGTGGCTGTGGGCTACAAGGGCATGGTCCTGGAATCGAGGTCCGAATGCGCAGTGGGGCCGAAATCCAGCCGTCCTTCTCTTCAGCAAATGTGCGTGATGCTAGAGAGCCGCGGGTATCATCGACCGGTCGAGACGAGCGCGTTGTGGCGGTCCTGGGGCGTTGTTGTGGTCGCGGCCGCAGAGAGCGGAGTCGCGGTCGTGGTGTCGGGCAGGGGAGGACGGGTCGAGGGTGCACTTACACGCGAGGCTCGCGGACGCGGTGCGGCTCGCAGAAGACGTGTCGGGGACGGCTGATGGGGGTGCAAATGGCGATGTTGATGTTGGTGGTTGTGGTCGCGGGCGAATGGAGGAAACGCGAAGCCTGCGAGTCGTGGGGTGAAACGTCGAGGGAAAAAAACAGGAAGTGGTGAGCATTGGGGAGGAAGAGAAAAGGGAAAAAGAAGAAGGGCGCCAGTGAAAAGCGGTCCTGGCCCGCTTGGCCCGTTCGGCCCACGGTGCCTCCGCATCCCATCTCCCAGGCGCTGCGCAGGCCTCCTCACCCTCCTCCACCCGCCACGACTCCGTCCAACCCAGGAATTCCACAACCGCGTCGGCCACCCGCGACTTTGTACTCGTTGAGCTCGCCACGCCCGGGGCTCTCGATTGAGCACTCAAGCATCCGGGAAGAATTTGATTTGGCCGTCTTATGCTGGAATACGTCTGCTGCGGCGTCCGACCTCTTTGGGTAGGTCGTTTCTCGACAATCGCCTCCTCGGGACCGGCTCCGGGCGGGCACCGTTTCCCCCCCACAGCACCTTTGCGGGCGGTTTAAAATGCTCGACGAGCCTATGGCTGCTCCTGCTCCTCGCCGTCATTTACTGGAAGCGTCTCCGATATTCATGGAGGCAGATACGTCGTGATATCAACCCCGGGCGGCCGGCCACGGCTGCTCCCGGTCTCCCGGCTCCGTGTAAGTGATTTCTTCATGTACGTTTTCTACGGCTTTCCTTGTGGTCAATTACGAAAGTGCATGGCTCATACTTTGCAGGATATGTGTCTGTTTTGTTCTTTCGTTTGCTCTCGGCAGACAATGGGTTGTGTCCAAGTGGCCCATGACCCCCGGCCCCCCTGCTCTGCCGTTAGCTCCATTCTCTCCTGGTACACTACCTCCTTGCGGTGGAGTCCGTGCTGCTGCTGTCAGCCTCCAGGCACGTGAGTCGCGGCTTTTGATTGGTTTTCGTCGCCAGGGCCCCCACGGGACCAAGCGCCTCTTTTAGACTGCACGTATAAGTTTCGGCGACGGCACGGCCTTTTATTGTCTTGATTTCCATTCATGTCACGGCTACCTATGTACGCGAGCTCGTCGTCGCTCGAGCGATTCAAGATGTAAAATACACCACCATGAAGCCTATCCAGCTGCCAAACACCCCCACGGCGCAGTAGGAGCTGGTGAACATGAGGGGGAGGAACTCGTACCGCTTCCCAAAGACGATCTGATGAAGCAAGGAGCAGTACAAAATCAGCGGGATGCTGATTGCGACGTAGAACGTACTGAATCTGTCGAGCAGGAAGACTCTCGCTTTTCGCGAGGCCGGCGCCAAGCGGTCAAACACCATGAGGAACAAGATCAGCCAGAAGACGGTGTACACCGTTTTGATCGGGAATTCAGCCGGCGTGAACAACAGAGGGAAGAGGGAGACGTGCCCAGCCACGGCCAGGGGCCGGAAAGCGCTCAGGTGGCGTCGGTCCTTGAGCGCGATGAGACTGAACGGGATGATGACCAGCAGAATGGCCTTCTCGTGTACATGCCACCCGAAGAGAAACGAGGCATAGCCGCACAGGGTGACAGCTCCGATAAAGGCATCCCAGGTGGGCGGCGCCTGGAAGAACAGCTTGACCAGGGGAAGGGCCTGGAAGAAGAGCGTCAGGGCGAAGCAGGTGCGTGGGCTGATCTCGGGCAGGACGGCAAATGCCGTGTCCCCCACGAGTCCCCTGGTTACGCTGTTGATCGCCTCGGCCTTGACGGGAAGGTTGAAACGGGGCGCAACTGGCGGTTGTCAGCCTGGGCCGTGCACTTTTGGCGATCCAAGACTTACCGTAGATGAGAAGACGGTCGGCAAAGGAGTAGAGCGCCCAGATGTTCGGGGCCCAGTAGGCATGGCAGAGACCACGCGAAAAGGGGAACAGGCGGCTGACCATCTGGGGGATCTGGCCCATGGCCACGAACGGGCCAAACGCGGCACCGAAAATGGCCGCGATGCCGGCGCCCAGCTTGACGCAGTTGAGGAACTGGATTCTGAAGATGGACTTGGGCGACAGGCAGTACGCGCGAAGCAAGAAAATGAAGTAGGCGGGCGCCAAGTACAGGTAGATGTGCTTCATGCACAGCAGCCCCGCGAACAGCAATCCGCTGCCCAGCAAGCCCGACTTGGTTCTGGCAAGGACGAGAGACAGGATGAGGATGCCGTACATGGCTCCATTGTACTGGAAGTGGATGTGGTCAATGATGAGGAGGCCGGGCGACAGAAGAATGGAGATGGCGGCAGCTTGGGCAGCTCGTCTCGTAGCGCCCGTGGCAGAGTCGATGAACCTGTGCCGTCAGCATCCCACCTCCCGCCGCGCGCCGCGTACGTACAAAGGGCACCCACCTCTGAAGCGCGTAGACGAGGACCAGCTCGGATACGATGACGGTCCACCGCTGGAAATAGACCGTCTGCCAGCTATCGTATTCGAGGTTGTAGACCTTGACCATGGCCGGGTCGACAAGCCTCGCGACCTGGGACATAACCCATTCGAAGTAGGCGAAAAAGGGGGGGTAGTCGAGGGTCCATTCCGACGTCTTCTCGTAGTACCAGTCGGACACGGGGAGGCTGTTGGTAATGGCGAGCCAGTTCCGGTGGACTTCGAAGTCGGTGGATTTGCTGCGCGACGTGTCAGTTGCGGTGGCTTCTGGGTCGGGGGGCGGTCCACGTACTAGGCCGGGAAGAGGAGGACTTTGAGTGCGCCGGCGACAAGCGCACACTGGGTGAGGGTCGGATACGATTCGGCCATTGTGGCGCGTTCGGGTTCGGATCAGGGGGACGTCCACATTGAACTGGGCGGTGCCGTGAGAGCTTCGGTCGGACGCTCGCCTGCTGCTCTCTGGCGGGAAGGAAAATCACAGGCCACCTTCGCTCTCTCTCTCTCAACAGGGGTCCTACTCACAGAGCTGCAGGACCCTACGGTACCTAGATACAATTAGGGACTTTTTTTTATTGTGAGAAGTGGGTCCGTGCAGAAATCGCGGTGAAACCAGCGCCGATGCCGCGGGAGACGCGACGGGAGGAAAGGTCACTTCAACTTGTTCGTTCCTGTGGCGTTTTTGGAGAAGCCACGAGACGAGCAGCCACAGAAGAAGCGGAGCTGGGAAGCTTCCTTTTCCCCCACTAGGTAGGTACGTATGTGATGCAAGGAACTGCGCGGCGGTGAGCCTCCAGAACCCCTTCCAATTCCAGCTCGGGCCATGCCGTTCCAGGCTGCTTTCGGGTTCCCTTTGTTTCGTGAAGGACTCCAGCAAACGGCTCAGCGAAGCAGAATCCGGGCTTCGTGTTTGGACTTCATCATCACGAGACGGGCGAGCCTAAGACAATGCCCGGAAGCTTCTGCGTCGTTCCTGGTTGTATAGTTCCTGTTTGATATACCGTTTCCTTCCAACTGCCCCGATCCGCTCTCGGAAGCCAACGCCGTAGCCAACTTCCAGAAAGGGCGGCCAGCGGCCCCAAAGCAGAGGAGCTGTAGCTGCGGGTGGTACTTGACGCTTTTTTAGTGCCAACCTGTCCTCAACTTACAGACACACACACACATATTCCATCGACCCCTGCTTGGAGATTCTCGAACTTGGCGAGTTTCCAACCATCTCGTGCCCACGCAATTTTTTAGTTCCCGACGGTGTCTGCAACTTGTTCCTTTTTTTTTTATTCTGCCCGCATTGCAGGACCTTGCCTTCTTTTTCTTTATTTCTTGTTTACAGTTCGTCGATCCTGTGGGCAATACCACCGGCTTCATCAACGCACTTGATACCCACTCCCCAAAGGTAGCCGCCGTGCCATCTCGAATTCAGCCACGATGCGTGTGTCGCAAGCTTCCCTGAGCTCGATGCTCGCCTTCTTGCTCGGCGCGAGCTTGACACAAGCTCAGTACCTGATCAATGAGCTCAGTTTTGGATACTCGGGCAGGTAAGCTGCTCGACTCTCGCCCACCTCCCTTTGAGAGCTCCGGCTGACAACCGTAGCATATCGCCCAACAACGACGGCCATATCCCCAACTTTGTCCTTCAGGGCCAACCGAACCAGCCCGAGGTCCTTTCCAACAAGATCATTCTTACGCCGGTCGCGCCCGGGAACCAGCGCGGTTCCATCTGGAGCACCCAGAAGGTGATGCACAGCAACTTCATCGCCGACATCGACTTCCGCGCCAACGGCCCCGAGCGCGCAGGCGGGAACCTCAACATCTGGCTCACCAATGGCGGCTCCACCGACGTTGGCATGAGCTCCGCCTATACGGCGTCCCACTTCGATGGCCTCGTACTCGTCATCGACGGCCACGGCGGCACCGGCGGCATGGTGCGCGGCTTCTTGAACGACCACTCTACCGACTACAAGGCCCAAAGCGACATCAGCGCCCTCGCCTTCGGCCACTGCCAATACCACTACCGCAACCTCGGCCGCCCCAGCCAGATCAAGCTGCGCCAGACCGACCGCGTCTTCAAGGTCGAGATCGACGGCCGCCTGTGCTTCGAGACCGACAAGGTCAAGATTCCTCCCGGCTACACCTTTGGTATCACCGCCGCGAGCGCTGACAACCCCGACTCGTTCGAGATCTTCAAGATGGTTGTCATGTCCGATAACCTGCACTCTAGCGACAACGGCCAGCAGCAGGCACACGAGCAAAAGGCCAACCAGGGCGAGCCGAGCAGCAAGAACCCGCGCAGTGGCAACCCTGACCCGGTTGACCTCGAGGAACTCCCCGACGCCAGCGCCGACTCCATCACGTCGTCGCGAGCGCAGTTTGCCGACCTGCACAACCGCCTGCAGTCCATCAACCACCAGATCGGCACCGTCTTCCGCGCCATCCATCAATACAGCCAGCACAGCGAACACCGCCACGAAGAGACGTCGCAGATTCTCGACTCGCTGCGCCAGGAGCTGCGCAAGCTTGAGAAGATGAATGACCTCGACGGTCGCATCAGCGGGCTGGAGCGCGAGGTCCGCGCCATGCGTACCGACTTGAACCTGCAAATGAAGAACATGGAGCACTCCATCAAGAACTACATGAGCTACCACCATGAATCGCTGTCGTCCCACATCGTCAAGGCTGCCCCCGGGCACGGCAAGCTCATCGCTGTCATTGTTGGGTCCCAGGTCGTCCTCGCTGTCGGGTACCTGCTGTACAAAAGGAGAAAGAACTCGATGCCCAAGAAGTACTTGTAGAGGGCGCCGACAACAAGGGATTCCCATTGAGTAGGACGGCGCGTGTGGAGGCTGTCTTGTATAAAACGTGCGCGTCGTGTTACCTAGCCTCGAGGAGCCACGATGTTTGGGCTGCGCCCAGGGGGGGGATGTCGGCTACGCTGACGCTGATATGGCTCTTGTACGATTGAAACGCGTGGGGCGACAAAAGGCAAAAAGGCACATTCGGAGGAGTTTGCGGCGGGCGTCACCGTGAGGGATGGTTGATGGACGTGGTGGATGTGAAAGTAAATGATTGAAGCGAATATGTTTTTACAGTTCAACCAAATTCAGCGTCACGTATGTGTTCTGGTGACATGTCACGGTGAGACGCGGTGGTTCCGCAACAGCTGGCACACTATCAGCGAAGTGGCATCTCGACTCGGCCGGACGAGTACAAAGTAGACTCGCCCAGTTCTGGGTTTCCCGTCTTCCCCTTTCAGAGGGCAGCCGTCCCCGCACCCCCCTCAGCGCTTTGGCTCCCGCGTGACATGCCTGCCTATTGTTGTCCCTTTTGCCCAAAGCCATCGGCCGTCCACCGCTGACGTTCACGTCGAAGGCTGGTTGAACCAGGATGAGTAGCACCTTTAACACCGAGAGGGCGCGTGTGCGCTGGGCCCGGTAGAACCCGGCCCATCTCAACATACTGTCCTCCCTACCGGGCGGGAAGCGAGCGCGCCTCTCGCTTCCGTATCATCCTGCCCTGGTATAAGTCAATACGTCTGGAAACAGTAGCCCTTGGCACTCCCACAGCTCGACACGAGGGATGACTGCGTCGAGACACCCCGTCTCAGCCAGAGGCAACGAGGGCCTGGCAAGGCCAGTGAAGACAGATGAAGCAATCGCTCAAATCGCTTTCATTCTCCAAGGTATATAGAGAAGCAAATCGCATACAGAACACGTGCACACGTCTACAACAAACCCACCAGCAAGCATGACGAACCGACAACCCCAGGAAATGCACACCGCTCAAGTCACAGACGCCCCCCCTCCCCTCCCGCCGCGCGCGCCAGACTACGCCTTGCCGTTGATAACCCTCAACAGCTCCTCCCCTTTGGGTGCGCCGGTTGAGAGGTTCTCGTACCCGTCGTCCGTCACAAGGATGTCGTCCTCAATGCGCACGCCGCCGACGCGGTAGTACCGCTCCAGCACCGTCTTGTTGATGAAGCGTGCGTGCCTGGGGTTGCTGAGGAAGTAGCCCTCGATGTACTCCCGACAGAAGTAGCTGTCGATGCGTTAGCCGTGTGGGCCGCGGACTTAACTCCCACCCTGCACCACTGGGGCGTTTGAGATGTCGAAAGGAACCGACAAAGGGAAGAGAAAGTGGGAGGGGGCAGGGGTTACTCACATGCCAGGCTCAACCGTCACAATCATGTTCTTCCGCAGATACTGCCGCCCCTTGTACGGCGGCGGGGCCGCCGCCGCCGCCGCACCCGGCGCGGAAGCCTGCACCATGGCGCCCAGCATCTCTGGCGTGACCACCTCCCTCTTGCCGACGCGCCCTCCTTGGGCGCCCATGACGTTGTTCAGCAGCAGCAGCCTCTCCCGCCCCGAGACGTCGTGGACCTCGAGCCCGACATGGTGTCCCAGGCCGTGCGGGAAGAAGGCAGCGACGGTGCCCGCGTCCCAGACCTCGGCCGGGTCGCCCTTGAGGACGCCTAGCTTTAGAAGCCCTTGCTGCGCAACCCTGCTCGCGTGGATGTGCAGGTCGAAGAACAGGGTACCCGGGCGGATGAAGGAGATGCACTCGTCCTGCATCTTGGCCACGACGTCGTACACCGCCTTGGCCTCGGCCGAAAACTTGCCCGAGATGGGCAGGGTACGGGTGATGTCGCTCGCGTAGCAGTGCCACTCGCAGCCGGCGTCGAAAACGACGACCTCTCTCCCCTCGAGCGGCTCGTTGTTGGCGTCGTAGTGCAACGTGCTCGCGTTCTTGCCGCTGCCGGCAATGATGGCGTACGCCTGCTCTCTCGCGCCGGAGGTCGTGCACCACGCCTGGTAGACAGCCTCGATCTCGCTCTCGTTCTCTAGCCTCAGGAGCTTCTCGGCGACCCGCCGGTGCGCCAGCGCCGAGACGGCCGCGGCCTTGCGGATCATGGCGACCTCGTAGTCCGTCTTGACGACGCGCGCCTGGTCCATGGCGGGCTGCAGCGACGTCACGTCGATGCGCACCTCGGCGGCGGACTGCAAGAAGTCGCCGTGCAGCGGCACCTGGTCGGCGTGGATGACGTACAGCGTCGAGCCGGGCGTAAGGTGGCGGTACAGGAACTTGTTCAGCTGGGTCGTGTAGCGCACGTCGTCGACGTCGAACTGCTTCAGGCACTCGGAGATGCCGGGCGTCGAGCCGAACCAGAGCACCTGACGCGGCTCGACGTAGGGGACCCAAAGAATGAGGCGGTCCGAGGCGAGCTCGTAGGTCACGGCGCAGTCGGCGAAGTTGGCGCCGCTCAGGTAGTAGAAGCTGTTTGCACGTCAGTGGTCGTCGGGTGGCTGGCTAGTAGCCGGCGGGCTCGGGACGTACTATCGCCGTTGCCTAAAGGCCGGTCCCATATCCGAGTCCTCGTAGCTGCGGCTCGGCTCGCCGGGCAGGAAGACGAGACCATCGCTGGCGTTGAGCTCCGCGGCGATCTTGCGGGCGTGGAGTTTGGCTTGTCAAGTCAGCACACTCCATCATCAGCAGCATCACACAGAGAGCGCCAGCGTCACATCATCGAGCTACATCAAGGCAACAGTTACAGAACAGCGCGGATGCGTACCGGGAAATCTGGCCGGGATCGGCGCGACCGACACTACCGACTCAACTGGCGCGGCCTCCGTCTTCACCTCGATGAACCTTGCGGCGCAGACACGTTAGTGAAGGATGCGGAGCCGGAGGGGGGACGGCACCGTGTTCGTGCCAATGTCACGAGGTTAGGCCCCCCCCCCGCGAAGAGTCGCGCAACGATGTCTACCTACAGCGCATCAAATTCGTCCACCTCGATGACATGGTGATCAACAACAGTCTCCATGGTGTCACACGGTTCCCGGAGCGGCGTTCTCCGGACCGGTCAATGTTGGGTGACGTTGGTCTCGGACAGTTCTGTATCAAGAGTCCTGGGTGGATATCCTGCAACAAGGCCGTCCGTCTGCTGCTGACAGGTACGAATTCAATGGGGAAGACAATGCGGCTGGGATGACGCTTGCGTGGCGTGGCGGGTTTGGTGAGCAGGCCAAGGCTTTTCGGACAAGGACCGCCGCACGATATCTCGAATGCCGGAAGGTTACGGATTTAGCGTGTACACGCACGAGTGTTTGTTTGGTTGGAGAGTGCGAGAGCCGGGACGGTGGAGGGCGGCGGGAGAGGTGTGTGTGTGTGTGTGTGTGTGTGTGTGTGAGTGAGGAGGGGCGGAATGCGCTGAGGATGACGTCCGGTTGGCGTTCTCTGATGGGCTCCAGTCGTGCGTGCGTTTGTTGGTGGCCGGCCTAGCGCAAGGCTCCGCTTCTTCGGTGCCTCCGAAAGTACCGGTCGTAGGCTGTAGCGGCGGTACCCTATCTACCTGCGTCGTAATAGGTAGTGCTTCTTCCGTCAAGGTCATCGCCGCGGAGATGGCTTCGTCCTGGCATGCGGCGCCTAAAGAAAGCCGGGGCTTTGCTCGGTGCCGAAGCGGCGGGTGCAAGTTCCTATAGGGGGAGGTGGGACCCGCAACGTGGCTCCGCACTCGGGTGACAAAAAAGAAGGGACACTTTTTAGGCGTGGAGGTGGAAAAAGTGTCCCTTCTTTTTTGTCACCCGAGTGCTCCGATAAGGATTTAGCGGAGATACCCCCATCAACCCCTGCCGTTCTTGGTGTTGCCTTCAATGTGGGGACGCTGAGGAGCCTCCCACACTCCATCTCGTCCTTGCGAGTCGGAGTACAGTCTATCGAGAACGAACAAGACCGAAAGAATCAGGCCGAGGTCCAACCAACTCGCGCTCAGGGCCTCATTTGGTGTGGGTTTGTTGCTCTCAATAACCCCACCGCTCCCTCAGCCCCGGACATGGTCTCCCATCATTGCTCAACTGCAACGGTCTGGGTACCGCCCGTCTACTGTGTCACCGGCGGAGCTACACGGTACGCCGGCGGTGATGGTCGGGTCATTGCACAATTCCCGAGATAGGTAGCCAGCCATACATACATACTATTACCGAGTACGCTCCAAGCCAGGAATCCAATCGTGAAGGGAAAATACGAAACGACTACCAATGGCATCGGCGACATACCTGCCTTGTCGCACCAGCCCCATCGTTCGTTCACATACGGGGTCTATTCCCCCTGCTCCTCCCCAACACTGCGCAGGTATACATACCATGTACGGATACACACGTACCTACCTACCTATTACTATGGTATGATGGGTACGGATAACTTTAAACTCCATAACAGGTAGTGTGGAGTTGTGACCCACGTATGAGAGACTCTCACTGGCCAGAATTATGATAGATGTGTACAAGAACCTCAAAGTACCGTCGCTGAAATAATCAAAAAAAAGCACGGCCACATTTTACCTGACGAGGGGGTTAAACTTTGGCCCGATACCATAGTATACACCGTCCTTCGCACCTTGGAAGAGCTTGGCCCCACAGCCAGTTCATCGCGCTATACCATACGGATACCAACCATCCTTCCCTACCCCTTCGGTCCTATACGCCGCTGCAATGCGCTGCGACCTGCACTCCATTCGACGGCGGCTGCACCCTTGGGGCCGTTTGTGTTGCAAGTGGGTGTCGTGACAAAGATCCCCCCTGGAGCACTTTTGTCTGCGCCCTTCATTGATCCCAACCTCACACCGTCACACCCCCGTGTCTGCAGCGCATCTACGGATACACTACGGAGTAGGTGAATCTCATATCCAATTGTACCCAATTGTCCACTATGCTAGCTGCCATGACAACTAAAGTAAATACAGAGTATGCATGTGTCCCCCGCCGAGCCACGATGCCAGATAAATTTGTGTACACTTGAAGAATCCCCATCAGAGTGACGACCGGAACACCTAAATCCGGCCCGACCGACCGACCGCCTTGTCCCTTTTCTCTTGAACCCCCTTTTCCAAAGTAGATCGCACCCTGAGCTTGCAGGGTTCTAAATAAATGCTGGGTATCACTTGAAGCGAAATATGTCTAAAGGCCCTGAAATCCGTTTCTGGCGAGCATTCCCGCCCAGTTGCTTTGGTAGCCCGTCTCGGCAAGCATCCGGTCAATATCTCCAGTCCGCTGCTGCTGCATGTACACTCGGCGTGCGTGGTCCAGTCTTGCCGCGTCCGGCATGCCCTGGTACCCGGAGGGCTGGTATATGCTTGAAAGATCGTAACCGGGTTGATGATGCTGCTGCTGCGGCCGCTGCTGCTGGCCCTGTCCTTGCAAGAAGTACGCGGGCGACTGGCCAAGAAGCTGAGTGTCGATATCGTCGAATGCGCTGGGCATCATGAACGTGGATGCATCCTGCGGGCCGCTGACGTTGTTCGACCCCAGCCCCTTTTGGAAGCCCAGCTCCATCATGGGTTGGTTCGGGTAGGCGAAGGGGTCCTCTGACGGGAACATGAGCGAGTCGAGCTTGTTGATGTGGTTCATGTTGTGCGGCGGCGGGAAGCCCTGCGGCGGCCGGTTCGAGCTCGCAGACGTGCTGACCGAGTCGGGAGTCGCCCGCGAAGACATGTCCATGCCTAGCAGGTCCTGGATGTTGCCTGCGATGGACGGGTCATGAAACCCTGCTTCTGAGACGGGGACGCCGTCAAACGAGCCGCGGAGTGACGGCTGAGACATCCGTCCGCTGGCCATGACTGCACTGGGCGACCGGCTTAGTTCTTCGGATCGGCGTTGCCCCATGCCCGGCTGCAGGGCCGGGTGTCCGTGGATGGGTACGGAGCTGGCCTTTTGCCCAGGTGCTGATCGCTTCTTGGTAGGGATTGGTCGAGACTTGGCTTCCCGGAGCCTCTCGGGCAACTGTTCGAACAAGACCTGCGTACATCAGTATACCTTGTGCCAAGACGCCGCCGCTTGGGGCAGTGACTTACGTTGAGGGCATCTGTAACCCTGTCGGCGGCTTGACTCTTGGACCGTAGTTTGGCAACCATGTCTCTGCCCGCCATGGCATCCTCCAATACTTCGGCGGAACCGATCTTTTCCGGGTTCTCTATCGAGTAGAACACGAGAGATAAGATGGCAAAGAACTCGGTGAAGAGCATGAACCAGTACGGCCCCGCCAGCACGTTTTGCTTGCGGATCTCAATGCCAATGTGGACAATGTTCCGCGAGACGCTGATACAAGCCGCCGCGCACGCGTAGGAATGCTCGTCGATATTCTTCCCTGTGCCGAGGCGGGGAGAAACGTAGTGCAGAAACGGGCGGTAGAGAACAAGTTGTACGTGGGCGTAGGCGAACCTCAGCAGGTGGCGGACGCTGTTTTCCCTCCCAGTCAGCTTGGTCAGGCTGGGGGCGGATGAAGCAGTGTCCTCGAAATATCAAGAAACCCCATACTCAGGAATACTTACCGAATCACCTCAACGGGTCCATCAGGTCTGGGCCGCCACTGCGCGGGCAGAACCTCATACCACTCCTGCAGCTCTGCCTCGATCTGCTTGATGCTGGAGTAGCTGATCAGGTAGGTCGCACCCGGCTTGTCCCCCTTCATGACACTCTGGCCGAGCCCCTTCAAGGGATAGACTAACTTCAGGATCTTGGCCAAGATCTCCATCAAGCGGGTGTGTGCGTTGAACGCCTCGAAGAAGGAGAAGGATCCAGGAGGAGGGGTCAGGATGCCCTCGTTTGTAATGTACTCGTCGTCAATCTCGCTGGGGTACGGCTGATCAATGTCCTCGGCGTTGAGCATCAGCGGGAAACCGAGCATGGCCGAAACGTAAATGTCCATCTGCCGGATGACCCAGAACACCCGCTTCCTGACCTCCTGCTCGATGATGGAAATCTTCTCGTGCTTCAGGTACCTGTGCAGGCCGATGCGCAGGGCTGACCGCAGTGCGATTCCCACAAACGCGTAGCATCCGCTCAGGTTCGAGGTGGCTTGCAGGAAAAGAATCATAAAGAGCAGTGCCTGGAGGGAGATTAGATCCCGGCATTCGGTAATGTCCTGCAAGACCCGCCTGGCGTTATCGTAGTACTTCATTCTGCGATATGTTAGCGTGAGGCCTGAGCGCGAGGAGGGCTCCCAACGCGTACCCTTCGTCGAGCGACTCTTTGTAGGCCACAGGAGGAGCGGTTGCGTCCAGGTTTCTGTACATGCAACCAAGGGCCATGACGGCGTAGAGTAGGCCCAGGAAGTTGTGCTCCTCCTTTGAATAATCCTCGTAGGGCTTTTGGTATATCTGGTCAAACATTTGGTAAAAGGACGGAACGTGGACTATACGAATCAGGCACGTTGCGCAGTTGAGCGAGAGGTGACAGAGCCTCCTGGCCACTTCCTTCGGGGGGAGCTCGGGGGCGGTGGACATGGCCGAGTCAAAGGGCGAACTGGCGGCCGATGCTGAAGAGTCGAGGTTGATGAGACCAGCCGGTCTTTCTGACCGTGGCAGAAACGGCACTTTGGTTTCCGGGCCCATCATGCCCCTGAAGTGCTCCTTCATCCGCCGCAGAAAGACGGCGCCGGACGACACGCCGTGGAAGTCCCAGCCGCCCTTGTCGTCCAGGTCCAGCTGGCCGATGGACTCGATCATGGACAACAGGTGAGCGTCCTCCTTCTCGGCGCTGACGTAGGGGTCGTGCCTCAGCTTGGTGGCCTGTACCCTGGCGTGCTCCCTGTTGCGGAACTCTTGCTGGACGGCGGGATCCAATGTGGGATCAGCCAGGTCTACGTCCGGGACGAACTTGCGCAGAAGGGTCTCGGCGCGCTGCAGACGGCTCTCCAAGGCCTCAATGTACTGAGGAGCCGGGTTCCTCCGCCTGTTTGAGGGCTTGTCATATGTGCATTCTAGACAAAGTCAATCTATCTGGATGCCTCGCGGGCGTGGAGGAACCAACCGTAACTGTAGACGGAGCAGTGCGTGCACGGCTGTTTGCCGTCACATTTGATTTTCTTGCGTCTGCACTCGTCGCAAGCTCTGGTGACACGACGACGCTTCTGCACGGGGACGCTGCCAGGCTCGCCGGGCTTCTCGTCCATTTCAGAGCCCGAGTGCACGCTGCCACTCGGCGAGGGCGGTTCCTTGACAGGCCAGCCGTTGGCGGAGGGCGCTGCAGACTCATTGTCCGACATATTAGAGTCCGGGGGTGAGTGGTCAGCCTTGGCAGGCCGAGATGGAGGACTCATTCGCGCCGCCGGAACGGAAGGAAAGTGTGAGAGAACGGGAGGGCGAGTGAGTAGTGGGTGGTAAAGATGGTGGCAGAGGTGAGCGTGGCTGGTTGGTGGTCAAGCAACCGGTTCTCGGTGTAAGTGCAGTTAGGGAGGATGAGTGCTTTGCATAGTTGACAGTCAAGGGTCGTTGTCCGATTAGCCAACCCGGCAGCTAGGAACGGCTTTTCGGACTGAGCAACTCTTGAACATGAAAAGAACGAAACGGATGCCAAGACTTCGTGGGGGATAGGAGGAAGATAAGTTTAAACAAAACGGGAGGACAAGAGGAGGAGCCGGGGGATCTTTTGCCTTGTTGCTGGGCCTCGTCTGGGCAGCAGCAGCTGGGGGTGTGGAAGGCCCTTGTTTAAGGCCGAGCAGGGTACGGTGCGGTGCGGTGCAGGGCAGGTGTAAGTCTCGCGCAAAGCTGAGCGCGCGAGATGGATTACGTAGCGGGCAGGTAGCGTCTCGGCCGGGGGTGGATGAGACAGGCAGAGTACGCGACTCGAGGGTATGGGGAATGCGGCCTCGCACGGTGCGGTCCCGGTAGCGTGGTCAAATAGTGCATATACCTCAGTACGTATTTAACACACGGGGAGGGGAGGGGAGGGGAGGGGGGGGCGAGTAGGCTAGGATCTGGCGAACAGCGGGCAGAGCACCCTCCCCTGATGATGATACAAGTGGTGGTGGTGGTGGTGCTGCTGCTGCTGCTGCTGCTGCTGCTGCTGCTGCCTATGTTACTGCTGGATGCTGCTGGTGCTCGTTCTCTACCTATACTACGTGGTAGCGCGTAAAAGGAGGGGCGTGTGTGTACCGGCAATGTCACCAGCAGCAGGTAGCGCGGCGGGTAGGGACAATACGAAACCGTCGCAGAGGAGATGGGGAAGCTAGGACGAGAAAGGCGATAGAGATTGGTACGAGTAGTGGAGAGGGAGAGCGAGGGCCAAAAGAGTAGCAGGGGCGGGCCATAAGGCAAGATCAGTAGCCCACTTTCATAGTACAGAGCAAGCAATAGAGCGAGAGAGATGGCCTCCAAGAGCAAGGCGAGCAGAGACGCAAGTCAGCAAGAGAGCATAATTCTCAGAGCGGCCGAATGCCATATGCATATGTCGTAGCGCTCGTGCTTCCCTTGGGGATGGGCGGAGCCAAGAGAGGGACAAGACTTTTGAGACTGGGAATGGGGTGGAAGAGCGCGAGAGACGTGGTGGACCAAGAAAAGGGCCCGCCAAAGGAGGGAGGGGGCGTACATCGTACTTGCGGGGGGGGGACGGGTCACGGACGGAAGCTCGGTTGATGCGCCCGCCTCAGCAATGAGCAGCAGTCATTAGTCTCTAGCAGTATAGATGGCGGCGAAAACTGTAGATGCGCAGAATCGTCGGGTGCGCGGCGAGGCGTGTGAGTAACAGGGCGGAGAAGACGAGTGAGCTTATCTCACTTGAACCGAAGGCATCGCGGCCGTGAGTAAGTATCGATGGCTCAGTGAGTAAGCGAGAGAATGGCTGCGTTGGGCGTTGTGAGGTAGGTGCAGGTAGGTTATGGTACACACACATGTACATAGCATGTTTTCCGCTGGGAGGAGTGGGAGGAACGAGGGTGCCGTGTCGAGGGTGCGTACTGGAACTGCGCGGAAAGCCAAGACAAAACAAAAACGGACGAAGAAAAAGCTCAGGATGCACGACCTGACGCCTGCACATTGACATTTGACTCTGTCCAGGAGGGAGTATCCCAACAGCACGAGCAACCAGGGTCTTGGCCGTCGGAGTCGAAGGAGAATGCTTGTTTCCGTGTCAAAGGCTTTCGTTCTGGTGGGCCGCCCTGATGTACCCAGGTAGTTGGCTGGAGCTTCTTCTATCTTTGGCCAGCTCGAGCTAGGCAGGGTCATGTCCGAGTAGGCTAGTCGTCTTCTGGTGCCGTGTGTGCAATTATTAGAAGCGGAAGGTTCCTTTGCAAACGGGCGAAAAAGGAGGCCTGGCTGACTGGCGTGAGGAGCGCGGCATCTCGTCTGTGTGACGAGACAACCTTCCCCCCGCATAGCGAAGACAGTCTATCGGTGCCGACAGGGACAAGTGTCCGAGGCAGGGCACATGCTGGTATGTGTGTGGTGATGCCCGTTACAAGCAGTAGACTTGCGATGCACAGTTGGGGGGGTTAAAATAGCCCACCTAATGGTGATAGGATACGTGCAAAATTGCGGCGGCGCGGGAGGGCCACGGGGAGTGAGTCGAGCGAGCAACAAGCAGCATCGGGTAGGCCCCTCCCCCCTTGCTAGGCAAGCGGGTTTGACTCAAAAGAGGATGAAGAGTTGGGATAAAGGGAGAGGAGAGCAAAAGCGGGGATTTCTCGGCATAGGAATGCAAGCCCGTCTTTTGACTCGTACACTACTATGTAGCCGGTGACGCGAAGCAACGCTGATGGGGGCGTGGACGCGGACATGGGCCGTTTCCACTCGTGGAACGGATGCTAATGCATGGAATCGACCTGTACATGTCAGTCAGTCGCGATGTGCAAGGCCATGCCTGAAGCTCCGACGTGGTTGGTTCACTTGGTACCCGTCTTGGTGCTGCCGTCAGTCTTGTGGATTGGCGAAGGGAACAGAAGGAAAACAGGCGGCGCGCATGCAGGGTAGAACCGGGGGTACGTATGCCTCTTTACCCTTTGTGTATTTCAAATGTCTGCGGAATCTTGCTTTGAGGCCAACCGTTGGCTCGAACCTGCGTACCCGCCACAGCACAACACACCACAGCAGACCGCCACTGACTGAACCATTCCGCCCGGCCGCGTCGTCGTCCGGCAGATCCATCGCGTCCAACCTCCCACCACGATCCCACCAACGACCACTGTGGTGCCTCGGGCTACTGGGTGGGCAGCAGACAGGAAGGGAGATTTCCCGCGTCGCTTACACAGGTAGTGTACACGTAGTATCCGTCAACAAGGACGCTTTGTCTTTTGCGGCCTGCCCTGGTCGCTCCAACAATTGCCTCAACGCCGGGGTCGGCGCGATGGGGTGGGCGACTCTCAGTCAACGCTGACTTATTGAACTTAGAAGTCGGGAGGGAAGGGAACCTGGACCCTCCACCAACAGAATAAGCGGTATGCAATTGAATCGAAGAAGCGTCCAGGGGAGGGGGGGCTCGTCCGGCGCTCGGCCAGGGACCCTTTGTTATTTGTGGCTGTGATCAGCCTAACGCAAGGGCCAAAGGAAAAGGATGAAAAGTAAGAAAATTCAGAGAAGGTGAGGTGACGGTTTGAGATCGCTCGTGTTGAGGGACGGCTAGCACAGGCCCAGTTTCCAAAGTGTAAGGACAGAGCTTGCTGCTTCAAACGGTCTGGGTTGCTGGTAAAGAGCCTGAACCCTCGGAATGGAGCTTTCGGCGTTCGGGCCATCTGATACCAATAGCTTCCAGTCTTGTCACAAGCAATCCGACGACGCCATCAATCTGCGATTGCCTTTCCGTCTGTAGTCAAATGCTCGTAACTGCATCTTCCTGCGTGCGCCGTAGTAGTCGCCCCCAAGATTGGAATCGGGTCGAGAGCTCATCGCATCCTTTGTTAGAGGCGCGGGCCGAGGGCCAGAAGACCAGGTGATAGGGAGCCAAGAGCCAATAAAAGACAAGGACGCCGACGGCGACTGCGTCCATTCGCTGTGGGTGGCCGCTTGGCCTTGCATTGTCATGAAGCAAGCAGGCTGTAGCGCAAGTGACTTTTACCCCCAAACACGGCCTAATTTTCTCTCTCTTTCCTTTGACCCGCCTCGCTCCTCGCTCTCCCCCAGAGTGAGTGACCTTGGGCCTCTGGTGCAGTATAGTTCTGTCCACCTCCCCCCTTCCCTACCCACCCTCTCCTACGAATGCAGAGCGGTGGGATCGAAGACGCATGGAATATTCGACACGGTCGTTGGTTTGTGGATTACCGTCGCATAGTGGACGGGACGTTGTCAAATGGGCCGCGTGCCGCCCTACAGACCGAACAGGGCCCAGGGCTGAGGGAACGACGAAGTTCTGAAGGCTTGGCATCCGTCATTAGGGACGCGTCTGTGGTGTATTTCGACGACAAATTTTCTCTTTTCGCCAGAGTGCAGCTCTCAGATTGGCGTGACTGGGAAGAGAGCCGAGTCCCCTGGTCGCTGTTGGAGGGGGTGTGGGAAGGGGGGGACGCTTGGGTGCTTGGACGGGGGTGGTACACAGAAGGAAGGGAGTGTGTGGAGGACCTCTAGGGAACCACACACCGCATCTGTCGCCGGCGGTCGGGGGTCTTTGAGCCAAGCAGCAAGTCCACCTGTCGCTCCCACCGAAACGCGTCAGCCCAAGAGCGGGGGGTGCGTGGGTGTACACCAGAAGGCAAAGAGCTTCCTGGGTCCTGAAGTCTTGGCATTCTCGATTTCCATCGTTTGCCAAGACTTCCACCCCGCCCCTTCGCGCTTGCGCTTGTCTTGACAACATGCATCGAATTGCTGAGAGCCTCAGATGGATATCATGATATCTGGATGCTACCAAGTGTCTGCGTTTTTCTCGCGGTTTTTTCGCTGGCAGAACCGTCCAAAAACCATCGCAGTCGGCTCGCTGACGAGGCCGAGCACACGCCCCAGGAGTGAACGGATGTCAGAAATCAAGGAAATGACCACGCTGTCCTCTCTTCCCCTCTCGCTCTCTTTTTTTGATTTTTTTTTTTTTTCCCTCTCTTTCCCCTTGCGCGCGCGCCCCCTCGTTATTTCCGCACAACTCGTTGCAAAAAGGAGAGAAGTCTCAATGCATGTGTCAACCAATGGGGGTGTCTCGGGTGTGATCTTATGGGTCGCACTGTCCAGGTAAGTCACCCCTCCAGCGAGCAAGGGAAGGCACACCCCAAGTTCCAAGTTGGGACGGGAAAACCGCTTACACTACCTACCAAAGTACGGAGTACCTAATAGGTAGATTCCCCCGGCTACGTACCTACGTACCTACCCTCCACCTGCAATCCACGACCCGAGGAAGTGAATGGAAAGGCAATCAAGGCACTGCGGGTGCATCTCCATTAGAGAGTCACTTGCCATTTCTGAATTGGAATCGCTTCAGATCTGGCCATCACGTCTATTCCTTCTTTGTCTAGGCCGCGTCGGAGAGTCAGCCTCCAGAGGGGAAGTGCAGACCTCTAGGACAGGGGGGGTCGGTCGCCCCACCGCGACGCTACAAGCAGGGAAACAGCGCAATCCGCAGCGCTCACAGCGCTCACAGCGCTCACAGCGCTCAAAGCGCCCGCCTTCTCGTTGGGAAGGACAAATGGGCTCGACCGAGACAGGTCTTCCTGTTTCCACGCGCCCAAACCTCTCATGTCGCTACATCGCACCATGGACACAGTTCATGACTACCACAATAACCAAAAATCAAACTGCGTCTTTTCGATTACTGATTCGCCCTCGAAGCACCCAATCTGCCCGCGCGCACACCCGGTTCCAATACTACCACACTCGAGTGTCTCCGGGACCCTGACCCTGCTGCAGCCTTGCTATTCCCAGCCTGAACCTTGGGGCCGAACCCGACTATGGCACGGCGACCAAGACCGAGCCCCTCGTTCTGTCAACCTTTGTTCCGACGAGACAACCCAACCTGCAGCAAACCAGGGCGGCCATCAACATAATCTTGCACTGGAACCTCGAGGTTGAATCCGAGACTGGTCAGCAAGGATCTCTTGCTGTCTCTCCAACCAGCGCCAGTCGAAACCAGGAGCAAACCGGGCCTCCAGACCGGACGAGGCCAGAACCCTCGACGGCGGCGACAAACTCGTCGCTGAATGCACCAACCTGCCGCCAGGGAGTGTCGCCACGGAATATGGGCTGGCCATATGATATGCTCATGTTCTGCAGTGCGTAGCCCAGTAGCACGACACTGGTCGACGACTGCTGCGTCCAACCGGAGAGGACACTCGGACAACTACCGACCCCTGCACATCTGTCAAGGTGGATGCGTTCCATGTCTGTTCCTGGCTCGCACCTTATATTACCTTGCTCGGGTGTCAGTCGCTTGTTTCCCTTGGGCATGCCGCCGACTTCAACTTGGATGTGGGTTCTGCTTCAAGCCCTAGCCACAATGCTGGTCCTGGCCCGTGGCGGAGGAGCTGTACTAACTCTTGAGCTAGTTGACCCTATGCCGTCGCTGCTTCTCCATCAACCATCTCCTCTCACGCTCGGTCACCAGATGAATCAGTGCACCGGCGGGCCCAGGTTGCGAACGAAGTCTAGACCGCAGGAGGCTTCCTCGGGGAGGCCTCACTTACAAGAGAAAGCAAGATGGGAGCTTACCACAGCAGACGGCTCCAGTCCATGTTGATGTCGAGAACGAGTGTCCAGTCTGTCTAGTAGTAATCGGTTCATCCTCGCAGTTGGAGCAAGTAACCCCGACGACTCTGCCTGTACTGAACGCATAAAAGGGTAATTTCGTGACAACGATAAGCGTTGCACAATTATCTATTCTCGGTTCCGTCTGTCGCGCATTAGTGCGAAATACCCGGGTGGCAGTCGGTGGGATACATATCTAGAGATCCAGATAGTCAATCTACGACCAGTCAGTCGCCAAGACAGATGGACGAGATCCTTGTGATCGGCGTACTACCGTATCGTGCTACCCACTATCGACACAGAAATGCAATGAGGTTCCTCGTCGCCTCTATTTTATTTTTATATTTGTGATACCTGCGCATATCCTGGCTCGCCCCACTCCGGCTTCTGCCTGCTACCCTACGTCGCTACATTGCAGGGCATTACTGACAGACGCAAGTTTGGTTCATGTACTACTTCGAGACGAGGTAGACCGCCCCCCCTTTCCCCAATCCCTTTTTATTGAATTACCCCGCAATTGAATGGCCAGCTGTGTCACCACCAACACCACCCACCGAATGTCTTTGACTCTCTCATTCGCTGCAGACACCAACTTCCTGCCTGCCGCCGGAGCCCATCGTCATTCCAGGATTGCCCAGCCACAACCGAATCCCGCGGTGCCCGTTAGTGCGACACAGAACGGCAGGGCCGCCTACTCTTTCTTACCTTTGCAACCCTCAACGATTCACACTCGACACAGCGACGCAGAGACGACTGATTCCACGAGGTAAGTGACCGACTGACGCTTTCCCACTTTCTCTGAGCTCCTCCTGCCTGGAACCCTGCAAAGCAAGCCTTACCTGCGCGGCCTAAGGCTGTCTTTTTCCCAACTGTCACTGTCCGCGGCCAACGAACGGGACACTTGCCGTACTCTAAAGGTTCAACAGAGCAGACAGCCCCCAAATTGCCATATCCCACACATTCCACCCTTTACAGCCTCCTAACCCGTAATTGGCGACATTGGCCTGTACCCCGCCCCCCTAGGCCGTACTCCCCTCCGCGCCAAAGATCCCTCCCCTTCGTTGGTGTCACTGACATACGGCCTGCCACTGCTAAGCCCCTGCTGACCATCGTCTGAGCAAGATTGGGCGGAGCTCGCACGGGTCCATCAACCGAGTCCCTTGACACAACATCGCAATCTCCATCATGGCTGCCGCCGGCGCAAGCGCCAACGTCGACTCCAACGCCCTGTTGGCCTTCTTCACGCAGATGGACGATCAGGGCGGTGTCATTGTCAGAGGTGCGTCGTCTGAGGCGTGCCGGCGTCCGGGCTAAGCATCGACTCAGCATTCTCCCTTCCTATATGATCGTCTCGGATACGAACCAAGCACCAATACGCGCAGCCTGCTAACGCTGCTGTCCCTCTTTAGATACCCCTAAGCTGGATATTGATTTGTACATCCAGAACTACGAAGGTATGCATTGCTCGTCACCCCCCGTCTCAACCTTGTTTCTCCTAAACTGCGCCTCCCTGTCCACAAACACACGCACAACCTCTCCGCGTCTCCGCCCCTCTTGCCCGCCTGCCAAGGCTCCGCCGCTTCCCAAGAGACAAGTTCTGACCACCACTACAGGCCGTACCCGCTTTGAACGTCTCTTTCTCATCGGCCGGACGTGCGTGCCGCTCTGTGTTGACGCTCTGAAGGCTGCAGTCGCCGAGGCCAAGGCGGGTGCAGATGTCCAGCGTTACCGGGACGCCTTTGAGTGCATTCACATCGCCGCCCCCCATGAACCAGAGGCCCAATTCGACCAGGAATGGGTCGAGAACACGGAGAGGGCCAACAAGGCCAAGACTCATCAACTCGAGAGCGAGCTGAAGGGTTATAAGATGAACCTCATCAAGGAAAGCATTCGGGTACGTCTTCGCAGAGTCTCAATAAACACATGAAGCACGCAAACTGACGGAGCACCAGATGGGAAATGAGGACCTTGGCCGCCACTTTGAAGAAACCGGCGACCTCAACAATGCCGGCGAGGCCTACAGCCGCATGCGCCCAGATGTCAGCACCTCGAAGCACATCATCGATGTTGGCAAGCACCTCGTCAGCATCACGCTCCAGCGCCGGGAGTGGCCTATGGTCATCGCCAATCTCAGCAAGATCACCGGGGTCCAAAACGGCGAGGAAGACAAGAGTCTGCAACCGTACACCAAGATCGTTCAGGGCATCGCTCTCATGGGCCTCGAGAAGTTTGAGGATGCGGCCAAAAGCTTCCTGCAGATCGATGCCGGCAAAGAGGGTGCAGGGAAGGAGGGCGCCGAGTACAAAACCATTGCGAGCCCCAACGACGTGGCAGTATACGGCGGCCTCCTGGCCCTTGCGACGATGGACCGCAAGGACCTGCAGACCCGCGTATTGGACAACCAGAACTTCAGAACCTTTCTGGAGCTGGAGCCCCACGTCCGCAAGGCCATCTCGCTCTTCGTCAACGGCCGGTACTCAGCATGTCTCGCGATCCTGGAGGCGTACCGCGCCGACTACCTCCTGGACATCTATCTCCAGAAACACATCCCCACGCTCTACTCCCAGATCAGAAGCAAGTGCATCGTGCAGTACTTTGTCCCTTTCTCCTGTGTCACTCTGAGCAGCCTGGAGGAGGCCTTTGCGGTGCCCGGTAAGCCAATCGCCGACGAGCTCGTTGCCATGATTCGGAGCGGCGTTCTACAGGCACGCATCAACACAATCGACAAGGTGAGTTTGGGCGTACCCGCGGTTTGCTTGGGGATGCAACCGCACTGTGCTAACGCACGACTCACAGACGTTGGTCGCCGTGTCTCCGAACCCCCGAGCGACTTTGCAAAGGTTGGTTCTTGACACGATTGACGCCTACGAACGGGACGCCACAGAGCGGATCCGGCGCATGAGCATCATTGCGGCGGATATGGAAGTAAAGAACACGCGCAAGGGAAACGCTGGTGGGCAGGGCATCGACGAGCTCTGGCTCGAGCAGGCCAACCGGACAGCGGCGGCCAGCGGCGAGGCGAGCTGATGGTGCTCCGGCGAGGAACACCTCTAGCGAGCGTCCGGCCGAGTCGCGGTTCTTCTCCGCGGGTCGGAAGCGAGCTGAAGACGCACAGAAACGCCGACAAACGGGGGCAATGTTGGCGATCCACCTTGGCGCCGTAGCTAAAAGGTTAGGTAGTCGATTGGCAATCCGGACTGGGCGTGCTGGCGATGAACTATTGGTTCCCCTGAGGAAAAAGCATACGTACGCCTGCCAACACCCCAATTGTTCCGTCGGATCATTCAGACGTCATGGTACTTGTGCGCTAGACATGCCATTAGCCACTAAGATTGGGTATGGACCTCGCACAGCTAAGCGGTGGGGCGGCTAGAGGGACTGGACGGCGGCGTTGATCGCGGGATCCCCGGGACGACGGATTGAGGCTTACGAAGCAAGCACAGCATAGAAATGTGTCGAGTGACGAGTTGGGCGGTCGTTTTGGGAAGTAGTCGGGAATAACGCCATTGACTATGCACCTACCTGCTATCGGTCGCCCGAACTGTGATAATCCGTCAATCCATCCTGATTCGTGATCCCCAGGGCTTGCTATGAACAAACCCGATCCTGTAGCGTTCTCTTTTGGAAAGAGGGGTTTACTCGCACGGTGCGCTTTCGTTCTCTCTTTGCCCAACCATGTATTAACATCGAAAGGTTTAAAAAAAGAGGTGGTGATCATTCGCCCCATTCTGTCAAGTGGACATTACCGGGGGAGGGATTCTGATCACACCGAGGCAGCATTCCATCCCGCCCTCACCGCACCCCCTTTTCCATATCGAGAGTGAGTGAATATTACAGAGAGTGCGGTGTCGCAATGGGTACGAGATGGGGCAACTAGGGAGGGGAGGGGAGAGGAGCAGGCATTTACACTTTTTCCAAAGGTCGTCAGGGATTTGTTGGAGCAAGGTCTTCAAGCAAACCGTGGAGAGAGGGGGCGTGTGCGCGCGCAGAGTTGCAGTGTAAATGTTTTGCTTTTTAGCCTGCATAAGGCAGTCCGAAGTTCTCAAGCAGTTCCCTGCTCTTTGTGTGTGTCCGATCCACCATTCCACCGGCCGCAACAACCCCAGTCAGCTTTCTGTTCCCATAACGATGATCCGCTTCCATCGTCCCAATGCCCTTTCCCTATGCGATACCCGCCGCCTTGGTCGGGACGTCGTCGGAACTGAATTACGCCTGCTACACTAAAATGGAGAGCCATGAGCAAAATGTTACATGATGGTGTCGAACAACGATAGCCATCGAGGATTTGGGGGGCCCATGAAGCAGCGGCAAGGAGTGGACGAGAGGGGCAGCGCGGTCCTCTTTTTTTCCCCCCCTCTCCCTGACCATGCCCCCTGCCGCCCACCAAGGTACCATGACCACCACCAGTGGTGTTCCATTCGGACTTACGGTCCGGTACACGCCCAGGAGTCTCGAAAAAGGACAAGAAATGCATTCTCAACAGGACGTGTCTCATCACCCCATGAGTTGACGCACGTCGGTGGGCGGCCAGCGGATCTGCGCAAATGTGAGGAGGCGCTTGATGCTCTGCAGGTACTTGCGCGTGACCTCGTCGCCCATGACATGTCCGCGCTCGCCGTTGTGCAGCTTCTCGCGGGCGCTGCGCTCGTGGATGCCAACCATGGTGACACCGATGGGCCAGGCGGCCTTGCCGATCGAGAGGCGGAGGTAACCGTCGTTGGCGTCGACGTAGCGGCGCTCCTGCGCGGCCTTGACGATCTCGACGACGGGCGCCAGGAGGTCGTCGTCGAGGTCGTGCTTCTCGAACTTGCGGAACAGCTAGGCTGCGTCAGTACCCCTTTTGATGGAATGTCATGTGAAGAAGAAGTGGCATACCGGCTTGAGGTTCTCGCGGCTCTGCACCATGGCGCTGTAGGCCGTCTTGCTCGCAGTCGTGTCGCGCCGCTCCTGCTCCATGGCCTTCTCGTACTCGGTCAGGACCATGGTGAAGTATGATGCCAGCTGCCTGAACAGCCAGCTGCGCCCTTCCTTGTCCTTGGGCACCGTACCGTCGACCTTCATGTCCTTCTCGTCGACCAGCTGCAGCGTCGTCGGAATGGGGCCCTTTGTGACCACCGTCGTGAGCCGTCGGTATCTCCTCAGCCTTGCCACGTGTCCCTCGCCGAAGAGCGTTGCCGGCTCGCCCAGCGCCCGCAGCTTTCCCGCGAGCTCCTCGTCGGGTATGTCCTCCATGCCATCCTCAACCTCGGCGACATCCTCGCTGCTGGCCTTGACGAGCTCCGGGAGACCGAGCCGCTTGCGCCGGGCGCGCTCCTCCTCTGCTTCCTTCTCCTCGCGCCGCCGCCGTGATTCCTCGGCGAGCTTTTGACGTTTTTCTTCGCGTATCTTCTTCTCGGCCGCCTCTTCGTCCTCGCGCTTGCGCTTCGCGGCGGCCCTGGCCTCTCGCTCGGCCTCGATGCGGGCTTGTTCCGCAAGGTATTCCTGCCTGCGCTTCGCTTCAACGTCGGCGCGCTTGACGTATTTTGATGACGACGAGGCTGGCGTCGACTCCTTTGCCTTGTCCAGCTCTTTGGACATGAGCGCCGCGAAATCCATGCTGGCGGGCGGGCGGTCGTCAACTCGGGCTATTTGTCGGTCGGTACGCTTGCTATCGGCAAGGACTGGGGTGCGCGTGTTGTCTCGGGTGGGTCCGTCCGGCCGTGTTTATCGCCAAAGTTACGGATACGTCGTCCAACTTGCTGCGGTGTCGATGAAATGTCGTTAAACAAAAGCGGGAGAAAAATCGGGTAAGGCGTACCGATTGAAAAGCTTAGTTTCTTTCCATTCTGTTTCCCCCACACCTCTCTGGGCGCCTGTGTGGTGGACGATCCATGCATGGAAGCTTTGGAAGATCGCGCTTAACTTGCACAGCCTCACTCGCCTACCACCTTGACTCCAGTCGGGAGGGACGCACGCCCGCACACCGCACACCACAAACCACACACGCAAGACTACCTAGTTCCGGCACTCCCTCCGTTTTGCCCATCTCTTTCCTGATCCCTTGGGGACCCCAAACTTGTGTTGTGGCTGTTTGTCACAAGGGGACCTGGAGCTTGTCAAATTCAAGCTCGTCCTGGCTGCTCCACCAGTGCTGTACGTACTCTTCGACGTTGCCCTTTCTTGCAACGCCTCGCGGTACCTGCGACGCCTCGACGGCACCACTTTCAGAATGGCGTCGATCGAGCGGGAAGAGACCACCCCATTTCTTATACAACTTTTCTGCAAGAACGGCTCGTTTCACAGGTAAGGGTGGAGACGCGCTACCTGCCTCCGGATACGGATCGCTAATCATAGTTCAGAACAGATGAGTTCGCCTCGAGGAGCCTGCCGCCTGCCTTGTCACTCTACACGTGGCCCGACTGCACCTTGACTGAACTCGCTGAGCAGATCGCTGCCGCAGACCCCTCGTTGCTACCGAGCCCCTCCGTGGGCACAAGGCTGGCCTTTCGTGTTATATACCCGGACACCCGGAACGCGGCGGTCCCGCCCAGCGCTCACCATGCGCAGACACAGATCCCCCGGTTTATGGTTAAGGACCTAGGGAGCGTCGTACTAGGCGACGGCACGGCGGGCGCTATTCTCGGTGCCAACGGCGCGGAGGTGGTTGAGGGAGACATACACATGGCCGAGACGACGACGGCATTGCCGGACACGGACATGGACAAGACGCTTGGCGACGCCAAGTTCGTGGTGGGGGATTACATCGCGTGTGCCATTCTGCCGCCGCTGCCTGACGGATCTGTGGCTCCCGCGCTCACCTCGCGGAACGACAGGACCGCGGGACCGTTTAGCGCAAGAGGCGGTCTGGGCGGCCTGGCTTCACAAGGGCCGCGTCGAGACGCTGCGTTTGGTGCGAGACAGGGGCGCGACAGAGACAGGCGGCGCTCTGGGCTCGGTGACAACGGGTTTCCCGAAGGAGAGTGGAGGAGAGGCGAGAGGTTGCCAGAAGATCCTTCCGAAAGGTCTTGGGGCAGAGGACGGAGACCAGACAGATGGTGACTGGTTGCTTCGGATGATTGGAGTGCAGCACGGTTTTCGGAGTTGTGGCACGGCGTCAAGTCTCGCGCGGGACAAAATACCAGGCATTATCACGGCCATTCTGCGGGCGTCTAGGGTTTCATAGTTGCTTGTAGGGTGTTAAGACAGATTTCCCACGTCGGCAGTTTGCACAGACAAAACTTCTGCTTATTGCTTGTTCCATTCTTCTGCTCCGGCCCGTGTCCCTGGGCTTATTTGCAACACTCTTCATGTCGATATTCTACTCCCTCTACCGCTCGTAGACCAGGTCGCCCTTGCGCTTGGCGCGGAGGTCCCAGAGACCCTGCATCAGTCAGTATCGGTGGTTGAGGCATGCCAGGCCATCGCTCCTCTCGCGAAAGGATGGGGGGGGGGGGGGGGGGGGGAGGCGTCTCACGTCGGTCTTGTAGCCAATGTAGCCAACGACGAACGGCACGACGACAGCGTACATGAAGGTGACGCGGGCCGTTCTCGGGGTCCAGCGGAAGAAGATGTGTCGGTTGCTCTGCATGTCTGTTCGGCGCTCGCGGGTCAGCACTGTTATCACGCGGGGACCCTCCACAGCTCCATCGGTTGACGGTCTATCGTCGCTCATCGGATTCGAAGGACTCTCAACGTACGTCCCAACTTGACCAAGGCCGGGTCAAGGGCCAGCTCTAGTCCATCGGGTTAGCATTTTCTATCATTATCCAACTTTCGACGTCAATTGAGCTCACTGTGGTGGTGGCCCGCCATCGTGACAGATAAACAAGGGCGTATCAGGGTTTTACAGTCGCTAGGCTAGTCGGACGACGTGGTTTCGGCGGGTTTTGAGGGGCAATCGGTGTCGCTCGTCGAAATGCGGCTCGAGGCTCCGTGATGGCACAATGGATCGCGAGCCTTGGAGTTGAATGCTTAGGTAACAAGCCCTCCTGCCTCAATGGTCAGGCACATTCAACATTTTGGTTCATCAGATGCGCAAGGTCTCTGGCACTGTGCTCTGGTGCCGTAACAAGCGGATCTACACAGTTTCAACCGAAACCTCTCATACCGTATGGTGTCTCGTGCACTTCCCTTCGTCCTTATTATTTATCCAATGTAGGTGTTTACATAAGCAGAATCATGTCAACGTGCCAGAGTGGTTAATGGGCTGCCCTGCTATATTGTCTTGAGGAATCAAGACATTCAGCTCAGGCAGTGGCTTCGGTCGCGCAAGTTCGAATCTTGTCGTTGACGGTCGGTAAACTTTTTACTCTTTTTCCCGTTGCCCTTTATGTAACAGAGCTGCACGTGTTGGTGCAATTGAGGTTTGAAGTCAGCGGCGGCAGACTTGGTGAGAACATTCATTTGCTCTGGAACACACGGTTCTTAACCAACGTGCAAATCCACAACAAATCCATGCGAGAGCACACGGTTCGCTCTTAAAGGAAACGTCTCAAGTCGGGGGGACTGTCACCCCATGCCGGATCAAACAATCCCCCGACTTAGTGGCTTAGCCGATCATTGAGCGCTCGATTTGGGGCGATGCCGAGGCATCGACACTGACACAAGCCTAAATTATGGAGACACACTGCTCTTGAAAGAGCTGCAGCGATGGAAAAACGCTCGTTGTTCTGCGAGATCAGTTCGGTGGGCCCGGGTCCTGTGCGTTCCGGAAAGCTAGTGACCTATAAATGAGGAACGCGACCTAGACCACGTTATTCTCCCATCTATTAAAATAAATCAGTGGTGATAAGCTGTTGCTGTTTGGAACATCACGCAGTTGAATTCGGTAACTCGCGACGATTGTGACACAATTAGAGATCGAGCCACCACGCCAGCACCATGACAACCGAGCAGAAGCCCAAGGTCAAGCTCTACTGGTAGGTCGGTCACATAACTAACGTCTAAAATCGAGCTGATCAAGACCCTAGGCTTGAGCAGTCCAGGGCGCAGAACATCCTATGGCTCCTCGAAGAACTCAAGGTCGACTACGAGGTCGAGGTTTTCCACCGCAACAAGCAAACCCTTCTGGCGCCGCCCGAGCTTGCAAAGATTCACCCATTGGGCAAGTCGCCCGTCATCGATATCTACCCCACCGGCTCTGGCGAGCCCATCAGGCTGGCTGAGAGTGGTTACATGACTTCTTATTTGTGCGAGCACTTTGGGCAGAACACCAACCTCATTCCCAAGAAGTGGAAGGATGGTCAGGAGGGCAAGCTCGGCGGCGAGACTGAGGAATTCTCGCGGTGCCAGTACCTCCTCCATTACATCGAAGGAAGCCTGCTCCCGGTCCTGACGATGACTCTCGTCATTGGAGGTAAGACGTATCCCCCGCGGTGCAGACGGATCACCGCAACTCACGCGCGCAGCCCTCAAATCCGACAACGTGCCGTTTTTCGTCCGACCCATCACCTCGGTGGTCGCCAACAAGATCTACAGCATGGTGATATTCCCCAATGCCCAAAAGCACCTCGCCCTGCTCGACCAGATGCTCGAGACCTCCCCCAACGGCGGCAAGTACATGTGCGGCGAGCACCTGTCGGCCGCCGACATCCTGCTCAGCTTCGCTCTCATCGCGGCGGAACCCCGTTTCGACACCCTGGGCAGCTGGCCCGGCGGTTCCTCGCGGGTCGCGCACCCACGTGTGTTCGAGTACATTGATCGGCTGAAGAAGGAGCCCGGATACCAGCGGTCGGCGGACAAGATTCGGGAGATTGAGGGCAAGTTCGAACCCACCATCTCCAAGATGTAAGATTTGGCGTGTGATGAGTAGGAAGAGGACCAAAATACGGAGGGTTCATATATACCATTGTACCAAATTGATGAATGATTCCACGATTCCAGCTTGGCTCAGGCTCCTTTGCATTCTATACTCGGCATATTCTCACATGCCACAATTGTCTGAAAGAGAGGGCCCATCCGTGGCTGAATGTCCGAGTGGAAGGTGAGTGGCCCGAGCTTCAGTAACGGAGCACTGCCGCAGGGGTCACGAGCCGCTAGGTACCTAGGTACCTAGTGGGCATGCGTCGTATTAGTCGGGAACTTTTTTCCAGTGGCCCTCTTGACGTGGGATTTTATGCATCACCAACTATCAACACGCCACGGACCCCAACACACTCGTTTACCAGAACTCATGCTAGTCTCGAGGACAGTATGCGCCCATTGTCGGTCGAGGCTTCTGGCCAGCTCAGCGCATATCGGCGCGGCCCGATCGAATTCGACCGCGAGCTTCCCGGCCGCCACCGCCGAAACCTCGAGAACGAGACCACAGCCAGACCGAACCCAGTCACATAATCCGCCGCGGGTACCTGCTCGGCCAAAGATCGTCAGCGTTGGCGACCCGCGCACGAAGCAGAGGGCATTGGATCTGTTTGAAGAAATCGTTAGGAGCAAGCCGCAGGCGCCCTCGGGTTCCAGCCAAGATGTCACCTTGCCCTACCGTATCGCCGACGAACTCGACATGATCGCGAAGAACAATGACAATCTCTCTGCGATAGAGGTTGCCGCGAAGTCGTATATTGTTATAAAGACGAAGCTGCTGCCAATAGCGCAACAGGCGGACACCCGATTGCCACAGAGCCTTACCACCAAAGCCACCCAGGCGATGCACCAGATGGTGAAAGCCAAATTTTCTGCCATTGACAATAAGGACCTCCCCAGCACTGTCGACATCTGCAAGATTTACGCCGATCTAAACAATGTTCGGGTCGTGAGGAGGCTGGAGCTCATCAACGACCTCCTCCGAGTGATCGTGTCTTCCCGGTCTGAGTTAGGGGCCGAATCCGTTGAGGATCAATTGGACGACCTAGTGGAATGCTGGAAACACTTTTCAGGCTTGAGGCGCGTCAAAAGCGGCATGGCCTCGCATGCGGAGTTCTGGATTACCTCGAGACCAGACATGCGGGGCACGGAGGAGCCTGCCAAGCTCTTCCGCCTGCTCTTCCCTCTGTTTGCGCTCAACGAGCTGCGCGGCCTCACCCCCGCGCTCGTGACGACGTTCGTCCTGCTCTCCGAGCCCAAGCATGCGTTGAGCATGGCAAAAGAGGAGGCGCAGCCTTTGCTGGAAGCATTGGACCCCATCGTGAAGCGATTCGGCCCGGAGGAGCTCCAGCCATTCTTCGATGGCTATCCGGAACTATGGAACTACGTCCAGCCCAGGGCGGATTGGCGGGTTACTCGAACGGCACCAGAAGCCTTGAAGGATTCAAATGCACCTGCTGTTGGGAATTCGAGTCACACTCCGGCCGAGGGGCGTTTCTCATATGTTCTCTGGCACAACCGCTTCAACGTGGCTTTTCGTTCGCCTGGCCTCACAGTGGCGAGGGAGACGTGGAGGGATCTCATCGACCCTGCCAACGACGAAATGCGGGCCTTGAGACTCCGTCGCGCCCCCGAGTTGTTTGACTACATCTTGTTCCTCGCCTGCAGCAAAAAGGAGGAGGGCGTCTCCCAACTGACTTCGGAAGTACTGGCGTACATGAAAGACCTTGGACTCGCACCCTCGGTAAGGACCTACACGTCTATGATGAATGGCTGGAAGCAGGCCAGGAAGCTGGATCCGATCGAGCATCTGTGGGCCACGATCACGCGGTCGCCTCTGAAGCTAGACGAGCAGATCTGGTCGGTCAGGATAGCCGCACTTGGTCAACTAGGCCCAGAGAGAGCAGGCCTCGCCGCCTTGAAAGAGATGGAGAGCCTGTGGGACGCGGAAGTCAAGAGCGGCAAACCGATCAAAGCGGACGAGCCTGGGATCGCGGGTCCGAAGGCGGTCAAGCCTGGGATCGCGAGTGTGAACGCGGCCATCTCTGGGCTGCTGATGCGAAACCGCATGGATGTGATATACGCGGTGCTGAAATGGGCGACGAGCAGGGGCTTGGAACCAGATATCTACACCTACAACATGCTCCTCTCTCAGATGCTCAAGAAGGGCGCTTCCGAGAAGGTGGACGCGCTTCTTTCCAGTATGAAGGCGACGGGTGTGGAGCCCGACGCGGCCACCTTCACCATCATTCTTGAAGCAGCCTTTACAGGCCTCCACAAGCAGACGCCACGTGAGCAGCGAGAGGCTATCGACGGAGTCTTCGCGGAGATGGCTGCCTGTGGTATCAAGCCCAGCCAGGAGGCATTCGCCAAAATGCTATACGTCCTTGTCCGACAAGGCGCCGCTGCGGATCACGCGATCAACATCGTTCTCGGCCACCTGCGCAGGAGCGGCCTACAACCCTCGACGGAGATTTGCACGATCCTGGTCGAGCACTACGCCAACCGCGAGCAGCCAGACCTCGACTCCCTTCGCGCCCTCGTAGCCGACCGTCGCTCACGCACCCGCGCGCTAATGGACCGCGTCTTCTGGGAGAGCGTCATCAAACACTACCACCGCGTCGGCGACCTCTATGGCGCGCTGGAGATCGTGTACGACCTTGATGACTGGGGCATCTGGCCCGCCCTCCCGCTTCTTGAGCCCCTGCTGCGGTCGCTGATTTCCAAGCGAGACTGGGACGGCGCCCAGAAGCTAGTTTCGACTGTCGTCAAGCAGCCACGGCCCCAGGCAAAGGACAGACGGGAACGGTACTGGAAGCATGGTTTTTGGGCTGCTGCCAAGGATTACGATTTAATAAGCGGCCTGTAGCAAGCTCGTACGATATGTAACTGGCATTCGCCTTTGTAAAATAAACACCTAGTCAATACAGATTTAAAACATGAGTTAATCAACCCCCTTCAGCACGTACGCCGCTGAAGTGTACATCTACAGAGGAGCCTGTGACGCTTGTGGAAGTCGTCATTTTTGCATGAGGCAGAACGATACGTTCGTCTATTGCGTCGTTTGGCGATGTTGTGCGTATTCTTCAACATCCCGCCTCCGGACCCGACTGATCCGCCAAAACGGGTCCACAGCACCGAACATACGGCCGGCTGGCTCGAGAGAAATGCTCAGTCGTGGCATGCCATGCGAATGGTTTGCCTACCCATGATCGATTTGTTTAACTCTCGGTTTGGGACGATTTTCTTGTCACTGTTACAAGTACATCACTCATCGATAGATTTGTCTGAATTCTTGGATCATGGGACAGTTCGGTAGTCCGCCTCATCTTTCTTTTCCTTTACCATTTCGTCTTTTCTTTTTTAGTCGAATCTAGCCCATGACGATTTGAAGGTTCCGTCTCAAGGGGCTATTATCGTCTAGTCAACCCTAAGTAAGGCTTTCCTGGCCATGTACATGAAACACTCCATTGCTCAATGCGGGGGGGCACGAAGTCCTACATCTTATGAGATTGGGCGTCTACCAAGACCGCCGCGTAACATGTAGTAGAATAAATTTCAACAGAAACAGGTCTGTTCCTCGCATGCTAGATTTTACGACGCCCGAGTTTTGACGTCAAGCTCGCTGCCAGGGTTTTAGAGAAACATTGCATGTAGATTGCACTAAGAGAGATATTGGGGCTCCGGTGACATGGAATTTGGAGTTTCGGGGAAGACAGTTAGCGCCCAGAGTTTTATACTTTGTCATTGCTACTTATACCTAGGGGATTAATACAGGCTCTGAGACTATCAGGCGAGTTCAATCGGAGCTCATATAATATACAGCTGCCAGGCGTGGTCAAGGGGAGACGGGGGTAAATGTTCGTCTGAGGAGACTGCCACTTGACGTCTTTTAGAGGACGCTTCGATGGGGATTTTGCTTGTATTGTGTGTGATCGTTCGGGTATAATTCTCTCAAAAGAGGTGCCAGAGCTAGAGCGTTGCCAGACGTGACTTGCACTGAGACGTCTTTGGCAATCCGACCACTACACTAGCCGACCGCGCTGAGGACATACTTGATGCCCTCCCAATGCTCCTTGACCGTCGGCCAGATAAACTCGGGCGCTAGAATAAATCCAGAATCCCCATCCCCATCCCCACCACTCTTGGGCCTCAATTCAACACTCCACGAGTACGTCGCATTCAGGGCTCCATGATGGAAGTCTCTTGCAGAGCCGGTTGAGTAATACAGAATCTCACACGAGGGGCCGACCTGATACTGCTCTCCACTCGTCGCGTTAATAGCGGCCGCGTACCCGGCGCCGACGTCGCGCTGCGCCTGCAGGTTCTTGGGCAGTACCTCGGACTGGCATGAGAAGCCCCAGGGGAGCAGGATGAGCTGCGAGTAGCTGTGCCAGTCGATGAAGAGGCGGACCCCGCCGGGCTTAGCGGCCAGCTTGCGGGAGAGGGCCGAGAGGGCGATGTTCTCGGGCGTGTCGCCGGGGGTCAGTCCGTGGAAGGTTTCGCTGCAGGGATCGGCGGAAACGCTGCCATCCTCGAGGGGATAGTCCCACTGGAAGTCCCAGTTCCGGTTGCCGTCGGTGCCGATACAGGTGACATTAGAGCGCTTCTGACGGTTCTTGCGCCAGAGGCGATCCGTGGTCTGGGTGTATACGAAACCTGGCAGGCAGGCAGGCGGTTAGCAAAGCAAGTCATCGCGGGAAAGTTGCACTAACCATCCGGGTTGTGGAAGGGCACGATGTAGAAATCATATGCGTCAAAGAAGGCCGTAACGTTCTTGTCTCCCGACTTGTAACCATTGATGAGCTGGTAGGTCAAGTACTCGACGGTCTGCATGTCTGTTAGCGACTCGAGTTCTCGCACGCGCGATCGAAGCAACCGACCATTGTTGTGATCCATTCCCTGGCATGAACAGTACTGTGCCAGAGGACGACGGGCTTGGTCCCCGTGTCGTTGCCGCCCCAGAGACGCAGCCCAAAGATGTTGCGCCCTTCGTACGAGGACCCAATGTCTAGCCACTCAGAGTTGTTCGGGAACGCGGTCTGGAGGTTCTTCCAGTACTGTACGTGGTCGTCGTAGGCGTGATAGGAGTCGAACCAGCTCAGAGGGGGCAACTCGCCGCGCTTGGTTAAGGACGCGGGCTTCTGGGCCGAAGACTCGGCCCTGATCAGCTTGCCGAGGTCCTCGTTCAAGAGCTGTTTCTCAAGGTCTAGCGACTTGAAGCTGTCAATCTCCTTGGGCGGGATCGCGACCTCGATGAAGCCGTTCTGTGCAGCGGACGGGAACAATCTCAGACGAGAAAGGTCTTTCGGTGAGTTGGCGGTAGACACTCGGTAGACCTGGTAGCCGTCATAGCTGACCTTGCCGTCTCGCGGCGTCGCGGCTGCTCCTGCGACAAGGGGGCAGAGGAGGAGGAGGGCGGCAGTGAGCTTCATCGCGACAGACTGACTTCGCACAAGTCACTGGTGCGGCACACCAACTGAACTCAGCGGCAGCACGTCGTATACTTTATACGCCTTCGGACAGCATGCCTGGATATTTCACGCTGCTCATCGCCTTGCCCAATTTGGCGCGCACTCCCTCATCCTAGCCCGACAAACTTAGTGAGCGGGATGTGAGGGGTTGACAGTTGATGACTATGCAAGCCAAGACTGCAGTGCTTGGATGACGTTCTTGGAACTCTCAAGCCAGTATGACATCCGCGCGCTTTCCTGTGAACCGCTTTTTGGCGCGGTGAAGACGTGCAGCGACGTCGATCGCAACGTCCTACGGGCGGGCATACGGAGCCTCTCCCATAAGAGCAGGTGCGAAGGGCAGCTTGGCAAGTTGCTCGACCTTTCCTCTCTTTCTGGCCATCTCTCTCTCTGGCCATGCTGGCTGGGCTGCGAGGGCAACTGATGCTATATTCGGAGGGCCAGGATAACCTTGCCTGTCGCTTAGAATACCAAGGAGGGGGCGACGAACTCAAGGCATGAAATGTAGGGTCCGAGCTGGTAAGGCTGGAAATTCGAAATACCTAGCGTTCTTCAGTGTCAAAAATAGCTTTGCCAATTGACATGTCTTATCATCGAGGCGGGGTAGAAATGGTCACAGTGATACCCGATGACCTAGCATGCCGGTCCCCGGGTTGTGGTGGATTCCCTCCACCGTTCCGATCCGACGGTGGGCCTCGGCTTCGGAAGCACCGCATGCGTCGCCGCGGCTGAACTTTCTATCGTAAAGGTGATTGTTCTTTGTCGAAGCGTGCTTTCAGTCCGAGATCAACTCGAGACTCTTGCCTATGGATAGTTGTTTCTAAGCAATCTGTCTGATCTGTCCAGGACTGCATACCATGATCCCTCTTCCCACTGATTTCTGACCCATGAACACTCCAATCTATCACGCCCTTGCATCTGCCACAAAGACGCAATGCCTGAGACATCATGAGGCAATTCCAGCAATTGTATCGAATCACCATCGGATTCCATACTATCGCAGGCTAGTAGTCTATGGGTCTCAAGCTTTCGCGGTTAACGCGAAGCAATGCCAAGCGCCCACCAAGTGGACGCCAATTTAAACCCACCAAGTACCTCATGCCAGGTTATCGCAGCAGGTGTTTGGCCCCTCTGATACGTGAATAATACAGCCGCCTGACGGCCGCCCGCCTCTCGCTGTACCAAAGGGCCGCAGTTTGAGAGTTGGGCATTCGAAACGCGGCACGGCCAGCGTCCTGGAGTAGCGTCCACGCTTCCGGATAAGCATTTGGGGCGCCAGGCTGGTAGCTGCCGTTTCTCCTACGCACCGGCGTCTTGGGACGAATCTCTCAGCATAGAACAAAATGCAACGAAGATCAAATCGATCTTGAGGCTACTTCCGGCACCGACAGCATGATTCCTTTGCTGGGAGGTTAGGGATGCCGAACCAGACAGACCAGCGTTGCATTCTCCATGTGAGGCAATGCCCGTGACCTGCGTGTTTGGCCAAGGAGAGAGCACCTTCACAGGGCTGCGACAAGTTATTCCAGCCCTTGCAGGTGCTCACCTCGGCTGAAAGGGCGGCTCCGTTACAGATACAAACGACCTTGATAGCACAATGTCTTTGTAGCCATACTCAAGACAGGTCTCGCCGGTGATTGAATGATGTTACCATCAGCGGGCCAACATATCGGTGCGATTGCTTGGGAAATAAGTTTCTTTTGAAAAGACTAGACCCACGGGTTCCATGACGGAAGGCCGGCGCTTGAGTCTTGCCGTGTCGAGCTGCATCACGAACAACTCATAATCTAGGCAGACCGACATAGTCCAAGTAGTCCACCTGCCATCCGAGTCCGATATCACCAGGTCCCTATTATACCAACCTTACGTTGGGACGAGTTTCCCCAGTGTCATTCGACCCTTTATTCTACAACCAAGCCCAGTGAAGGGTCTATAGGCCTGGAGTACTTGGTATGAAATCCCAGTGTTTTTAAGTGAAAGCGTTGCTTCATGCGGTCAAGGGCCAAGGCTGGTCTTTGACCGTATTCCGAGCCTTGATTTACGCAAGTTTTGCTTGTTGATATCAGTACGCCCCATACTTGTCCATGATGCTCCGTCGCGATGGAACCATTACTCATCACCGATTCATCCAAGGTATTCCATCCCGAGCTAATCCATGCGTGTCGGCTCAACGAGAGCCTCGCCTCACCTGAGGCAAGACCCGCTATACCGAGACGAATTCTCTGAACAATGAAGCGGCTTCCGTACTCTTGTGATCGAACCCTGCCTCTCCACAGTCTGCCGACATTGGTCGCGATTGCTTAGCGGGTCGTGATGCCGCAACACCCGAGGGAGCGATACCGGCGCTCTTATTCCAAGTGATGGATACTAGTCTTGCCCGACCATGAGGGACAGCCTGTTGGCACCGATTGGCCAGTGTTCCTGTGGCTAAGATTTGATGCTCGTGTAGCGGATGCCGATGAGTATTGGTTTTTGAACCACGCTCGACATGGTCGGGTCGGACCGAGGTGGGCTCGATGAACGCCGTCACAAGGTTCGGTCACCAAAGCTGTCTATCGACAAGATGCGTTTTCAGGCAAGCCATCGAGTGTACTGGAGCAGGCTCGCCTCAGCGCCAGTGCTGGGAAGGCACCGCCAGCCGGTCGGATTCTTCGTCCTGGTCAGTTCAGATCCGTGGCTTTGACCTCATGACTCGTCCATCGCGTCGGGATGGTTCTGCTCGGCGGGCTCTTGGGAGCCTCCCCCCAGCGCAGACACTACCTGCTCCAACCCTTCAACTTCGCCCATGGCAAACTTCCTGCCCTCACCCTGCCACTCGCCGTCGCGGATCTCTCCGTCTTTGCCAAGCTCCAAGCCCCGCACGTGCTCGAGATGCTTTCGTGTCGCACTTTCGACATATTCTAGTCTCTCGCGCCTCCAGCTCTTGTTCTTCTCCGACCCATCCTCGACGTTGGACGGGTCCTTCAGATCGGGCATGATGTTTCTTAGGGAGGTCGATAGTGCCCGCAACGCCTGCAGTTGCGACATGTTGAACGCCGTCGTCGTAGTGAGGGGCGTCTTGTAGTCTCCCTCCGTGAGGTCGCCCTTCTCCTGCAGGAACTGGAATGGCGCCCTATCGTCTACCCCTTCGATCTTGACCTCCCCCAGCGAAGCCCGCGAGCCGGCGGGCTTACCGCCGACAACCCCCCGCAGCTTTGCCAGCAGTGCCGCGTTCTTGGCCTGTTCGCCATGCAACATCACGTTCAATCGCTGGCTCGCCTGCAGTTTCCTTCTCAGTGCGGCGACACTCTCTCTAGTCGGGGCGTCCTCATGGACGGTGTTGAACTCGAGGCCGTGGTAGTGTGCGAGGCGCATCCAGTTTCGGTGGTTTGGCTGGATGCCTAGGATGTTCTGCATCACGTAGAGCTCGTATTTATCAAAATTCTTGTCAATAGCTGCGCACAGTAGGGTCTCGAGCTTGTGGACGCCGTCGACGATCTCTAGCTTCGCCATTTCCTCGACGTTGACCGACGCATCCGGGCGAGACTTCTTCTGCTTCAATGCCTTTTCGAAACCGAGAGCTCTGGGAGGCGCTTTCGAGAGACCTTGCTCGACGCGGTCGAGGGTCTTGTCGGCTACTGCGTTGACATTGTTGATGATGCTGTCGAGGAGCGACTGTGACCGTGTCAGTCCGGGGCCGATGTCTACTGCGTTGGATGGATCACAAGGACAGACTCACAATCGGCGCATATCCGAGATGCTCCGTCAGGAGCTCGACGTCGATGATGTTCCGTTGCACCATCGTGGCTGGTTGCTGATGGGTCTGCTGGAAATAAGATTGTGGTTGGGTGGGCTGCGGCGTACGGTCCGGACGACGCGACTGACGCGACGAAAGTCAATATTTGGCAAGGACTTTGGGACAGGTAGGGAAGGAAGAGCAGGAAGGGGCCGGTGGGCCTGAATCGCAAGGCCATCAAGCATGGGCACACACACCGAGTTTACAGCGCCCGATGTGCAGGAACACCCTTATTTTGGCGATTCAGCAGCGGGGCAAGGCGCCTATCACCTTTTCACTGCTACCTACATGTACGCAACCGACGTCACGCAATACTAGGATGGAGCGCTGACTGAGAGGGCCACCGCTGGAGACGATTTGGACCTCTACCGGGCTTAACATTAATTGCACAGCATTACGATTTCTCTCTCTAATTTTTTTTATTTTACACAGGCACAGTTCAATCTCGACACTAAGCGGACATTCTCTTTCTTTTTCTTCTTCCTCTTCTTCTTCTCCTCGGATCCGTAGACAATGTCCAGCTTTGGAAACTTGATGAAGAATGGATGGCACCCTGAAAAGCCGGGCACCACCTTCAAGGGCCAAGTTGTATGTCACCGTCGGCTTTGGCACGCCATTGAAGATCACACTGACCGATGCACAGAACGGGCTTCTGGGCAGAAACAAGGACGACGCCCGCAAGGAGGACCGAGTAGCTCGGCCTTTGTCGTCTCTACAGGACCCCTCGACCTTTGCACCGCCGCCGAAGCGTGTTCCCGGTGCGAACCCTCCTCCTTTACCGCCATCGCGTTCGAATGCAACGTCGCCTGGAGCCCCACCGCCGCCTTACGAAGATCCAAGTCGGTACCAGCAGCAGCAGCAGCAGGAAGAAGAGGAAGAGGCTCCCCCTCGCCCGTACCGCGTTGATACCACGGGTCTCTCGACCGCCCACCTACCGCCTCCCCCCGGGAGGAAGGATGGTGCTGATGGCAGAACGCCGCCCCCTGGTCAAGCCGCCGCACGGCCGCCGCCCCCAAGCTTGCCGCCCCGACTCCCACCCAGGACGCCGTCCGCAGCGTCAGTCACGTCACCTGCGCCGTCCGCACCGGCAGCAGCCAGCGGTGGCGGTTACCTGAACCAGAACGCGATGAGCAGGCTGGGAGCTGCAGGCGTCTCGGTGCCAGCCCTGGGAATCGGGAAATCCGCGCCCGAGCCACCCACGAGATCGAATGCGGGCAGCCCGGCGCCGCCGCCGCGGAACGGTGCTGGTGGGCAGATGAGCGAGCTGCAAAACCGGTTCGCGAAGCTGGGCAAATCCTCGAGCCAATCGTCGAGCCCGCCGCCTCCGACCGAGGGCACGACGATGGAGCAGAAGCAGGCCGCCCTCCGCACAGCGTCCAACTTCCACAAGGACCCCTCATCTGTGTCAATGTCCGATGCCCGCTCCGCGGCGTCAACATTCAACAACTTCCGCCAGCGGCACGGAGAGCAGGTGGCTTCGGGGGTCAAGAGCGCGAACAACCTGAATCAGAAATATGGCATCTCCGACAAGGTGGGAAAATACGCGGGACAGGTTGGCCAGCAGCAGGAGGGAACCACAGGCAGCGCCGGCGCCGGCGCGGCCCCTGGTCCGCTATCGCCTCCGCCCGGGCTGGTGAACGCGATCGGGAAGAAGAGGCCGCCTCCTCCGCCGCCCAAGAAGAAACCTCAGCCGGCGCCGCCAGCACCTGGGCCTGGCGACGACGATGAGCCGCCTCCTATCCCATTGGCGACGAAGCCGACGTTTTGAGCAGTCCAAGCACTGCGTGGGGACAAAGCGGGCGGGGGGGGGGGGGGGGAGGGGGGGGTTGTCCATCCCTTACCCAAAGCTTTCATCTCTGGCGTTTGAGTGGTGGTCAGACCGCCCTACGGGGTGCGGTTCTCGAAAACCCAACAGCTGCTGTAGTTCGCGCACGCAAATTGGGGATGTCGTAGGTCATCGTTAAATACGGCCAACACAGAGTGCACTTTTATTTATTTTGCTTGCTACGGATTCGAAGGGATATATGCCAAAGCAGATGGACGCTGTAGCAAGGTGCCGGGCCGTCAAACTCGGTCCGACACCGTCAAAATCTCGAAAACAGGAACGCCCCGTCCAGACTTTAAACCTTCATCTCCGTGAGACCGTGCTGCCAGACGATGATGTAGGGAGTGACACCATCCTCACGGTAGTTAAGGAGAACAACCCTGCAGTCTGATTAGCATGGGTTCGAGCAGACGACAAGATGGGGCATCTTACATTCCATCGGGGTTCATCGACTCGCCGGTGTAGAACTCGAAGTCCTTGAAGTTGGGGAGGAGCTTCTCCTTGACGTAGGCCTGCGCGCCCTTCTCGAAGGCAGTGATCTTCTCGGCGGGGGCACCCTTCTCCTGGAGGGCGGTCTTGACAGCCTTCATGTAGCCTGTGGGAGCCGTGTCAGCTGCTGTCCAGAATGTGTCCGAGCCATGCCCATGTAGCGGGTGGAATCCACATACCCTTGAGGTAGGTCAAGTAGCCTTTCTTGTCGAACTGGGTGGACTGGAGGCGGAAAGAGTGGACGATGTTGTTGACCTTGACCTCGGTGTCCTCAACACCCTCGTCAGCCTCCTCAGCGGAAGCGTTGGCACCGGTGTCTGCAAATTCGTCAGAACGCTGCTCCTACTGCGTGTCGGAAGCGGGCGCGGGGTAAGCGCCGCAGGAGGGTGAGTTCACGCACCGATTTGGACGGCGCCCTCAGTGATCATGGCACAGTCGGCCTCGTAAACAATGCCATCGATGTCCTTGAGGTCGTAAGAGTCCGAGATGATCTCGTCGTCCGTGATAATGTCCTATTCGAGTGGTGGGGTTCGGTCAGCCCAAGGGTTCCCTTATTCGAAACAAAGACATTTTCTGTTTTTCCTCCCCCTGCCCAACGGCGGCGGGGTTACGGAGGAGGGGTAATAAAAAAAAGCAGCCTGTGCGCCAGCACGCCGTGGTTTGGTTGATGGACTGCAATTGTTTCGTTTTGGAAAGGAGCGTACCTTGTAGATAATCATCTTGGCGGTTTGTCTGGGAGGGTCGAGAGGATAGGGTTGGCGAGACGGAAGTTCGTTGTCTGGGTCTGGAGGAGTGAGAGATCGAGCAAAGAGAAGGGGGGGTCGCTTTTGAAGGGCGAAAAGTGTTCGCAAATTTGGCAAGTGGGAGGACTGTGTCTGGTGGGGTATTAGGCGCTAGTCTATATCGAGACTAACCCAGGATAGTTCAGCGGGTATTGTTAAGGCTATGGCGGGAAAGCCCCGGTAAAGCACTAACAGGATGACGGGCAGCCCGAAGGGGCGAGAACACTCGTAGTACTACCTACGCGGGAGGGAGGGGTTCTGGACAGTGCCTCACCATAATGTATCTATAGTGACCTTGGGGGGCCAGGTATTGCCCGCCTGACATAGCGTACATATTACTCCTGCCATTTACAGCTCCTTCTCTCTGACCATTGTCTTCATTCTTGCCTTTCTATATCTATATCTAGTCATTCAGACTAGGCTGACATTAATCTGCATTAACAGGCTTTTCTAAAGACTTGGAGAAGAGCGTAGATCTAGAGACAAAAAGGGACAAGAAATCAGACGCATCACTTTAGATACAGCTTGTGGAATGATTAATATTCTGTACCGTATATCTTCACTTGGTCATGATGATTGACCACTATCCAGAACCCCCCTCCCGGGTAGGTAGGTAACTACTGAACGTGCGTAGCTAAACGCGGGACCAGACGCTGTATGAACCTACACTTGAAAAAAAAAAAAAAAACCATGTGTATCAACACGGTGGGAGATGTGAATAATTCACTATTTTGGCCTTTGCATTTTCTGCAGCCGTGGACTAGCTCAGGCTTTTGAGGCCGTCGTCAACATACCCACAATACGGATACGCTCAAAGGCTTTCATCCTCGAGTCTTGGTCTGACATGGCGGGCGGAGTGGTGTTCAAAGGTCGAATTGGGATGCCTTACCTAAGCGGCTGGTGCATCCGAGTCCTTGACAGCGCCGCTGCCGCTGAAAGAGGGGCCCTGGACATGCTCAGCTTTAGAAACTCGGAGCCGGGATAGCCTCAATTGCGCTCTGCGAATGCGTGGCAGTTGTGGATGCAGCCTAACCTGCCCGACGCTGGCGGTCCCTCCACGTCACATGAACTCTCTCGACATGGAATACCGTCTGGCCTGGTGTCTGCGGAAAGCCCTGCATGGGCTGGAGTGGGATGGCATCCGTGATCAAGGTATGCCCTGGGGGGGGGGAGTGAAATACACAATACATCGCTGACGAATCGATGCCTTGGCCAATCCCTCTTTCTCAGACTGATCGTACCGAAAGTCCTGCGCGTTCCACTATTCGAACTTCCACAAAGGAGCCCTCTCTCGACGACAACTTTGAAGTGGGCGTATCGTGAAATTGACTTACCTAAGCACCCCTCTTTAATGCATCCTCGATCGCATCGCATCGCAGTGCCCGGGCTTATACTCCGTATAAACCACTGAGTGTCTACGGTAGTGTCAGGGGGTGGGATTGGCCCCGGTGGGGCCTGACACGACAGCGTAGCAAGCCGCGCATGGTTGATGGTTGACTAGGTACTCCGTGGTTATGACAGCATTGACAAGCCCGCCGCAATTTACGCGAGCTAGCCCGTGAAAGCGGTAAGGTATGCGGTCAGGTAAACAATGGACGCAAGTCGAGCCCGCGTAGGCAATTGAGAGCATTTCGGAGACCACGGCCGGGGAATTCTCCAATTCCCGCTCCAGATCGATAATTCGGAAAGAAGAGGGGGCGAGCTCAGTTGTGGTTCGATCCGTGGCAAAACCGGGAGACTGTCGAAAGGCGAGAGGCCCGCGCCTTTCCACAAGCGAGATTGATAGAGGCGCATCATTCCTGGGTCTGGGAACCCGACCACCTGCGCGCGCAGCCTAGTCCTAGAGAGATGGGGAAAAATTGCCCGCCTGTACTCCCGACGTTGCCGCTAAGACATCACTATCCCCGTGCCTTTGGCCCTGCGAGTACCTAGCAACGAGCGCCTTCGAGCATCGGGTGAGCAGGTCACTCTGTCGGACTGAACGATTTGATTTGGGCTGATTTTTTTCCCCTGCGCATTGCGAACAAGGGCCAAGCTAGTCAATGCTAGTGAAACCTCGAACCAACTCGCCACAAGTCTGCCGACCTTTCCCACTCTTTGCTCTCTACTGCCTGACCTACGTCTTCCGTCTCAGCCCTGCCGCTACGCTACGCCTCTATCGCTTTGACACCCATCCCGCCCCCATATATCCAACTTGCAGCCACTCCTCCCCATCGCCATTGCTCGCCACACCAACGGTCTCTTCCTCTCCCGCATACTCCTCTGCACTCATCGTCTTCCTGCGTTTGGCAACGAGCAGTTCGATACTCCCTTCGACCGAACCAGTCCTTGATCCCGCCGTGTCCGAGACCTACCCAAGAGCGAAGTCGTCGCCGGAACCCGCAATGGTCAACGAAACGATCCCACCCACGATGGCGACAAACTTCACGTCAATGGCCGGTGACCTGCCTCCGCTGCCGGCCTACACCCTCAAGCCCTACGCCGACATGATCCCGGGACTGCCGGATGTCTACCTGCGCATCTTCCTGCCCATCGTCGTGTACTGGGTTCTGTCCCTGTTCTTCCACGTGATCGATGTTTACGACATATGGCCGCAGTACCGCCTGCACACCCCCGAGGAGATCACCAAGCGCAACCACGTCTCCCGCTACGAGGTCGCCCGCGATGTCGTCTTGCAGCAGCTGATACAGATCTCAATGTCCGTTTTCCTCGAGTACATCGACGAGGAACAGCTCACCGGCCGGGAGGACTATGACGTCGCTGTCTGGGCCACCCGCGTCCGCATCGCCCAGCGCGCCCTGCCCACCTTCCTCGGCCTGCTCGGCCTCAACGCCGCCTCCATCTCCAAGAATATGTCCGCCTCACACCCCTTCATCGCCGGCGCTCTCGCCGGCGGTCACTACCCCTTCCTTACCACCGAGCTCGACGGCTCCCACACCGTTGTTCCGGCCTTCGCCTCCTGGGAGCTGCTTGTCGCAAAAGCCATCTACTGGCTCGTCATCCCCGGGCTCCAGCTTTTCGCCGCCATCTCGATCCTGGACACATGGCAGTACTTCCTCCACCGCCTCATGCACGTCAACAAGTGGATGTACAGTAAGTCGCAACCAAGGCCCGACCCGGCCGAGAACCTCGGGCGTGGGTGGCGAATTGCTCACTAACACGGATCTCTTTAGCAACCTTCCACTCGAGACACCACCGCCTGTACGTCCCCTACGCTTTTGGCGCCCTTTACAACCACCCTTTCGAGGGCTTCCTCCTCGACACCCTCGGTGCTGGCATCAGCTTCCTGATCACCGGCATGAGCGGTAGGCAAGGACTGTTGTTCTTCTGCCTATCAACCGTCAAGACCGTCGACGACCACTGCGGCTATTCTTTGCCTTGGGATCCCCTTCAGCACATCACGAGCAACAACGCCGCCTACCACGACATCCACCATCAGACGTGGGGCATCAAGACCAACTTCTCCCAGCCTTTCTTTATCTTCTGGGACCGCGCCCTCGACACGCGGTACAAAGGCGACAGGCAAAACCGCATCCTGGCGGCCAAGGGCAAGGTGGCCGCAGTGGGAGCCAAATCTGAATGAAGAGCTCCGAGTGGGCCTCGGCGATCCGAGCCGTCCGACGAGAAACCGACCAAAAAAATAATAATATCACAAGCCTACAGTAACCGCAATTAGTACTATTACCACACTTCGATTCTGATTTCTGTACGCTGGCGTCTTCACACCGGAAAAAGCTCGAGGCTGGTTTTTGGATCCATTGGGAAACAAGGAAGCTGGCTTGCCGGCCAACCAGTCGTTGAGGGAGGGAGGGAAGAAAACCCTCCCCCTTTTACATTTCATTAGGGAAAGCATTGGGACGAGGCGTTATCGTGTCATACAAAGCAACGTTCGAATAACAAGGCGGGGGTGGAGTAGAGCAAAGGCAGTCCTGGTTTGTTTCCTTTCCAATTCATTTTTCCACCCCCAGTATTGTGACCATGAGAGAAGAAGAGAAGAGGACGACGGACACGCAGACTGGGCTTTGGGACTTGACGCTGTATTCTTCTTTAAATTTACAACTCGCGTAGAGCATGCGAGTCCTTTTTTGTTTCATTCCCCTCCGCTTGGCCCGCCGACATCCCTCAAGATGTTCAAAGGCGCGCTTGCTTTTGATTTTTCATCACTTTATTTTTCTTTCTTTTCTTTTTCTTTCTGCGCTTGGCGGAATGTGGACACGAACTTTAGAGAAGAGAAGGCAACCAACACAAGCCGGCTTACACTGCATTGATTAATGGAAGACATAATAATTTCTATGACGTACGGCTGGCCAAGCCAGCCGATGAGAGGCAATGCCTCGGATATTTTCAGGTGCGAGCGCGTTCTGCGGCGCACTCGGCGGTGGGACGCAAGGTGACAGCGCGATCGGGCGCGTGATGTGGTTTGGACATCGGAGTTGGAGACCTGTAACCTCCGAAGAGGTCTCGGCCGTCCGAGCGCCTGGGTGTCTGCCGATGCCGACTCCCTCGACATACGCCTTTAGAAGCAGCGGTTGTCGTTGCAGGAGTGGGTTTGCTAGACGCGCAATGAAGACAGTACAACACAGGTGTAGTAAATGGAATTATTGATCTCGGTGTACAGCTGCCCTACTGCACCATTGGAATAGCATCAGCTACCGGTCATGGTTTGTCTTTTCTATGGTGGCCTGGGAGTCTAGTGTGCCAGCGCGTGTGCTGCGACACCACAGAGCCACGAGCGTCTGGGGGCATCATCTCGATGGATGGGTTGCGGAGGCGCCCGCGGATGCGGGAGGCGACATATCGGAAGCGAAACCAGCCAATGCGCTCACAAAACGGACGTTGGCTTGGTAGTTCGGTGCAATGGCGATTTGTGTAAGCCGCAACCCAGCCATCCCCACGAAACGTCAGGTCCCCCGCCGCCGTCATGGTCGCAGCGGCCTCTGTGCCTTTCTCCCATTCAGGCTCTGGCAACCAGGCCGGATTGCATCTGACTGCATCGGGGAACCCATGTGGGCATCTTGCACAACTCTCGGGCAGATGGGGAAGACATCAGTGGGTGTTTGAGATTGATTGCCAGCCAGGGGCTCTCCAACCACGGCCTGCGGTTTAAACTCGCAGTAGTGTACGACTAAGCAATCAACGAGGTGCAGCTCATGTGATGGACAACCCCTCCGGATCGTCAGACATGATCTCCTGTTGTAATATTACCATGTAGCAAGCCTTCGTCCCGATTGTCATTGGCCGTAACCAGGTCGCTAATGGCCGTGGTACTCCAGGACGGAAACTGAGGGTTTTCCGAGCCCTCAACTTTGCTATGGTGTACCGGCGTTGCTGTCGACAGACATCCCGCCGCCGGACAAAAAGCATCGTGATCTTTGGTTTCTGACGGTGTGCCTTCGGTTGGGAGAACCGGGAGATTGGTTGCGAACAGGGGTTCGTTCCGTTGCGGCGATGGCACTGGCAAGGTCAGCTGTCTCACCTCACCAAGTAGCCACCGCAACCACAGGGTCACCGGCGGTCTTGCATTCCGACGTTGCTAGTCTGCAGTCGGATCAAGGTGTGGGGTTCAAACGCAGGGTTGGAAAAGAATAAAACCATAGAGGCCGGGTCCACCTTGAACAGGCCAGGTAGAGGAGAGCCCAGGCAATAGGCAACAAGAAGGGAATGCCTGTGGGAGAGTAATGGTCAACGTAACGATCAATAGAGACGAACCGTGTGACAAACATATTTGTTGCGACGTGGAGAAAACGGGTCTGAGTCGTGACGGCAGAATGGCAGAAACGAACATGGTAGGCCGCTGTCGCCTCGAGTTGCTTGTTTGAAGAGCTGCAAAAGAAACGCAGCTATCGAGTCAAGCCGAGACCAGTCGGGATCGAGTCGGCTGTAGCTGACGACTGAGTATTGAGTACCGCAGATGAGAAACTTACTCGGGCGGAATGGAGCAAGTGCGGTGGTGTGTCTACATAGCCGAAACCACAGCTTCCCAATAAGCGTACAAGCCTCTCGATATTAGAGTTAAGCTTTGAGACCAGAGCAAGGTAACGAGGGCGCAACGATACTTTCAGAAATGCGACGTGCGTATGATTGGGCAGCCGCATCGTTTGGAGGCAATACCGACCTCTCCCACTGCAGGTCGGCGACCAGCTGAGAGCCATCTCGGGACTCGCCTAGTGCCGGCTTGCATGGAAAAACAAAAGAAACAAAAACCAAGAAGTGTATTTTTTTAAACCCCCCAAATCGGGCGTGCGGTCATTGTAGACAGGGCCAAACCGTCGACTTCAGCTGTAATCCCGCAGTGAGATTGCTTTCGGTAAGCGGCAGCCAACATGGAGAGCTCAGCATCCGTGCCAACACGAACCCCTCCGGAAGGGTAACAGTTGTGGATGTAACGTGGAAGTGGCCGGTCTGTGTGGGCGCACACCGTCGTCTTTTGCGTGCGATGCGGCCGTTTCGCTATTGATACCATCCTCCCAGCGCCGGCTGAAATATTCCATAACCTGGGGGGCAAAGACGACGGATGACGCTAGACTGTGGTAAAATTTTCTCCTATGCGAAGCCGTGTGGTGCGGCGGCAATGCTGGCAAAGAATGACGATGCGCCGACGTTGATTTTCCGGTTCGAGTGGAAGCTGCACAGCACCACGGAGGAAACGCAGGGTTCTGCGTCTGGTACCTTGCGCTAGTGTCTGCAGCGGGGACCTACCAGAGCAAGCGACCTAACCAGGCACGCCTGTCAAGACCCATGGCAGTGACGGACTCCAGCTCAGCGCATGTCCGGTCGGGGGTAGGCAAGAGCTGATGGCAATGACGTCCGTGAGTGACTCGGATGCGACGAAGGCGACTAGAATCGACGACCGTGACAGTCTGCAAGGGACATCGGCCTTGCAGGAGGGATCCGTCATTGGGTAAGTGAGACCAAGAGCTTCGCAGCCAGTGTCGATGGCGTCTTGGGATCGCGAAAATGCAGTCTCGATGACATGGGAGGCCGGGATATTGTAAGTCGCCGGACGCCGATCTGGGGCAAGGCGCCCCATGATAGGCTCCATCACGGGAACTGACAGTGCCGGGTTCCTTCAGCGTTACGTCTTGGGTTGGTGGTATCGTGGGCAAGCGACTCTTGTCAATCTGGATCTCGAGGCCGAGTCGGCAGGAAGATACGAATGCGGTGTATGCGTTTGCGGTGCTCGGAAGCCGAGTGGGGCAGACTGGCACACTGCAGTTGGCAACAGGAGGATGTCTGGCTGTCCAAAGTACATCTGGTGGTGCCAGGTGTACAGCAACAGTGCTGGGAGCGTCATCGGGCTTGCTGACGAACATCGTGGGGTTGTTTGATCGTCCACGACGCTCCTTCCCATCTCATCTGTGGATGGCATGACATGGCGCCATACGATGCGTCATCCACGATGGGACAGTCGATGCAGTGCGGCAGAGTTCGGTTCAATGGAGAATATGGTCTCGCAAGAGGTTTCTTACTGTTGTGGTGTGTCTACTACCTACAGGTATCGGTATCCGTACCTGTTGATATGTTATCTCTGTGATTTGGAGAGCTTCCCATTCCCTTGCCATTGAGGGAAATACGTCCCATGTTTTATGTAATGCCCTCGCAGCACAGTTCCGGACGAACAAGGCGCGATGACGATTACGATGCAGGCAGGGCAAGCGCCGATAGTCTCGCCGACAGCAGCAAGTAGGTACACACTACGGAGTAGGTACCTAGCACTGCAACCAGCAGTAGCACAGCAGCCCAGCACTCTCCACTGCATACAGCTAAACAAGTGGCCACCCGCGCGCCCTTCTTTGCTTTTCAGCCCATCCCGTCTCCACTTTCCATTTCCTTTTCTGTCTTGTCTCGAGCCTAGGCTGTCCCGCTTCATCTCACGTCGCGAAAGCCATGCACGGAGAGATAGGCGGGCCCAGCAGCCAACAGTCGACTAACCACAACCAACCGCTGCAGTTACCTGTCTACGGCTCTGAGACCGGGATCATCGCCATCATTACAAACACCCTCTCAGCCAATCCCTATTCAACGGTGCCTCCCAATTACGGACCTTGATTACAGGATCCCGTCCAATAGATCCTCCCGCACGGCACCCACCCCCCCCCTGCCCGTGCGCTCGGTACTAGACCTCGAACAGGGACAGCCCACTTGGTCTGAGGAGGCTTTGCTAGCCCTGGCCATAGCCGCCTGGTATGAACCGGCCGGCTTCGTCTGGTCTTTTCCAGAGAGACGGATAGAGAAACTCTAGTTGCCGTCGGCTGCGTCAGGAATGGCTGGTGTCCCTATCGCAGAGAACCGCCATCCTCTATGCCAGTTCCAACGCCACGACTCGCTTGGCCAGAGTGCCGAAATCATCGCCTCTAGCCCGTTTCCGACCTGGTCCTCCTGTTGTCGTCACCATCGACGCCCCCAAGACCAGGACCGTGGGGGGGGAGGCGGCGGCGGCGGCGTATGCTCACCAGATCGAGAACAGAACTAGCCAAGAATCCTCCGAGGGCCCACCAATATTCTTGTTCTGCTCTGCCTTTTCCCAGAAGCCCAAGAGATCATTCATATAGCCCAGGAGTACCCTGGTTCGGGCCAGGCAGGCTAGGCGAACAGGGACCGTCTAATCATTCTCTCACCCGCACTACTGCCTCAGCTTACGAAATCCTTGAGCAACTCCGTCGAGGGGCCTCTTCGAGACGTCCCCCAGTCTCCGTCCGAGGTTCATATTTATTAGAGAGCGCGGCCTGGAAGACACCTTAACCTTGACTCTCGACGCACGCAACTAGTGTAGCTCCTCACCCCCAAGACCAAAACCGACAACCAACCTACACAAAACGGGGTGACCTGACAACATCTCAACGTCGAACAAGTCCTCCGTTACGCCGCCTGTTTTCGACCCTGACACCGTACCTGCGTTGCCGTCTTTCCTTGCGCATGTCCAGGCCCCCCGCCCGCTTGTTTCTCCAAGCGCTCGCCAGTCGCCGATCAACCTCGCCCTTTCCAACGGCCGTCACGGCGCTTCCACGCACATCCCGCCCTCTCCATTGGCCAACCACCCCGTCCCCCAATTTCAAATCTGCCTCGCCTCGCCTCCGTCGTGTGCTGCTCTGCGTCTATTCAGACAGAATGGGATTCTTCTCGGCGTTTCACTGATATCAAATTCGTCTGTGGTGTCCCGACCAACGCTGGCCCAGTCGACTCATAGCACGGCGGCCGGGCCAACGTGCAGCACCAAGCATCTAACTGCCCCAATATATCCAACCCACCGCCGCGGCATAGAGCATTCCGTTGATTAAGACATCCTTCCCGAGGCCCTTATTTCAATTGGGCTTCTGTCCGTCTTATTCTAGCCATGGACCCTACGACGACCCTTTTCACCTTCATGCTGTGAGTCTCTTTTTCTTCTGACTCTTAGGCCAACCCTTGGTTCGTTCTCGTTTGTTTCTTCCTCTCGTCCCTGTGCCCCCCCATTCGCTGGTCGAAACCCAAAACTCCGTCCCCGTTTCCGCTTCATACCAGTATAATCGATCGTCCTCGTTTGGATGTACATAAAGTTGTACGTGTGGCCAATGACCGGGCGTCCCCTTCGTCCCATCACCCCCTACATCTGGCTCTTGCCCAATTCTCCAGAGGCGAATCCACCAGGCCTTGCGAAAGTTCGTCGCCTCCTCATTTTCCATAAACGGTCGAGGAGGGCATACGGGATCAACCCCGAAGGCTGCTTGGCTCTGCTCAGCCGGCTGCTTGGGCTCATGTTTCGAACAATGTCGGATGGAAAAAGTTTGTGTCTGGTTTACACCCCTCCCGACCCCGGCCTGCGCCCGTTCCTCCCCCCCATCTTGGCCACCACCAGTGCCCAACAGCAACTTCCCGAGTGCTCCGTCAAACATGTGGTAAAGGCAAAAAGGCGTCACCGGCGTTGATCGGCTCCTTGCCCGCTCCTGAGAGAAGACAGGGTACCGGGTCCGAGCCTCGGCGTAAGCTTAGTGGCTGATGGCTTGGCCTTGCATCACGGCCTACACCCTCTTACATAAATGGATTTATATAAGCCCCCCGAAGCCTCGCCCACCTTGCTAACCACCACGGCTCCTTCAGTCAAACGCATCCTGATGTGAGATCAGTACACTTGGTTGGTTCATGGGACAACTTCTCCAAGCCTTATACAATGGAGCGAGACATTCGACGAGATCGCAGCCAGTGGCGCGGGTGCTACGCTTTCAAGGATATAGTCCTGGACGACGAGCCCGGCGCAAAGAATACGAAGCGTAACGGCGGACTGAAGATGGGGAATACCTACTACTACTATGTGAGCAGCTGACGGGTCGAGTCTTCAAGTCCGGGTCACTGACAGCCATCCAGTACGAGCTCGACGGCACTCAGGAGAGTCACAACCCGGCACAGCCAACCACTACCCAGTGTCCTTATCTTCCCGGTCAGACTGTGAACAGGCTCGACATGCCGTATGAGATGGCTGAGCGCAAGAGAAGCGCATCTTTGGGTTCGCTCTACAACAGCGAATACAAAACCATGAATCCCGAAGACAAATTTGTGACTCCTCGACCACCACCACCGGTGCCGGGGGGGCAGCTCCGGCGGCTTGGGTCCGCGCCCGCTGCGCAGCCCCAAAGGTCCCTCCCCAGATCAGGATCCACATCCCCACCTCCTTCGTGGCGCCGCATGTTCAACAGGAAGCCGTCAACGAGCCGTTTCGCTGAGCGCGGCCGGCATTCTGATGACGAAGAGCGACCCCTTTCCCCGTCCTCCCCCTCGGACGACAACAGGAGCATGGTATCGTCCGAGGGAAGCCGGACCCGCGACCTCTCCCCAGAGTCTCTGCGCCGGTTCCTGTCAGATGACAGTCCGTTTGCTGCCGCATCTCCGAGCCCTTATGGGCGAGCCTCCGTCGCTATCCCCGACGACATTGCCGAGGAGAACGACGACGATGAGAACTTTGCCAACTCGGCTCTCTCCGAGATCAACCCGTACGCGACCAGTCTGTCGCCCCCTCCCTTCAAGCGCTGCCACTCTGACAGCACGCTTCCCACTGTCCGCCGCACCAGTGTTCTCACCCGCGAGAAGAAATATTCGCCTCTTCCCCCACTTCCAGTCAAGGAGTTGAGGGAGCTGGAGATCGCGCCACCTGCCTCGCGCTTCTCTTTCTCTTCCGATTCGAGCGCTGCTTCCTCGGTCGGGCCTGTTTCTCCCGAGGACGAGGCTACTTCTTTTTACGACTCTGCCGAGGAAGATCGATGCCCCAACTACATTCAGCCCCTGTCGCTGCCCAGCACGAGGAAGCCGGCTCTGGAGCAGAACTACAGCCTGCCTCGCGCCCCCGGCATCAAACGCCATCCTGGTGTTCACACCGTCTTGGCTGCTCCTCCCGAGCACGCCCTCGACGACCTGACTCACGACATGGGCTGGATGGTCGACATCATCCGCGCCAAGGGTATTTGATCAGACTCACAGATCGCATAGATGGAGGACATCGGTATCCGTCGCACACATCATGTTCTCAGAGTACGCAAGGTCACATATACGACATCAACAGGTTGTTGAAAAGAAAAGAAGAGGAAAAAAAAGCCCCACCCAAAAATAGCATTGCATCCTACACCCCTTACCCCCTGGGGTCAAAGGCAGGACAACATTGGTGACCAGGGCCACCAGAAATGGATCACATATTGATACGAATTTTTTCATGGAGTAACAGAGGAGATATACCCATTTCATTCCCCTTCTACTTCTACTACCGCCATTACTACTTATTGTCACCATTTTTGGCTTTTATGCCAATGGCGCTTCCTTGGGGGTGGTCATATTTCAAGAGCTCAGGGGAAATGAAAGGGACATTGCAAGGGAGGATTGCATGGGTTGGCGCAAATCGGGTGCTGCTTGAGGAGTCCGGAGTATCTGGCCACATCTGATGTAGCAACACGTTGACATGCCGTGTTCGTGCTGTGTTTGATGGATGGATGGTATGGTATCTACACAATTGGCGCAAGGTACAATCTGTAGATGAATGAAACATCTTCAAAAATGACTCATAGCGGCCCGGCTCCGACTTTGCGACATACATTCGTTTCCCGTGCACACTAGGCTGCTAAATTGTCGACTAATTTACCTATACCCCCAAGTCAAATAAGCTTGGCCCTTCCGCGGCTGCTGTTTCCTCTGACTCCGAGGAAACATCAAGCCTCATTTTTGAGATGCTTGGGATCTGTGCGTACGGGGTTTCATAGTGACACGAAGCCGGGTAATGCTGGCGAACTGGTGGCTCGGCAGGCTTTGAGTCCGAACAGTAGCGGCAACGTTGGCTTTTGCAGGCCAACAGGCCCGCGTGGTGCCAAGGTTTTTATTTTTATTTTTTATTCTTCTTGTTCTTCTTGTTTTTCCTTTCTCTTTTCTATTTTATTTGGCGTTGATCAAAATAGAAAGAGGGAGAGAAATTGCGTCTTATTGAACCATGAACCTGGCCAAGAAGACCAGCCCTGTAAATCGTGCGGGACGACGAAGGATAGCCGCTTCTGTTTGCCTTCTGAGCTGAGAGGTTTTATTTTCCGTTGGCATGCTAGTCAGTGAATCTTGACAAACCGTCAGGGGATTCGAGCTGTCTTTCTCCCTTTCTCTCTCTTATGACTTTTGTTCCCTGCGGCGACTTACACATCCCGACTGCTGCCTGAGCTCTCGCTGCTCAATGGTCCAGAATGTGTGGGAGAAGAACCGGGAAATACAGGGATTTGAAGTTTTCATTATTTTCTTTTCTTCTTCCTGTTTCTCGTCTGGGTTGCCACTATTTCATCACTATCATTATTCTTCTTCTTCCATCTTTTTGCCACGTCTGTTTACGTCGGATGTGAGAACTCGCCTGCTGTCTCTCGCTACTGCTGGTAAGGAAGGGTCAGCTCGCCTGGCCATACATAGTATACTTCCTAAGCCTTTTGCCATGTTGTCCCCGAGTCAGGATCGTAGCGTTGGACCGGCCGACTTGTCGTCATGGGTCCCTTGCTATGCTTTCCCCGGGTTCGATGACAACACCATCTACGATCCCATGCCCTCAGATCTAGCCATGGCGAGTCGCGACTGGCTGGGTGAGACGGGAGGGCAAAACAAGACGACGGAAGGCGGGGCGTCCGGAGAGGACGGCCAAACATCATCGTGAGTTTATTCAACCCAATCTCTGCCAAGTGATGCCAACCCAACGCAGGACTTTTGAGACGGGGGATGGACGAATGGCCTGAGAGCCGTAAAACATTCTCGCGGAAAAAGTTGCCTGCTCTTGAGCCATCATCCGCCCACTTGGACCGGCCTAAGCTGTCCAGTAGGCGGGGGTGGGGGTGGGGTGCAGCAAAAATGGAGACTTTGGGGGTGGTTGACACCATGACACCTTGGCACGCGGGTGATAACTATACGAGAAGAGTGACATGGCCGAGTGAGCCTATCGCTGTGGCCTAGGAAGGGGATACAAGTATTACTGTGCCAAGTATTGAGCATGATATATATAGTGTGTTTCTCTAACCATGCTACACGTGTACTGTCATTGTAATTGTGCAACTGTGAGACCTTGAGAGGGGACCGCCTTGTAGATGTACCTAAGTGTGGAAGACCTGGCGTGTCTTGGTTTGTACGGGCGAATGGGCCAGCTCAGGTGTCTGCGCACAGATCAGGAACCTGACATTGAGTCTGGAAAACTTTTGAGACGGCCACCCGGAGTCTGCTGGTGTGTGCGTGTGTACGGTAATGTATGTAGGAGAGGGTAAAGAAAAGGAGGGGTGAGAATTGGCCTCTTCTGACAGGCTGGCAACACACTCATGCATCTACAGACGATGGTGCTTTAACGAGACTTCGCGTCCCGTGTCGGCTAGCCCTACGAGGTAGGTGCCTTGCCTCACTTCCACATTCAAACAAACACGCAATATATCTTCGGATGCGGGGATACACGCCGTGCCGACTGCGTGCGAGTGTCGACGTGGGGCGTAGAAGTCCACGCACCATCTCTACATGTTCCAACCTGGCACACGGACGAAATCCCTCGTAGTACCCCCTTCTGTCGCCTGACTATGCATATGCAGGTTGAATTCGAGACCACGACTCGTCCAAGGCCGCCTCCTCCAAACTCTCCCCACGGACGGATAGGCCCTCGCGTCGTGTGTGTAGGTAGGTATTTGTGTGTGCCTGGTCTGAAAGAGGGGACGTCGCGCCCGTCCCAACTATGCCCAGTAGATCTGGAGAGGGCAAGGTCAATCACCACACCCACAACATCCAAACAAATGTTTAAATAGGCTTTTTTATGCCCTCGGCCATCCCCTTTTCATTCGCGTCTATCCTCTTTCGCTCACCTCTAACAGCTTCTGAAGCCCTTCTCCCCCCTTTCCCACTGACCGTGGCCCATTCACAGGACAGGACGAAAACGAAGGGAGAGACAAGTGGAGGGACCTATTCTTGTGCCCCCCCCCCCCCCACCTCAACCTCCCGCTGCAGGCATCCTACGGAACACCGAAAAGCTTGCTCATATGCCAGCCCACCCAATCGCTCTGCCCACTGCCTTTGGAGCCCAGCTTACGCGTATGCGTTTGTGCATTCGTCGTAAGTCGCTGGTGTAGCCTATCCAGACGAGGGTCGAGATGGCAGTTATATGAGTATGCAGCAGAATGGCACGGGCGAGGCGGCAATGGCTCATCGTCCGGGGAAACACCCCGAAAGAGGTTCGCACGGCGGGGGTGATTGTCACAATATACTACAGATAACACCAATGCAGACAGCCGGTCCATTACAACGCCGGACTGATGACTCGGTTCTTCACAAAACCGCTAACTTGACGCCGAGTTTCTCGTAACTTCCCAACCCCCTCCCTCCCAGTCTGCCTCTGTTTCGGGTCTTACACCACAGTCCGATCGGGCGGACCCTATGGCAGTTCAGGGCGCAGGAACAACTCGTTCGATATTCTCAAACGCCCAGCTTTGTTCCCGCATAAACGCTGTCAAATTACTCGGGCGAACCCCTCGAGAAAGTCAGCTTCACCTCAGACGGCGGGTGGCACAGAGGCCGCACCGGGTTGCGAGGCTGGCTTGGCAGCAGCCGGTTTCGCACCCTGGTCTTGGTTCTGAGCTTCCGCCGGCGGCTGCGGTAATTGTTGCGTCTGTGTCTGCGTCTGTGGCGCCGACGGTGGTGGTAAGGGTACCGTCGCGTCTGCCGTCTTAGTGGGCGGCTTTTCTCCAACAGCCGCCTGGGCAGGCGGTGTGGTCTTGTCCGCCTTCGTCTTTTGGCTCTCTGTGCCCTCCGCAACAGTGGCATTGCCATTCTCCTTCTCTTTCGTCCTGGGCTCCTTGGGCTTCCCCCCCTTCAGAAACCGCTCCGGCACACCACGGGCGGCGTAGGTGCAGCTGCCGACCCACGCACCGAGGAGGCTGCTCCACTTGTACTCGCCGCGTCGGAGCCGCTGTATCTCTCGGTACGCATAGGCGTTGAAATACGGCAGACCCGTCTCGGGGTCGCGGTAGCGGGCCGTGTGCGCCGTGATGACGCACACGGGGCGGGGTGCTGGCTTCGCAAGGCGATCCATCCGCCGTCCGAAGAGAATCTGAGTCTGAACCGTCTTATCACGGATAAGCTCTTCGTCAAAGCTGCGGAGGATGAACGCATTGCGCGCAACCTCGCTCGGAGGCGGCTCCTCCGGGGCTGGAGGAACTGCCGGCGCAGGCGTTGCAGCCGGCGGAGTGGAGGCTACCGTCGGCAGGGTGGGTTTCGGAGGAGCGGGAGGTTGAGCCGGTTGAGTTGGTGTGGGTTGATGGGATGGATGGGGTGGTGCTAGGGGGTGAGCTGGTGGTCTCGCGGATGGCGGAGGAGGAGCAGGCATCGAGAGAGGAGATTTATGTTGCGTAGTATTTGGCGGCGCGAGCACGTTGGATTTCGGCTGCGTCGTGTGCTGAACGAGGTGTATGCCACCCAGAGGCGGAGCTAGGACCGGAGGCGCGAGCACTGGGGCTGCCAGGACAGGCGGTGAAGTCTTGGGCGGCGGAGGCATAGGCGGAGGAGCCATCAGCGACGAGCTCAGCGAAGGAGGTGGCGGTATTGACGGTGGCGCCATCAACCTGGGTTTGTCCTCAGGTCTGGGTAGTGCGGGTGAGACAGGGGGCAGTGGTGGGATGGGGGGAGGCGCCATTACACGAGGCTGGTCCTCTTCCTTCACGGCTAGCGTGGCTTTCCGTGGTTCCGCGGCTGGTTGTGATGAATGTTTGGGGGCGCCACTTGGCTGTTTATTCTCGGCATCTGCTGGCGCTGGAGAAGCAGATGGCGCACCCGGTTTTGCCTCGGCCAGTCCATCTGGGGTTGTTGACGGAAGTAAGGATGCGGAGGCGGCGCCCGTCGCTGTGCCCTCCTCCTTCTTGGACCCTTCCTCGTCCTTGTCCTTGCCCTTCGCCTTGTCCCCCTTGTCCTTTTTCTCCCGCTTCTTGCGAGGGGCCTTCTCCTCCTCGGCCACCTTGCCCACATGCTTCAGGTGGTTTTCCCACTTGCCAATGCCACTCCAGTAGGTGATTACTGGTCCCTTCAGTGTCCGGTTGTTCAGGGCCGCCAGTTTGGCGAGACGCTCCTCCTCGCGCGCCTTCTCGGCCACCTCCCATCTGTTCAGCGATTTCGCGTTTCGCTTCTCAACCAAAGCAGCCTCCGCCAGCCGTTCGGCCTGTGTCATTGGGGGTTTCTTCATTGCCTCGAGCTTCTTGGCCTTCTTCTCCATCACGGCCAACTGCTTCAGCCGCTTCGCCTCGCGCTCCTTCATCTGCTGATGTAGCTGCTCCTTGCTGAGCATCGTAGTCTGACGCAGCGAAGCGCGAATGGGCATGTCCCCAGGAGAGGGCAGCCAGCTGGTTCGTTCTGATTTCTTCTTGGGCCGTGGCGCTGGGGCGGCCGCCTGGTCGATGCGGACCTTCTTCCTGAACTTGGCGGGGATGGCGTCTTGGGCTTTGCGCTTTCGCGAAGCCAACTTCTTGTCCCTGGCCTGCTTCTCGAGCTCCTTTTCTCCCTCAAGATCATCTCCGCGGTTCTGCTCGTCCTCGTCGTCGGAAGACGAGTCCATTTGCACGTCGGAACCCGCGTCGTCGACATCGGTAAATCCTTCGTCATTGTCGTCTTCGGCAAATAGCAGCTCGAGGTCCGAGTCGGGTTCTTCGTTAGCCAGCATCGACTTCATTCGGTTGCCGGCCGTGGACCGCTTTGAACGGCCAGTCACCAGCCATTCGACCGTTGTCGGCGTGCTTATCGTCGGGGTATCATTTTCGCTGTCGCTTCCGCTTCCAGAGTCCGAAGACTCATCGCGCGATGAGGATGTGGGCTCGTTCGTTGTCGTGGCCATCGCGTCTGTCGGAGTCGAAGGGTGTAGAATGGGGACCACCTAGCCCATTTCTGCAGCGCGGTAGACGGTGCGACGTGGCCAGTCGCTCGATCGATGAGGAAATGAGATGCGTGTTGGGACTATGGTCGGTACCTACTCGGGGCGTTAATGAAAAGAAAGGAGAAAGAAAAGAAAAAATAGAACGGGGGAAAAAAAAAAACTAGTAGGCGTCAGACGCGTCGTAGCTAGGGAAAAAAAATCCCAGAAAGGTGGCGGCCGTCATAGCACATGTGACGTTTAACCGTCCTTGCAAGCCAGGGCGAATCGGTAGTTGGCGGACTGTGGCCAGCGGCCCGGAGTGCTTAGCGGGGCTTTTAGGGACTCCAAGTCCGCGTGCGCCGTTGCACCTAATCCTGACCCAACGACGGGAAGAGCATAGCGTTCTGCTGGGGAAGTTCATTTCGAATGCGCACGCGTCGCTTCATCAACCCTGTTTTAATAGAGACCAATATAGTGGTGTGATCAATTCAAGGCCGATCAAGCCGGCTGCTATCTACATGTATTCAGTGGTCAAACCCCGTTTAATGATTCATTTAGTGTCCACGAGCCCGCCCCAATCCTAAAATACAATCCGTGAAAAAGGAGAAATAAAAAAACCCGGTCACCATCAATTAACAATCCCATTTAGCGTCACAGGTCCTCATTGCTGCTTTCGCTAGCCTGGCTCCATTCTTTGCACCACCCAAACCAGGACCTCCTCTGACAGTGGGGATCCGACGGAGGTGCCTTCGTGGGAGCTGATGTGGGGGTTGCCGTAGGAGCAGCAGTGATGCCATGAGCCGGAGTCGAGCCAGGCAGTAAGGTCGTGGTGCTGGTCGCCGTGGTCTTGTCCTTGCAGCCAAACCACCCAGGGGTCAAGCAGGTGGTCGTTGCGCTGGTGGTTGTCGAAGTCGTGGTGGTCGTGGTGGTCGTGGTGGTCTCATCTTTGCACCCGAACCATCCAGGTGTCTTGCAAGTCGAAGTGGTCGAAGTGGAGGTCGTAGTTGTGACTGGAGTAGTCGTCGTCTCATCCAAGCAACCCCACCAGCCTGGTGTCTGGCAGGTTTCTGTACGAGTGCGCGTCTTGGACGTGGTTGAAGACCTTGACGTTGTGGTTGTCTCCGTGCCGTTGCTTTCGTACATCTTCCAATTGGCGCAGTCTCGGCATTCGGGAGTGGCCTTGCACTCGGGCACGTTGTCGTATTTCATGATGACGTCGTGGATCACAGATCGAATCTTGTGCGTTCCGATGCCGACTCTCCAACCCTTATCAGCGACAACATCATAAACACACTCAAGCCCAGTATGGCAGGCTGACTCCATGGCATATCCGGCGAAAGAGCACGTCGCAGTGGCTCCATTGCAGGTGCCGATGTAGATGGGGTCTGCCGTATGGCCAAAGTGATACGCACCAGTGTTCTGGCGGGCCTGGTGAACCATCTGATCCGCGCCCGGAGGTACGGGAAGACCGAGCCTGCCGGCAGCGAGCGCCTCCGGCACGGCCTCGAAGGTGACAGTAGGAAGGCCATAGGTAAGGCCCAGCAGAGAGCTGACAGCGCCACCCAGGGAGTGGCCTGATAGCCAAATGTTGGCGTCGGGGAATATCTCTGTGACGTTGGAGTACAGCTCCTTGGCCGCCGTGTAGTATCGGTGCTCATCCCGGAGTGCTTCAACAACACAGGTGTTGTTACACGAGTACGTGGACGTTGCGCAGTCACAGACCTGATGCCAGGTCCACTGTCCCTGCTGCGCACAGCAACAGCTGAAGAAGAGGTTGTCGTTGACCTTGTCGTTCGTGGTAGTCCCTTCTCCATCGAAAATGGCAGTGGATGTACCCTTCAGCCCGATCACAACGGTGGAGTTTGTCGAGTCTGCCCAGATATGCCCGCGCAGTCCGTCGGTTTCCCATCCAAAGTCGGCGCTTCTATTGTACGGACCACCGACCTCTTCCCAGTCTGCCTTTCCCTCCTCTTCGATATACGCGTTCGCAGCCATGATGGCGAGGCTGATGACAGTAGCTTTGTCAGTGATGTTGGGTCCGGGAACCTCGTCGAGGGTCCAGTCGGATGGCGACATGATGTTGACATAGCCGCGCTGTCGAGCTTCGGTAACCATCGGGTCGACGACAGACGGTCGGCGGTCAACCATGCGCTCGATCTTTAGAGGTGCGCTCTTAGCGGTGAGAGGCATCACCTTCTCCCTCTTGAACCCGTCCTCCTCGGCCAGCCAGACCTGGCTTCCGGCATCGTCCAAGTGACGGACATCCTTTCTCCGGTGCAGCTGAGGATGCCGGTATGTGCCGTGGTGAAATACGTGTCGTAGCGTGAAGAGGTGTTCGGCCGAGGCGGGTTGTTGAGTGCTAGGTGGAAGCAGTGGTCCAGGTTGGAGGGCCGCCTCCTTATGGTTGAAAGCTTCCCCAACAGAAGCCAAGGTTGGCGATATTGCAAGGAACGACAAGAGGAGGTGTGCCGTGACTCTGCCCGCAGAGGTGCATTCCCCTCGCCCCCCCAGTCTCAATTTCATGTTGTCGAACAGCACACTGAGCAGGTAAATATAGAATTGCAGTGTTGGGAGTGTGCTGTTGGTAATGAGATGGCGTTGCGGAGTTGGGCCCCAAGAGAAGAGGCGGGCGGGCAGGGTGAATGATACCGATGTTAGATAGGCGGACTGCCCCGGGGTTATGACAGCATCAGGTGGGCAGTGTTGGCGCTGTATACGTAGTATGTTGCCTCCGAGCCGCGGAGGGTGCACAGACGCGATATGATGACCCGCTGATAAGTCTCCGACTCGGGTTTCCTGTTAGCACCTGATGCGCAAAATGGGGTAAAGCCTTAACGGATCTCATCGACAAGTACGCATATTCTCACGTCTGCTGATTAGTGGCAGCCAGGGATGCTCCCGCCGGCATGTGACCAGTGCCAATGTACTCTCAGACGCGGCGGTGGGGGCTGCCTGGTGCCTGGCACCCACTGTTCCACGCCACCCAGGGGCGCATCGAGAGGCATCTTCAGCGTGCTTTTGGTTGCTCGACGCATCCGTCGGTTCCCGCAGTTATCATGGATGGGGCACCCATCACTGATGACGGCCCTAGGCAACACTCATGCTTCGTAATAAGATGCCGCGTGAATGCGGTAGCGGAGGCAACGTACCTAGATACTAAAGGCATCTTCATTCGGCATGCCTCTCTGCCTTGCCTACCTTTCGACAGCAAGAAGGAGAGCCATCATGGAAGCAGCAACTCCTCGAGCGAGGTTGAAGCCACAGTCTCACAGTCAGGAGGAGGCTGGAGCCCCTAGGCAGAGGGCCGACCTCCCCTGTCGCCCTCGTGCCCCCCAGCACATGCATGCACTGAAGGCCGGATCCGTCTGCAGATGACACCTTCCAATAAGACACGAACGGGGACATGGGCGGGAGCTACCTTGCCTTAGCTAGAATGTTGCACTACCTGCGCTACCTGCGTTACCTAACTATCTACCTATGCCACCTTATTGGAACTCAAAGCTCCTCGACCATCGACCTGTAACCTCCCGTTGCTTTCCTATCCCTTTGCGCCGTGTCAAACAGACAGGTTGTGCATCCTTCAAACGTCCAGGCATTGTTTTGTAAGAGATGCTAATGTAATAATAACTGCCATCTTTGGCCATCATACGAGAGCCATCATCCCTGCTCTTCTGCTCCATTTATGGCATAAATCCGCCAGTACGCGACTCGACTATCTGGCATAGCACCGCCAGGGATCTGTTTCCTCTGGCATCGGGTTTCAAGACCGCTTCTAATACTTCATGCCGGCTTAACTTGAGTGCATCGGATAGGTAAATCTGTCTTCCCCTCCCGTTTGGGACAACCAGCGTCTCTCGCTCACCTCTCTCGTACATCATCAGACTGACAGAGATGGCTTCCAGCATCGTCGAGACCATGTCGCCCGCCGGCCCCTCCAAGTCCCCAGCTGCCCGTCCGAGTACGATACGGACGCCGTCCTTCACTCGCCAGAGCGAAGATAGCGACCCTCTCCGAGTGCCGAAACGAGCTCAAACATTTCAGAATGGCACAGCAACCGACCCCTTGGCCACGCCGACCATCTCCAGCATATCGGCACAAACAAACACTTCCGAGGCTCCCGATGCATTCGAGACGGCCGCGCGGCCCTCGACAGACAACGACGACGGATTCGATGGCAGAGGTTCCGTGGACCTCGGCGAACTCCCCATCGAGCTCGTCAGCCTAACAGACAGGTGCCGTACCACGCCAGCTTGCGACCATATGCTACATACTGACCGCGCGCAGCTTCGTCGAGTCCCTTACCACCAAAACCTACCCGACACCCTTGACCCTGGACAAGGTCTCCGAGCTGTTCCAAGATTTCTATCAGGTCGCCTCGACACACGTCAACACACACATCTCTAGCTTGATCTCTCGGCATAACCGGGATGCGTCGCCTGCTCCGTCCGCGTCATCCAGGGTCTCCACAGCCAGCAGGCTCCGGGCCAAGGCGGCTTCTCTCGGAAGCAAGGATAAACCCAAAGTCCTCCCCGAGACGGAACAGCAGATGATCACTGCTGAGGAACTAGCCAACAGAAAGAAGGCGCGGAGGGCCATTGAGGCCAAGCGGGGCATTATCGAGGAGGCCGTTGAGAGAAGACTATGCGAGGGCATCTACCACAAGATCTACCGCCACAAAAGCACGCAAGACGAAGCGCAAGACTCCAAGCTGAGGTCCAAGACCGCAGCACTTGCACTGGTCGGGATCGGCCCAGCCGACCTGGGCATCGACCTCGGCGAGCATGCGTCGCAGACCCCCGAGGCGGCTGCTGAGAAGGCAGAAGAGATCAAGAAGTCGCTCGAGCAAGCAAGGAGAGACTTGATCCTCATGAACGAGAAGCGTTATCCGCTCGGCAAGGTGCACCATTTGAAGGCGGCTCACAAGAGCATCGTGGAGACTCTGGCTCAATTTCACCCATCGGCGTCTGCGGACGAGATCATGCCCATGCTCATCTTCACGCTCATCACGCTCCCTCCCGAGCATCTCAACGTCATCAGCGACCTACACTTCATTCAGTACTTTAGATGGGAGCCGAAGCTAACGGGAGAAGCTGCCTACTGCTTGACAAACCTCGAGGCGGCCATCAGCTTCTTGGAGACGGTGGATTTGTCCACGCTAAGGGCCGACGAGCTGCCGCAGGGCCCCGCTAGAAGTCTGAGCCAACCGGGCACCCCACGGGCTGACACATTCCCTCCGGCCTTCCCGCCCGGGTTGACGGTGACGGCGGATGCCACGGTGGAGACGAACTCTGGCAACGCCACCCCCACGAGACCTCCGCCGTCGTCTGCGGCGTCATCTGGGCTCCGCGCAGCAGTTCAGGCTCGGAATAGGAGGCTGAGCGAGCTGGTCAACACGCCGGCCCAGGCCATCGGCGCCGCCAGCGACGCCGTGCTCAACACGGCTGACCAGCACCTGAAGACCATCTCTACGAGCTTAGGTGACAGTTACAAGTTTTTAGTTGGCAAATTGCGTGAGACCCAAGGGACGCCGACTGAATCTGGCCAGGGCCTTGTCGTACCCAAGACGCTCGACGACGCCAGGAAGCTGATGAGTACGCCTCCGCCCGATGAAGAAGGGTCTATCAGCGGTGCCAGTTCTGTCCACGGCACAGAGGAGGCCGAATCCACTCGCCGTCCTCCCGTTCGCGAAGATAAGGTCTTGAACCTTATCGGTGGGCGAAAGGCGAGCCGAGACCATAGCGCCGACAGCTCTCGGAGCGTGAGCAGTTCGAAGAAGGTACTGTTTGCAAAAGAAGGGGAGAAGGACCCAGCGGCGCCGTCTTCTGCGGCCGTTGCTAACCCTCTCGATTCTGTGCGAAACTTTGGCAGCTCGTTCTCCAGGTTTTCTGGCATGAGCATGATTCGTGGCTTGAGTCGGACTGCGTCTACGCCCGTGACTGCAAAAGAAACACCCAAGGACGTATCGAGAGACGGGCCATCAAAAGGCGCGACAGCCAAGGTGGCTGAAGGCGGCGACCTAGCAAGTGTACGTTCCCTTTCAGAGCAACCGAGAACTGCAGCTAACGCAGCATGGCACAGGCTTTCCCGGACATCGCGGCTGCTTTGCCGCCTAAGCAGGCACCCAAGGTCAACCCGCCAAACAAGCGGTTCATGGAGTTGCAGAACCCCGGCGACCTTAAGTTGGGCGAGGTTCTGGACCTTTTGCGCGACTATAGGCGGCTGGCCAACGCGCTGAAGGACATGGGGGCCTTTGAAGGGTCGAAATGAGGACGGGGGGAGGAAGACGGACAGAGAGGGAATAGGCCAGGGAAGACGGCCTGGACAGACAGGACTTGTTACACTCGTAAGACCCTCGAGTGATATGGATAAGCATACTGGACACTGGCGTTTTGTCATTCGGACTGCTCTTTATTCAACCGCCTATCTACCCACAATGGGCTGAGGCACGCAGCGCAAACTCGGATGCGAGGGGGCGAGGAAAACACCAAGAGATACACTACACAAATGTAAGGGAAATTTCCGTGTTGGATTATTAGATAAAGGTTTTCTACAGAAGCGAAAGTCGCAAAGGACCGTTATATCCAGCTAATACAATCTCACCCTTCGCACCAAGGGGGGTTGGCGGGTTTGCTGTTCTACGTGTTGTATTGGACATGTATCTCATCAGAAGAGAAAACGAAACAATCAGCCTCCCATGCCTCCTGCCCCCCTCCCCTCCGCGACTAGAGCAGCGCCCGAAAACACCCAATGCCATGTTATGGAACGATGTTCACAAACGCCTCCGGCTTCCTCAGCCCAGACAGCAGGTCTGATCGCCTTGTTCCGCCAGGGATGCTGGCATTGTGGTGTCTTGTGGTCTGCTGACTTCAGGTATATATATGTGTATGGGGTTTGTGTGTGTGTGTGTGTGCGTGTGTAAAGGGACAAAGAAGAAGAGAGAAAGATGTACGCCGCTGATTGCCCCGCCTGACCGTTTTTCCGTAATGCCCCTCGTATGAGAGAAAGAGAATGTGCGCGTGTGTGTATGTTATGTGCATGTGTATATGCATATGCGTGCGGTGGTTGTTTTTGTTAGTGTAATTTGCTGCTTGAAATTTTTTTTTACCGAGTTTTTATTCTCTTTCTTTGCGTTTGGCTATCTCCAGGTTGCCTCCCTCAGTGGTTACCATTTGTCTTGGGGTCCTTGGGCGGCAGCATGCTGGCGCGGTTGGTGCGCTCCTGCAACACACCATTTGGTACTGTGGTGTCGGCCTCCTTCTCGGCGCTGATGAGCTTTTCCATGAAGGCTATGTAGTCGTACTGCGGCATGCCGCGGTCCTCAGCTGTGTCCGGGCCGTTGTGTGGGGGGATGATCTCGATGAGCTTATCAATGACCTCGTCTGGGACCAGGGAGTGGCGGAGGTCCATCTCGGTGACGTAGGGCTTGCCGTCGGCGACCTCACGGAAAGACTGGAAGACCTGCTCGGCAGTGTTCTGGTCCTCGGTCACGTCGACCATGAAGCGAATGAACTGCTCAAAAGTGACGTAGTCGCGACCGTTGGATGTGTCCATAAAGTAGTCGTGCATCTCGTCCTCGGAGAAGACGAGGCCCAGCGAGGCAAGGGCGGCGCTGAATTCGAGCTCCTGGAGAGAGTTGGTGTCGTCGCGGTCAAAGTGACGGAAGACGGACTCGAACTCCTCGAGCTGGATGGGCGTGAGGTTGGTCATGTTGCGCGCAACCATCTGGTTGTCGAGGAAGGCGAGCTTCTTCTGCACCGACGACTTGACCAGGCCATGCTCGTAGACGAGTTCGTCGTACGTATACGTTGTAAAGTCGTTTTCCTCAATGTTGGCCTCGTGACACTTTGCGTCCACGGCAGCGATGGTGTCGAGGTACTTGTCTAGCGGCGGAAGGTTGTCGCTGAGCTTGCGTACGTGGTGGAGTTGGTCCTCGACATCGCCGTCCAGACCCGAGATTGCCAGCTGCATGGTGTTCAACGCCATAGCGAAGTCGTTGGCCTTGTCGGCGAAGGACTTGCGTAGCGCGTTCTTGATACTGCAGATGAGTCAGTACTGAGATGGGCCAAGCGGTTCATTTGCAAAGGGAATGCTCACTCTCTGATGGTCTCGTTGATCAGCTGCGCTCGCGTCATCTCCGTCTTTGACAGGGAAGACCACTCCCTTTCCATCGTCTCGAGGGACAGCTCTGGTGGAGGGTCGTACGGCCGCAGACGGTATGTACCTAACTTGGTCTTGATGTTACCCAGCAGGGTCGCAAGCTCGCTCTTTTCGGCGACCCACTCCCTCTTCCTCCCACGCTTGAAAGCAGCAAACTCGTTGGCCTGTGCTTTGGCGTCGGCGTAGGTGCCCAGAAACGTTGCTTGCTGCCACTTTTCGACCTGCTCCCTGATCTGCTTCAGCAGCTCCCTCATGCGCCTTTCGTACGCGCTCTGCATCTCCCAGGCGCCGGCCATGTTATTCACGAACTTCTCCACACGGCGCCCCGCGTTCTCGACCTTCTCCATCTGGGAGAAGGCATGGAACCAGTAGGCGATGTAGGTCATGAGTGACCTCTCATCCGGCTTGGCAACATCGCACACGTCCTCGACATCCAACAGCTTGGGGATGCCAATCTCCTTGTGCGCAATGTCAAAGGCCATCTGCATGTTGCCGCGGTGGTCAGACTTGTCCAGGGCATCGTAGTCGATGAGATCTGGTCTGTGGATATCCAGCAGGGCGCAGAAGGCGAGCCCGTCGTTCCAGCTACCGCTAAAGTCGCGGACCTCGACCTCGTCATAGCAGGCCGTCTTTCTCTGGCACCACAACAGCAGTCCTTCCTTTGCCGTCATACCCTCCTCGTTGATGTCGCTGATGGTGAAACGGAGAATGAGTGTCCAGATGAGGCCGAGGATGATCTTCCTGTTGCCGTCGACGACATCCTCGGCGCCGATGTTGGTCATCTGGATGCCGCGGGCCTTGATAAAGTCGAGCGCGGTGTTGGCATTTTCAAACCGTTGCACGCGCAGCTTGGGTTTCGAGGCGTAGCGTCCGAGGGTGTCGTTGGAAAGACATTCCAGGAGGTGGATGAGGAGAACCTGGGGTGGAAGTTTCTGTAAGCTAAGAACCCCGCAATGTGGGAATAGGGGTTAACTTACACCATCGCTCAGATCAGCCACGAGATCCTTCACCTCGAGATTGCGGCTTTCCAGTTTGGTGTTCATCCTGCACAGAAAGTTCGAGTGTCAGTGCGTGTTCACGATGCTGGGTCTGGCTGCCCAAGGGACGGGGTCCGATCATACCATTTGGTGAACGTCTTCTGCTGGACCGTGATCCATTTCTGCTGCTCAGCAAACGCCATCCTCGTCAAGCCCTGGTCATGCGGCGGCTCGACGGCGGCGAGAGCGTCGGCGGGCGAAGATCCTGTGGCAGAACGAAATCGATTCTTCTTTGCTGTGCTCTCCTTTCGTGCTAGCGCAAGGCTGGTGCTTCCCGACCTCTGCAGTCGCTGGGCCTGCAACTCCTTCTTATCTCGTCTGGTTCTGGCGGTAGTGTTGGTTCCGCTGTTTGTGCGGTCGCGATATGCGGGGGATGTTTTGTTTGCACAAGGGGCAGAGAATCCGGCGGTGGTCGGGGTGGTAGGGGTCGTGGACGCGGATGAAGATGTAGAGGTGTGGCTGCCAGCGGTGGACGAGTGTTGGTGGAGATGGTGGGTGCCGGTGGACGAATGGTCATGTAAACAAAACTCGGGGAATTCCTCGTTGCACCCTGCGTTGCCGGGCAGACTTGAGCCTGACAGTGACAGCGGACGCGCCCTCTGAGGGCCTTGCGCTGTGGACGTCATTTCGGCCGATGTTAGCGGCTCGCTAAGTCGGTTAACAGCGCTCGACCGCTGCAGGCGCCGGGATGGGGTAGGTACTCAGTTTGGCGTATCGGACCTGCCAATTGCGGGGGGGGGGGGGGAGGATAAACTTTCGACCTTGGCGCCCAAGGATGGGGTCGTTTTCACTCCTCAGTATCCGTAGTGCAGCAGTACATACAGGATGTCTGCCAGAAATCGTATGGGTTCGAAGAATCAAACCAACCCACGATGCGTTACGAGTGAATGGAACAGAAAGGGTCCAAAACGCATATTCGGCCGAGTTTGGGGGATCCTCTCGTCGTTTAATACTGTCGTCCCGTCCTCTGGAGTTTCCGCCTGGCAGATACCAAACACTCTTCTTCATGTAATATAGACAAGCGCAGCCGAAGGATGTTGGGCAGCACTAAGTAGGACTACGAGGTGGCCCCTAGCCAAGAGCTCCCTTCTGAAACAAGTGCCTGTCTCTCCACCTCCACGATCTGGATCGCTAGGTATCCCTTACCTACCTTCCAAGAGCCCCGGACCTCGTTGACTTCCTCAACGATCGTCGTTTCCCAGTGCAGAAAGGGCCCGCCCCACTGCCACGCATGCATGCCATAATCATGATGCTTGGAGCCGATCAGCAAGGGTCTCCCCAAGGACGCCGTAGTCGCCGTGGTTCCAAATTGAGGATGTGAATATATCCTCGTCGTCGCGGATACGTCAGTTGCAACATGGGAGGGGGAGGTGCTGAGCCTGTCTTATGCTATTGTCCTGCACCTCTTAGCTGCACCCCCGAACAATGGACAACGGCCTGCTTCTGGTCTCTATGACTACATTCTTGGAACATTCTGGCCCTCAACTACTCCCGAACTGGAAATGGTAGCCGCTGCAAACCGAATCCCTCTGATGGCTTGTCTACAACGTGTCTATCCTGCACATCACCCGTCAACTAGCCCAGACTAACGTGGGTACGGCTTTCCGTGTCGGCAACGGCTGAGCGGTGCATGGATACAAGCCCGACAACTCTAACGAGGGCCGCATCAAGACATCGGACAGAAATCACCCAAGACCCGCTACTCGAATCTCGACTATTTGATTTTGGCAGTACGGAACTCAACAGCCGCCGGCCCAGCGTTTCGTGGGCTCATCGTCGTCACGGACCAGCCGCGAGACGGGGTGCTCAATCCGATGGGTGTCCCGGTCATGTTACGACACTTTGCCGCCCCGGCCGAGGCTGTCAAACTGAGGTGAAGAATAACGTGTTCAAGGGTTCCACAGACTGCGAAGCCGCAACCAGGGATTGGAACGCCACCCAAGAGATTCGAGTCCGTTACAGATGAATTGAATCTTCTTTTCAATGCTTGGCCCCCCGGAGAGTCCAGTAGGTATTGCAAATAATACCTACCCAGAAGGACTCTAAATAAGTGAGACACATGATCCGTGCTCTCGGAACTCGACATGCAAAGAGTGTGTCTTGGATGGATTTTATCCGCCGAGGAATGAGCCTGCAGGATTTCTATTCTCTCTGTTGTGTCTTGACAGTCGCTGCGGCGACGCTGCTATCTGTAAACCTTGGCCGTGTCTTGCTAGCCGTGTACGATCTTCGGCAGCAGTCAACCTAGCTGGTGAAACCAAATAAGAAAAGATTGAGACGTGTGCGACTGAATTCGGTTATTGCATAATTAGAGTCTCTCAACTCCGGCCGAAGTGAGTAGGTACGGTAACGCGAGGGCCCCAGCTGCTCTCGTCCGATTCATCGTGGTAAGACGGCCAGCATCAGAGCTTGGGCGCAGGTCTGTATTCCGATGGCTACATACCTAGGTAGCTAGTAAGCATGCGTCGGTCCAGGAAACCCGAATGAGAGCGTCGTGCGCTTGATGCTCCTCGTCTGAAGTTTTGGCTGCCCGTGAGATTGTTCGGTTCGGCTGTGTAGAAACCAATGTTGATGACGGCTCGAAAGCTAGAAGGGCGAACACACCGTGTCGGTGAGAACGGGGTATTGCCGACGGCGAAAGAGACATTTTGGCCGAGAGCCGCTGTAGTTATAGGTGACCCAGCGGGCTTCGTCACGCCATGCGGGTGATCAATTCCAACTCATCTGGCATTGGAAGGAATCCTCCAGGGGTTTGGTGCCTTAAAGCCGAAATCGGGGGGGCGGGTCAGTTCGTCCAAATATTTTGCGAACCTACCCATTGCTGTTTTTTTTTTTAATCGTCTCATCAGTCCGCCGGGGCCTTTAAGAGATAGAAAGAAAAAAAGGAAAAAGAAAGACACCGTGAGAAAACCAAAAAAAAGGTCCACAACCCAGCCGGGCCGGTGTTTCATCCTCCCTTCCTTTTCTACCTCGGTCAAGGTCACACGCACCCGTCACACAATGGCCTCCAGATCAAGAATACAGCCACTCCTCCGGACGGCGGTGCGGAGGCAGTCGCTCCTGAGCGCCGGTGGTCGGCACGCTCTGCGGCCAGTTTCGACCCCGGTTGCCGCCGCCCGCTGCATTGCGACCACCGTCGTCAGACCCTCCTCTAAGGCCGACGGCCTCAAGGAGATCAAGCTCACCTCCGCTGCGTACCCGGACATTAAGCGGGACTCCCGCTTCGCCGAGGTCACCGACGCCCACGCCGCCTATTTCAAGGACCTTCTGGGCCCCTCTGGCGTCATCGACGGCGTCACGGCCGACGCGGCCGACGACATCGCCGCCTTCAATGAGGACTGGCTGCGAAAGTACCGCGGCCAGTCGCGCCTCGTGCTGAGGCCCGCCTCCACGGACGAGGTCAGCAAGATCCTCGCCTACTGTAACGAGCAGAAGCTCGCCGTCGTGCCCCAGGGCGGCAACACGGGTCTCGTCGGCGGCTCCGTGCCCATCTTTGATGAAATCGTCATCAGCATGGGCCGCATGAACCGCATCCATTCGTTCGACGACGTCAGCGGCACCCTTGTCGTCGACGCCGGCGTCATCCTCGAGGTTGCCGACCAGTTCCTGGCCGAGAAGGGCTACGTCTTCCCGCTGGACCTGGGCGCAAAGGGCTCATGCCACGTCGGCGGCAACGTTGCTACCAACGCCGGAGGCCTGCGCCTGCTCCGCTACGGCAGCTTGCACGGCAACGTGCTCGGCCTCGAGGCCGTGCTGCCGGACGGCACCGTCGTCGACGACCTTTGCACGTTGCGCAAGAACAACACGGGATACGACCTCAAGCAGCTCTTCATCGGCGGCGAGGGCACCATCGGCATCATCACAAAGGTATCTGTCATCTGCCCGCAGCGCTCCAAGGCCGTCAACGTCGCCTTCTTCGGCCTCGAGTCGTACGAGAAGGCCCAGCAGGCCTTCAAGGCCGCCAAGGGCCAGCTCGGCGAGATCCTGTCAGCGTTCGAGCTCATGGACGCTGGCAGCCAGGACCTCGTCCACGCCGTGCGCCAGAATAAGCGGCCCCTCGAGGGCGAGCACCCGTTCTACTGCCTCATCGAGACGAGCGGCTCCAACGGTGACCACGACTACGAGAAGCTCGAGGCGTTCCTCGAGAACGTCATGTCCAACGAGATCGTCTCGGACGGCGTACTCGCGCAGGACGAGACGCAGAGCAAGGCCCTCTGGGGGTGGCGTGAGGGCATCCCCGAGTGCCTCGGCCACTGGGGCGGCACGTACAAGTATGACGTGTCGATCCCGCTCAAGGACCTATACCAGCTCGTTGACGACACCAAGGCCAAGATGGAGGCCGCCGGGCTCGTCGGGAACACGGACGAGTTCCCTGCCGTGGGGGTTGTCGGCTACGGTCATATGGGTGACTCGAATCTGCACCTCAATGTCGCCGTCAGACGGTACGACAAGCGCATCGAGAAGATCCTCGAGCCTTTCGTGTACGAGTGGATCCAGGAGCGTCAAGGCAGCATCAGCGCCGAGCACGGTCTGGGCGTGGCGAAGAAGAATTTCATTGGATACAGCCGAAATGAGACTATGGTCGGGCTTATGAAGCAGATCAAGAACCTGTACGACCCGGTATGTGTTTCCTCCTCATCCTTCTTCTTCTCTCCTCTTTCTTCTCACTCTTACTCTGCCTGCCCGCCCTCCTGCTCTTCCACTCTCACTGTTGCATCACTCTGCCCGTCCCCATGTGACCCCCACATCATTGACCCTCCCTATCATCGACCCTCCCTCTCATCCGCGAAAGCATCATCAGTCCTGTCTGGCTCCTTGAAGGAATGCTGACATCGAACCAATCAGAATGGCATCATGAACCCTTACAAATACGTCTAAGGAGTCGCCAAGGAAAGGCACGCCCTCCACTTTCTGCACGGGACGTGGGAAGCATCCCTGGATGCCGGAATGCAGTCCGGTTTGACCGGTCTGTCGATGTGCGGGTGAGAAAGGCTTTGAAGTCGTATGACTAGCTAGCTAGGCATTCTGCTTCCGCATCACCCGCCGGTGGGCGAGCCATTCAGCGTCGTACGTCCGCCCCCTTGGTCCGAAGAGAGAAGCAGCTGGTTGCTTTGTAAGGCGACAGAAGAGGGCGTGTTTTGTTGTTGTGATGTGAGGGCATGGCGTGGAAGAAACATTGTTGCCTAATTGGGACATATCTCGAGATTCCGGTCTTGGCGGCAGGCGAAAAGAGCAAAAAGGGGCCAATGCAGATGCAGGCAATGTAATAAGATATCTGTGTAGGCGGTGTACATTGGAATACCAAAGGAACTACGGAGTACAGCCGTCGCCCTAAGCCGCCCCCCACCTTACCGTCACCCCCTTCCTCTCTTCCTCGATAGATCTTACCAAACTTTTTGCATCTCTTGCTGCACCGATGGTCTTGGAGAAAGCGTGATGCTATGAGTAGGCACAACTCCGGGCGTCTCGGCCGCAGCTCGGCTCGCCAAACAGGCAAGACGTCAGCAACCCGCAGCCTTGGAACTGGTGACTCCGCATCTTACCTGGATGGGTTCCCGTGACAAAGGTAAGATACAAAGGACGGGTGATGTGCAAGTAAAAAGCCCCTGGGCGGGCTGATTGGCTGCAGTACGTCGCAACCACCCCGGGCCTTGGCTACGTATCTTAGCCCGACTCCCAATGACATGGCCTCGTCACCCTCTCATGGTTCGGTGGTCGCGGTGTGATCATCAGAGCCCGTCTCTTGGGTGTTCCTCTGCTCGTCAAATTCCCACTCCCTTCCCTGGTCCCCTTGTCTCCATGTCTCTCGGCGACCCCCTGGTCCGACCGGGCTTTCCGCACCGTTTGGCTGACCGGTTGCCAGTGGTTCCCTGGTAAAAATCTCACTCGCTGCGCTCCCATTCGCTCCTTTACTAATGCGGCACTCAGCGGCCGCGCCGATGTCAGCTCCAACACAGCCAATACGGGGCCAGGATCCGCTCTGCCCCGTGGGGCCTCCGAGCCGAACCCCTGCCCTCGGTCTGGTACGGCATGCAGCCCTACGGAGCCACACCTGGAACACGTACATTGCCCGTCGTCCCGCCCGGGGACGAGGGACGAGGGATGGAGGGATATGAGGTCGTTTACGCTTTTTGTTTTTTCCAACCCCCGATCGATAGTCTGCTTCAGTCTCTCCAGTGCACACTGCAAGGGTCGCTCTGAATGGCCGAGGCATCTTACGCCGAGGTAGACACATATGCACACAAACAGTAGTACCATGCCCACTTCCCTCTTTCCAACTTGTCTTGCCCGCTCATTTGCCTGCAAGTCAGCGGAAAAGGAATGCCTTGATGTCGCTTGGATTCCAATTGTTCAAGGGGGGAAAGGGCAAACAAGATGATTCAAGCACCGCGTCGAACCTCGGCTGCACTCACCAGGAGCAATCTACCCGCGCATCGCCCGAGACTATCGCGAAGGGAGGCACAGTTGATCATCTCGGGGCGGCCTGGCTGCATGCCGTACCCGCGAGCACCCCATTCGCCCAAGTTGTTCCAGGAGGCCAAGACCTTGTTCCCGGACGTATCACACATTGCCGTCATCCATACTCGGTAGTAGGGCTGCAGTACACCATCAACTGGCTCCCGCGACGCCTTGTGTGTGCCTGCCCACCCCCACAAGCATCGGCACTGGCCCACGTAAGAAGCTCCCGATCTGCGCCCTTTGGGGGCCTCTCAATGCCCCCCCCCCCCCCCCCCCTGCGGTGCTTGATACGATATATATGAGCACAGGCTCTGGTTTCCTGTCCAACTCGACAAGACAAGCTGAGCTATGGCCATTGTTCTTTGCGCAACATCCTGCCGTCTAAAGTCTCTCTGTTTTCAACATGGTTGGAGTTCGCGGAAAGTACAAAGGATGTGAGACGTGTAGGGCTCGGAGAGTTAAAGTGAGTCTCTGAAGAGTTGCGGCTGAGGAAGTTTTCCAGCTGATGACTCAAACCAGTGCGACAACGAACGCCCATTCTGTCGAAAATGTGTCGATAGCGGCCGCGAGTGTGCCGGGTATGAGCGAGAAATGGTCTTCATCACCGCAACCATAGACGATGCTGGCCGCTGCTCGTCCCATCCGCCGCGCCAAGTACAGTCGTCCTCGAGGAGGAGAAGAAGGAGCCACATCGCTGAGCAAGAGACTCCGCGCTTGATACCAATAGAGCCCTTGGCGCCGGCATGGGATGACTTGATATCCTTGTACGACAATGGTGTAGCGTATGCGGTGCAGATTGCCGCTTTGCACACCGGACTCCAAAACGTTACGAGGGCCGCCGATGGGCAAAGCCAGGTCAAGTTTCGGATGGTCTTGCCAAATTACTCGCCGGTCGACGTCGACACCTGGGACAACGGGAGCGATGTGGACTTGAGTGCGCAGGTAATGATAAGCCTTCTGCCCACGACCAACGACAACGGGTTCCCCGAGGGCATCTGCGCCCTTCTGTTCGAGGTCTGCAACCGATTCGCGCCTGAGGGTACGTCCGCTGACAGCTTGCAGCAAAACACATCCTCTCTGGTAACCAACGGCATCACCCCTTGGGGCGTTTCTCAGGAGCACCTAGACCTCGTCAAGAAACTGGGTCCGGCTTACTTCCGTCAATTTCCCGCCCATCACTTCTTCATCAGAGTATATAGATGCAGCGCTGTACGCAAGGTGCACAAGCATTTGCAGATGACCAGTTACTGACTTATTGGAAAGATCACCCTCGCTCTCTTGCATAGGAAAGCGACCTTCCTGGCATCCATGGAATGGTGCACTATCCCTTGGGAGCGGCATCCAAAGACCCTCTTCGACCGACTTTTCGACATTATTTCCCCTTTACCGAGCATATTCGCTCTGGTCGACCGAACGATACCGTTTGCTGCAACCATGCAGCGACGACTGAAGGCCCAGGAGCTGTTGGAGAACTGCCTGCAGCTGGAGAGAAGTCTTGAGGAGTTGGAGCTTGTTGCTCGCGCTCCTACGACTGAGCACCCGCACGCATACTGGATAGAAGAGCCAGACGACCCGGACGCGCAACAGATCCCATTCGCCGATAACCTTGCCTTCAAGGACGGCATCACGTCGGTGACGTTCCTGTACCACTGGATGACGTTGCTGCTCCTTCACCGGTGCATCGAGACCCTACACCACGCCATCTTCCAACCTGTCATCGAGGATTTTCCCAATATGTACCCCGACCTGCCGCCCCGTCTGCAGATCAACCTGGCCAGGTACCAGCAACGGCGGGATTTCGCCTCGAGAATATGTAGAGCCTTGGACTTCGCCGTGTCGACGACTGTTCAACCAGACTTGCTGGCTGCGCCTCTCGCCGTGGCCTTGGAGTATTACCGAGAAATCAATGCGTCTTCGAGAGACGGCGAGCTGGAAATCATGTGGTGCGAGCACTTCAAGTTGCGCTTGAAGTCGAAGGGCCAAGACATCGCCAACGTCCTCCAGAGTAGATCGTGGGCCGACATTGGCAAGTTCTGAATGGGATTGACTCTCGTTTTCTCTTATGCTAGGCTAGGCATGAACAGGCATAAAAAGTAGGGTTTAACACAAGATGAAGGTGGGACATGGCAGTCAGGGGGTTTGGCGCAGGCGCACTGCATTTCGGTAGTGAGTGGTTTTATTTGGATCTCGAGGAGCGCTGGGTGTTGAACCTCCATTCCAACGACGGTTGTATCTGGATCAGTTTGTGCTAAGCAGCAGTCGGGGCTAGCGGGTTGGATGGCTGCGTCTCTGAGAGCAGTGTCGTCCCCTCTTGTTATATATGTAATTCATCTCGCAGATGTAGACGCTCTGATAGGAAACGGTCGGTCCACGAGAAGACAGCCTGGGTTGGTTGGAAAATACCCAAATTCTGGCAACTCGAAATGTGAAGAATGACGAAAGTGAGCCCCCGTTACCCGAGCATCACGGTCGTTGAAAGTGTAAGCAGCGCTCGGACCACATAACGGCACGGGCAGGACTCTGTCCTCTAAGCTTCGGGAAGGTCCATTACCCGGACTTTCACCGGGCTGCGTAGGAGCTCCTGGAGCTTTTCAGCCTTTCCCATGCCAGCAGGTACCGAAGCTTCGTCAGACCTGCAGCCTGCCTCTACTACCTATCGCACTCCATCTGTATCCTCCACCGCGCATCCTTTCATCCACGGCGATTGTCCTACACCATCCAACAACTCGCCAACCCAACCAACACCACACATATTCCCATTTATCAGATCTACGATCAGTAAAAATGGCTTCAGGATACGACAGAGCGCTGTCTGGTATGACCCCCCCCTCACTTGCCCGCAACCTCACTGTAGCATGCTAACACGCCACAAACAGTCTTCAGGTTTGTCACGATCGCCCCTGCCATGCTCAATTCTGTGGCGCCTAGCTCACTCCTGCAGTCCTGATGGACACGTCTTCCAGGTCGAGTACGCCGGTGAAGCCGTCAAGAGAGGTAACGCTGCCTGCCCGCAACAATCAAGGGCGAAGCCCGGCTTACTGGTGACATAGGAACATGTGCGGTCGGCGTCAAGGGCTCAGATGTGGTCGTTCTCGGATGCGAAAAGCGATCAGCTATGAAGCTACAGGATACTCGAATCACCCCCTCCAAGATTCAGCTTCTCGACACTCACGTGTGCCTCGCCTTCGCTGGCTTGAACGCCGATGCCCGCATCCTCGTCGACAAGGCGCGGTTAGAGGCACAGTCCCACAGGCTGACCGTCGAAGACCCCGCCTCCATCGAGTACATGACCAAGTACGTTGCCGGCGTCCAGCAACGGTACACACAGAGCGGTGGTGTTCGCCCCTTCGGCATCAGCACCTTGATTGTCGGCTTTGACAGCGGCAGCAAGGTCCCCCGCCTTTACCAGACTGAGCCTTCTGGCATCTACTCGGCATGGTATGAAAACGAATTTTCCACGTAACAACTCACTAGCTAATTCCTCGCAGGAAAGCCAACGCTATCGGCCGTTCCAGCAAGACCGTTCGCGAGTTCCTCGAGCGCAACTACAAGGAGGACATGGACAGGGAGGCCACCATCCGACTTGCCATCAAGTCTCTTCTTGAGGTTGTCCAGACTGGAGCCAAGAACATCGAGATCGCACTGATGGCGCCTGGCAAGACGATTGAGATGCTTCCCATGGACGAGATTGAGAACTACGTCAAGAACATTGAGCAGGAGAAGCAAGAGGAGGCGGCAAAGAAGAAGACTGGCCGCACGCCGGGCACCGGAAGCGCGGCGATTCTCACGAGAGGCTCGGGCTCGGGTGACGGTGACGAGTAAGGGAATGAATAGGCGTTGCGGTTCGCGGATAGACGACACTGATGAGGGTATCTGACCAAATACCATTGTATTACCACCTTTAGACTTGGAAGTCGCGGGGAATCTACAAAGACGGTGTCCTTGAAATCGCTTGCTGCCACACTCATGTTCGTAACCCAGCCGACCTCCAACTCTAGCCTAGCTTGTCTGCGTCGTCAGTCGGGTCAAATATTGACCGCCCAGCAACCTGTCGGACACGCTCGTCCTTGATCATGCGGCTGTCTTTGCGTGCATCCTCGCCCTCGACAGAGATGGCAGCCTTGGGCGTCTTTGCTTCGATAACGAAGTGGTTATCGCAGTGCGGACAGTACTCGTCGGACTCCTCGAACTCGGTGGCGTCTTTGCGGAAGCACTTTTTGCACTTCTTGCAGGCAAATACCATTTCGAGACTCTGCATCAGGGGGTGCTTCTCCTGCTCGTGGTGGCAATCGGCGCAGTCGAACCATTTCTTGCCTGTAATAGTGGTCTCTGTTAGGGGCCTGGCATGTTGGTTGGTTGAGCAGGTGACTGGCTTGACGTACAGCAAGGCGACCGGATCGCGACTTGGGCGTTGAGAATGTGCTTGCTGCAATCGTTCGTTAGTTGTCGGTCAAGGGGCCTGACAAGGACCAGCTTACCACATGGCGAATGACCTGTGCGATGAAGGCGAAGAAATGGACGAAAGGGGCCAAAGGGCGAGAGACCAGGACGGGTGGTTGCTCTGGGTGCTCGAGGGGTGGTGCGATGTTCAAGGCGGCCGCGTTTTCGGTGTCAACTCGGAATCATGAAGAGAACATTCCAGGTACAGTGAGTGCCTCATTGAAGATTCGGTGATTGCTGATAAATTTTGGCGGGGTCTTGACGTGTTGTCCCAGTGCCTCCTGCCCGCTGCACGCCCCGCGAAGGTCACTGAAATTCACCTAAATGGATCCTGGGTAGTGGACCGCGCTAAGAGGAGCTGGCCAGTGACAAAAACTGTCGCCCCTTGGTCTGCCAAATCTTATCTCCGATAGTGTTGATTACCGATTTCTAGCTCTCAGCACGTCCCGCTGCCTGCACTACATCATCCACCTCGCGAAACTACCGTCCGCCGTTCAACCTCATCTCTCAGCAAACCCTACGATATTGCCACGATGCCACCGAAGCGGAAGGCTCAAGGGGCTGTCACCGGCAGCATCAAGGCAGGTAAGGGTTCCGTGGTGTCGACACCAGGAGGAGCCACTCCCAGGAGCATTGCCAGTGACAATGAATCCTCGGTGGTGGACCCTGTGAGCGAGTCTGAAGACGAGAACCTCGAGAAGAACGTCGATAAGTTCTCGGTCGAAGCCTACCTCGACAGGCCGAAAGCGAACGATTCCATGTCAGGACTCTTCAAGAAGAAGCGCGACTTCTCCTTTCTGGCACTCAAACCTGATTACCAGAACCGTCCTCTCTGGATCGACCCTGCCAAGGGACGCATCTTCCTCGAAAGTTTCAACCCGCTTGCCGAGCAGGCGCAGGACTTCCTCATCACCATCGCCGAACCCATCTCCCGACCGTCCTTCGTCCACGAGTATGCGCTCACGACGCACAGCTTGTATGCTGCAGTTTCGGTGGGATTGTCGCCCCACGACATCATCAACACGCTCGACCGTTTCCTGAAGATGCCTTTGCCCGACAGCATTCGCAAGTTCATTGAGGGCTGCACACAAAGTTTCGGCAAGGTGAAGCTCGTCCTCAAGAACACCAAGTACTTTGTTGAGAGTACGGACCCCGTCATCCTGCAAAAGCTGCTGAAGGACCCCATTATCGGACCTCTCCGAGTACACGGCACCGAGGAGATAACGACGACAGCCGCTCCGAAGCAGGGCCCACTGGTCATCCCAGGCACGGCCAACGCCGCCGGTGTTCGTCAGGCCGAAGAGCAGAAGGAAAAGGGCCGCGAAGGCGAGGTCAAGGAGGGCGAAGTGTATGCGGCGCTGAACGACGACGACGATGACGACCAAGAAATCACACACGCCTTCGAAATCTCGGACGAGGCAGTTGAGACGGTCCAGAAGCGGTGCCTCGAGCTGGAGTATCCAGTGCTGGAAGAGTACGATTTCAGAAGAGACGAGGCCAACCCGAACTTGGAGATTGACCTGCGTCCCGGCACCTTGATCCGGCCGTATCAAGAAAAGAGCCTGAGCAAGATGTTTGGTAACGGTCGAGCCAAGAGCGGTCTCATCGTTCTTCCTTGTGGTGCTGGAAAGACGTTGGTCGGCATCACGGCAGCTTGCACCGTCAAGAAGGGCGTGATCGTCCTCTGCACGAGTTCGATGTCGGTTGTGCAATGGAGAAACGAATTCCTCAAATGGTCCAACATCAAGCCAGAGGATATCGAAGCCTTCACTTCGGACAACAAGGGCAGGGTCTTCCCAGGTAACACAGGTATCATTGTGACCACGTACTCCATGGTCACGCAGACCAGAGAGCGGTCTCACGAGGCGAAGAAGATGATGGACTTTCTCCAGACTCGAGAATGGGGTCTAATGCTTCTTGACGAGGTGCACGTCGTCCCCGCCAATATCTTCAGAAAGGTCACGTCGTCCATCAAAACACACTCGAAGCTCGGTCTGACTGCCACGCTCTTACGCGAGGACGATAAGATCTCGGATTTGAATTTCCTTATCGGACCTAAGCTGTACGAGGCCAATTGGATGGAGCTTTCTGAGCAGGGCCACATTGCAAAGGTCCAGTGCGCCGAGGTCTGGTGCCCCATGACCACGGAGTTTTACGATGAGTACCTGAAGGCGTCTGCCAGGAAGAGGGCGCTGCTGTACATCATGAACCCACGCAAGTTTCAGGCCGCCCAGTACCTGATAAACTACCACGAGTCGCGGGGAGACAAGATCATCGTCTTCTCCGACAACGTGTATGCCTTGAAGACATATGCCGAGAAACTGGAAAAGGCATATATTTTCGGCGGCACGGGACAGGCTGAACGAATGAATATCCTTCAGAACTTCCAACACAACCCACAAGTCAACACGCTCTTCCTGTCCAAGATTGGAGATACGTCTCTCGATCTACCGGAGGCCACATGCCTCATTCAGATCTCATCGCACTACGGTTCACGTCGTCAAGAGGCCCAGCGCCTTGGTCGTATTCTGCGAGCCAAGCGAAGAAACGACGAGGGTTTCAATGCCTTCTTCTACTCCCTGGTATCCAAGGATACTCAAGAGATGTACTACTCCTCAAAGAGACAGGCCTTTCTGGTCGATCAGGGGTATGCTTTCAAGGTCATTACGCAGCTGGCCAATATTGAAAAGACCCCTGGACTTGCCTACGCCGCAGCGAGCGAGAGGCGGGAACTATTGCAAAAGGTTCTCATCGAGAACGAGGCCGGCGGTGAGGATGAAGTCATCGACGACCTATTCCACAGCGGCACTATGGGTCGCGCGCCGCCTAGGGGCAAGAAGAAGGCCGCTGCCCGAAGAACAGCGGGTCTTCTGGGCGACCTGTCGGGTGGGCAGGACATGGCGTACATGGAGCAAAACAAGAGGGTCAGGCTCAAGAAGGCTAAGGGAGAGAGCAGCGCGTTCTTCAAGAAGATACAGAGGGAGAAGGCTAAGCGGTAAATTGCATGATTAGGGACTCTAGGCGTTTTTTTCCCCTCCTCTCTCGGCATGGTTGGGACTTTGGAAAGCAAACGGCGCATTTGCTCCTTGTAGTATAGACACCAAACGCCATCGAGGCTTTCTCAAGACTGGACGCGGCGGGAAGATCGGGTAGATCTGTACACGATGTAATCGGCACGCAAATACGACATGAGTATGCATGCCTGCCCAGTTGCCCTCGAAATCTACTGTCTGTCTCGTGAAACAAGATGGAACTGCAATGGGTGCGCTGCTAATTGTGGTGTCCGGGCCGCCAGTTTCGGGGAGACAAATCTAGGAGCCGGTTGCCGCCAAGACCTCAGCCCTTCAACAACAGGGGGTCCGACAAGATCAGAACCAGTCGACAGCGTATCCCCTTCACGTGGGCCGGACTGGCGAATAAACCAAACCCATGGATAGCCCGGGGGGGACGGGCTTGCCGAGACAGCGGGCTGGTTCGGGTGGCTGCAGTTGTGCTCCCTTATGAATACCTTGTGTTGCTCGTTATCTACCGTATGTGGATGGTGTTACCACAGCGGGCTTGGCGTCCAAGTGTGGAGATGAGCGTCGGTGAAGCGGTGAAGCGGTGGCATCTCACAATTCGCATGCAGGGTTCGTTCAAGACAGACCTGCCTGTTGAGTTGTGGATGACCTGGCGGTGAAGGGCCGGTAGATAGGAAGAAAACGGGCGTCACCGTGTTGAGGAAGGGTGAGATTGAGAAGTGACGAGCTGTCGTCGGCGGTGCTTGGCGATATTTGTCCGAACCGAGCGGTACAAGGTTAGCGAGGTCTGGACCCGGACGGAAAGAGCTGCCGGCAGCCCGCGGGGACAATGGCCCAGCTATTTATTGGAGGTGGCGCGCTCCCGACCGCTCCTTTATCGGCCGCCGCGACGACAAGACCACCCTCTTTCCCCCGTCCTGCCATGTCAAAAACTGGCTAACCACGGTCGAATACGGATACCTGCGCAGAGTAGTATCCGTAATGCCTGTCGACCGCTTGAGGATTGAAACAGCACGTCCCTGCGCTCCCAACAGGACATCCCGGCCAAACTGGACGCACTATCCAAAACCCAGCGAGCCCCAGGGCGGCGGGCAGGGTACGTTGTAAGGCGGACCAGAAAAAATGTACATTGTCCCTTTTAATTTTATTTTAGGCGCAACAAATCTCTTACAACGCGAACAGGGTCCTTTCGGACTTGAGCGCAGCCCGTCCGGCGATCTCTGGATTTCTCCTTGGACAAAACAGACCCGTCGCCACGTACGCGGCACCATTTAGTACACACCAGTGACACTACCAGCTCGCTGCGAGCTTCAACCAATCGCGTCCCCCGCATCCCTGCTGCCGATAGAGACGTCGATGCATAGCTGCCGAGCTACGCTACCATGTTCTCAAGTCCATATTACAGACCGACAGGTTTGTCGCAGACGGTCTCTCGCCTTTGTTCTGTACATGGGTGCGAATACTTAAAATATCATTTCGTACTTCTCTTAGTATCCAGCCCGTACTCAACCTGGTACAAGGAGGAAAGGAAGGGCCGGTCGGACACGAAAGCAATGACGAAAGAATCCCAGGATGGCCGATCAGGCACACGGCGCCCTCCAGGAAAAACCAAGAGATCTAGGGAGAGTGTGTGATATGCGTTGGCACAGAATGACGTACTTGGCCGTCCAAAGATACGCCTCGGCCAAGCAGTGGCAGGAGTGTAAGGAGAGGGGTGGGTAGATAGCCTGTCGGGACGGGACCTCATGCCTCGTTGCAACGCAGACGGTACTGCTGCTGCTCCAATGGGCGAGAGTGATCAGTTTGGGATGAGAGGCCGACATGTGGTGGCGACCCACCCCCATGGAATTAAAGTTACTTGGCACCAGCGCGACTCCACCAGCTTGGTTGGGTGAGTTTTAGGGGATTTCTTCCTGGCGTGTCTTGGAAATGGCACCTCGAAACAGATCTAATGTTACCCCGAGAGAGGCCATTAGCACGACTGGCTAAGGGCCAAGTGACATCCCTACACGGGACAGAGAGAGAGTCCGTCGTCTCGTGCGGGATGGCAGTTTCATGCTGCGTCCCACGGTGAAATATCTATTTCCTTAGGTCTCATAGTGATGGCGGCACATGAATGATGCGCGCATATGACGGGGACGATCACTGTGATAGGTAGATTCCCGGGATAGCTAGGTGACTGGTGTGGCCTGATAGGGCGCCGATGTGACTGACTTGTCTTGATGGTTCACGTACGCAGGTGGTGCGAGCCCTGCACGACAGAGGCGAGGCCGGGCAGACACGGTTAGGTGAGAAATGTGAGATGTGGGCAGGATGAGGTGATGGCGCTGCGTCGACATCCGTGGTGTTCTGCAAGATGCGTCGCATGAGTAAACACTGCTGACTTACATTACATGTATGCACTGTACCGCGTACAAACAAATACCCAGACATGGACAACGTACCAAGAGCCATGTCGCATGTCCGAGGTCGAATGAGGTGCTGGCGTTTCAATCTCGATTCTCAGTGACCACCCTCTATTTGGCCAAGGCGGGCGTGATTCTTCATCCATCCATGCTTCCGGCATCCCAGGTCGAATCAGTGCTTGACAGAGGCAGGTCCGGTGCACCCAAATGTTCGGCTTTTTTCTCCTTCTTTCCTCGCTTCTCTTCTTCTGTTCTACTGTAAGTGGGACCAGAGCAGACGAAGCTAAGCTTCCCTCATCCAGACACAAGGTAGGTAGGTAGGGAAGGGGTCTGTCTACAAGCCCGTCGCCCTCAGCAACGCGAAGTTGTAGCCCCGCAAAGAAAAGATGGCGAGGCGGCGGGACGGGCGTTTGTCTCCAGTTCCATGGCAAGGATGTTTTTGTGGATGCTGGATGCTGGATGCTGCTGGATGCACCGCGACTGGACTGCGACGGACACGATGGTTCAGGGCCTCGCTGTGGCCACTCCTCCACACAGCCGCCTCGAACGCCCGCAAGCCGATGGGCTTTCCTCTCCCTCCCTATCTAATTAAAGAGAGTAAAAAAAATCAATAGCGAGGAAAACCTGGCTGGCAGACTTTTTTGTTTTTGCCTCCGCTCCCTGGAGCACAACCCCATCTAAATTCGAGCCTATCCCAGCTGTAGCTCCGTCTCTGATCGTTGTCGTTGTCGTTATCGCTATCGCCGCTGGCAGCTCTTGTCGTCCCTTCTGTCAGAAGCCAAGAGAGCCACAGACATCCAGTCCTTGGCCATCGACATCTGCGACACTTGCAGCGCCGGATTCGATCTCGTCGTCTTTCACAAAACTCTGTGGAAGGTACAGAGACAGCATCGACCAGGGGGGCTCGTCTGATCTCAACTCACCTCGGCTCTTCTTCCCCCCATCCCAATTCTTTTCCCTTTTATTTACTTTATTACGATACAGCACTGCCGCACCCTGCAACGCACAAATAGGCAACTGCACTTGAGGTCACGTCTGCTTCGCAGTACGCCCGGCGCGTGTTACCCTCCCGCCCGAGTCCCGGCGTGCCAATTGATTGTCATGAATTCCAGCTCACCCATCATCCAATCCTTACACAATGACGGTTAGACCATAAAAGCTTCACAGCCACACCGAGCCAAGACCTGGCCCATTCGCCGTTCTCGCTAGACTTCCTGCGCCGATCTTCTCTAACGCCATATCACCCCTTCTCCCCCACAGGCCGATGTCTAGATCGGCCTGTCGTTAAACCGGAGAGGGGAATTTCCTCACTTTCACCTCATTCACCAACCCTCACCCCGTCGCGATCCGAGAGAAATGCTCGAAGCCTCGCGCGGCTGGCTGCTCGCCCAGCTATGGGCAGCCAAGCCCTCCTTCATATCCAAAAAGCCGCACTTCAACTTCATTTCTGCTCATTGTAAGTCGTCATCCCAACTATCGCCGTCGCATTCCATCCTGCGCACAGCGCTAATCTGTACCTCGCCCCGACATCAGACATTTGGATTTGCAGCCTCACTATACTGGGCTCTGTACTCATCTATGCCACGGCCGGCGGCCAAATGGCATACATTGACGCCCTCTTCTTCGCCAGTGGCGCCAACACCCAGGCCGGCCTCAACACCATCGACGTCAACCTGCTTAATACCTTCCAGCAAGCATGTCTCTACTTTTTTACCATGACCTCTAACCCCATCACCATTCATTCCTCTGTTGTCTTCCTTCGGTTGTACTGGTTCGAAAAGCGCTTCCAGGGCATCGTCCGCGAGGCCCGCCAACGGAGAAACACCATGTCCAAGTCCAAGTCCCGGGCGAGGGACGAGTTGAGCCAGGCCGAGAGGGGTCGCCTAAACGTACGCAATATTAAGGTCATGCACACGAACGGCCACCGGTCTAGAATGACAAACGATGGCATTCTGCTCAGCACCAAGGAGGACGAGGACGGCCGCGTGTCCCCGGGGAGCAACGGCATCGGTCCAGCCCCGGCACAGCAGTCTCCTAGAGATCAGACACCCGACCGAGCCTCTGATCACCATGACGACGACGCCCATGGTACGGATTTGTCGCAAGGCCGGATCACTTTCGCCCAGCATGTTTTCAGGAGCGACGGGACGGAACCCGAAGTCAAACTCCCGCCGCCCCATTCTCCCGCCCACTTGGCCATTCTCGAGCGCCAACGAAATGGGCCCGAAGAGACGCTGCGCATCCCTAACCCTAGAGATGCCGAGAGAGGCATGAAGCCAAAGCGAGTCGAGGACAACGCCGCGCCAGAGCCCGAAGACGAAAGAGACGACGGTATCCCGCACACCCGCGTCGCGGCTGGTGAAACGAACGACATGTCACATGGTCTAGGCAACAATGCGTTCCGTCGGCCGACAATCAAAATCGAAGAACCCGAAAGACCTAGAGAGCCCGAGAGATCGGTCAAGGACGAGATTGCGGACGAGGCAGAGGTGATTGGGAGGACCATCTTCCCGTTCTCGCTGCGCAAGCCAAACCTCCACCGGAAGGGCGACGAGAAAACTCGTGGCGAAGACGGCACCTCTGAAACCCCTCTCGCGAGGGTCAGGAGTCGTACCTTTGACACTATCAGGACCGCGTTGACACGCGACAAAATCGAGGACATGCCGTACCTGAGTTTCACACCCACGATGGGGCGCAACTCTGCTTTCCCCGGCCTGACGCTGGAGCAGCGAGAGGAGCTAGGCGGCATCGAGTACCGGTCATTGAGGACGCTCGCTGTCATACTGCTGTGTTACTTCTGGGGGTTCTCCCTCTTTGCCGTCACCTGCTTTCTTCCGTGGATATACACCAGCTCTAACGCCAAGTACGCGGGCCTCGTCGAGTCATCCGGGGTCAGCAAAGCCTGGTGGGGTATATTCACGGCCAATTCTGCTTTCAACGACCTGGGTCTCACCTTGACGCCCGACAGCATGAACTCGTTCAACGACGCGACCTTTATTCTGCTGATCATGTCTTTCTTGATCATCATTGGCAACACAGGCTTCCCCATTATGCTGCGCGTCATCATCTGGATCATGTCCAAGATTGTACCGAAGGGTACGGGGCTGTGGGAGGAGTTGCGATTCCTACTGGACCATCCCCGTCGTTGCTTCACTTTGCTGTTCCCGGCGGGTGCAACCTGGTGGCTCTTCATCATCCTCATCGGCTTGAACGTGCTCGACTTGCTCTTCTTCGTCTTGTTGGATGTAAGTCATATACGCATGCTGCTGTCGATCTATGCTAATGCTATGTCTAGCTGAATGATAATGCTGTGAGCCATCTGCCGGTTCACATCCGCGTTCTGGACGGCATTTTCCAGGCCGCGTCCACCAGGACCGCTGGTTTCTCGGTCGTCAACATCTCGCTGCTACACCCCGCTGTGCAGGTTTCATACATGATCATGATGTATATCTCCGTCTTCCCAATCGCCATCTCGATCCGTCGCACCAACGTGTATGAAGAGAAATCTCTCGGTGTATACCACAGCCCTGATGAAGACGTGGAGGGCACCAACGAGAACAGCGCCTGGTCTTACGTTGGAACCCATTTGCGGCGTCAACTGTCTTTCGACCTGTGGTATGTATTCCTGGGCCTCTTCATCCTGGCCATCACGGAGGGACGCCGGATCCAGGCCAAAGACTTTGACGTCTACTCCGTCTTGTTCGAGATCGTGAGTGCGTACGGTACGGTTGGGCTGAGCTTGGGTTACCCTAACATCAACGCGTCGCTTTGCTCGCAATTCACCACCGGGGGGAAGCTCATCATGATTGCGATGCAGATCCGTGGACGCCACCGTGGTCTGCCGTACGGTCTTGATCGCGCCGTTCTGCTGCCCAGCGAGTCTCGGTTTGAGAAGGAGGCCGAGGAGGCGCACCCGGTTCTGGTCCGATCTGCTACTGGCGCATCGACCGGGACTGCTCTTAGCGCCGCCAGGTCCCACCTGCGGTCAAGAAGAATGAGCACGAACAGGGGTCAAGGCAACATCATCACCCAGTTCCTACACCCGGGACCCGTGATTCCTCACGAAGACAGCCTTACAGACCTGTCCAGACACACTAGATCGTTCGCCGTCGACGAGCATCCTCCCATGGGCGAGAACATGAAACGGCGTAACACGGAACCAGCGGAAGATGATATCACGTCCAGCGACAGCGAAACAGCGGGGCCTCCCCGGAGAGTTTTCACCACGCCGGCACACTAGAGGCTGCCGCAATGGACGACCGCGGAACGGTCGATCCCGGAGGAGTAAAGAGAGAGTATACATTGTACGGAGTTGCGAGGGCGCTTGTCGGAAACGGAGTTATGGGACCGGAAACGTTTCCTTTTGGTTCGGTGGCCAGTCGTTTCAACAAAATCAGGACTTAGACGGCTCAGGCTACAGACATAGCTTTTATGTCGATGTTGTACTTTTTGCTGTACATTCTTAGGATACCGTACGCTCATGATGAATGATAACCTTTTACTTTGCGCACTCGACTCTGTGGACATCTAAAGGCCCCCTAAAATGCTCATTGTGAAACCGGTGGTGTGTAGCCTGAAACCCCAGGATACCGACACGGCGTATGGGACTCTGTTGCAAGATCGATACCGCCGAGAGAGGAGCAACGCCCGATTGTGAAGCATGCTTTTCTTCATTGTACAAGACTCCACAAGGCCAATGTTGTACACGTCGCCCATTTTCTAATCGTACAACGTCTCGATATATCAAACCCCCTTCACCCCGAATCAAAACATCTCTGTCCCGGGCTCCCCCCTTTTCTGCCCACCCTAAAACCTCGTGCCGAACTGCTTGCCTTTGTTGCGCATGCCGTACCTCTCCTTCTTCCAGGCAAAGACGAGGTGGTCGACGCTACCCATGTCGTGCTTGGGCTTGCGCAGGTACGTCAGGCGGGCGCGGCGCGCGCGCTTGGGGCGGCGCCAGACGATATCGATGCCGATGACGGTGGGCGAGTAGATCTTGTACCACATCTCGACGCCAACCTTCATGAGCTGGCCGCGCAGGAGGATGGCCGTGTCAACGCCGCGGCGGCGGATCGACATGCACACGCCCGAGAAGGGCTCGCCTGACTTGGTCGTGACCATGAGCACGTCGCCGACCTTGGCGGCGTCGGGGCGGGCCGGGTCAAAGAGCCGCGTGCGCGCGCCCGTCGGGTCGAGCTTGGCGCGCTGCTGGGCGTCGAGGGCGGGCATGGGGTTCTTGTGCGTGTGGCGGATCGAGGGCAGCGGTGGGTAGACTGCGAAGGTGGGCTTGTCGCGGGGGCCGACTGCGTTTGATCTCTTGGTTAGCTTCGGGGCGGTGGCTAAATTGCGTCATCTGGGGCGTGCGGGGGGAAAGGCTTACAGTAGGAGGGCTTGACGGAGGGCGAGAGTGAAGGTGTTGATGCCGGGGGCTGCTCGGCAGCGGGCGTGGTGGCCATGGAACGGGTTAGGAGCCGCTGGTGCCGCGTCTGGCGGAGGGCCGTCTTGAGGCAGCCAATCGGCCGCCGGAGACAAGAGACGTTCATCTTGGACTGTGTGGTCGTAAAGACGGGCTGCGGCGGATCGTTGTCGTCGTCGGACGACCAGAAACGCAAGAAGTAGACGGAGCTACGCAGGGCTGCACAAGTCGAAAAGTCGAAGTTCGAGGTACGAATCACGCGCTGTGATTGGCTCGGTGCATCAATGATGCGGAGCCGCGACCCCCGGCGAGGGTGCGATCCAAAAATTTGGGAGTGCACCCTGCAAGAGCTGCCGCCCCCTCTGCCGATTGCTGCCGACAGTCGAGGAAATTCCCTACACTCGACGAGTACATACAACACGATCGCAACAATGTCTAGGATATTGATGGGTAGGGCCCTCAGGGGTGCCAAGGCGTCGGTGTGGGAGCAACAGGCGTGCATGGCCCAGCAGCAACGGAGCTTCAGCCAGACACCCTCTCGTCAAAGTACGTCTCGTGATAGATACCTTGGAGTCTAGAAGGAGGGGGGGGATTTAACAAACAGGATGGAAGCTGACCTCGCTGCTAGACCCCCAAGTCGTCTTCGACAAGACCACGACGCCCGGCCTCGCGCCCATCCTCGAAGAGATCCAGTCCAACATCATCCTCCCGTACTACCTCCCCATCCACCAGCGCAAGCGCGTCTTCTCCGAGAAGCTCAAGCACCGCCTCAAGAGCGACCCCGTATTTCTCGAGGTCGATGGCCTCGAGCACCGCTTCTCTCACATCAACGAGGAGGCCCTCCCCCCCTCGCGCGAGCTCACCTGGAAGGCCCTACGCGCGATGCAGACCCCCGAGGACTGGAACAACTTCGGCCGCCTGCTCTCTGGCATGCGCAACGCCGGCCGCCACTACAGCCAGACGGACTTTGCCAAGATGATCCGCATCGCCGGCACGCGGGGCCAGATTTACACCATTATCGACGCCGCGCGACAGGTGCGCAAGACAGGCCTGCGGCTCGACAACTCGGAAAAGATCAACGAGGTGCTGCACTTTGTCCAGATGCGCGCCTTGGAGAGCGAGTGGGACAGGGAGAAGACGGAACAGGCGCTGCGGTGGACTGAGATGGTGCTTGAGATGCTCGAAGACCCCAACCACGCTCTCGACCGCCGCCAGCTCGCCAAGCGTGGCAAGGACCGGTTCCCGCTGTTCAAGGACCCGCAGATCCTGGGCGCAGCGCTGCACCTCTCGGCGGTGGTGGCCGTCAAGCACAACGAGGGCAAAGACCTCGACGGCAAGGTCGCCGGGTACGCAAGGAAGGTCGCCGACGGGTGGCCCGCGGGTAAGGGCCTGCTGCAGTTGCACCCGGAGGAGGCGTACGCCGACCGCGTGGACGGCGTGGCGTACCTGGCTCACAGCCGGACGCAGTACCTCTCGTGCGCAAGCCCGATTCTGCATGGCCTATTCATGGCCTCGCGCGTCGTGGAGAAGCCGCTGGCCGACAGGCTGCAGGCCATCGCGGCCGCGTTGGGCAGTGAGGTCAAGGATGTGGTGGAGAAGCAGAACTACCCTGCCGAGCGTGGCCTCAAGACCTACAACGCCCTGTTCAACTCCTCGTAGACAAACCGCGGTAGCGGTGGCCGGGGAGTGGGGGAGGCTAGAGATACTGTACGACGTCGGAGACGGGGAAGGGGAGAAGTGATGAGCGGAACGAGAGGTATCAGAAGGGGCTCCAGAAAAAGGGGCTATGTACAGCTGATGTGTAAGATTATCTATGTATACAATGCATCAAGACACACATAAGATCAACAACGCACCCACCCTACGGCAGGACAATGTACTTTTCCAGATGCTTGGGTATCGCGCCCAGGAGCTTCTTCTCGCCGAGCCACTTGCGTGAGAACAGCCTGTCGGCATAGCGGTACGCGCCGTCGCACAGGATGGTGACGACGGTGTTGCCCTTGCCGAGCTTCTCGGCCACCTCCTTGGCGGCGACGACGTTGAGGGCCGAGCTGGCGCCCAGGTACAGCCCTTCCTCGTCGAGGCACCTGTACACCATTTCGATGCTCTTTTCGTCAGCGATGGTCAGTGAACCGTCGACGAGCCCGATGTCGGGCTTCAGGTTGTCCGTGATGCGGCCCTGGCCGATGCCCTCGGTGATGCTGGAGCCGGTGCGTTCGACGAGCTTGCCGCCCGACGAGATGTACGAGTGCAGTACACTGCCGGGCGGGTCGGCGAGGAAGGACTTGACGCGCCCACCGCTGACGTCCTTGAGGTACCGCGTGACGCCGGCCAGCGTGCCGGCGGTGCCCGTGGCGCAGGTGAAGGCGTCAACCCCGCCGCGGGTCTGTTCCCAGATCTCGGGGCCCGTGGTCTCGATGTGCGCGCGGCGGTTGGCCGTGTTGTCGAACTGGTTCGTCCAGACGGCGTTGTTGAGCCGCTCGGCGTGGCGCCGCGCCTGGTGGTTGTAGTTCTCCGGGTTCTCGAAAGCGACGGCGGGCACAGGATAGACCTCGGCGCCGAGCAGCCGCAGGAGATCAATCTTGCCCTGGGACTGCGTGTTGGGCATGTAGATGACAAGCTTGTAGCCCTTGGAGCGACACACGTGCGCGAGGCCGATACCCGTGTTGCCGGCCGTGCCCTCGACGACCGTGCCGCCGGGCTTGAGGAGACCGCGCTCCTCAGCGTCCTTGACGACATAGAGCGCCGCGCGGTCCTTGACAGAGCCACCCGGGTTCATGAACTCGGCCTTGCCGAGGATCTCGCACCCCGTTTCGGCGGACAGGCGGTTGAGGCGGATGAGCGGGGTGTTGCCGATCGCTGCGAAGAGGGGAGAGAAACAGGTCAGTCGACGGGTGACCTCAGTCGGGGTGTTGTCCCTGCACACACCCGAAGGGACAGAGAGGGGGGCGTACCGCCGGTGAGACCCTTGACCACGCCCTGCGCGCGGGACAGGTTGAGGGAGTATGCGCTGGGCGGGTCGATGGCGCGGGCGGCCGTCGTCGCGAAGCGACGCACGCCGAGGCGGTTCATGTCTGCTGGGCTGCTGCTGCTCGGGACTCTTGACGAGTCAATTCGAGTTCCGCTAAGGCGTGCGTGTTGCAGGTTTAAGGGGTCGGAGGGAGTAGGTTGGGAGGATCACGACGCAGGTGTTGTCGGAAGACGATGAGCTCCGGCATTCGGCTTTCTAAGCTGAAAGGGATTGTGGGCGGGGCCCCCTCCGGGCCCGCCCGCCGTGGGGGGCTTTTCTTTAATGGGGTTCAGCTCTGGAAAAGAAAATTACGTCAGAGCCGCTAGGACATGGTACCTAGCACCGACGGAAGCAGGAAGACATGAGATACGGATCCAGGAGGCAAGTGCCATGAAAATAGGCAGCAGGACAACACTCTTCAACAAAGGGCACAAAAACACTGGACAAATCGCACAGTGGTGGGGGCTAGGGAAAAGCTGGCGTGGGGAACTATCATCGACGCTTCAGTTGTTAGCCAAACCTCGCTTTTCGGGCACAGGACACTATGCCCTGCATCGATTCCATACCTGTGGTTGGGAAGGGTCGCCCTCAGAGATATGTCTAAGTTGAATTCCCGCCTCCTTTGATGGTAGAGGAGGACGTAGACCTCCATCCTGGCAGTACCAGCGATCAAAGCAGTCATTGAGACCCGTCTTCGAATCGCTAACCCAAACTGATGCTACGATGCAACAAGTTACAGGCGATGACGCTCTGCCAGATAAAGTAGGATTTAAGCGGTATAGTGTTCTCCCTTTTCTCTCTCCTGCTCTTTTTGAGTAGTTGCGTCACACGAGAACTGCTCAAAAATGTAAATGTACATTACAGATTGACCGTCTCTATGCATTATTAGTAGCTACCTAAATAGGAACTCTTGCATAGTCACCTGGCACGCGCTTAACGAAATCAAGCATCATTTCGACCTCAGCGGTCATTCTTTTTTAATCCGTGGATGTTTATTTGACTATAGTAGAAAAGTATTCAAAACTGTCCATTGCGACATACGCCGCTTTTCGCTTTCGGCGCTGTTTCATTCATCGCGGCCATGGCTCCATGTCAAAGAGTTCTTCATGATTTCGTCTGCGTCGTCAAGAGCGTGTGCCGTATCTCCCTAAGCTTGATCATCTAGCCTCCTCACGTACGGCGACGGAAACAGTCCCTTGGCGCCCATGTAAACTCCAAAGAACCAGTCCCCGTTAACGTCCTCAATCTCCCGAATCTCCGCTCCCTTCGGGAACAACAGTTCGTCGTCGGCCTTGGGGTACCAAGCCCACGTAGCGCTCGCACGGATTCCGCCGCCGCCGTCGGGAGGGAACCCCTGCGCGAGGCCCTCGCCCGCCGGGGCATCGGCCGCAACGTCCCTCGTGACGAAGCGTTCGCGCTTCTGGCCCTCTTCGTACCACCACCACTTCTGCGGTGCCTGCTCGTCACAGCCCTCTGCCGGTGTTATCCGCAGATTTCGCCCGCCCACAAGGTCGGAGAGGATATGCCGCAGCTGCCCACCGGGCCCGTCGCGGAAGCCAACCACGATCATGCGATGCCCGTTGAGACACCGGCGCCAACCCGCATGCCCGTTCTCGGGACTGATCTGGTCGCGTGCCTCGAGGTTGGCGTAGCAGGTTGTGCAGATGTCGAAGTCGCCCGGCTGAGTATCTGGTTCGATCGAGCTGGTGCAGGTGAAGCAGTGATATCGACTATGGCTAGGATGAATGGGATCCTGGCAGACATCGCAGCGGGTCGTGAAGGTGAGGGGCTTGAACGGGCCGATGCTATGGATGTTGGGCCCCGTCAGAACGGCGGCCGAATGAGGCGGGCGAGGCGACCTGGGACTCGCTGGTGGTGTGTGCGACGGTTGAGGTTGGTATGTCAGGGGTAGGAGAGGATGGGTGCATGACCGCCCCTGGTTCACGCAGTTGTTGCAGAAGCCCCAGTCGCCAAAGTTGCACATGTCGCAGCGCCAGAAGCACTCGTTGGCCCAAGCTAGGCATCGCGCACAGAAGTTACCGCTTTCCAGCCTCTTGAGCGGGTCATCGGTCGTAAGCGTCCGTCTGCCCTCTGCCCCGCCAGGTATGATCTTGGGCTGGAGGTAACGGTTTGCCGTCAGCATATGAGGTCTCGGGATATCCCCCTGCGCGGCATGCCGAGCCTTTTCCCATTTGGCCCAGGCGCCGTATCCAAAACCGAACCAATGCAAACAACCCTTTCCCGACCTGTAGCAATCGAGACAAATGTTCCAGTTGCCGTTTGCGCAGATACTACAGTTGTAGTGGAGCTCGTACTCGATGTGCTGCCTCGCGCAACGGGCGCATGCAATCGATGGCTCGGGATAGAGCTGCGATCGTGTCCTCTGATGGCCAGAGATGGGTGGGCTGCCGATGCCCAGGCCCAGCCCGACCGGTCCTGATGTGACCTGGCTGATGATGGACAGGTCCGCCGGCCGGTGCGATCGTTGCATGCGAGGCGATAGCGGCTCTGTGGGAGGGGAGGGGGCAAAGTTGGCAGATACCAGCGCCGGTGCGTTGGTCGCTCGGCTGGCAAAGGCGAGGTCTCGTGTCGCCGGCGAAGTAGCCGGAGACTGCGTTGTGGTAGGCACTGACGGTGTACTGGAGCTTCTTGCTTCGGTAAAGGCGGTTCTTGGGGCGGATGCTTCGCCCAACTGTGTTCGTGTTGACAAATCGGTCTGCGAGCGCGTGGTCACCCGGGTTTCGGACTGCGTTGCTGGGACGGGTGTCGTCGCACTGCGGCCGCCGCTCGAAGTCCGCCTCCTTCTCCGCCTCTCTTCTGGTCGGACTTCAACATGCAGGGCGCTTTGCGAAAGTGGTGGCCGGCTGCGGTCTTCGGGGAAGCCGCTTGCGCTGGTCGACCTGGAGTGCGGCCGCTGTCTGCTGGTGGATCTGCTGTTCTCCGTTGCGGCAGACCGTATCTCCTGCACTCGGTCAGGAGAGGATCGGGATTGACCACTGGGGTTGTTCCTCCTCGATGCCTCGGCCCTCGTACGCTCCCGCTGCCTTCGTCGGTAAGCCTCTGTGATCTTGCGGCTCAGCTCGTCGTTCCGGCTTAGGTCGATGTTGTCAAGATCCAGCCCGTCCAACAGCCCCTCCTCCTGAATTTGCCTAGCAAAATCTTCAATCTCCCTCTCTATGTCGCGTTCACTCAAATCGCCCGAGCTTATCAGAGATCTCAGCGAGGACTGGTGCTCGATTTGTCGGCGCCTCGAGTCGGATGATTCCTCGGAACGGTGCCCCGACTCGCTTCTCCATCGTCTCCTGTGCTCGCTCGATCTCGCATCCGGCCGCAGCTGGTCCGCACTGGACCGTCCTTCATCAGCCCGGGGCCTTCGGCTGGCCCCATGCCTGTTGCTGTGGCGGCTGTCCCTACTAGGATCCCTGCTGTGGCGGCTGTCCTCTCTTCGCCGCCGTTGTCGAGGGGCCGAGGAAGACTCGACACCGGCTTCCCTGAGACTGAGGTTCCGCACATCTTCTAACATCCTCCTCTCCTCCTCATCCGCACGCCTCTCCTCTCGGGTCCTCTCAGAAAGTTTAAGCTCAGGCAGCACCTGGTCCCCGGGCTTGTACTTCTTGTTCATTTCGTCCGTGTCCGTCTCAGACCTCTTTTTGTCAGGATTTGCCGTGATCAACATATCGAGGAGCGTTGCGACGGTGGCATTGTGCCTTGTGTCGCGCACCGGTGCACGGCATGACGGGCAGGTGAAGATGTTGGTCCCTGCCACGGGGGGGTTCGGAGAGTTCTCGGCCTGGTTTGCCTGGAAAGAGAACCAGTCCTTTAAGCATGCGCCGCAATAAGTGTGCAAGCAGTCGAGGAGAGTCAGAGGCTGGTAAAGGAGCTCGGTGCAGATCTGGGAAGGAATAATTCGGTCAGCATATAAGGAACCCAAAACCCTCTACCACAAGCGCAAATAAGCGCAAAGGTAAAAAATGCCCCTCTACCACTAGAGCGGCGCTACAGGCCAAGGTTCAGACGGACGGGCGGATGACTCACGGAGCACGTCAACTCCCTCTCGAGGTCGAGGCCTGGCTTTGAGGAATCCATGCAGGAACTGCCGCTCCGTGCGATCCCAAGAATGTCGGGCACAAAAGCAATGTCATGGGTTGAGTTGCGCAGGACGGTTGCGAGAGGGGGACATGCTCGTATTAAGAGCGTGGACTGGCTGTCAGGCGGCTTGTCGTGGCGGGGCTTCGAAGGCTAGGCGCGCCCGTGGCCGCTGCAGCAGAGAACACCCTGACGGGCTCACAGGCTCACAGGCTCACAGGCGTGCAGAGAAAGACCCGGTGTGCGGTAAGATGGGTGCGACGGCAGCCCAACCCCACGGTTGGTTCCCGTCCAGCGCCGGCCCCCTCTGACCCCTGCTTCAGAGACACCTGGAGTAGCTCCCAAGCATCGCGGAGCCAATGAGCTGAGGTCGCTGCAAGCCCTCCGCTATCTTTTGGGACGTGCAATCCCCTGCAAGCTCTTAGAAATACGAACCTGATGCCCACCAAAATGGGACATCTTCAGACAGACTCGAAAATCATAGTCTCGGCGTATGGACCGCTTCGAGTCGGAGGCAAAGCCTCTGGGGACACATCAAGGCTCAATTTGCCTGTCTCTGAACCGGATATTCGCCCCAAAATGGACGAGCACGCATGCTGTCACGAGAGGCACTCGAAACAGGTCGTCCCTCATCCTGTGATACACTATCCGTACATGGGCAAAAACAGAACCAAGCGCACTCAGCATTGGGCTGACTGTACCATTGCATCGTCTTATTCACGTCGGGCTGATGGACGGAGTTCCCCGAGGGGCACACTCATTCGCCGAGAATGCTGGTCACACAACATCATGTTTTTTTTTCAGAGTCAGACACCTCGCATACATTTTACTTTATCTGTCGAATACCTTTACGAGTGAGTCCACTCTGCCTTCTTCTTGTCCGCAAATGCCCTCATGCCCACCTTTTGGTCGTTGCTGCCAAACAGGCTGTGGAAGACTCTTCGCTCAAACTCGACACCATCCCGCAGGGCCAGGTCCTGGCTCTTGTTCACAACCTCCTTGCAAGCGTTGATGGCCACCCTCGAGTAGCCAGCAATTGTCTCGGCCGTCTTCAGCGTCTCCTCCATGAGAATTTCATAAGAGGGGTACGCCTTGGCCGCAAGGCCCCACTTCTCGGCGTCGGCTCCGGAGAATGACTTGCCCGTCAGGATCAGCTCCATGGCCTTGGACTTCCCAATGGCCCGGGTCAAGCGCTGGCTGCCTCCGGCGCCGGGGATGGTACCGAGCTTGATCTCGGGCTGGCCAAAGTTGGCCGTCTCGGTGCAATAGAGGACGTCGCACATCATCGACAGCTCGCAGCCTCCACCGAGGGCGTGGCCGGAGACAGCGGCGATGATGGGCTTCTTGATCTGAGTGGTGAGGAGGGACCAAGACTCGATGAAGGACTTGGTGTAAGCCTCGGAAAAGGTGAGAGGGGCCATCTCCTTGATATCGGCACCTGCGGCGAAGGCCTTCTGGGAGCCGGTGAGGATGATGACGGACGTGTCATCCGACTCGTTGAATGCCCTCAGCGCATCGTTGAGCTCGTGAATAAGAGGAGTGCAGAGGGCGTTCAGAGCCTTGGGGCGGTTCAACGTCACTAAAATGGATGACGGTCAGCATTGGGAAATGATGAAGATAGCTACGAGAACAGTCAATCACCTTGACCAACACCAGGCTTGGGCTGGGAGACCTGGATGTATTCATAGGACTTGCTGGCGAACCCCCGCGCAAGTCTAGGCAGCGTCGGGGCCTGCAGCCGCGAAGCGACGGGGCGGAGGTATCTGAGAGAGTTCATGATGACGGAGCTCCAGGTCGTTGGCTTGGGGAACGAGTACAGGTGTGGTGATGCAGTGATTAGAGGAAGCAATTGAATTGGTGACTAGGTTAATAGAATGCTATCAACTGGTAAAGTATCCGCACCGTAAACTGCCACCGAGGGTCAAAGATGAGCTGTGATGTAAGAGATAGGTCAAGGTCGAAGTCAAGGTCAAGCTCTAGCTTACCCAAGCTCTACACAGGTATCCGTACCTACCAAGTCAAGGGATAATAATAGCTGGAAAGCGTCGGCTTTCCGAATGCCGAGGATACAGTCGGTCGAGCGTTGCGCACTGTAACTGCCCCCCGCGTCACAGGCTTAACATGTCTTTAACGCCCCCTGGAGCAACAGGGCCCCACCGCATCCAAGCTTGCGCTGGTTAGCTGTTCCACCACAGCTGGAGTCTGAAAGCTGCGCCACAGGGGCCTCCTCTGGCCCTCTTGGGAGACCCAATCAATCACTGCGCAGCGCAATCCAATCTCTGAGGTGGCCGGATAAGACTCGGGCAAAACAGCATAGGAGACGCGGCGCTGCCCCCAGTTGGAACTGAACAGTCAACCCAAAAATTCGTCCGGACAGATCGCGACAGATCTTCCTACAGCATTCCCATCTTCGCTCCTCACCCCTTTCCACGGGTCAATAGCCGCGCCAACCCACGCCCTATCCTTCAGACCAGCTCCTCGCACGACACCATACGCAGGGTTTCGTCTGCGCATTCATCGCCCAAGATGGACTCCGTCGAGCCGGAACAGACGGCCTTCTCCTCCGTCACAGCACACACCTCGAAGCTACAAAGAGTACGGTTGCCTCAAAATGTGCGATTCTGCCATGCCCTCGTGCTAACGTCATCGCAGCAATACCAGGCGCTCCTTGATCAGTCCACGCCCTATGTGCTCTACAGATGGATCAGCACCGGTGTCTTCCTCCTCATCTTCTTCGCCCGCATCTTTGTGGCGCAAGGCTGGTACATCGTCGCATACGCGCTCGGCATCTACCTGCTCAACCTGTTCCTGGCCTTCCTGCAGCCCAAGTTCGACCCTTCCAACGAGGCGATGGACAATGAGATGGAGGACGGCGGTGTTGGCATTCTCCCTACCAAGCAGGACGAGGAGTTCCGCCCCTTCATCCGCCGCCTCCCCGAGTTTAAATTCTGGTACTGGGCCACCCGCGCCATCCTCATCGGCTTCTTCTGCAGTTGGTGGGAGATCTTCAACGTCCCCGTCTTCTGGCCTGTCCTGGTCATGTACTGGTTCATCCTCTTCTTTTTGACGAGTGCGTAAATCCCTTCCCCTGTTCTTCGCTTCGGGTTTTCTTGGCGCAAACTGACACCTTTATCTCCCAGTGCGCAAGCAGATCCAGCACATGATCAAGTACCGCTACGTTCCCTTCACTTTTGGCAAGAAGAACTACGCCAAGAACAGCTCCTAAACGAGCCCCCAACTTAACGACGCGACGGAATCAAGCGGGTTATATGAGGCAGGTCGTTGTCACGCCTCTCCCCTGTGAAGGCAGGGGCAGATGTGTAAGTCTAGGCACGCAGAAAAATAGACAGTATGCGAGGACAAAATACGCACGCGTTCTGACCAAGTCAGAATGGTGACGGTGGAAAGGGGAATTGTACGTATAAAAGGAAATGACGCTCGAGTATGAGTGCATGGGATGGCTGCGATGGCGAACTACACGGGGCGCATCGGCACGGCCGGGAGCATTTGCCCCGTTGATGAGTGACGGTTTTGCTTTGAAATCATTCATCTCATGCTACATATTGTAATAGAGAGGACAAAATCTGTCTACGATTCTTCATTCCTTCTATAGTTCGAGCTGTTTCACCCTTTGAAGGACCTAGAAAGCTACTGCAGCTAGCGAGGGGTGGGTGCTGTTGGATTCGTCCGATAAAGCTGATAAGGCTCACGGTCCGGGCGCTGGCACAACCAACCGCGAACGTCAGCCTCGTGGAACTTTTCCGGGGCCAGTTGCACCCTCCTTGCCAACGCGACCGCGACCACGACTCTCCGCTCTCAATTGACGAAACCACCCCGTCCTCCTCCAAGCCGACTCACGAATCGTGCGATTGCGGCGCCCTACCATCAAGTTAGATATACACGATGTCATCCTCGGCGCCTCGCGGCGGCGAGCGCATGATCCATCAGGATTTCATTGCCAGGATCCGCTACTCCAACGCCCTCCCGCCTCCTCCCAACCCGCCCAAGCTGCTCGACATCCCGAACACTGGCCTGGCTAGCGGCCAGTACACAACTCCCGGGTTTGCGTCGCGTCTGGCGAGAGAGCAGCCGCTGAATATTGAGGTCGACGCGGAACTCGGCATGCCCTTGGACCTGGTGGGCATGCCAGGCATCTTTGATGGGGACGAGAGCTGTAAGCGCGACCGCATCCTGTTCAAGAGCCAGGGACTAATCTCCTGCCAGCTATCCAGGCATCTTCGCACCCACCTGCCGTCCATCCCCACGACAGAGCACTTCTCAGGCCGCTCTCTACTCTGGGCCGAGCTAAGAGCAACGCCGACGCATCAGTCTCCTTCCTGCGAAGAACCGAATACATCTCCTCCGTGGCCCCTAGGAAAGCGGTCGCTACGGGAGCTTTCATCAACCCCAAGATCAAGCGCACGGAGAAGCGCCGCTCTCCCGAGCCTGACAAAGACTCTCCAGCAGCCATCAGGCGCAAGATCGAGAAGAGTTTCGAGAGCGCCGAGCGCTTCCTCAGCAACCCAAGCCGCCACCGCCATCCCAGCAAGCCCCACGTCCACCTCACCTCCTCGTACCCTCTGTTGCCCGATCACGACGCGTTCCCCGACTCGGGCGCGTACGTTACCGTCAAGCTCCTCACAAACCCCGTGGCCAGCGCCAACAAGTACGACCGCCGCCTGCTCAGCGGTCTGCTGCGTCCTCTAGACCGGAGCCCGGAGGAGAACGAGGCCTTCCAAGCTGCCCTCGAGGCTCACGAGCGCGACCCCGCTCGCAATCCCAAGCCTGCCAACCTGATGGACTACAGCTTCTTCCTCCCCAAGACCCAGACCACGGGCGACAACTTCCGGGCGAAGTTCGACCCGGAGAACCCCGACCACGACGACGATTCGCTCTACACATACCAGAGCGGTTCCAACGGCTGCTTCCAGTTCTCCCGTCTCCGCGCGTATGAAACGACCAAAGAGACGGAACTGGACCACAACTCCAAATACAGCGAGGAAGTCATCCTCGCGTTCAATGACGAGCTCTCAGGCAGCAAGCAGAAGGCCGCCTACTACTACCCGGTCATCCAGCGTACCACCATTCGTCCCCAGCGTGCCAAGAACATTGCCCGCACTCTGAGCCATATGGATGATGAAACGCAGGTTGTTAACGAGGTTGAAGTGAGCGTCACTGACCCCAAGGGAGCGCCTCGCGAAAACATGAGGCGGTACAAGGAGAAGCCGATCGGCTATGTAGAGGAGGTCCAGGACCCCTTCCCTTCTGCCGAGGGCGGTGGCGAGGGCGCTGCCCCTGGAACGCCCTCGGACCGGGATGCCGATGGAGATGAGGATGAGGACTAAGAGGGTGAAAGTAAGCAAGGAGGTGTGAAGTTCATCACATGACATAGTACGTTGCTGGGGAAAAGCGGAAGGTCATGACAGCATTGAAAGCAATTTCAACACATATCAATGGGGTTTTGCACAATCGGCCGCCCCCTGTAAACCATTTGGCGTTTGGGTGCGATGGAGAAACGGCCCTTGGTGGTGAACAACTAGACAGAAAGGAGATGCAGTAATCACACGGACGAAATGTGCTGCTTGGTTTGTGCCGTAACACGATTCGACTAGGACCGACGTGACATGCAGCGTGAAGAGTGCGAGACGCCCTTGCAGTCGAATGGCTGAGGATCGCGTGCATCTCATCCGCTCGCAAAAGAAGACGTGATACTGAGGGGGGGAGGTACAAGCCCCGTCGAAGGGTTTAGACGTATTCTTGAATTCAAGATTCACGCCACCCTCTCCGGGAGTCAATAAATCAGGTCATGATATCAATTAGGTGTATACAGCCTCTATATAGTTAGCCCAGGGAGACACAGTGGCGGTTCCTTTATCCACCAACCAGCCCATCCAGTCTTCCCCGCCCACATCATACAATCCCCCCTCTCGTAACGGACATACCCTGAGAATGGTTGTCGAGAATTCATCCCTTCCGCGAGATGTACAAAATGCTTTTTTCCCCCTCCAAAGAAACAGACGACGCGGTCCCTGCATACCTTGAACTCGCCCAGTCCCGGTTCATATAATGTAACAGAAAGGATGACCCCCTTTCTTCTCTCACGCTCTTCCTCTTTTTTTTTGTTCTTTTTTTGGGAACAGATATACAGATATACAAATGTCTCATTATCACATTCGAAACCACCGCGGCGATCGGGGAGACTCGTCTGACGTGGAGTCGCCCCCCTTGGGGTGTTCACGCCGGCGGTTGCGGCGAGGCTCCGACGGAGAAGCCAATGGTGTCTCTCTTATCGTCGATAACGCGGCCGTATCTGCGGGGGTAGGGTCAGTACTGCAATCCCATGTTGACAAAGATAGCTGGCGGGGGCTACTCACTCCAAGAGGAGGCGGAAGAACCACACCTCCATGTCCTCTTTGCGGAGCACCTTGTTCGCCCACTCGCGGCTGCTGATGGCCATGCGCTCCGCCTCGTTGCGGCCCAGCGCGCCGTCGCCGAAGAAGCGCACGGCCTCGAGCCAGTCGTCGCCCTGCAGGCTCAGGGGCACGTAATGCGCCCAGGGGCGCAGCCACTCAAAGTGCCACTCGCGGAAGATGGCGAACTTGAAGACAAGAGAGCGCGACTGTAGGAAGGCGTAGAAGCGGCCCGAGAAGGCGTTACCGTCCATGTCGAGGAGGTACTTGTACTTCCAGGCGTCCTGCTGCTCGGCATGGCCCTGGACCTTAAAAAACTCCTTCTGCGCGTCGCAGTCGCCCGGGTCACACTGCCCGACGTGCGAGAAGTAGACGTCGATAATGTCGCGGTAGTCGCCGCGGGGCACCTCCTTCACTTCCCACTTGTGGTTCTTCTCGTCGCCGCGATTGGTGTATACCTTGGCCTGGTCGGCGGCGTTGATCTTTTGCACAAAGTGCTGGCGGTGCTGACGGCGCCAGCCACCGTTGCGCGAGAAGCCGCCCGTCGTGGAGCCGCGCCAGTAGAGGCGGTCCTGCTTCTGCTCCCAGGGCATGTCCTTAGACTCGTCGTAGGCGACCTTCTTATACCAGTACCAGGGTGAGGGGTAGAGGATGTCGTTGTAAGACGAGATCTTGGACTGCGAGAAGATGGGGAAGAGATCGTGAACGATGTTATATGCGTTGGGGCGGTCGAAGAAGCCATAGGTCGAGCTGAGAGAGGGCGAGAGGCAGATGTCGGACATAGCCGTGATATTGTAGACGAAGCCCAGCTCGCTGATGCCGTACCTGCTCCGATCGTCCGAGAGCTCGTCCTCGTCGATGCCGCGGGCGGGGGTGTCGGGTGGACAGGACATACGGGAGTGTGTCCAGGTCGCCTGATGGGCGAAGACGTTGAAGCGGGTCTGTTTGTACTCAACGATGATGTTGCCCTCGCTCAGATCGCCCGCGCGCTTTGTAAAGGCGTTCTCGGGGTTCACGGCCGCGTTTGCCTTGGGCATGTTGACATCCTTGGCGCGGCTGACGAGGCGGGTGAGGTCCTCGTGGGGAACGACGACGCGCGGCTCGTCATGGATGTTGAAGGCGAGGTCCATGCTGGGCAGGTACTCAATGAACTTCTCAATCATGCCCGAAGTGGCGTCGCGCTGCCAGTCCTGTCCGCCCTGGATGTGTGATATCTTTTGGTCCCGGATCAGAAGACCAATCAGGTTGTTGTCGAAGCCCAGCGCCTCTCTGGCGCGCTCCCGTATCGTCGCCGGCTTCAGGCCCCAGAAGGGCGTGAGCATCTCGTTTATCATGTCGAACTCGTCGACGAGCTGCACGCCGTTCGCCTTTGCGAACTCGAACCATTTGTCGAAGTGCGGTGGGGGCGGGATGCCGTAGCGCCTCCTATACTCCTTGACGGCGTCCTCGAGCGTCTTGGACTGGCGCTTCAGTGTATCTTGGAAGTCCTTCTCGGCGCCCGTCATGAGGTGCCACATGGGGTGCGAGCCGGTGCCGGAGGCGGGTTTCGGTCGTCTGTCGGGAGCAGGGCCGCTGCCGTTGGCAGCATCGTCGCCGGCGGGTTTCGGGGGGTCTTGCGGGGGTGGAGGTGGCTTCACGGAGCCTGGAATGACAGCTATCGGTCGCTTTTCGGGCGGCAGTCTGAATATCGTGTATGCACATATCGTCAGGAAGGCGATGAGGCCGACCACCGTCCACTGGCGACGGCGCATGGTGATGGTATCGCCGCCTGCGTCGTTATCGGGGTGTGTCGTCGAGGGCTTCCGAAGGTGGAAGCCAGTTGTGTTGCCTCGTCGTCCTTATGCGTCAATGGGTTCCAAAAAGAGAGGGGAATGAAATCAGCGCCTCATTGCAATGGGAAGCTTGGAGCACTCGCGAAACGTTGCAGCCCTCGTTATACAAGGTGTTGTAGCGACCGTAACATGTGCTTTCCAAGTGCCAGTCGTAGCTATTGCTAGGTACCTAAACTAGGAAGCTGTAACACATCAACTGGGTCGCACCGGATTGACAGGGGTTATAATTGGACATTCCCGAGCAGGGGGAGTTTGGTATTCGCACTCTTACAAGGTTATGTTCTCATAGGGAAGGCACCGACAGTTATCAGCTTTTTTCTATTGAGGTCTTTCCTCATTGATCCAGGTACAGACTGTGGCGTAAGTCTCAGTTGTAGGCGTTGGAAGCCAAGGTCGGTTTTGAATGGTCTCTCACTTACATGCTGATAATCCAGCTTTTCGGTAGCTTCGCCCAGCGACTAGCGCATGTGCCCAGTCGAACTAAAAGTTCAAAAACTGGAATGGGGCAAGGACTTAGTTGGGTAGAACTTGCTCCCCAGAGCTGGATCGGTTTGCGGAAGAAGAAAGGCATTCATTTGGAGAACTGAAGTGCCAGCAGAGAAGCGCCTCCATGATTCTCGCCCAAATCTCGATCTCGTTGAGGAATGATGAAGGCACCCTCGAAGGTGTTAGCTTCCGTAATTCAAAGCCATCTATAACTACGTGACAACTCTACTTCGGCCCTGCACAGTAGTAAATTGACGATGACATCTCATCAAACATCCGCTAGTAGATGCGCTCACTCCCCTTTACAAAGTAAACCCGTACGTGGTACCATATCTAATGTCTTTCTACATTACGTGTAAGTCACTCTTTTTCAAATGAGTGCAGATAAGCAGAAGATGACATTTATGAGAGTGTCGGGCAGGAAGGCTGCAGCTTTGACAGTGAAGAAGCAAACATGAATTCCTAGCGGGGTTGCTCGGCCCGCGAGCCGGTGTAGGCAAACAGGCGTATCCTCTCGGAGTACGACTAATTTGACGTAGGCGATTTGTTGATTTGACGTATCTAACCGCATTTGGTAGCTTCGCCACGCAGCCACAACAGGCCTATGCTTACAAAAGTACTGCCTCCCCGAAGGTACAAAACGGCTCCGCCGGGGAGGGTTGGAATGGTCTATCCCACCCTGCTTCCTACGCCGCGCTCCGGGTCGGGATAGGCCAAGACCATCCCTTTCTTTTTGCCCATCTTATGCCTATTTTTTGCCTATTTTCTTTACCTCTGTTTTTTGCCTCTAGGTTTTGCCTAGCTTGTACTGTAATCTTAAAGTATATTAAGACTTTGTGGGTAGGCCCACTGTGTGGCTGTGGCTGTGGGCTTCTTGCTTAAAGGGGTTTAGATACGTCAAATCAACAAATCGCCTACGTCAAATTAGCCGTACTCATCCTCTCGCGAGATTAGGATAAAGCTATAAAACAGGCTAACGGTAAGGAGCATAGCGCTCACCATAAGGGGTATAGTGTGCTGGCAGAATCGGGGATTTAGTAATGGCAAAAGCAGGGTCAGTTGCATACGTAAGCAGTAAGTTAAGTGGGTAGATAGGAACATAAGGTAGTGGATGGTCAGACCGCCTTATGAAGTCGGCCTAGCGCTGTAGATTTCCGCTAGCTGATTTAGGATACTGATTAGCCACATCTGGCTAGGCGGCTCTCTAGCTTCATCCTAATCTCGCGAGAGGATACGGTAGTCGTGTTGGCCAAGGAACAAATACCCGCCGTCACAAAAAAAAAACCCCCCGAACTATATGTGCTCAAGTCTAAGATTTCAAAGCATTGCACAGCTGCATTGCATCAACGAGCTCTCACGTGGAGGGCCTCACGGTTACGGCCGAGACCACAAGCGGGCATGGAGCGGAGCAAAAAAAATGTCTCGAGATATCGCAAATATGCACGACATATTTGCACCGCACCGTTGTGCCATCACGTGGGACGTGGCCGCAGAACGGGCCGGGAACCTCTTACCGTTTCGGGTAGTAAGGTGAGGCCTAAGACGAATCATCCGCGAGGCTTCAGCAAAGGCTTGCGTTGGGTGAGAACCCAGAGATTACCATCCACATATTCTTCCTCAGGAAGACCTGATTAGGGGCAAGTAGCTACTCGAACCATTTCTGGAGATAAAAAGCAGGCGTCTGTATAATGGTGTGAAGATGCTAATAACACCGGGAGTATGGTTATGAACAACGTGGTCTTGACTCGGTATCTGGTTCCCATTGAGATCAGCTCCTATAAAACGAAATGCCAATAGACTGAACCTGTACAGTCCCCCCATCCATTGTGTTATTCTCGGCCCGTTACAGTTGAAATGGGATGAGGTGGGTCATCCCTCTTATCAGCAGTCAGGCTTCGGGCACGACAACGCTCTAAGATAGCCTTGGAGATGGCAGCGATTATGGATTTCATGCTGAAAAAAAATCAATTTGCCATTAAATTTTGCGGTTAATCAGACCTACCACCTATACAACATCCGTATCAGCTCACAAGGAATGACTTTGTATGTCACAGAACGAGAGGAAGGGGCAGTTCAGAGCGACGACCAGGCACCGAGATAAGGTTGTCCAAGCCGGCTCTGAATCACCTCTGAAGCTAGCCTCGAAACAAGACAAATGACATGTATTCGTCTGCTGTGCCACTTGCCGATGGTCCTGATGGTGGCGTTCAAGCATTCAAGACTGATGCGAACCTTCGGCTGGTGTCAGAACAGAGCATTCCTAGGTTAAGGATTCATCCCGAACTCGTCCAAGGCTGACGCCAGGCTGATGATAGCTAGATGAACAAGCCTTCGATTGTAAGGTGGCTTGAATGCACAGCGTTGAGGCGGCATTCGTGGTTAGGATGGGCGGATGTCAGTAGATCAGGAATAAGCTTATTCGATCTCCCACCACAGGCGCAGCGTAGGAACAGGTTCTCAGCACACGGTCAATGGCAGCGCAGTGTGACCAGCTGAGGTAATCAACTAGTGCACGGACCACGACATACCCCCTGCGCCCACCCCCGTCATCCGCCCCAAACCAGCCCCGGATATGATATGCGCGCGGCGCGTGGTCATCAACTTGTCCCCCCATCTGACTGGACGACAGCAATCTGGTGAACGGCGCACATGATTGCTTGTCTCTCTCGTTTCCATTCTTCGATCAACGCACCCGGCTCTCATCGTATACGTGGTTCCTTGCGAGACGGATACCCTTGTAATAGTGGAGAGTGGAGTGTTTCGACCTTTGCTGTAGCTGCTTCAACTGGTCCACGGAACCGCCGCATGCGAGCAGTGAACCGGGGAGGGGAAGACATCGACAAGGTTCACCGACGACGCAGCGGGCACTCCAAACCTCGGGCGGCCGGCGACGAGGGCTAGCTTTCTTCGACGACACATCAGTTCTTCCCTTCCATAGCGAGTCTCGCCGCGATCGACTGCAACAACAGCACCGGAGCACCACCCGGACTCCCGAATAACTGCACGACGGCGGTTCGCTCTCTCTCCTGTTGAGCTGCACCTTCATCTCTATACTTACACCGACGTCCCGAAAGGGCAACGACACAGTCCGAGATGGAACGCATCAGGGAATTGCTGGGGAAGCACCACAAGCCGGACCGCCAGGAATATGAGCCCCTGGCGGAGGAGGGCCGCGAGCTCGACGGCTCCGCCCCGATGGAAGGCCAGGAGGAGGTGCCCTTCTCCTGGTCCGAGTACATCATGTTCGCCTGGCTAGGAATGGCGATGCTATGGGCATGGTACGTTGGCGTGTTTTCTCTTGTCGCTTCATCCCCTCCTTCTTTCTAGGTGCGCGTGCGACTAACAGTCTATGTCTCCAGGAACATGTTCCTCGCCGCAGCCCCCTACTTCCACGTCCGCTTCCAGTCCGACGCCTGGATCTCGCAAAACTTCCAGTCGGCCATCCTCACCGTCTCGACGCTGACCAACCTCACGGCCATGCTGATTCTCACAAACATACAGTACGCGGCCTCGTACCCTTTCCGCATTAACCTCGCCCTCCTGCTCAACTGTATCATCTTCTCCCTCCTGACGGCCTCCACCTCCCTCGCCCTCGACGCCTCCCCGTCTGCCTACCTCGCCTTCATCCTCCTCATGGTCGCCTCGAGCTCATGGGCCACCGGTCTCATCCAGAACGGCGCCTTCGCCTTCGCCGCCTCATTCGGCCGCCCGGAATACATGCAGGCTCTCATGGCCGGCCAGGGCGTCGCGGGGGTGCTGCCCCCGATTGCGCAGGTTGTCACCGTCCTAACCGTCCCGGAGAAAGCCGCCGGCGCAGAGGACGACGCCGGGTCCCTGAGCTCCTCGGCGTTTGTCTACTTCCTCGCCGCCGTCGCCGTGTCCGTCTCAGCCCTCGTGGCCTTTGTCCCGCTTGTCCAACGCCACAACCGCATCGTCGAGAATCGCATGGTTGAGCACATGGCCGAGTCCCTGACCTCGGTCGAAGAGGCCGAGCGCGCCGCCCGCAAGGTCGTCTCCCCGCTCCGCCTCCTAAAGAAGCTGCACTGGCTTGCGAGCGCCATCTTCCTGTGCTTCGCCGTCGCCATGTTCTTCCCCGTCTTCACCACCAAGATCCTCTCGGTGCACTACCCCGGCGACGAAAAGGCCCCCGCCGGGTCCCTCTTCCGCCCCGCGGCCTTCATCCCGCTCGCCTTCTTCGTTTGGAACCTGGGCGACCTTTCGGGCCGCATGGCCACGATCCTACCCTTCTCCCTGCGCCACCGGCCCGCGGCGCTCTTCGCCGTCAGCCTCGCGCGCATGGGCTTCCTGCCCATGTACCTGCTCTGCAACATCGGTGGCCGCGGCGCCGCCGTCAACAGCGACTTCTTCTACCTCGTTATCGTCCAGTTTCTCTTCGGCCTGACTAACGGCTGGCTGGGCTCGAGCTGCATGATGGCGGCCGGCGAGTGGGTCGAGGAGGGCGAACGCGAGGCGACGGGCGGATTCATGGGCCTGTGCCTCGTCGCCGGGCTGACGACGGGGAGTCTTTTGAGCTTCACGGTCGGCAGCATTTAGATAGATTCATGCATTGGAAATGGCGTTACGGGCGTTTATGAATAGTCCGCCCACGTTGCGTTGACTTGGGCGGGGTTTCGAGGGACGGGGCATGACGATAACCCTGATGATAGTTATAAAAGTTGGAATAGACCGCTTTACCACGTACAATCTTGCCAGGTTTCGCTTGGCACGCTGCCGATACAGACGCCGCGACTTGGAGGTGATTATCCATCTGCTCTATGATTTCTTCCCTCTTTCGTCTTTGCCGGCCTCATTGGTCTCTTTGCTATCTCTGCCGGCCCTTCAAGTACCAGAGCGGGGGAAATACAGTGGGACGACAGGCAAGGAAGAGTAGAGTGGGATGACGACACTCACAACCCTGGGCAGACCAAAAGGCCTCCTACGCGCTCATGACCTGTCACCAATACTTTGGCGTTTTTAATGAGTAGTCGCTGTCGAATTATATTACGCTTTAATACACAATCGGTATACACTGTTGTACAGATGCGACGGCTTCTATCGCTCATGCCTGGAGGGCGCAGTTCTTCATGCCCCCGCGACCCGTGTACCACCCTTCGTCGATTAAGGCCTGTTCCTTATCCCGCCATTCATTGATCTTCCAATCCGCATTCTTTTTGTCGAGATCGGCAAGTTTCGCCTCGAAGGACTCCGCCACGACAGTCTCATGGCCGCCGACGTCCTTGACCCTGTATCGCATGAAGAGGGAGCAGTCGCGCAGCGTCATTGCCGTGCAGAACTCTTTATCGTTCTTGCTTGCCAGCAGTGGTCCGCGAAGATCCTTCGCCAACTGGTGTTTCTTCAAGAGCGTGAGAATAGACGTCTTTTTCAGGAGCTCGTAGAGGGTGGAGGCGTGCTTGTTGTCTCCGAGGCTGCTGTTCTGGAACAAGCGTCGAAGGGCCTTCTGCCGCCCTCCTTCTTTCCCACCAGGTGTCTCTCGCTCGGGATCTAGCCACAGGGGGCAGGGGTAGTCCTGCGGGTTCAAGCCTCGGTCTTTGCCGCCGGAAAACTTTTTGGCCGCAAGCGCGCAGCATCTGCACGTGTTGGCGTCTTTAGGGGCCGATGGCGACTGGGCCAGCCACTTTGGCTTGAACTCGACGACGCGCTCGTCATCGCTTCTCGCGCGCATGCTCTCGACCATGAGGACCAAATCCCACCCAGCAATCTTGTCGCCTCGAAATTTGGCTGGCCGCAATCTCGACCCGGGTGGTCCCGTTTCCAAGCTTTTCAGCACTCTGCGGAGGTGAAAGATGGCTTCAGAGTGTATCCTGGCCCACGTCACTTCCGCCAACATATCCGCGCGGTAGGTAAATAGAGGAGCGATTGTTTCCCAGAAATACTGGTACTGCTCTGCTGGGTGGTAGAAGGGCTTAGCGGGGTCTTTATTTGCCTTTGGCACCCTCAATAGAAACTCTGAGACGTGCTGTGTTAGCAAAGTTGGGTCGCCATTTCTGAGCGGGGAAACATGAACTGACTGGTCAACAGGTCGGCCTCGGTCCTGTCGCTCTCATGCTGTCGTTCATATTTTGTGTAGAGGAACGCGATGAACAAGACGTTGGCGGCACCTTCGCCGACATATATAGCGTGCGTCCAGGGCCTAACGTGGACCTGATCGGTTACCATCACCTGTATCGAGAACACCTTGCCCGAAGGGCTGTGTAACAGGGGTACATCTTTGGCAGTCGGCAGCTCTGCCGAGGACATGCGGGCAGTCAGGTCAGTAGGAATAGTCAAAAGTTTGGCCATGTCGAGGAACGAGCAATGAACACCCCCCTTATGCGATGGTGGTGTCTTGCTGTTCGAAGTGTTCCAACCAGAAATGCGTAGGCTAGGCAAATATAAGTCAAATATTCCTCGATGGAACGAAGAGGATAGGGCAATCGTTACCACTTTGGAGAGGCGACCGTGTTGATAGAAGATGATGGCTTGACAAAGGCGGGATATATGCCCATGGTGAGTAGCAAGCTTAGTTGGAAGAGCGGCCGACGAGATGTAGCTCAGGGACCCTTCTCAGCTGAAAGGATGGCTTACTCCAACCCAACCGAGGCCACCAAGAGATTCCGCACGCGCACTTTCTTCCCCCCAGGATGATGTCTCGTGAGCACCTTCTCCTGTCCCAGCTGCTTCCTGCCCTGCCGGATTGGGAATTGAACTCGGTCTGCGGAGCCAAGAAAGCAACAAGGGTTGTGCGCCTCACAGAAACGTAGAGAGGTACGTAGCCAAGGTGATTTGTGGCTTCCACCTGCATATGGCAAAGTCGAACGCTGCGTGTCAAAAGGTGCGTAGCAGCGTTGGTTGCCTTGCCCTGTGGTTTTCTGGGGTATGCAGGATTTGAGTGATGGCAACAAGGCTCCATTTGATGGCTGTTGCAGTGTTGCAACGGAGCGGCCCTCACTCTCTGCCCTACCCCCCCTCTGTCTCTCGCGTGCGCTTTTCTAGATTTTGCTGTTCTTTTCGAAGTCAGCGGTATCCCAGGATGACGACAGACTTTCCCCTTCGGGTGTGGAGCGAAAAAGTTGGCGTTGGCGCGCTGGGTAAGCTGGGAGACGCTTCCGTCAACACCATTGGTACCCTGAGGAAAGGTAACGGCGGCAGACAGGCAAGTTCCTTGGTTCAGCAGAGGGCACTGATGAGGTGGCCAATGACTCTTGTGTCTTCCCGCACCCGCAACAAGACGCTTCTGTCACGGCTCCTTTGTCACGACTTTGGGCTTTTAAGAGCCGTTGGACAGGACGAGGTTGCGGCAACGCCTCGAGCCGTGTTACGCAAGTCTTACCCCACAGTCTCGCGAGAGGTTGGTTTTGTCTCCCAATATCCGGTTGCAGTCTGCAGAGGGAACTCAGGGATACTTAGAGCGTCCCAGACTTTGGTCAGGAATCTCATCCGATGATTTGCTGCGGCACGCGTCGAGCCCCACAGGCTTGGCGTGAATCATGAAATGCCATGGAAAGAAAAGAAGAAAGAAGGAAAAAAAAGGGCGGGGTCTTGGGATTGTTGCATTGCCGACGACGGGCGGTTCGTCGGCCGGATTGAGCCGGAGGAGGGCCGAACACATTGGCATGTGCAGCGCGCGAGTGGATGGGATTTCTTCGCTTGGCTGCCCCAACGCTTGTCAAAGAGCCTGCACCGTAGAGCATTGCGTCGTCTTCTCCTGGCTTTGGTCGCTCGTTGGCTCCCTTCCTCCATTGCGCGGGGCATTGCGGAGAGAAGAGGGCCAAGGGACTGGAGCAGGAAAATTATGTGGGGAGAAGGGGAGGGGATGAAGGTATTGGACGCGAGACTGACAGCAAAAGGGAAAGAACCGGCATTGACGCCGGCTCTGGGCAGATCACAGCTGACAGTCAGTATCGGTCATGGCAACGGATCAGGCCTGGACGGGGGCAGCGGCCGGGAGAGCGGACATGCTGCTGGATCCGATAGCCGTTGCAGCGCCGTGATTTGATGGCCATAGATACCCTCCCCCTGCCCTGCAACGAAGACGGACCTCAGTGGATGATGGCTCGCTCTAAGAGCATCGGACAAGGACGTGCCAGTTTGGTTGCCAGATTGAACCTTCATGCAAACGTACCCGCCCCAAGTAGATGGGGATCGTTCTCAATGCATTCGCGAAGCCTTGGTATTGCGTCAAATCCAAGAATGGCTGATGGTCACTTGCTTAATTATGTTCTGATGTCGGACCACATGTCTGTCGACGTCGTCCCATCTTTCGCTGACAGTCCACCAGTCCCTCGTGATCGGCCCCCAACAGCAATCAACGATCCTGTGTGATGCGATGGTTCCTCCCCGGCGGAGCGCGGGCCAAATGGCAGCACTCCAAAGGGCTGAAAGTGAACGGCCCAGATCTCGCTAGAGGTTGTTTGCGACCACCCTCGATCCCCTGCCGGATGGTTCGCGCGCTTGTGGACACGACAGGCGCCAACTCTAAATCGGCCACCGTCTTTTCGGGGTTGTGAGATTTGGCAGGCGCATCTTTCGGCTCATCGTCGGGCATCTGCGTGAGGGTGATCTGGTGATAACTTGGGGCTTCAGCTGGCAGATGGTGCCTTGCCTTGAATGGCCGATGGCAGACCTCGGGTGATTCGCATTGAAGGCCAATCTGCCTTCACCTGTAACATTCACAAGCAAAACAACCCCCCCGGCCATGTAATGAACCAACCAGGCCCAGCAGCGGCGCTAGGGGCTTCCGGCGCATAGCTCATGAACTCGTTGGAGGGCTGTTGTTATTATTATTTTGTTGGGGTGTTGTGGGCGCACGTTTGTGAGTAACTGTCAAGAAACGGTGTGAAAGGCAGGGTGAGGTTGCAGCTTCCTTCGGAAATAGTGGGACCACCCCCATCCGGACCCTCCCTTTCCCTCGCTCCTTTTCGTTGAACCGTGGCTTAGGAGGGGGGCGCCTGTCACGCTGCAGGCCGTTACAGCGCTTGTGTGCCACTGAAGCATGCCCACCGCCCAAAGGCCCTCTCAGCTCCTCCTGCACGCGACACTAGGTAGTAAAGCCCCCACCCCCCGGCAGAAATATCCTTACTACTATGTACTAGTATGCAGAGTGTCAGAAATTTTGCAGTAAGGGAAAATTTCGCGCCAAGGCCGCACCACACCGCACCATCCTAAACTCCGAATATTCCCTTTGCTTCCCGAAGAGCAAGCCACAGCCCATAGCGCCGTCGTAATAGCACACCGACCAGCGTCATCCGCCCGAAAACGCACACACGTCCTCCAGCTCAGCTTGCTACCACACACCCACTGCATCTACCTTTACAACATCAACCCGCCTTCAACCTTTCCCTCCTTCTCCTCCCCCAGATTATCTACAGCTCTTTCCCCGGACTTCCTATCATATAATTGCATCTGCTCCTCAACGAGTCCGTCCTGCTACTACCCCATCCCTCCGAACCACATACCATCGCCGATCTTCCGTCATCCACTGCGAAGCCAAGAAAATATATCCCAATCGAACCTCTCCCTACAGTCGACTCGGCCTTCCGGCCTCCAACACCTCACCCTTCGATGGTTGGCCGCAGTTAAAGCCATTTCAACATGGCCTTCAACTTCAACTGGTCGCCGCTCACAGCCGATGCTGAGTTCTACCAGCGCGCCCGAGAGATGCTCACAACCGCCCTGAACAAGTCGCCGAAGCCCCCGATTATTGTCGATGACATCCTCGTTACCGAGTTCAACTTGGGCTCCGTGCCCCCGGAGCTGGAAATCCTAGAGATTGGCGACATTGCCGAGGACCGCTTTCGTGGCATCTTCAAGATGTGCTACTCCGGTGACGCCTTCTTGACGCTGAAAACCAGAGTTCAGGTATGCCCGGTGGTTTTTTCCCCTTCCCCAAGCGACCATCCCTCTGCTATGCAGGCTCTCCGAGGCAAAGGTCGGTTTCGCAGCCGCGGCAATGAGCTCACCGTCGCTCACACCCCGTCCCCATACACGACCGCGCCCTCGCTCTCGTTCCAGCGGGAAAGCCTTCCTGTCCCGCCATCCCAGCTCCACGCCAGTGCCTGGAATGTCCGGATCCCCTTCATCCCCGAAGCCGAGACAGCACCAAGTGATGTTTCCTCAAAGACATCGTCAATTCGCCAATCCCAAACATTATTTCCACCTCGCAGATGCCTTCCACAAACTTTGAGCCATATATCCCGTCCTTTGTTTTTCCCTCAGCAACCATTCCCCCCCTACATGCACCTCCGCATTGAAGATGAAATTGTCTGGCCGGGATTCGCGTTCCTGGTTACCTCTCTTCGGCACTCGCGAAAAAGGACGTGCGTCATAGCAGTGCTAATATATCAACAAACAGGCAAATCCTCTGAACACCTACCTGTCTTCTAAGCCGGGGTTCACATCACCCCAACCATTGGCGGCGGCATCGGGTCTCACTATTCCGCTGTCAATAACACTCTCCGAGATCAAGCTTTCGGCTTTTATCATCCTAGTCTTCTCCAGGCAAAAAGGGCTGACCCTGGTCTTCCGGAATGACCCACTCGAATCGCTCAAGGTCTCCTCGACCTTTGATTCGATCCAGTTCGTGCGCGATTATCTCCAGCGCACTATTGAGGCACAGCTGAGGAATCTGATGATGGATGAACTCCCGGCCATTATCCACCGCCTGTCGCTGCGCTTGTGGTGTCCCGACTCGCTGCCGAAGGAGGATGAGACGCCTAAGGAGGACGCCGAGGAAACCGAGGTCTACCCCTTGGCGAGCCCACCGTTGGATCCCGTTGATGCCAACGGCAACCTTCTCGACGCCAACGAAGTTTCGTCGCTGTCGCTTGAAGGAGGGCCGGAGGTTCAGTCGCTCTTCTCCCAGAAGAACCTGCTGAGACTTGCTGCTCTGAACGACTCCCACCGGACCTTCTCCCTCTTCACCCCAGGCATCCGCGATGTCGTGTTCCGAGCCTGGACCGGACCTGCAGTGTCCGAGCCTACTAGCACGCCGCCGACCGCGACGCCCAGCTTGTCCAAGACCAACTCCTTCCATGGAACTTCCACCACATACACCTTCTCCGACACTGGCAGCGCCTCTCATGGCCACCTCCCGTCTCGACCTTCGATGGTGAGTCTCAATTCGGCCACCACCGGATTGTCACTGGGTGCCGGTATCAGATCCAAGTCGTATGCTGGTCGGAAGAAGAAGACCAGAGTGGTCAACCTCCGACGGTCTAAGAGCGAGGTCGGCGAGACTCCAGAAGACAGCGAGACTCAGTCAGAGATGGCGTCCGAAACTGCTTCTGTCGCCGGCCCTTCCACCGAGCCCCTCATGGCTAGCTCTATTGCTGAGGATCCCGAGGAGGAAGAGGCCCTTGCGAACTTGGCAGAGTCAACCCCTAGTAAGGTCCGCTTCGGCCCCATGGAGAAGACCCGTTTCCCCTCCAGACCCCCCTTGCAGCCGAACTTCTATACCGCGCCCAAGGATGTCCCGAGCGTGCCCATCAAGCTGGACAGCACCCGGAAAGCCGAGGCTGCCGCTCAGCCTCAATCTCAGACAGCCAAGGAGGCGGGAGCTTTCCCTAGTGAGAAAGCCAACGCGGAGAAGCAGCCCAATGGCGACTCTTCCGAGACCTCGACTGTTTACGAACAGGCTTGGATCATGAAGATGGCTGGCGAGATTGCCCGTCGCGTCTACGACGAGAAGAGCCGCCATCCGGACCTCTGGGACGAGCGGGAAGACATCCCGCCTCCGGCCTATGAGGCATCCGCATAAAATCATTTGCTCATTCGGGCAGATGTTTTGCCGTACAAACTGTACAAAAACATCACCACATATCCACTTTGCTGGACTACATCTCCTTTCCGTCCGTTCCATCACTTCCTCCTCGCATGGCGTTATGGAGAACCTCTTTTCATCGTTTGATCGTTTTTTGTTGTGGGAAATGAGTCGGTCGAAGAGATCATACACTTTGTTTCCCACTTTTTTTTATTGTTAATGTTTGGGTACCGCATGGCGTTCGAACAGGAAACCCAGAGAGGGTGATTAGGGTTGAGGGTCATCGGCATCTTAAAAAAGAATGGGATCGAATCGGAGAAGCACGGCCTCTTCTCTGAACTTTTTGGATTCGGGTTGGGATCACCAAGAACGGGAGGCCTACCAACCAAGCAAACTAGTCATGCGACTGATGATTTGGAGAGAAACGGCCTCAGCTCATGACACATTGAGAACGGGTCGTTTCCACAACACAACTATACAAAAGTTATCAGCGCTGCTTTTTTTTTTTACATCAAGGGCCCGCCTGCCGAGGCGCACGCGCACACGTCCTTGAACACAACCAAGCCACTTGTTTCCTTTGTCCTTGATTTTCTTTTTTTAGATCGTCTGCTGCAGAAACATCCTCACCGGATGAAAGCCCCCAGATGGTTGGGATTGCGGATGGGTAGAGCTGGTGTGTACAACACAGCGGAGAAGGAAGGGGTTTCATCTTTGACACTGGATGGATTTCTACAAAAGGAGGAAGACGGTGGTGGAAGATGGAAATATCGTGGATACCATCACTACATTTCATTGTTCGTGCGAATCAGGCCTGACTCGGAGACCGAGCTCCATGGCAGTAAACCCATGTCAATTCGACATGTTGGAAAAATACAAACACTCCCATCTTCTATTCATACTGTCTGCCCACCTGTGCTTCCCGTATAACTCTGGGGGGTTCAGGATGCTTGTAAGCTGAGGCCGGCCGCCGCGTCCATGCAGTCGTCACGCCTGCCCCGTCCGTCACGGTGATGAAGGGGATTTCCCCAAAAACCCCATCAGGCACCGTGGATGGGGTAGGGTTGTGTGCGCGGATGGGTCGTTTTACGGCGGCCACTAGAATGGCGACGCGCCGTAGGTCTGGTTACGAGATACCATGGACCTGTGTTTCTATCTGGAAACCCTATTCTATCGTGTCGGTATTGGTCACACAGCCCTCCTGGCAGCCGTTCCGGATCTGACAAGGCAAATGGGCGGTGAGAGCTGCTGAGCAAAAAAAAAAAAAAAAAAGCACAGCAGCGATGCAACGTGACGTAACGAAACGGTCAAACAAGGAAACAAGCAATAAGCACAAACAACGAGATGTGAAGAAGGGTCGAGGCAACTATAGCATGTAATGACCCTTTGTGAGGACGAAGTCGTTGAGGAGGTTGACTATATACACAGAGACCACATGAACGCGCACGTGAGCAACGGCCCTGGTCTAGGTAGGTATGGAGATGAGCAGAAACAGACCGCCTCCTCCATGGCCGTGGCACACAACTATACGACGGCCCAGCTCCCATCGCACTGAACTTCGCGACGACTTCCATGGGAACACGGTCAGCCGCTGCTTCATGGCCCTCGGCCTCCCCCACTCAGACCCCCAAATATGTTCACCCAAACTCCTAATCACATTTGACACCGCTACGATGGGCGAGACGACCAAGGAAGGTGACAGGTTAGCACTCAGTGGTGCTTGAGTTGCAGAAAAAAGAATGATGCAAGGGTTAAAATCCCCACCACTGCATTGATCGCAACCAACTATGCTACCTATACCCCGAAGCAGCCCACCTATTTGTTTCGCCCGTCTACCTATTCTGGGTCCGAGTTTCCGTTTCGTCGACATACCTAAGTCAGGGAGCTTGACTCCGTCGCGCGTAACGGGCATGTTCCGGAGACCTTTGTAGCGCTCCAAGGGGCGAGGGACAGAGGGGGCTTGCATTACTTACTTTATTTAAAGCCTTTTACTAGTTATAAAAGAAGGTATTCAAGAAGTTACTGTCTTGCTGCCCCCGGAGCCGTCGGCGTCGACCTTGGCGGACTCGCGGTCCTTGGCGGCCGTGCTGGTTTTCTCGACTTGCAGACACGAACCTACAGCAAACATGGCAACCATAGATTCTGGCTCGACCGCCGCGTCGCGGCTGACCTCCTCACCCAGCTCATGAAACCACCTATCTACCTACACACCGTCTTCATTCCTCCTTTATTTTGGCTGGGACTCGATAGCAGACGCCGTCCATGAAGCATCTGGAACCCGGTTTAGCAGACCGGTGTCCGAAACCTCCTGCTATTCCATCAAAGGACTTGCATCTGCTATGTCAGTGTCCATGTCGTGCTCGAGCTCAATAGTAGGTCGGCCGGAAGCTCCCTTTGTCGAGGTTCCGTCGCGTGGACTTTCGCGACCTGGGAGTCTAGCGTCTTCGCCATGAGATCGCCGCCGCCTCCACATTGAAGGTCAAGCTAATAGTGACGACGGCATCCCATTTGACGGAATGCGAGAGATGACAAGTTAGCATTCATCGCCAGCAGCAACAGCGTCTCAAAATAAGGAGCAGTATGGTCTGGCCCCTAGTTTCTCCGGCAGATAGTCTCCAGTTCTGCTTTGACACGTTGTCGTTTCTCTTCGTTTTTCGTCAGTGTGGCTGGCTGACTGGCAGTGGTCACCGCCTTGCGAGATGGTCGTCTACATGCTGGGTTCGGCGGCTTCTAACCGGCAGTTGCAGCAGCAGCGTTCTCGGCTTTCAGGGCGGCAAGCTGAGCCTCCTTCTCCTTCAACGTCTCTAGCTGCTGCTTGGCCATCTCTTTCACTTTAGCTTCGGCCTCCTTGAGTTTCTTAACTTCGATCTGCTCTGTTTCCAGACTGAAGGGCTGGCCCGGCTTGTTCACTGCGGGCAGCAAGGCGCTTCGCTCCCAGGCCACCTGCACATTCGACGTTTTCTCGGGCAAGGATGGGATCGGCTTGTTTTTACCCTTGCCTCCTTTGCCTACAGGGTGGCCCTTCGGGTGGGCGCCAGATGTGAGGATTTCATAAAAGGCTTCGTAGGGTTCGTTGAAAAGCTGTTCGTCGAATGCCCAAGCACGTATCTCGCCGTCGTTCTGGCGCAGCATCTGCTCCTTCTCGGCATCGGTCCTGCCGTACGGGTGTAGGCGAAGGTTATGGTATAAAGTCTGAGGCTTCTCCCCAGACTCGGAGGCGTAGTACAACTTGATGGTGATCTCAAACTCTCCCCATCCAGTTTCTTGGACTAGGAAGGGCTTTCCAGGCTCGCCATCAATCACTACTAGGGGTTAGCATGGACATGATCATGGCGGATGGTAGCGCGAAGGGTGACCTACTGCGCACGTGGTTAGGAATAGACTCGTGGAGCTTGAATTGGACTCTCCGCAACCAGTACGTGATGTCGGTGTCATCAATGGCCTTTACAAACACCTCCCACGAGTGGGTGTGATCGTCGGGAACGCCCTCTGGCTTGGGGTTGGTTTCGGGGTCGAAGGGGCGGGCGGTCGTGCCGTAGATGAACGGGCGCCTGATCTGAGTGCCCTTTACGCGCTTGCCGAGGCTGCTGGGCGGCGCCATTTTGATGCGGATAGAACAATGGGTCTGGGTGATGTGGTGTAGCCTGTTCCGAAGAAGCCAAGCACGGTGTAAGTGCGTTGTTGGAGATGCAGTGGGGAGAAAATGGTTTGCCAGCAACGATGGCAAGAATTAAATGGTTCCTACAGCCGACCTTGTCAGCCTTATGGCGGATTTATAGTGGGGCTCGGCTCGAGCCTGCGAGCAACGGTCGAGTCCTTGGGCTTTGCCCTGCCAATTTAACTTGCCTTTTTCTGAGCCACGGCCCATGGCGAAGGACGGTCGTGTAACTTGGCATCAAAGTACGGGCCAGGCAGGACACAGCTAAAACAACCACATGCGCGATTGCTTCACCATCAGCACTAAGTGTTACTACCTAGGTATGTACCCAGCATGCTGGTAGGTATGTAGTTGGCAAACGACGCGGCAAGCGAACCTTTTACTTTTGTATTGCCCCTGACTTCCAACTGTGAAATGCATCGTCCTCCGACGGTAGGTACCAGCAAGAATGAAGGCGGATGCGTCGCTGCGTATGGTTCTGGTGTCAATGACAGAAGCCGTACGTACAGTGGGAGGTTCAGGCACAGGACGAAGAATGGGGGCCCACCAGATCTCACCAATGGGAAGCTTCGATGCCAGTTGCTCCAGCCCTTGTAGCTGCAACCTCTACGCACTAAGTAGCTGCAGCATCAGTACCCCTGGCAGGTTTTCCACTGGGGAGCTGGGGAGCTCGGGAGCTCTCGGCCGGGTGATGATTTCATGACTTTTCAGCAGCTTTGCACCCGCGCCCGGAACCGGCATCGAACCACCATCGGGAAGACGCTGGTAACTACCTAGACTAACCAACGCCGAACCCGGCCGCCGTCTCCTTCCCAACGTCAACCCGGCTTCCCATTCACTTTACATTGGTTCCTACAGCAAGGCTTCTCATTTTCACGCAATCGGTCGCACGGCCACTCATCTCACATCACCCGCCCACCATGTCAACCTCGGCCGTCACCAAGAAGCTGGTCGTGTGCGGAGGAAACGGCTTCCTCGGGTCGAGAATCTGCAAGTATGCCGTCGCAAGAGGCTGGAATGTCACGTCCATCAGGTACGCCATAATGAGGCCCTCCCGCGCCTCTCCCCACTGATCTCTCCGCCTTGTCTAACATGCCCCGACAGCCGCTCGGGAGAGCCCAAATGGTCCGCCGTGACCTCATCGCCGGCCCCTCCTCAATGGGCACACCAAGTTTCCTGGGAGCGCGCCGACATGCTCAGCCCCGGGAGCTACGCCCCGCTCCTCAAGGGCGCCGACTTTGTCGTCCACAGCATGGGGATCCTCCTCGAGGCTGATTACAAGGGCGTCGTCTCCGGCCAGGAGTCCCCCATCTCGGGCCTGCAAAAGGCCTTCGCCCCCGTCAAGGACCGCGGCGTCGACCCCCTCAAAACCTCGTCCGAGGGCGGCGATCTCAAGACCCCCAACCCCAAGGACCAGTTCTCCTACGAAGTCATGAACCGCGACAGCGCCATCGCCCTGGCCAAGCAGGCCAACGCCGAGAACGTAAAGGCCTTCGTCTACATCTCGGCCGCCGCTGGCGCCCCCGTCCTCCCCGCACGGTACATCACCACGAAGCGCGAGGCCGAGAGCACCATCGCCAGCGAGTTCCCGCGCATGCGGGGCATCTTCCCGCGGCCGCCCTTCCTGTACGACAGCTCGAGAAAGTTCACGCTGCCGCTGGCGGCCATGACCGGCGCCGGCGCCCTCTTCAACAGGCTGACCGGGGGTGTACTGAGCGGGTTCATGGGCGCGAGCGGGGTGAAACCCCTGCCGGTCGAGACCGTCGCGGAAGCAGTAGTGGAAGCGCTCGACGACGAGAAGGTTCAGGGCCCGGTTGAGGTGCCGGAGCTCGAGGAGCTGGCGAACAAGGGTTGGAGGAAAACCATGCTGTGATGCATGATGGTGTATTTATAGTTGTAATTGTGTCATAGACTGTACGATTGCCCAGTGCAAACAAGCGGTGGAAAAAAAGGGGGGGAAACAGAAGGCCCCTCACAGGCTCGATATCCTCCCGGCTTTACCAGTCTCATAGTATCCCTCCCCCGCCCCCATACGCCCGCGCTTAAATCATGGTTCCTCTCTCGAAACTGTCCCGAATCTCTGCAGTGTACTTGTTGTAGAAGCGCGCCAGCTTCTGGTTGAACTGCTTGTTCTTCTCGTTGATGTACGTGACGTCACCGTCGTCGCCGTTCTGCGCCATGCGGTCCTTCCTCTTCTTCAGCCTGTTCTCCTCGGCCCTCCTCAGGTCTTCCACGAGCCGGTCGACGGCGGCCTTGTCCGGCTTGTTTTGGGCAAACGTGGTGGAGTCAGCCGTCGAATAGAAGGAGCCGTCCTTGTCCACCGCAATGAGTTCTCCGTCCTCCGTCTCGACGATGTCAAGGCCGCCCGAAGCGGCTGCGCGCTCGATGGCGGCCATCTTGTCCTTTTCGTACTTGTCCATATCGGGGGCGATATTCCTGAGCTGGCGCTTGTAGACCTTGTTGCTCTCGGCGGTGTAGTCCTGGAAGGCATTGTTGTCGCGGTGCGCCTCCTTCTTCCTGACGTGCTTGTCCCACTTCTCGCTCTCGTCGATCGTCCAGTCCCACGCGCGTTTGCGCTCAAAGTCGCCGCCGGCGTCCTCAACGTCGGCCTTGAGAAGCTTCTGCGACGCAATGGCCTGCTTACGGTGGAGGGCCGTCAGCTGACTCGGGTCGGACGCGAGGCGCTGCGACTCGAGTGTCGCCTCTTTGAAGTTTTGGTCGGATGAGGTCTTGGCGCGGGCCTTGAGGGCCTTGAAGCGGGCCATGCGTTCCTTTGCCCTTGCTGCGGCGTCTTCTGCTGTGGGCTGTGATGATGAGGATTTCTCTATCGGTTCTGCAGGCGCAGGAACGGCATCTGTTGTTGCGGTGGGGGCGGTGGCCTCTATCTTCTCGGTTTCTTCTGGGGCGACAGATTTAGGTTCCGCGGTCTGTTTGGCGTCTTCCGCAGCAGCGGAACCGGTGTTGGTTTTTCTCTTCTTTGATGGAGGCATTTTTTGGAATTGTGTTGTACCGGAAAGGGGCGGTCGTCTGAGCGTGTGTATGTTGTGCAAGAATCGCGATGTATGGTTTCAAAGGTCTTGTGATGAGATGCAAAGTGACGAGAGAGTGGGACTTTCTTGGGTGTCAGGCTTATTACTCGACCGACGTTTCTCCGGAAGGCCGACTAGCGCACAACCCGCGGATCCATCCAAGGGTCTGATTCTAGTGTTATGATTGGATGCAACTTTCTCCTTGACAAGGATAATTAGAGGTTCGACATGAACCACATAAGGAACAGAGGACGGTCAAAACGCAATGTCGATTTTCTTTTCCCATATGGCTTCGTTTTTCCATTGTTAACTGGGATGGATTTGGATTGATGAGGGTATTGAAATGTTTATTGTTTAAATTCCTCATCATGACCGCTGGTGCACTTTCTTGATAAGGCGGCCTCTCGCCTTGATTACCTGTGCCCACCTACTTGTACTTCAGCAAAGAGTACAGGGGCCCATCTCTCATGGTCGAGATGCGGATTGCGTACTCGCCCCGCCAGAGCTTGAGTTCATTCTATCCCGCTCACTCCACTTCCAAGCCCTTGAGGCATACGATGTACTGTTCACGATCTTTCCCCTCCGTTTTCTTCTGCCCTCTCTGACCTGGTTGGCAAAGTCGTATGCACTTCCCGGAATTGGCCTTCCCGTGTCCTTGATCTTCTCCCTGTAGTCTTCGTTCATACATGGAGTCGAATGTGCTTAACAAATCCCACACCGTGATTCGTACCTAGACCTGGTCCTAGTGTATTTTCGCTCCTGCTTGCCTCAAAAACACGCCTCACTGCATCAAATGTTTATTGACAGGGAAAGGCAAGGGTCCTCCGGCAATCCAAGAAACATGTGCCCTAAAGTAATCACCTTGAAATTTCAAGCGTAATTGATGATTGAATAATCTTTTTCCAGTCCATGGTCAAGGGCCTCGCATGCGGACGTCCCTCGTTGTGCTTGTCCATAAGGCCACTACAGCACTTGGTCAAAAGTCACAGCAATAAGAAACCCCCAATTAGGAGTCACAGAAGGGACCCATCAGCTTGGGGCCACGCCACAGTACACCACCAAGGGGGGTGTGTCTCACCACCCTACTGTCGCTACTGATTAGGCCATCTTTATACCGTTACCGGACTTTTGACCTAGTACTGTATACCAGGTTTCTATTGAACGTATACCTAGTTTACGTACTGAATCCTGACTATGAATCTCAAGGAATTGGTTATGTGGCTAGTAACTCGAGGATCAATGACTGAAGGACGGAACAATAGATCGACCCACCGCCGCTCCCCCGCGGGACCCATACGGGTGACGGGGCCCTGCAAGAAACACCCGTGGCTGTGCGACCAGGTCACCCCTGTCGTTGCCCCAATACCCCTGCGCCCTCGTCTTGCATCCCGTTGCCTCGACGCCCCCTCAATAGGCGGCTCCAACCATCAGACAATTTTTGACCACGTCGCGTGCCTGTGGATATAGCCTCTACAAAGCAACCGAAGGTTATACGGGTCTCAATTCACACCACTTCTCAGATATGCGGCAGCCTGTAATCGTAGGCGTCGTCAGCAGGACTGCCTCGAGTGCCTGTTTTCACACTTCAACGCAGTCTCGGGTCCGACAGCCGTGGGTTCACACCAAGAAGAGGCCGGCAGAACCACAAATACCCCCCTCGTGGCAGCCCTTTGAGGTGCCAGAGGTGGTCTTAGACCTCGACGGCTGGGACAGCGGATACTCACGACCGTACGACGATGCGGAAAGGTCCGCTCAGCGGGAGAAATGGGGAGAGATCCCTCGAATTGACGCCACCTGGAAGCGCATTAGGAACTTTGAGTTCGACCGCCAGCGCGTGAGCGACAACTTTGCCAAAGTCGCCGGCCACGACCCCTGGCGACAACGCTGGGCCGTCACGGACCTTGACGTTATGGCCACTGCTCTGAGAGGCGCCCCCAAGCACAAGAGACGTCCGGATAAAAAACGACCATACGGATCCGACGCTGACGGCGTCTTGAGCTCGGTGGCTTTCGAGAACGCCATTCCCATGTCCACCTTTCGGGACGACAAGTTGTTTCTGAGCTGGCTGCTACACAGGAAGACCAGCACATGGCCCATCCCCCAAACTTCCCTTGCCATCTCACAAAACCTCATAAGCAAACAAGAGAGCCTCAAGGACCTTCGACGCTACATCTTGTTCCTTCTCCAGCAGGGCGACGGTGGACCCTGGCACGTTCACCAGTGTAATGAGCACATCGCCCGAGTCTTGTTTCGTGTTCTTTCCGAACCCGACAAGAACTCACCCATTCTCCGCAGCTTCTTGCCGTTTTTCAACAATCTTTTCACCATCTACCAGCAAAACGGATGGTCACTTGGTCCTGAACTGTGTGGTGCCTGCCTAGTTCTGTCGGCCCACGCCTTCCAGTTGCGGGCGGTAGGGAGGTTCCTCGAGCATGGCTTAAAGCATGGCTATTGGGTTGATGGGAAGCCAGGGGTCTCAGATGTTCAAGCCGCGCTAGAGCTATTGCACCGGCAATGGGATAAAGAGACGCGAGATGGTTCCTCCTCTCAGGATTTTGAGGCCTACCATGCGCCTGGAAACCGTCCAGATAATCACAAAGAAAACCTGGTCAGCCTCTTGGCAGGGGGTGTCGGAAACGCCGGCAAAGCGTCTTTCAAGGCCGTTGTGAAGAGAAATCCCAGCAACGAGGGGCTGAATGAGCAGTTCTCGCGGCTGGTTGCTCGACTCGGCCCTCTGTCAGATCATCTCACCAAGACTGGAATGAACCGGGGAAAAGGGTGAAGCGTACCAACAATGCGCCTCTGTCGCGAACAACCACTGTTGAGGAGGGTGCCTCTCGGTCAAGGCCACGGAAGCTCGACAAATAGGCCGAACGTTCGATTCAAGCTCGAGCTAACCAACAGGTCTGGCGGACCAGACGGTTATGTCCCACGTTTTGGGTCATGCATATGCAACCTAATATATCACATGTCATCCTCGTTTACGGAGCATCCGGTCCAAATTCTGAAATTTGCCTTGTATTTTCATCCTACGCACTTGCACCGCACACGCGTGTCTGAATCCAAGTGGTACATATCTGGACTTTCGTCAGCGAAGTCATGGCCTTCCTTCGACGGCGTCCGTCACCCCTCAGTCCTGTCACGCCCATGTTGCCGAATGCGGGCTTGGGTGCCGTGTGGCTTGCCCTAAGCTCCAACACGTCGGAGACATATTGCGCGCAACCCGAACTGCGCCGCGCCAACATCCCATTGGGCCCAAAGATCAAGACATGTCAAGCTTAACTAGCCTGACCGCCTCCTTTGCCCGTCCCTCCATGAGCATTAATCGCTGTGTTCGTTCCGCGCCGGCGCTGGTCCCCTCCGCTGTGTCTTGTCTTATGTCACCTCGCCTGGCTTCTGGGATTCCTGTTCAATGATAGTATGCTTTTGTTGAAAGTCAACATAAACCCTGAAACCTCATTCGTGGTCTGCCACCCTACCAAAACATTGGTCAACCGCACCTCCACTAGTCTGCCCTTTTATCTCTGAAATTCACTGACATTGATAGATATACTCGAAGGATACCTCAGCCAAGGTCGCTTGCTGGGGTTTCATTATGCTGAGACGATACGAATGCCTTATGCCACCATATTCATCCCTCTACTGGGTTTCTGTGATTCGTATCGCCCCCGGGGGTCTTCCCACGCATGCTTTGTCGCTTCCAGCCCAAGTAGGCAACCAGAGCAACGGAAAGTGGCAGAACCAGACATCTCGATGCGTGACGCCCCAGCCCACAGACTAGGAGTCCAGCTCCCCCAACTGGGCCAGCCTCGGCGCTGGAGCCGCACGGCGGTGCGCGAATCTGGTTCCGGCCTGGTTTCGGCGGGCGCCGGTCGAGGGGTTTCTGACGGTACCGTGGCTTGCTTGACAGCCAGTGGTGACTTGTCATGCCTGAACTCTCATTTCCCATCTTCCCCGGACCTCCTCTTTGTTGATCGGAACAGCGTCTCCCGTCGATCTTTTTCAAGCGAAGCAGCTTTGCCTGCCATCATCTACCTGCAGTCAAGAACTCCCCGTCATTTGTGTGCTTTTGACTTCCGACTTTCTCTCGGCCCTTGCTGGAATTCGGTGTAATCTCTCCCAACGTTCCACCGCTTGTTCCATACCAGAGGATCTTTCCTTTCCTGTCTGCAGAAAAGTCCACATACTTCCCGAGACACAGACCCTGGAGGGGAGTATCCCCCATCGATACCTTTTCGAATTACTCGAAACCGTCGTCGGGAAACAAGACCCATTCTTTGGTCACATACCGCATGCCCACAACGCAATCCGACTGACGGCTGAGTATTACCACGAGCCCATCGATGGACCGGCTGGGATCGACATCCCGTCAACGCGTCGGAATATCGCCCAGAATGCGGCACAGAATGTCGCTTTCTGTTCCCGTAGTCGCCCTCCTGGGTCTGTCGCTGCTCTCGGCACCGACGGCAGCGCAACAAGACCCGGTGGCTGATTTCTGCCGGCGCTTTGGACATCAGACAGCTGTTGTTGACAACAAGCTGTTCATCGATGGTGGTATCGTCAACTGGAATCCTCTCTCTTCCTTCCCTGCCAATTACACGAGTATGCCGTAACCTTGCGACCGGTCCAGAGGTCCCTTTGACGCAGCCGAACCTTTGCTAACGCCTCGCCTAGATACATGGCTCTCCTACCAAGACCTCTCCACAACGTCGGCCACGGGCATGCCCCCCCTGTACGCGAACCTCTCCAAGAACGGTTCCATCCCCAATGTTGCTGGCGGCGTCCTCTGGTCCGACTCGGTGAACAAGCGTCTGTATCTCTTCGGCGGCGAGCATAACCTGGGCGAACCCCCATTGCCTTTCAATCTCTACGGCTACGACATCATAAACAATCAATGGGATTCCTTCGGCCCGTCCCGCACTGGGGCTTCCATTTCAAAAGTTAGCTACGGTGCAGGGGTGTCGGTCGATAGCCGCGGCGAGGCGTACTACTTTGGCGGATGGCTGAGCAACAACTCCGTCCCTGACTGGGGCACCGGCCCGCGGGTGGCTACTACGGGGTTGGTAAAGTATACCATGGACACAAACAGTTTTGCCAATAACACCGGGTGGGTAGAAAGTCACTCGCGTGCTCGGGTGGGTTCGGATGGGAGCTAACAACCTCTATAGTCCTGACAACATCCGGCGCGCGGAGGGCAGCTTGCATTATATCCCTGCCAGCGACGGCGGGATGTTGATCTACTTTGGGGGTATCCAAGACCTATCTGCCAACGGCACGGTCACGGGCCAACCCATGGACCAGATCTTCATCTACGACGTTCTCAGCAGTAAGTGGTACACCCAGAAGGCGTCGGGCGAGGTTCCGGAGATGCGGCGGCGGTTCTGCGCGGGCGTGACATGGGTGGCAGATCAGTCGTCCTACAATATGTGAGTGTGCCCTTCGCATCCTTGTCCACTACACCAGCAACTGATACCCCCGTCAAGTTACATGTACGGCGGCGCAACCGCCCCAGGCGTGCTCGGCGGAGGCTACGACGACCTATACGTGCTCTCGATCCCGACCTTCACCTGGGTCAAACTGTACCCCGTCGGCCGCAACGGCACCGGCGACTATCCGCACCACTCGCTCTCTTGCAATATGATCCCGGGCCGGGGACAGATGATCATATCCGGGGGCCAGTTCCCGACCACGTCGATCTGCGACTCCCCGGGCCAGTGGGGCACCCACAACGTCGACCTGGGGAAGCAGAACCCGAGCAAGAGCCTCTGGGAGCTGTACAGGCCCAACAAGACGGCCTACGCCGTGCCGGACGAGGTCCTCGCCGTCGTGGGCGGGAACGGCAACGGCGGCGCGACCAGGACGGCGCCCGCCAACGGGTTCGATTATACCGATGTGGGCCTGCTGATCACCATCAAGGCCGACGTCGCCGTCCGGACGCCGACAAGGGTCGTTGCCGCGTCCGGCACGCCGGCACCGAACACGAAGCTATCCACAGGTGCCATCGTCGGCATCGCCATCGGCGCCGCGGTCTTGCTCACCGCGCTCGCGATGGGATGCTGCGTCGTCTGCAAGCGCCGCCCGCAAACACATCGCACGTCGTCGCCGGGGCAGAGCCACCTCTACCACGCCCAGAGTATGTCGGAACCGTGGTCGCCGTCTTCATCCCGGCTTAGCCCTATGCCGTCGCCCTACTCACCGTCGTTCGGCCACCTCGCACACGCCCCATTGCCTCCGCTGTCCCCACACCCGCAATCCCCCCGCGCGAGCCCGCCGGTCGAGCTGCCCACGCAGTCGTCGCTGTCGACGCCGGGGATCCTGACGGGGGACACGCCAGGGCTGACGCACGTGTCGTCGGCGGCATCGTACCCGCCGCAGCAAGCGTACTTTGGCGACGCGATGACGCTGCTGGGACAGGCGCAGTACGACGCCCACGGCAACATGTGGGTGCCGCAGGTGAGCATGGTGCAGGTCGCCACGGGGGCGAGCCCGCCGCTGCCGGGGTACACGGGGCCGATGGGCGATCAGAAGACGACGCCGCAGCCGGTGCAGGCCGAAGTGCAGCCTTCACCAGCCCACGAGCCGCAGGAGTTGAGCGCGGAGACAGGCGACCGCGCAGAGCAGAGCGCCCAGCACCAGACGTATTACAACCCTTAGGGCAACACGCGCTTGGGCAGTCGGACGTACAGTTTCGTCAATCAGTCAGAGTCTCAAGGTATGACATAGCAGGGGGGCGAGGGAACAGCGGAGTATGCAATGTGTGCTTGATTATATCTCCTTGGACGGGAGCAGGTTGTGATGTCTTTTCCCTCTTTCTTTTTTCCTTTTTCCTTTTCTCGACGATTCCCACTTTGGTGTTTGCTTGCGATGACGGGATGTTCGGAGTTGCAGGCCAGATAGGGATCGAACTAAAAGAATACTACGCATCTTTGAACATGGCGCAGCACTCAGCCCATCAGGGTTCTTAGTTCACCAGGGTCCGGCATGACAATGGGCATCAAAAAGACGCCGCCATGAGTCGCACGTGTCCGTGACCACAGCGGGCTCTGTGACGCCCAACTCCGAGTACGGATGTTCCTCTGTAGGAATTTTTAAACTTTGTAAGACGCTCTAACCTGTAAGAGTCATGAAAGGGGAGCTGTTGTGCAAATTATCAACTGCTTGGGGCTCTGCTGCAAGAATCCTCATGCAGGAAAAACAAGTTCCGTGTCCGTCCTGATGAACAATAAGGCCGAACAAAAGACCGTCGTCGACATAACCTTCCGAGATTTCGTTGTGGCGGAGACACGAGGGCAGGGATGAGAGTCAGTTGTTCCCCTCTTGGGGGGTTGCCGGTAAAATGCCAGTGCACTTTTGGTCGGCGGCCAGTGTCTACCCCGATCTAGAAGGATTACCACATAGGAGCTTGACATAATACCATATTCTAGTGTATCACCCTAACTCTAGGTAACCCAGACCCTAACCAAGACCCTAACCACTAACCCTACATATCTTTAAAAGCCTACGTAGCTATAGGAGATACATAGGGTTAGTGGTTAGGGTCTGGGCTACCTAGAGTTAGGGTGATGGAATATGATTATTTTATCTGTGGTAGTGGTGGCAGTACCTTCCAAAATAGGCTTAAATCACTGGCAGACTACCAAAAGCACACTGGCATTTTACCGGCAACCTCTTGGGGTGGCACCGGAGGTGTCGTACCCCCACCCCCCCTCCCCCGACCGACTCCCGAGCAACCGGGTCTCCGGACCCCGCTCCGAGCAACATCGGCCTCGCCGACATTCGTCCTCCCCCCCCCCCTTCTCACCTTCCTCTCCATCTTTTCCTCCCGACCGCAACCGGCCGATTCTGCGGCTGTAGCGTTCGTCGTATATGACCCCCCTCCCTTGCTCGACGGCGGAGGAAACAGCAAAGACAGGCAGCATCATCATTGTCACACTCGCAATCCCACCTCAGCGGTTTATCACATCCCAAAAACCGGTTACATGCAGTGCCCTTTGCAACCTCGCGATATAGCGCGGGCGTGAAGGGGGGGGGGGGGGGGGGGGGAGGTTCTGATGGCGGCGTCGTTTCGCTGTCGATAATGGGCCTCTAGTCTAGTCCCGCCGCACAGCCGAAGCTACCCTATCTGGCCATCCCCTTTCGCTGCGACATACTAAGTAATCAGGCCCACCCCCAAGATAGTAACAGTCCATCTCAAGCGGCACTATCAAACTAGCTTCGACAACTAGCAGCGTGATCGTCGTCGTCGTCGTCGTCGTAGTCTTCGCTGATCCAACTAGAGAAGATGACCACTCTCCGACTAATCAAAATAATCCCATCCCCAAAGGGAGGAGGGTAGGGCAAGCAAGGGCCCAGCACCTCACGTCATCCGCACCACACCCGCCCGCATCACAAGGTGCGCACGCCGGCGTCAAGTGCGCTTCAGCAGGCATAGTCCCGCGCACCACGCATTTGAACTCGTACCGTATACGGACAGGACACACTCAGCCATGCCACCCTCACCTTTCCCACACCTTTCCTCTCACCTTGTTTGTACCACCACACCTTGGCCTTGACAGAAGAGTCCCCTCCGCCGTACCTACATCTACGTGCCTGACTTGTGTGGTCACTAGCCTTGGGACCTGGCATCCACCACCACCACCACCACAATCACATCACCATCACCGCCGCCGCCGATCCCAGTCGTCTCTCGCGGAAACCTGATCAGCGTCCAGCTTCACCGCGCCAGCCGAGCCCCGTCAACCGCTCCCTTGTCACCTTCGTCGTCACACACACACGCGCACGGCAGAATCGCCACGGCGTCCCATCACGAGATGCGCTCACCACACCAGGCCACATTCCGTCATGACACCGGTCCGTTTGGCTCGACCCGGGACAATCCCTCTCTATCTCGCCATCGCCCGAGCACCTGACTCGAAGCGCCTCGTTCCCCCATCACCTCATACCTCGAGATCCATCGTCATCGCTCACATCGTGAACGCCCTCCCTTCCCCCTCCTCCCCCACGCCGCTCGGCTGGCGGCGAGCTCTGAACTATTAACAGAAATTGCCAAAGTCACCCGCCCGATATCGTCCCCACCCGACTCAGACCCCAAGTAAGAGTAAGTCACAGCCACAAACCAGCCGATTGCCGACGCCGTAGTGAAGATGCAGGACACTGGATCCCGTGCCCTCCCTCCCGCCCTCTAAATGCTTAAATAAAGAAGAACAAAAAATAAAATAAAATAAAAAAACACCTGTGCGGTGGCCTCTTAATGGGTTGTCCTTCTCCCTGGCGCGCGACACGGAACCACGTCTCGGACGGCACTTCATTCCCCATCTCGACTCGTATGGAAGATGGGGGGGCATGGAGCAGACAAGGCTGCCGACCAAGGGCAACCAACGGCCGCGAAAGGGATCCTAACCGGCCGGCGCTGCACCACCGTTCGCACGGAGTGGAAGGGGGGCAGGAGTCTCGCCCGCGAGAACCGCTGGTCGGCCGCCTCCGTAAGCAGAAACACGTAAGAAAATAAAATAAACTACGACGTGTATACCTCTATTGTCGAGTTCCCTAAAAAAAGAATTTTTTCCTAGTCTTCTTATTTCTCACCCATCAGAGCCCTGTCTCGATGGCCCAAGAGGGCCCAGGCCTCGGCCGAGCGGGCGGCACAGACTGAGCGAGCACCGGATCCTGCGCCTGTAAATTAAGTATCCCCCCCCCTCTCCACCAACAACAAGCAAATGAAGTCGTGACCTTGATACCTAGAACAGTCTATGTGTGTGTGTGTGTGTGTGTATGAGAGAGTGAGTGTGTGTGTGTGAGTGTGTGTGTGTGAGTGTGTGTCATACAATATCGACACCCCCCAAACAACAACAAAAACATCACACAAAAAACAAAACCGGGCGTTCTTATCACGGCATCCCTAAAGCTGCAAGTCCGTATTCCCGCTTCCGAGGGGGAGGGGGGGGGGGGGGGCTTCTGGGGCTTCTCCCCGGCCTGCCCCCCACCTCTCTCTATTTCTGCTGGTATCCTGCTGGACTCCTGTCCATCTCCCGAGTCAGTCTCGCTTCATCAGACCCCCCTTGCGGGCCCCCTTCCCCCACTAGGTCGGCGACTTACCATCTGGGGAAGAACCCGCCAGGAGGAGATCGACGCCGTGCGTCTGGGGGAACTATCTTCACATTGGGGGGGGATCTAGCGGATCGTTGTGTGTACGTGTGTGGTTCAGGTGGTGGAATTCTGCTTCATTGCTATCTCCCAAGAAAGCCAAGCTCCTCCCCGTTGTCCGCCGTCATCGATCCGCCGATCTGACGGATATGTGCTCACGCGCCCTTTGCGCATGCATGCGAGAGACTGTGATTCTGAACCGCGAATCCGTCCATTGGCGAGAACGGCTCCATGCTTTCTGCTGATCCGAGATATGCTATATAATTTTTTGGGGGGTGACATGAATAATGTGATTCCGTCGAGAGAAGGGGGAGTACTGTATCCGCCATATGCCTCCTCTGCAGGTCTCAAGTGTGAGAGGAAAATAATAACAAAATGCGCCCTAGATACTGCGATCCGTTGTGCCCTTCCATGCAAAAAAAGATATTCGGCGACCGTGGATGCCCACCCACCTTTCTATATGCCAAGGTGGTGACGGTGGCTGGATGGCGTAGACAACATCGTATGAGTGAGACATAACAATGCCCAGCACAACCCGTGAAAAAAAGAAAAGATGCAACAAGCTCCTGTCAATGAATCCTCTTCCCACGCCCCACACGCGCGCCGAGGTTTAGGTGGAACCTCCATGTTTGTTTTGGGAATGGCGTACCAACTGGCTGGTTCAGGTCTTCAAAGATGGGGTGGGAGAGGAAAAGAAAAAGAAGGAAAGGAGGACGAGACAACCCCCCCCGACTCGCTGTGCCAATGCCGCCAACAATCAATGCCTGTGCCAATGCAACCCCAATTTTGATTTTGATTCCTTCGCAGTTCCCCTCTCTCCTCTCACATGACCGAAACCATGGCGCTCCGCAGTGCAGGAAAAGACTTTGTAAATACGCAAATGAAACCTTCGCAGCCTGCAATGCTGGCTCTCCGTGCCGGTGACTTCCCCCTTGTGGGTGATGTCGCGCGCGGACGGGGGAAGGAGTCCGGTGAAGGGCATGCGAGTGATTCTGGAAGGTAACGATCCGGCACACCCGTGGAAGGGGGAGATGAAGACTGATCCAATCTCCCTTGCTGGCCTTCGTTTCTGTGGTTGCCCCCGCGTTTTCCGGTGCCCAAGATCGACGCTAAACCCCCACGGTCTGGGGCTGGGGTAGGACACGCGAGTACGAGGATGATCTCATGTTCCCCGCCCGCCGCGCACGCAGCACACCGAGGGCGTGACGCCCTGCAAAAGGCCGTCCATCGCCTTCCCCGATGCTGCCGTCGTGGGATGAGCCGATTGAACTGTCCGTGTCTGGTGGTGCTGCAGCTTCCTACGAACCCCCTCCCCTCAAACGCCATCAGGTGAGGGTTAGCGACCCACCATGGGGGTAACCAACTCGATGCTTTTCGGCCTCGAGTAGCCCGGCCCGGTTGGCCTCCGCGTCGGCAGCGGCCGGTCCATGCCGCTGGAGCTGTAGTTGTAAGCGTGCCCGTTCGCGGCGTAACCTCCGTCGTAGGTGGCAGGGAAGAAGCTGTTGGTGCCACGGTTGTACGAGGTGCTGGGGCTGTTGGTAGTACTCTTGGTGAAGGGCCACAGGCTGGGGTGAGACGTAGAGGGAGATGGCGGGCTCGGAGGGCGGATGCTGAGCGACCTCAGCGCGGAGACGGCCGATGAGTACTGGCCGCCACCGCTGGTGGTGGTACCCGGTGTCGTGGGCGGAGAGAAGTGCATCGAGTTCGGCCTCGAGGGTGACGCACGAGGTACGATGTCCCTCGGCTCTGGGTTGCCAATGGCGTAGAAGGGGTAGTTGCCCATGTGCGCCTGGCTGTGACTCCTGCCCGTTGATGCGCTTTGCTGGTCATGTTTGCGGCAGCTGAGGAGCGAGTGTCAGTGACGAGTCCTTGGGGGCACGCATGTCCTGGTCTAGGAGGGTAACTTACGCTTCTGAGCAGTAGAGGAAATTGGCGTCCTGGGGCACAAATTGTTTTTCACAAGTCATGCTAGAACACAACCAGTCAGCGAGGCTTCTTCAATCGATCGAGGAGCAATAATCCCAGTCATGGGCGTCAACCGTGATCGGGCAGGTTTCGGCGGATAAGCAACACGACGAACTGGACGCCCATCGTGACGCTGCAAGGCACCGAAAAGGGGAACACAATTTGTGACTGCATTGGACGACGGCGGCCGGTGTCGTCAGACGACGTGTTGCGGGGTTGGCGGTGCAGAACATGGCGCCAGCCCAGCAGCCGCTTGCACCCCCAAGCCCCGAGGAGAAACAAAGAAAAAGAGATGGAGAAAGGGGTTGTTGCTGTGTTGGCGCGTGTAAACATACCAGAACTGAGGGAAGCTCTCCCGTTGATCATCCCACGAGTCTTGCAGCTCTCGTTCCCGGTCCCTGGGGCTCTTGCCCAGCTTCTGAGGTGTCTGGCGGCGGGTGAGGGTCGAAGGGCGTTTGCCATACCGAGAAGGGTCGGAGGCAGTGACTGTCTTTTCCGACATGGACGTGTTGCCCGACTTTCTGCGGGCGTGATGCATTGTGAGATGTGGTGTTGCGGTATGGCTGAGGATGACTGAGAAGCAGAGGGTTCGAGTTCTAGTGTAGAGACCGGTGCGAGGTTGGCAGGGGTCTTGTACTCTCTCGCTCCGTCTCTCTCGTGTAAATGTAGGTGTGTTTCTTTCAGTCAGTGTCGGTGCCTGTATCGGTGGATGAACGGTGGGAGGAGAAAAGCGGGGAATGGTCGTGTTTGGTGGAGGGGTAGCGCTGTTCTATTCCCCTAAGCAGCGATGATTGACACTGGAGCTCTGTGCGATGCTTGTCTGTCCTTGTCTCGGCCGTCGGGTTTGGCAGAGACCACTGAGACGCAGGATGCAGTAAAAGAGAGAAAGAGAGGGAGAGAGAGAGAGAAAAGAGGAGATCCAGAGAAGAAGGTATCCGACTCTGTGAAAAATTTTTCGCAGTAATCGGCGAGATCTGGATTGTCGGTGGTCTTGGAATGGGAAATGCAGGAAAACGGTCCCTGTGTCTCACGCGGTTCCGAGTCGAGTGGCAAAGTCGGGGGCCCTTGGTCTTTAGTACCCGGGCCTAGGTAAGGGTTGTTGGTGGTTGTGGTTGGGGGTTTTTGGCAGTGCTCCCTTAGGTACGTTGCCCGCTGCTGAAGAGATTTTTTTTCTTCTTCTCCCGTTGTTGGTTTTCCCCCGCGGGTCAGAGCGGGTGCTGGGAGGATTAAGAAGGGTCTCGAGCTATCGCAAGTGCAGGGGACGCCTGATGTGTGGTTTGGAGGGGGGTGCCTTATTTCCAGTAGCTAAGGCGGCTTGGTGATGGATTGGAGAGATAGCGGCGGGTTTGCGTCTGGGGGGGTGTGTGTGTGTGTGTGGGTGTGGATATGTGTAATGTATATTTGGTCGAGAAGCTGATAAGTGATGGGAAGGGATGTGTGTGCGGCGTGGTGTGGTGGGCGTGAAGTATCCGTAGGTAGGCTACCTGTAGATAGGTACCTTGGGTTAGGTAGGTAGGTGTGTGTGCGTGGGTGGTGGGCGGGCTGTGTGACTGTGACTGCGACTTCTGACCTGATAGCGATTCCTCGAGGGGAGGTGCTTGATCCCCTAACCAGTCCAGTCGGAGGTTTTTAACTGCTGACGGAACCCAAGTCGAGGTCCAGGCGTGATGAGAAATAAAAAAAGGCGTGCCGCCAGTCCAAGCAGATCCCGACGTGTTGCTGCAAGCTTGCAAAGGAGGATTGGCCGGCCTATGCCTTTTTGGTCCTTTCTTCTTCTTCTTTTTCGACGTGGCCAACTCGGCTAAAAGAGAGAGAGAGAGAGAGAGAGAGAGAGATGGAGACTGTGAAACCCGCGCTTACGGTTATTACTGCTACCGTATCAAGCGCGAGTTGCTGGCCAAGCACGAGAAGGGGTGGTATGAGAGGTTGCGAACTCGGTGTCTAAGTCATGAACCGGGGTGGGCGACGGTAGTGTACTAGTAGTATGGGTACACTAGGTCCAAAGTAGCGTGTGCTTGGCCTCGGTCCAGGGATTGATGGTCTGATGCTATGCTGCCTCTGCGTGGGAAAGCAATGTTTGCTACCGTCTCGAGGTGTTTTAATCAACAGCCCGGCGTGCAGAAACGAATAGGCGCTCTCGCCAGAAGCACGATGACGACAGAGCAGGAGGGCGAGTGCGGGGATCGGGGACTGGCTTAGTTCGGGCAGTTGTGCGTCCGTCTCTCCGAGTTCATGCAACGAGATGCAATTCGCGTATCAACAGGACTGAGAGGTGAAGAGAAGATAAGAGAGAAGGGACGAAGACGACAGGAGAAGACGCTGACGTAGTGACCGACGTCGTCTTATACTTGTGTGTGTGTGTGTGTGTGTGTGTGTATGTGCGCCGCGAGATGAGGAACGAGATTATTCGAGGTTATCTCTCTCTTTCTTTCTCTCCTGGGTCCATTCGAGGAAGATGGGCCTGGGAAATATTTGTAGTCCCACGGGCGGAATGGATTATGGCCTTGGAAGTGCCTGTATCAATCAATGCCTCAGTTTAATGGATCGGTCAAGTATGACTCTTTCCGGTTGCCGGACACTCTACTCTGCCTCACTCCCTTGTGAAAGACGGACAGCTCTTGTTTTATTTTATTTCTCTCTTCCCCCTTTCCCTCTCGTAAGCCAGGGACCCAGCCGAAGACGCAAGGTACCTCGGATTGACGCGGGGACAGGCAGGGCCGTGGGTTCGCCGAAAGCGGAGATGTCGGGGGTACGAACGGACCTTGCGCCTGTGAGGTGAGAAATGCGCTGCCGATTCGCCCGTCGTCTCAACGTTGCCGATGACAGCCAGCCAGCCAAAAGCCAGCGAGTATACCAGGACAAGGGGTGCACAGGGCACACAGGCTGTGTGTGTGTGTGTGTGTGTGTGTGTGTGTGTGTGTGTGTGAGCGTGTGGTGGCATCCGCGTTGGTTGTTGTTGCCGTTGTCGTTGCTGTGGGCGTGGTGGATGTAGCCCGCAGTGCCAAGTAGCAGCGACAGTACGGATAACTGGTGCGAGTTGCAGGCACCCTGTTGAACCTTTCTGTTCTTGTGGGTTCGGAGTCGGGCAAGACGTGTCCGGTTTTGCTCTGTTTGCTGGTTCCGATTCTGACACCGGGTACGAAGTAGGAAGGAAGCAAGACAGGTAAGGTGCACAGGACAGCCAGCCTAGGTAGGAATAGTCTTGTTCCCCTCCTACCTAGCTAGCTGTTTGTCTCTATGAGGTGGATCGGGGAGCTTTGATTTCTTTCGCGTTGGGTGTGAGACCTGGAGGATAAACATATTAATTACCGCAATTGCAGAAAAGGGAGAAACGAAGAAAAATCAATAATGGTAGGTACTCTTTGTCTCGTCTGTGTGTCATGCTGGCGTGTCTTTTTTTTCGTTTTTTTTTTTTTTCGTAGCGAGCTAATTTGGCTAGGAATGAATTTCTGGAACAATGCAGCTTCTGTGTGAAAATTTCTCTCTCGCTCCAAATCCCCCCCTTTTCTTGCTCGAATGCTTGCTCTTGTTGTCTCTCTCTCTCACTCTCTCTCCACACCGACTTATTGACGCACTTGAGGAACGCGGCGGCCATCGAAATGAACCTCGTAGTACGGATAGTCAGATCGAGATTCAAGATCGTGACTGAGGTTTATATCGTGACTGGCCCCCCAGGGTATCCGTGCCTACCTTCATACTACATGATTGGTTGTAGTGAATGGTGAGCTCGCACTGGACAGGGAAGGCCTGCCAATCTTGTTGTCCCTTCTATCCTCTTTTTTCTTTCTTTTTTTTTTTCCTCTCGTTTTTTCCAGATGGCTGCTGTATTGGGCAACCCGTGACCCTTGTCTGTGACTCGGCAGGTGGGTCGATGGAGCTGTGTGCCTGGGGCAAAGGTATCTTTTAGCTGCTCGTTGCGTGTGTGTGTGTGTACCCATCTCCTCAGTATACTCCGTACGTAGGTAGGTACTCCGTACTTATGTGCAAGACAAGACAGGCGGGCCTTCCCCTTCCCCCTTCCCTTCTGTGGGGATGTCGTGCTGGTGGATACGGTCGAGGCTAGTGCACTAGCGGTTAGCGAGACGAGGGGGATGTGCCGACCAGGGCAAATGCCAAGCAGGGCTTCTGGTGGTGTAAAATATGGGGATGGTCCAGAAGGGAAACCAGATGATGATGCGATGCACGATGGATGCTTGCCGCAGGTCTGGGAGCCAGTCTGGGGAGGAAGCTGTGAAGTAATGGAAATGCATGCTTTCGGTACCTTAGTTGGTGCGGCGGTCGTGTGTAGTGTCACGTAGTGGGCACCTCGTCCGAGATTGTACCCCTTCCCGCTACTGAGCTTTCCGAGTGTACGCATAGCGTGTACACTACTCAAGCCGCAGTACGTACAGATACCTCATCGCTCCGCCTACCTGCCCACCTGTGTGCAGGTACCTACCTTAGCACTGGATACATTGCCTAACATACCTGCCTACCTACTTCGGGGATCCAGCGAAAAACTAGAACCACGATATAGCAGCAGCTCCTCAGTAGCGGTCAACGGTAGTGGAATAGTGATTCCGTGGCTGCGATCACGAATGCTAGTCGCCAGCCACCCCCCCACCATTACACGATCGAAACTCGAATGCCAGGCACGGAGGTGCAGCGGGGTGCGATGCGTTGCGGTGTTGCGCCATACCGTACCGCACTTGGGAACTGTACCTGTTGGTGTAGATGAGGTAACGAGTGCGACCAGGTGACCGGTCTTGCGATGCATCATTTTTGCAATTCTGGCGTCAGCTCAGTCCATCGGGGCGGCGGCACCTGGAGCTGTGCCCAGCAAGTTTGCACGCCATCAGGGTATCCCATTAGCTAACAGCCGCGCAGGACCCGGCATTAACTCCGAGCCAATCATATACCCTCCCCCGGACCAACTTATGTAAGACAGCAGGGAACGCACAAAAGGCAATCGAGGGCGTGCCTCGTCTCCATGTGCTCGAAACCTCTACGGCCTCAACGCCGGCTCCCTCAGAACGTGCAAATGTATCGATCCACACACAACGGGGCCAAGAGGTATATCACACGCCGGACCGTCCAAATTAGGTACTTGGACGAAGAAACAAGCACTCGAAATGCGGTGGGGCGGGAGAAGGATGCAGCGAAGCAGGACGACGACGTGGCCGGGATTTTTTTTTATGGCCATGACGACCTAGGTAGGTACAAAGTACATCGTACGGATACTTGAACAGGAAGGTGCTGCTAAGGCTAAGGTACATACCTAGGTAGGTATCTGACCTGCCTGCTCCATCCGCATGAACACTGCAACATGACAATTCCCCCTCCGGAGCCTCTGGGACGCGCCTGCCCTGCCGGCTCGCGGCGCTGCAACGCCATGTGCCTGGCTGCATAGGTACATTATATGCCGTTTTACGGAGAAAGGGTCAGCCGCCTGCATGACCAGCAAAGAAAACTGCCCACGGGCATAGGTATGGGATAGGTTTCTAGGGACCTTGCATCATCGTGAAACTTACAGCTGCTGCAACTTTCAGCAACCTCGACGTCTGATTAGACCGTCATGTTAGTGTGCACGCCGTGTACTGTATGTGTTATGTATTCCACTCGCAGGGGCTTGGCCAAGGCAGTCTCTGATACCATGTGCACTACGGATGGGTGTTTTACGTACGGGTTTCCCTCTCTCTCATCAGCTGCTAGAACGGGACTGGCCACTGAGCCAATCCCGTCTCTCGCCTTTCGTCTAGTATGTACACTATGGAGTGCATGTTCGCAACCGCACAACGCTGATGTTTCTCCCGTTTCCTTGATTGAACCTCTATTTCCCCCAGGCTGAGACTCTACAGTACATAGATTGGAGGGGTGATTGGTTCCACATGTCACGTCAAACCTTTTGTCGTCCGACTTTATTCTATATGTTATTCTTATAACCGCTCGGTTGAGTTCAGAACGACGGCCGTAATGCATTACGGCTTGGGCGAGTGTTTGTTTTCTTTTTTCGGCTGGTGACGTATTTCCCGGTCCTATTTTTCTTCTTCTTTCTTCCTCTTTTTTTCAAAAAACAATATTATACTTTCGGCGCATTCCTGGGATCACCAGATGTTGCCTCGGTGCTTAACCGGCTCGACAATCTGGGAGCAAACTGGACGGTCGCCAAACACTTCCTCAAGCCGCGTGTCAGCGAAACCCCACCGCGGCTCGACTTGACTTGTTACAATTCCCGTCCGTCCACCTTCCCCTGTCTCAACCGTCTCGTCGGCGAGTCGGGTCTGGTGGCGCGCGCACGAGGGCCGCCGTCCACTACAGCGGTAACCCCAGGACCGCACAACAAACTACCTACATAGCCTGTCATAGGCGGGACATGTGCGAAAGACGCGCACTCGATGCCTGGCAGTGCCGATATGTGCAGCGTGCGCAACGGAGCAAAAGAGTCTAACTGCTTGGTAATTTACTCAGACATCACCTCATCCACTGCCCTGAGCACGTTTGCTCACGAACGGGGGGGAACCCCATACTCCGTATGCAGAGTACGGTACACTATTCTGCATCCATCCCAGAGGACAGGGCAGGCAGTTCGAAACAAACTCCACCCGGGGACTTGGAAGACAACTAAAGACTAAAGTAGACCGTATACACCCGAATTGCCTAACCTACCTAGGTTGGTAGTGGTTAGACCTCACCTCCACCTCGCGGCCCTCCACTCGGGAGGCCCACGTCCCGCGTCCCAGCGAGCGATGGAATGGGAGGGAGGGAAGGCTCGGGGCCACTCTCGAGACGGGGAGAGAGACAGATACACACGCACAGAGGGAGAGGGAGGGAGGAAGAGAGAGGAAGAAAACCCAAAGCACGCCTAAAGGTCAAAAAAGGGAGTGAAAGCTGAGAAGGCAAGAGGCGCCCCGAGCCCCCGTGTGGGGCGTCATGCTCCCGAACGGGCGTCGCGAGCTTAGCCGGTCCGAAGCCTTGTTCCCATGGAGTTGTCGTGCCACGCCATTTGCTATATTTTTAAACTAGGTTCCGAGGTCCCGCAGCTCCTGGGTTAGTTAGGTGGTAATTCAGGTAGGTTGTTGTAATCTAATTAGTCTTTGGTCTCCAACCCTCTCCCTCTCCCTTGGACGGTCTGCTACTAGGGGGAAGGCCGTGGATCCGTGGACCTCTCCGGCCCAGCCGCACCGGCCCGTAAGCCACACGCCGACCCGTAAAAAAAAAAAAAAAAAAGGAGAAGGAGAAAAACAGTGCAGCGCCATTTTCCCTAGGAACAACACACGCACACAGCCACAAACAACGCAGCCCCCATGCTATGAGAATGAAATGAAATAAAAAATGTAACAAAAGGTACACAGTGTAGATAAGGAGAGCGAAGGGATAAGCGAACGGAAGAGCCAAAAGTGAAAGGGAAGAAGATAAAGTAAGAATAAAATAAAATAAAACTGGACAGTTTTGTAGAAAAGGGCGGAATTTCCAAGATTCCAAAGCTCTCAACCCCCATGAAAAAGACACACATCACCGTCCATGGAACCGAACGAAGGAAACCCTAGGTAATCCTCGCATCTCTCACGATGTCAAGAATGGGCATAGCCCCGCGGAGCCCCATGGAAGAAACGGCATCCGCTTGTTTTCATCTCTCCCGGTTCCGTTTCTGCAAGGGGAAGGGTTCTCCCGGTGCCCCCCCCCCCCCCCCCCCCATCAGTCGATTCAGTCGGTGTTTGGGCGGGGCATGCGTGCATCACCTACCAAAGCTGTTGCTTCATCCCACGTTGAGACGGAACAACGTGAGTCGACACCACCCATCGCAGAGCACGTGTTTCCATCAGGTTTGGCGAGACGACGTTCGGTTCCATTTCCATTATTCAAGCCAAACACCACAGACGCATTCCGCTGTTTTCCCCTCGCCCTGGCGAGCGGGGGCGATCCGACCATGGAGAGAGGCAGCCGGCGGGAAATTCTCTCTCTTTCTCCCTCTCTCTATGTATGTGTGTGTGTATGTGTCGCTCTCCGTCTCCGTCTCTGTCTCTGCCAGGGACCTATCTTCACCCCCTTACCCAAGTGCCAAGTCGCTGGTTGACAGGAGTTGATGCCAAGTCAGCTCACTCCGTCTCTCCCTCTCTCACTCCCTGGTAAGGTTATGTGGGAGGCACGTGGGGTAAGAGGGCATGAAATAGTGTAGCTAGCGCTTGTTACAGGCTTGCAACTTACCGCCAGGTACCTACACTACTGCGGTGTAGCTGGATATGCTGGGTGGGAGCTCTCCAGTGCACTGCACCTCAGTGTACTTAGGTACCTTAGGTACCTCTCTGCATTGTTCCCAGATACGGTACGTACTGGGTGTAGTTGACTATGCGCCTTGTTTACCTAAGGCAGTACCTAGCTAGGTATGCCATGTATGTACGGATACCTGGTCCTAACCAGATACCACATCATAAACTGCTGGTACGGATACACATACGCGTACGTACCGTACATACCTTACGACGGAGCGTAGTATCCTGACACGGACTCCACCGCGCAAGTCTGCCTCGCCCTTTCCAGCCCATCCCTCTACAAACAACATGGACGGTCCCCACGAAAGCCCACGTCCAGCCGCCAGAAACAACAGCCGTCAAAGCCGTCCCCTTCTGCATTGATACAAGCAGCTGGACATTGCAGTCCAAGCAGTCGCGATCCGTACGCCCACTCTGTTGACGCAAATAAAACATCATCATGCTCCATGCACGCTACCTCCGTCTCCATAGACACGGCGACCCCCGTCTGGTGCTAGGCTCGATGGATGGGGACCGACGGTTCTGTGTCACGCCAAACGGCCATCAATGAATGGTCGTCGAGTCGGGTTGCGACACGGACGGCCCTCAGTGTTGATCAACACTACTCTACCTATCATCCTATGGTCGCTACCTGTCTTAGGTTACAATCACATCGGGTACCCGTAGAATGCGGGGTATGGGCAATGCAAAGTCGTTGACTACAACGTGCACCCCTTCGTCCCTCGTTGACCATCGGGGGCATTGAACCAGACGAAATATACGACCCCTTGCGGACGACCCCTCGTCCGTCGCGATGGCTCGACTGGCGTGGCCGGCAGCTGTTGTGTGATTCCTCGTCGACCGCAACTAGAGCAGAGAGAGCCATGGAGCACATACTTGAGCCACCAACCCGCAGCTGCGTCAAACACAAAACGCCTTCGAATCGCCTACAACTCAACTCGCATACACAATGCTGCCGGTGCAATCAAGACCTCGCAGCCACTTGCCGCTCTGGGGAGTTGACGCATATTGCCGTGGCATTTTACCAGAGTAGCTGCGTCGAACCATCGACTTTCCTGTCCATCGAGACTGCCACATCCCCGCCATTGGCCCTCTTTCGTCGTACTCCAGACGTGCCAGCCAACACGGTCGAGGGCCCTACCTACTGCGTGTCGACCCGTGATTGACACAGTTAAAAGGGCATGATATGAGCAACTCCCGAATCACGCTTCCTAGTTCTAGCCGAGATGCACTCCCTCAGCCAGCCTTTGCCATGCGTGGGGGGTCTCGTATGATAGGCTTGGCGACTTCGACCTCTCTTTTCCCACTCGCCTGGCATGGGAGGGTTACGTCCATGCACCCAGGCTTCCACGCTCCCGAAACGAGCATGCCAGGGTCGCAGAAATTGGGTGCCGGCCGGGAGAACGAGATTGATAACGGCTCAGTAGCACGGCCAGAGAGACATACCCGTCTGGTATGCCTGTTCTGTCCAACGACGGCACGGCTAGAACATGCATGGCATACGCTTTCACCCCATGCTCGCGACCACGCCCCTCTCTTGCGCCGTCACAAACGACGCTCGATTCCAATTCATACTCGGAACAATCCCGGCACGAATACCCACGCATCAGCGTATGCCACTTTGGGTCACAAGCACACCATCAAGGTGAGCGAGGGCCAGCCTGGCCTAGGCATCCTTCGCCTCGGCAGCTTACCTCGACGCCTAGATGCTGGGATGAAAGGTCAGCCCGTTCCAAGCCACGCCCTGGTTCGAATGCAGCTGGATGGGAGCTCCCCATTGACCGGGGTAGGAGAGGGGGAGGTGGCCGACGGGCTTGCCTGCTCGCTTGTAACCCGAAGCTGAAGCAAATGTCGATGGAAGACTCTGCATCGAAAAACCAGCAACCTCTCGGCCAGACCCAATCGCTTGGACTTCCCATAACACGCACGTCGTATGTCGCATCACACTCACGAACCGAACATCGAGAGTCGGATACTATCGGGATTGCTTACCCACGTATCAAGTGGGGTTCACCCCTCCTCGGCAGGCACCCAGACCCTTCGGGCGCCATCCAGACCAGACAAGACCAGGGGGGGCTTATGCGAGATAACGACACATGAACTTCTCGCCGCTTCGTGAGCCGCCGCAAATGTCTGCCTGCCCACCAGTTGGTCCGCTCGCCGAACCCCCCGGGTTGGATGAATGGTTTCGTCTAATTAAACATTGGCGGAGAGGGGTGATGTTGGATATGCGAGACCAACGAAAATGCAGGCAGTAGCCGCCACACGCACGATTAACGGTCGTCCGACATCACGCCCACCCAACGCTCGAAGTGTCAGAAGTCCAGACTCGGAGCTATTGTGGATTGCCCTGTCCCGCCCCAAACCTTTCCCCCACGAGGCTCGACAGCCTGATCCGATCCACAGACACTGGGAACCCACGAGGCGCCCCGGGAAGGGCTATTCGGGCAACGACCGCAGCCTCCTTGGGGTGAACGTGAGCGAAGACGATGTCTGGTTCGCAGGAAAAGATGGCTTTCTGCTTATCTATGGAGCGCGCGGTTGCGCGGGAGCGGAGGCTTTGCGGAGCGGACGAACCCAACCAGAAGGAGCTGGTTCACACTACCCTGTCATCGCGTGGGGTGGCCCTCAACCCGCTGGCCTTTGCCAAGCATCCGGGGCCCATCCGTACCGTGGAATTGGGGGACCCTGAATGCTTCGAGAAAAAAAAGATTTTTTTTTCTCCCCCATCTTAGGAGCGGCCACGGCAAGCGTACCGGCTCTATTTCCGTGCTCCGAAAGGGACGCTTATGTTGTCGAATGCTAGTTATAACGGCACACCGGCCATGGTTGGTGATGACAGACGCCAATGCCGTAATACACACGACTATCTGATTCCCGGTGGCACCTTTTTGCCATCTTACGGATTTGTGTGTCCGCTTAGCACAGGCAGTCGAGATACCGTTTGTGAATGAATTCCCGCTATGCCATTATTATCCAGCTTATTAATTGAATTTGTTCATTGAAGTGTCGCTATCATAATGTTGTCATCCCAACCCATTACTAATACACCCGATGTATTACTTTTTGTGCCTTTCCCGTTCTGTTGTATCAGTCACCTCCACAAGTTTCGGGCCGCGCCAGACGTGATAAGGGCCATGGCCCAGAAATACAAAAAAAAAAAAAAAAAAAAAAAACTACACTACAGACTTCCACACCCTCCGCTCTACGCGGTGTTGTAGTACATGTCAATCTTCTTGATTTTGAACAAGGCATCCTGGGCCGGGGGTCCGGCGGTCCAGCCCGGGTCCCCGTTGGCCCAGTTGTTGAAGACCCAAGAACCGGGGGCGCTGGGCACGTTCTGATCCGTCTCCCAGCTGAGGTTGCCATCGACGTAGAAGCGGACGCGGTCCCTCAGCCAGTCGAGGCGGTACTCGTGCTCGGTGGTGGTCGGGTCTGCGGGCGGGGTCACGTCGATGATGGTTTTGTCAGTGCTGCTGTCCGTAGCTTGGTTCTCGAACCAGAGCCTGCGTTCGCCGTTATTGCTTAGGGAATGCGGGTCAGACAGCCACTCAATGTCCGTCTCCTGGTTATTGTTCGCATAGAAGAACATGCCTGTTCGGGGCGTATGTTAGTCATGAGTCTCGAGACAAGGTCCAAGAGGGCAAGAGGGTCTCCCTACCATTGCAGACGCCGGGGGTCTCGGAGAAGATGGCGACGGTCCGGACGGAGGCGTACTTGATGTTCGAAAACTTGGTGGTGACCTCGCCGGACCTGTATGGCATGGCCGTCTGGCCGCCATCGACACGGAGGTTGAGGTAGCCTCCCTGGATGAAGACGTTTTGCTTCAAGTACTCGTGCGTGTCGCCGATGGGGTACTGGCTCGCCCACAGGCCCTTGGGGAGCTTGGCGCCATCGGACAGTGTGCTGAAGTCCCAGGTCTGTCGGTTGGAGAACGTCACGCCGTCGAGGATGTTGAAGACGCCCGCGATGCCCGTCTTCCGCGCGGGATTCGCCGAGACGCAGGCGGCTAGGAAGGCCGTGACGAGGAGCGAGAGACGGCCCATGTTTAAGATGAGACCGGAGAGAGGAATGGAGGGGCTTGTGAGATCTTGTGGCATGGGAGGTGGCAGCCGGGTCTTGTTTCTTGAAGGGAAAGGGATGGTGGGGGATGTTGAGGAATTCCGGTACGTGTGAAAGTGATGATATATAACATGTCTCATTTGAATCCCGGTGGTTGATTCTCTTATAGCAACATTACAGTTTCCGCTATCTACGCGTGACGGACGTCATCCCACAGGCGTCTACTTGCACGGCACGGTTGCTCTCGACGACTGCAACTACCGAGCAGTCTTTCAAAGGCTTGCAAAAGCTCGCCTCCCGCGCTCACTCCGTAGCGCCCATATCCCCGCAAGCATCCCGTGGCAGTCGCCGTCGTGATTGATGGGCGGACTTCTAGGTCGTCACCCGCCGGAAGGGGGCAAGGCATGGGCACGATCGAGGCAGCGCTTCTCCGTGCGCCTTCCCATCGAGCGGGCTGCATGAGGGGGAGCGCGGGGAACGACACGGATGGCAGAGCCACTCCTTCCCTTAGCTCTATTGACTCGACGTCCGAGAACGAACATGGGTGGGTAGGGCGGTGCTTTTGCTCGAGTCCAACGGCTTCTCGGAGGTTCAACCGGACCAACCAGATTCCCTCGACCGCCGCCGAATAGAGGGTCTTGGCCCAGAGGAAGCGCCCTCATGGGCATCTGGGCTCGCCCATCCCGCCGAGCTCTGTTGGCGGACGTGGTCTTTGGGACCCGGTGCTCACCCATGGCCGCCAGCAGCCTCTGCCGGGCCTAGGCCGACCGCGGCCCTGGGACTCTGGCTCACACAAACAAGCGACGGCCGGACTGTGTCTCTTGGCCCTCTTGGGTGCTAGCGGGCTGCCATGCACCCGGGGGCGGGCCAGCGAGGGCGGCACTAGGCGGCACGGACTGCTAGGCTAGAAGGGCCAAGGTAGCCACAAAGGGGGACGTCCCTGTGCCCACTGCGCTTCTCGGCCGGGATCGCGATAGCCGCGTCCCCTAGCGCCCCGGTCGGGAAAGAAAACCTCGAGCCGCATCCGTCTGGCTGCCGGAAGCAGCGTTGTCGGGGCATCTCGGCCGCCTATCAACGGGATGGGCGTGAAAGAAAAGGCATGTACCGGTAGTGTGGATGGGGATGGAAGCAAGATAACAAGACATGTCTTTCCCACTCTATTGCCGGTGTTTGTTTTTCTTTTTTTCCCCTTCTTTTTCCTGTTCTCTCTCTCCCCCCCCTCTCACCCTCGATGCTATGAGACATTACGTTGGGCTGTGAGACACCCGTACGAAATAAGAGGTTGGTAATCCTCCCTTGGCGGATGAGGCGCTTGAGACACTCTCAAGGGTACAAAGAGAAACAGTGCCCCCCCTCCTTGCAGTTGAGGCACGACCCTTGGGGGTTCCCGCTGACGAAAGACCCTGGATCGAAGGATCAAAAGAAACCCAAGAGGCGACAATGGATTACAGACGACGCCGTTTGGCTCTGCTCCTTGACCCGCGCCGGATCGATGAGATCTCATAATGTGTTCTTCTGTGGAGCTTGATCGTCGGCGGTTGCGGCGGGCGAGGATGTTTTTGCCTTGTCGCTCGACGATCTACAAATATCAAAGAAGAATGAAGACATTTCCGTTCCGTTCACGGCGATTGAGTCCCCCTCTCTCGCCTTTGGCCGGACATTCGAGCCCGGCCATTCTTCGTCAGCATATCAACTCATGCTTCGTATAACCCTCACTGATCAATACCATCTTTGAAGGTCCACCACCGGCCCGTCCCTGTCTGGGTAGACCCGCCGGGCCACCGGACCGGAGCCGGGAAGGGGTGCGGGGGGAGGGGAGGGGGGCGGGTGTGGGTTCCTAACGCTCGCTACCAGGCGTCGAGAAATAAGCAGCAACAATTAACTCAGAGCCACACTTCGCTTTCCATCGGCTTCTTGACTCGGGTCGTCTTGAATGGGCTAAGAGGACCCAGGCCGGTCAGCGAGGTGGATATCGCCCTTCTCTGGCGGGGAAGGGGGACGATGGACCATACACGCGGTGAACAGAGGGATCCACCCTCGATCAGCGGTCTGTTATCGCTCCGCCTGCGGGAGCTATATCGGAGCGGGCCTGTGTGTATGCAAGAGTTGGGTAACTGCACAACAGATGCCGTCCCGCCGCTGGTTTGGGCGATGCGGAAGTGGGACACATCGGCCGCCGTGGTTCCTCCACTCGTCCACCTGTTCCGAAGATGAGGTTGGGGTCGTCAGTGGCTGTCGGTCAACTGGAGATTTGCAGCATCGCGCATAAATCGATATTCTTCGACGCAGGACTGTCGACCTGCTCACACCGGTCAGCCACGTGGCCTAGGGAGGGCTTTGCTGTTGTCCAGTATCGCGCGGTCTACAAATACCTCCAGGAAACTCGCCCCAGTGCTTCGATATAGACCGTTGTAGGGCCTTTATTCCTTATTCTCGGTCCGTAGTCGAGAATGCTGAACAAGATATATCACTGAAACATGCTCATAGATTTATGGAAACGATGATCGCAACGCTACCGCAGTTCATACAAATCATGCCCAAAAAGATCTATTTACTTTCGTAGATCCAGTTCATACTTTGAGCTCTGCGAACCTCTCTACTCAGCCGCCGTGGATACTGTCTCCTTCACGCCTCCCCCGCCCGCCATGGCTCATTGGACCTCGATACTCTTGAAGCGTTGTGACAGGGGAACTCTCGCAAGGCAACTGACAAATCTGATGGACCCGGTACGATTGTCTCGGAGATAAACCTGGGAGCAGAGAAATCAACACGTCATCTGGAACGGCTCGCCTTTCTCACATGCAGCGTCTCCTCTGGACGTGCTGCAAGGGAACTCGTCGATGGCCTAAAGGTCGCGGGGCCGTGGATTTCAGCGGCAGTTGGCGCTCATATTCGATGTCGCCAAGGGCATCACGATGCCACGTGTCGAAAGGCTGGATGAGCAACCTGATGCCATCCTGGTCCGCTCCCGCAACATCGGGGAAGGTTCTCGTCACTGCCTCCTGCTACACTGCCTTGAATAACATCAAGAACGAAGCGCCGCGCCTTGTTCTCGTTTACTGAGCCGTAGGTCTTACGACTAATGGGACGGTCGAGGTGGAGCAGGTACCGAGTCGCCCAGCGCTTCATTCCACCAAGCGACATGCACCATGGGGCGTCGGATTCCTCGGTACGTGATACCGTGTCAGTCAAGTTGCGGACCCGGTATCAGGGAAGGAGGGTTACTCGCGTAACCCCGCGATCCTTGGGCTTACCTAGTACCCAAGCACTCCCGTCGTTAGTAGCTGTCGTTAAGTTTATACATTTCTCGCATGGCGTCCCTGTCTTTGTTTCTGTCAGATGGATGTGCGGCAGCCCGGTACAGTTCACGGGTAGTCGCGGAGAGAGGCTCTCCTAGACCAACATTGTGGTTGTGTTCGAGAACGGCCTAGACGCGATGACTTGGAGAAATGGATGCGTAAAGGTTATGCTGATCCGTTGTTGACCCTCTCTGTACGCGAACCACTTGGTCCATGTCCAACTCAGACCTTGACCATCTCTTCGCCGCAACTGGTTCACAAGTGGGAACCGGCAAGGCAGCTGACCCGTGTCATTGCGTGGTCCGGGTATTGTCGAAGCAAACCCATAAGGTTGTCGAACCTGCATGGTTTGATGGGTGGATCTGGTTGATACCTGGTGGTTCAGATATGCTTTCTGCCTTTCTTGACTGGCTTCATTGGACCTTTAATGCAGCCCTTCTTGAGGTCCCTCTCATCTCAAGAACAACCCGATCTACTCTTGCAGATGGAACTTGCATCAACCAAACCGTTGGGCATATATCGTGCCCCCGGACGAGCTTCATCGTGCCTCAGTGCAGCGTTTGCTACTGCTGGTGTTGCTGGCAACGGAATTACTTGTGTACTGGCTCCATAGTGAGCATTCGAGAATTCTCTTTCGTGCTTCAACCCGCTGGGTCTCCGCCCAGTTACTTCATCGGTCAGCTCACAAAACTGATGTCGGGTTTTCACGTTGTGCAAGTGAAATCTTGATCGATGTACTCGCCAATCAAGCTCAATACCAAACAACCGGCTTGCTGACTGTCTGCCCGTACTACTTCCTGCTTTACCTCTTCGATGCTTTTTCAGTTGCTGCCTAACTTTCCATTTGGCAATTCGATCGACGGTGAAGGAAGAGCTTGCTTACTTACTCAAGGGAATAAAAGTGAAAAAATGCATTTGTGTGTGGTGGTTGAAAGAATAATCGATGGTCGATACTGACAAAAAGGAAACTGCTATGACCGTGGCAGGGCTCGAACCTGCGACCTTCTCGGGATCAAGTGCACATACTTGTGAACGAGAAATCATAATCCACTAGAACACACAGCCGGATTGTTACATTATCGTCCCATAGCTGATAACAAGTACCCCCATCATCTGAACTGTCAGACACCCCGCACCGTTGTTGCAGATTCCATGACACACAACTAGCTGTGGTTTGGACTAGTTCGAGCAACTGAGATCTGTACAGAAGTCTAAAAGAGCAATCAAAATGCTGTCGACGACACGGACAAGCCGACGGCAGCTGAATAAACACTCTATCACCTCCTTCATATTCCTGAAAACTCATTGGTCAATTTCAATTGGGAAGATTAATAGCTATGATTCCTTGGGGCTTGGATTTGGTTGGGTTGGGTCAATGTGAGCTTTGGCTTGGTCGAAGTCAACACCTAACGCCAACCCCAAATATGGCCCGGCCAAGACACACCAGAAAACATATCATAGAGGTTCCAGGCTCTCCAAACCACTCAAATACGAAGCCAGATACTTTGAGACTCTTCTGGCCTGTTCAAAAAGACTGAAACTGAGTTGCAAAAACCGCATTAGGAGCTCGCCAAGCTGGCGAGACAGCCCACCAGAGTTAAGCAGGTACCGAAATCGCAACCCCACCATCCACACAAAATTGTACAGGAGGGGTTCATCAGCAGTGACGCACCTGGATCTATCTCAGTTTGAGGGAACTTCTTCACCCAACAGGAACAGACCTGCACACCCGCACATCGAATATGACGCGATTCCGCCCTTGCATAGACCTGCACGCCGGGCAGGTGAAACAGATCGTCGGCGGCACGCTCGACAGCACGACGGCGGAGCTCAAGACCAACTTTGTCTCGACACACCCACCGGCGCACTTTGCGCGGCTCTACAGGGACAACGGCCTCGCCGGGGCCCATGTCATCATGCTGGGCCCCGGAAACACGGAGGCGGCCCGGGAATCGCTCAAGGCGTGGCCGGGCGGGCTGCAGGTTGGGGGAGGCATCAACGACGAGAACGCGAGGGAGTGGATCGAGGCCGGGGCCGAGAAGGTCATCATCACGTCGTACCTGTTTCCGGACGGGCGGTTCAGCCAGGAGCGGCTGGACGCGGTGCTCCAGGCGCTGGGCGGCGACCGGAACAAGCTCGTCATCGACCTCAGCTGCCGACGGCGCGGGGACGACAGGTGGTTCGTGGCCATGAACAAGTGGCAGACCATCACGGACATGGAGGTCAATCAAGGTTCGTTCTACCGATGCCACGTGGATACACGGGGTTGTTCAAGGGAGGCGTGGGAGTGAGTGTATGTCAATGGGTGGCTGACGAGAGTTTGATTGTTTTGTCGCGGGTAGAGTCGATCAAGCTGCTGGAACCCTATTGCTCAGAGTTCCTCATCCACGCAGCGGACAACGAGGGCCTCCAGAAGGGCATCGACGAGAAGCTCGTGGAGAGGCTGGCCGAGTGGTGCAGCCTGCCGGTCACGTATGCGGGCGGCGGCCGGAACTTGGAGGACTTGGACATGGTGAAGAAGCTCAGCAAGGGCAAGGTGGACCTGACGATCGGGAGCGCGCTGGACTGTTTCGGCGGCAAAGGCGTGAAGCTCGAGGAGTGCGTCGCGTGGAACCGGGCTCAGCAGTAAAGGGGAAGATTCCAAAGCGGGACAGCGGGATCTGTACATAGTAGACGGATCGCACCGGTGAACAAGTCTCACACTCACTCACACACACACTCACTCACTCACACACACACACACACACACACACACACACACACAGGAAGAGAAAGCCTTCGTGATGGACTGGATTCGGTTTGGGTTGGCATGACAGGCGTCACATCTGACGGCAGCCGTGCGACCCAGGCGTGGTAGAAGGATTCTGATGCCGTTCCGGCGCGGTGCGACGAAGTAACGGGGTGCCGCCGCGCTAGAAGATGCGTAGATGAAAGAAAGGAACAGACTGATACGGAGCTGGCTGCAAAATACACTGTTGGCGCAGGTTCCTAGCTCGTTTAGCGTCCCATCTTTCTTTCTTGTGTTGGGCGTGGCGCTGCGACGGGCGGGCGGGCTTTCTGCGAGATACTTACCACTTACGTACACATGCACGTACATCCGTCGACCGTATTTGGGAGACATGCCTTGCACGATGGTGTGCATCGGGGAATCCGCCTGGGCAGTTGTTGTGTATGCCCCTCCCTCTCTCTCTCGGGGCTGAAGAGGGGCGAGGGGCGCTCTATCAGGTTTGTTTGGGCCATCTGGTGCTCCTGGCTTCGCGGAGACGAGGGAGGGTCGGGTCGGGAGAGGAGCAGGCTGGAAACCCTGACAGAAGCACCCACCGGGCCGGTCAATCCATTGTGTCTGGGAAATGGGTTTGCGCCGGCGGGGGGAGGACGAGAAATAGCGCAGGCGCTAGGAGCATAGTCCGCGCGGCGACTAGTCCTGCGACGGGGCTCCTTTATACACGGGGAAATCGACTCGGCGTGCATAGGATTCGGAAAACAAACAAAAACAACAATGAGGGTTGGCAGTCGAAGCAAGAGGGGGAAGGGGGAGGAGCCAGGCTAATGCAGTCAACAAGAAACTGCGAGCATGTGCTGGGGAGATGGATGGGTGCATAGGACAGCGCGCAGCCAGCCACTGACAATGAAGAGTCGTGTTTTTTTTTCCCGAGCCACACAGACAAGATAATACGAAGAAATTCCAACATCGAGAGGGTGAGGCTCCCCTCGATCGCACGGCTAACGAGCGAGCGAGCGACATGGCGATAACAACAACACATACCCTGGTAATGCACGGGCAGAAAGAGAGAGAGAGAGCGAGCGAAAGGAAGGAGGACATGACGTGTAAAATAACAATGAGCTCCATCCTCTCCCCGTCATCTGATATCACCAAGCATCCCGGCATTCGGGCTAAGTAAGGTACAACACCATGAAAAACAGACGGCAGGAACCCACCAACCAGGCCCCATCGGATGCGATGTGCGCAATATGTGTACGACGATGCGATGGAGACAAGCACGACATGCGGGAGCCAAAGTGTCCAGGTCCAGGTTCAGATCCAGGGCAAGGCTGGCGGGTCTCCCAGGCCCGCAGAGAGTTTGATTGATCACGATGACTTGGCCTTGACTGCATAAGACGGCAAGAACCCATGTATCCTAGCTCCTGTTGGCCCGGCGAATTATCATGGTTCGACCACAACAACAACGGGGGGTTAAGCGTGATGCTTAGATGGTTACGGAAAAGACTGGACCCGCCTCTCGCGTTGTTGAATCAAGTTGACGCTGATGCAAAATGCTATCCTTCTTTTTTCTTTTCCCGTCGTATCCCATGCCGCTGCCTCGGATACCTACTTGCTTTTGCCCTGCTTTCCTCCCTCCCCCTCTCTCTCCTTCTCCCTGCAGGCGCTGAGTGAAGTGATACTCGAGAGAGGGAGGGGGATGTCAATCTGTTGTGGCGACGCCTAGGTCACCTAGGTACGGAGTAGTAGTATAAGGTACCTAGCTAGGTAGGTAGGTAGGTAGGCACTGTGGTAGCTCGCTAAGGGAAGGCATGAATTGTTGCACCGTGAAAACCGCTGAGAAGAGAAGCGTCACAGAAAGAGTGGGCACGTGCAGCACCTCAACCGCCCACGGCTAGCCACTCGTCGTCGTCTTCCACTCTCCCCAGTGGTCCGCTGCCAACAACCCCTCGTCCCAAGCCCCTCGTCTCCCCCTGTCAGCCTAGAGTCGCACTAAACAACAAGGTCGCTAGGAGCAACGCCACCGACAAAGAGCTGCCTTCCTTGTTTGTTTACTTCTCCGCGCGCACCAATCATCGCCACCTCAACGTCAACTCATACCGCCTCGTTGCCCTTAAACAACGCCCGACCACATCGACGCATCTGAACGCTCATCGTCTTGTTCACCCTCTTGTTGTTTCTCAACCCACGACGGCCGTCAGGAACGCTACCAGTTATTGTTGCCTGCATTTTACGCGGCATCGCCCTTTTTGATTGATTTTTTTTTTCTATCCTCGTGTGTGTCCGCTGTTGCTGCTTGTCGTTTTGCGCCGCCCCCGCCTTCATCACCTCCGGCATCAAGCATCTCCATCTCTCTTCTGTCACATTCCAGTCCACCATATCTCGACTTGTCTGTTCCCCGGATTATGACCAAAGCCGACAACTGACTGCACAAGGCGACGGATCCCAAAAAAGTCAAATCATACATTCTAGTAGACACTCAAGACGCCTTTTCCCCTTCGTATCTTGCAGAATCCAGGCCCGCGAAACATTGCCACTACCTACCTACCTGCCCCCCCCCGGAAACACCGCAGCAGAGCCTGCTCTTTACCTTGCATTCTCCTTAAGAGTACTGGTTGTCATCACCCTCTGCGACGCTTCTTGCCCTCCCCAGATGCGCTTGCGCATTCGCCAAAATACCACACAAAATGGCTTCTTCTGAGGAACCTGTAAGTTTCCTACCCATCTCACTGCCTCGCATCCTCGCGCGCGCGATTCCTGTCGACTAACATCTACACCCTCTCCTCAGGTGCACCCGCTGCGCATCTCCAAAGGCAGCAGCAATCCGGGATCTCCCCCCACCGCCAAAGCAAATACGGGCATCCCTCGCCCTCTGTCAGAGCTTTCTCCTTCAGACCACAGGAGGAACTCGCCCAGCTGGAAGCAGCCGTCCAAGGTGAGCCGAGAGTGTCTCAGGCTGGGCCTGTGTAGCATTTCGTCTAACAACCCGCCTTGCAGAAAATGACTCTCAACACCGACTCGTCTCCATTCCAGTCGTCCCCGCTGGAGACCACCACCTCGCCTAGGCTCTTCTGGCAGAAGCGCAACCTTGACTCCATCAGCACGGAGAACGCCGGCTTGTACGGCGGCCGCCACGGCTCGCCTTCGCCAACGCGCCGCACCTCCATCGAGCGTCTACAGAAAGCTTCGCGCGTCAAGAACAGCAACATCCTCGCCCTTGAGCAGAAGCAGGAATACGATCCTACCAGACTACCTCAGGTTGAGCGCCCTCTAGCTAAGCATCAGGGGAGCTCCTTTGACGGCACGACAACCATCATCAACGGCCTCCGGTCCTCCGATTCTCTCAGCAGAGGCGTCGGCCACCAGCGCAACAACAGCAAATCGAGTATCCCCATCTACAACCCCGCCGCGAGCCCCACAAAGCCCTCCACGCCAACCCAGGCTGGCCCTTCCAACCCGCCCCGCAGCCCAGGCAAGGATCAAGCGTCCCCGATGAAGTCGTCCCTCTCGAGAAGCCACTTCAAGAGCAGCTTCGACCACGAGACTGGCACTTGGTCGGACGACACCTCGTTCGACGACCGCGAACTTCCGTCGGGCAAGTCGCTGCATCGACACGCCAAGAGCGTCACATTCGATGCTGCCCCCCCTCAGATTAACGAGTATGAGATGGCTACACCCGACATCTCCTCCATCGGGTCCAACTCGCGCGAGGGCAGCTTCGATTCGATGGATGATGAGGACGACGAGGAAGGCCACTACCACTTCGGTGAACACGACATCGAGGGTGACAGCTTCGACGCCTCCCTCGAAGACACGGACAAGACGCCGGTTGTCGGTCCCGACGACTGGAGGCAATCCGCTGAGCGTGTGGAGGAGGACCCGTTTGATGGTAGCCCGATGCCCGACACCCTTCCGCGTCTCGGTCGCACAGAGCACAAGCGATCCGACTCCTCCACCTCGGACCACCGCCCCCTGCCTCCTCTTCCCGGCATGGGCTCTCCTGCCCGCAGCGACTCCCGCTCCTCGCCGGGCCTGTCTGCCACTGCCGAGAGGATGCTGAGTGCCCATCGCAGCCTGCCTTCGCCTCCGCCGGCGGCCGCGAGCAAGTCCGAGATCCAGAGCATCGGCAACGGCAAGATGACCCTCGAAGAGAGACTCAAGCTTATGATGCTCTCAGACGACCACAAGTCTGCCAACGAGCAGCAACGAGAGCGCCGCCTTCGTCGGGGTGCCACGCGCGATAGAATCCAGAGCCCCGCCTCGGATACCGAGACGGCCGAGTCCAGCATGCTCTCCCTCGATGCCGATGAGGCCGATGAGGCTGATGACACCATCGGCGACATCTCTGCTCTCGAGAACTATGAGCTGCCCTCTCGCATCTCGCGCGAGTCCATCATGCGCCGTGTCAACGGCGGCAACAGCGACCAGGGTGGTGACTACTTCTCGTCGCCAGCGCCCAGTTCAAGCCCCGAGCGGCCCGGCCCTGAGCATCGTCTCGATCTGCCACTAGATCCCGATGTCCCCATCCCATCGACGGAGGATGACTCGATTCTTGATGACATATCTGAGCTGAGCGACGAGGGCAGTGTCATCATTCACCGTGATGAGCCCTCGGATGCCGAGACCGAGTCCATCACACACTTCTACGCCCGGTCCGACATTGATGATAACGACACGGATTCTGCCAGCCACTACTCAGACGGCCCAGCTCGTGTTCCCGAGGTCACTCAGGTTGAGGATGATATCCTGACTCCTCGTGCCGCAAAGTCATTCGGCATGGCTTCCGAGGTCAGACCTCTCGAGCTCAAGTCTGACAGGGCCGGCAACGTGTCCGACCAGCAGGTCGACGTCGTTGCCGAGGCTTCAGCCAAGGAGCCGACGCCCGAGGACGAGATGACGCAGGTTTTCGAGCCTGAGGTCGAGACCCAGCCTGAGGCTGAGGCCCAACTTGAGGCAGAGAAGGAGCCATCACCAGAAGCCCAAGCTGCCGCGCCCGTCGATGCTCCAGCAGAGCGCGAGCACAGCCTTCCAGAGATGAAGGATGAGAGCAGGGACAACGAGTTCTCTAGGGGTCTGCAGTCGTTCATGCTGGCGCCGCCCCCAGAGCCCTCGGCCAAGGAGCTCGAAGACCTCCAGCCGCCGCCCAAGATGACGGACCTCCAGGCTCAGACGCAGCGGCCCTCGACCCCCAAGCAGTTCCAGCTTTCCAAGCCCGACTATGACGGCTCTGGATGGGGTGACCCGGAGGATGAATATGAGGAGGAGCCCGGTACGCCCGAGTCCGTCATTCATCGTCCCATGTCCTCCGACGAGGAAGAGGAGGAGTCGGAGATCTTTGATGAGCCTCCTATGGAATCCCCTGCCATCCCCGAGCGACAGGCAACCATCAAGGCCTCGGGCTCGAAGCTGAAGACCAGACCATCCAACACGCCTTCTGACATCATTGCCATGAGGGAAGCACGGCGCCAAGTTAGTCGCGAGGTGCCCGACATCCCAGTCATTCCGGAACGCCACCGCAACAGGCTGTCGAGGGACCTGCAGGAAGAGCCCGGTATTGATGAGGACTTCGTGATGAAACGCCACTCGAGCTTTGCCAAACGCAGTCTGACATTGGATCTCGACTTTGGCCTGAGTCTAGATCAGGATTTCGACCGGGTTATCGAGGCACAAAAGGTTGCTATTTCTCATCAAGTCCATAATTCGTCTCATTTCGCGAGTGGAGGCCCCAGCAGACAAGCGTCCAGGCCGGCCGCAACCACGAGCAAACTCGGTTCAGTAGAAGAAAAGTTACAGAATGCTAACAAGAAGAACCAGCGCGGCTACCTCATGCGACAAAACACAAAGGTCGTGACGGCCAGCGACAAGGAATCTTCCGACATGTGGAAGAGCCGATCAGCCGGCAACTCCCCAGTCAAGACGGATCGCCCCCAGTCGTGGACCGTCGAGCCCTGGAATGGCAGGCCCAGACAGAAGAGCGTCAGGCGCCGTCCCCAGACCAGCGGGCCGGTTCCGCCCATGCCTGGTCAGGAGAGCAACGCGCAAGCTCTCAATCCCTTGACCGAGGAGGACCTGAACCCCGAGCTGGCCACCGAGGAGAGCGGCGAGCGCGGCCGTCTCTTCGTCAAGGTTCTCGGTGTCAAGGATCTCGATCTTCCCATTCCCAGAAGTATGCCCTCCTCTTTCTCCCCCCTTTCAGCCCTTGAGATGACTGACCTCTTCCAGCGGAACGCACCTGGTTCAGCCTTACTCTTGACAACGGTGTACACTGTGTTACGACCGCCTGGCTCGAGCTTGCGCGCAACGCCCCCGTGGGCCAGGAATTCGAGCTTGTTGTGCCGAACGAGCTGGAATTCCAGCTTACCCTCAACGTCAAGCTGGAGAAACCGCCGCCAAAGAAGGTCACCGTGCAGTCTCCTACCAAGGCTATCAAGCCCAAGACGTCCACCTTTAGCAGGGTGTTTGCGTCGCCCAAGAAGCGCAAGGAGATGGAGATGCGCCAGCGTGAAGAGGAGGAGCGCCTGGCGGCGGAGCAGCAGAAGGCGGCCCAGGCCAGACAGGTAAAGGTTGCGCCCACCGCCTGGGATCTGTTGTCCCCGCTCGCTGCCGAGGACGGCAGCTTCGCTCGTTCCTACGTGTGCCTCAAGGAGCACGAATCTCGTTGCTACGGCCGCCCGTACGTTGTGGACGTGGCCTGCTTCAACGAGTGGGCAACTGAGGAGGCTGCGTTCGCCTCCAGCGTCAAGAGCAAGCGCGGCAACACCGCTGTTGTACGCCGTGCTCCGTACAAGATCGGCAAGTTGGAGCTCCAGTTGCTGTTCGTGCCCCGTCCCAAGGGATCCACCGAGGAGGACATGCCCAAGAGCATGAATTCTTGCATCCGGGAACTCAAGGCTGCCGAGGAGCGCCTTGCGAAGAACTGGGAGGGTCACCTGAGCCAGCAGGGCGGCGATTGCCCGGTAAGTAACTCCATGACGCCCAGCCTAACCTGACCATGCGCTGATCCGATTCCAGTACTGGCGTCGTCGTTACTTCAAACTTGTCGGCCACAAGCTCACTGCCTACCACGAGGCCACCCGTCAACCCCGTGCCACCATCAACCTGGCCAATGCCAAGCGTCTCATCGACGACCGGCGCGCACTCACGGAGAAGGAGACTACGGGCAAGGGCGGCAGGCGTCGGAGGTCGGCCTTTGCCGAGGAGGAAGAAGGCTACATGTTCGTCGAGGAGGGCTTCCGCATCCGCTTCAACAACGGCGAGACCATCGACTTCTACGCCGATACTGCCGAAGACAAGGCCGGCTGGCTGGCGGCCCTGACGGACCTCGTCGGTCGTGGCGACAGCGACGACGAGGTCGGTGGGCCTCGCAAGCAGGGCAAGTGGTGCGAGCTCGTCCTCAAGAGGGAGGAGGCGCTGCGACGTCGGGCAGAGGGCCGGCGGGTGCACTCGCGGACGAAGAGTACTTTCAACTAATACCCCTTCTTTTCTTCATGATTTGGCATGATCGCGTACGATTAGGCGACACGCAGAAACGAGAGGGCACGGCATGATCTATGATTCTCTTGGACCTGGAGTTCGTGATCGGATGATCATGTGTCTTTGGTCCGCCCTCAAGATGGCTTGTGTCTGCTGGATGCGCCCTTGCCTCGACATTTAATACTTTGGCAGGCAGATGGCGTTTCGGCATGGATTTGGATGGCGATGGAGGAAGTTCCCAGAGACTGTGTGAGAGCTTGTGTGGTTTAGATTCGCACTCAGACTCTTCTGAGCATTGTTCTTGGAGTCGGGTAGCTCGTTGGTTGTACGTAGCGTGTTGTTGTAACAAAAAAATGGGAGGCTTTTTATCGCTAATATGTTGGGCTCCATGACGTGAGGATGAATGTGGTGGCATCACATGACGGCACAGTGAAGATGAAGACTGGCTTGCTTGCCAACTGCGCTGTGTTGAGGAAGCGCATGCATCACGTGCATCATGACACGCATTGCATAAACTTGGCTGGATCCCCGGTCCATCGTTGTTCTCGCCGGTGGAGGGAAGCCATGGGGCGCAGCTGGCCGGGGGAGTTTCACCAATGTGTCCATCCCATCAGCCAGTAATGTAATGTACTCCGTACAGCTAGCTGTATGAATTACCTATATGCGAGGTGGGTACGTACCCATGGGAGCAATTGATCGCTACCCGAATTGTATTGGCCTGCGGGACCAGCAATAGCAGCAGCCGTACCCGCGAGCGGCAAGCACCAACCTCATTAGGTAGTTCGTTATTTGGGAGGGCCCGCCATCGACAGCTCCCAGCCCAGCTATTACACCGAGTCCTCCCCTTTTGGATCACCACAGGATCGCAGGTTGCGTCGTCACAGCATTGCATATCGTCGTCTGCATCTTTTTCTTCCCCTTTCGAATCCTCCTCCTCTTTCCCATCCCGCCACCCAGCTTCCCGAACATACTACATCATCCCCAATGGCGGGCCGCTTTGTGCGAGCGTCGAAATATCGTGGGTCTTTTTTTTTTTTTGTCGCAAGCCGCCGCGTTGCGCTGGGAGGGCCTGACTGCTGACGCCCGAATCCTTCTCGTCCAGGACACGTCTTTGGCAAGCCGACCCGCAAGGAGTTCTGCTACGATAACCTTCGCATTAGCCGGAATGCATGGGATACCAACTTGGTGAAGGTAATGGGTCTCCCTTTTGTTTTTGGCTTTCGTTTTCCGCCCCCCCTGTTTGTTCTGGCTCCAAGACAATTGATGGGTCAATGCCGGAACACGGGTTCGAGAGAACGAGCTGACCAGAATCTCCTTACTTCTAGGCCAACCCCGACTACCTCTCGGTCAATTGGGAAGCCGGCGGCGGTGGCGCCTTTGCTGTCATCCCCCTCGGCGAGACGGGCAAGGTGCCTGACCAAATCCCTCTGTTCCGAGGCCATACCGCCACCGTCCTTGATACCGACTGGTACGCCGATCCCAGCGACCGCCCGCGCGCGAAGTCCCCCCCCCACACTCCCTACCCATCTACCGACCACGAGCGCACGCGACACAGATACTGACGGCCACGTGATAGGAACCCCTTCAACGACCGTGTCATCGCGTCTGGTTCCGAGGACGGAAAGGTCTTTATCTGGCAGGTTCCCGAGAACTTCACCCTCTACACCGATGCCGAGGAGCCCGCCGACGTCTCCCCTGTCGGCAAGCTCGCTGGCCATTCGAGGTTCGTCGACGCCGGTCACTCCCCCGTCCGCCTCCTCTTAATCGACTACGAGACTGACAAACGACGTACAGAAAGGTCGGCCAGGTCCAGTTCAACCCCGCCGCCGAGAACATCCTCGCGTCCGCATCCGGCGACTTCACGATCAAGCTCTGGGACATCAACAATGGTTCATCTACCCATACCCTGAAGCACAACGACATCGTGCAGAGTCTCTCATGGAACGCCAGCGGTTCGCTCCTGGTGACGACGTCCCGCGACAAGAAGATCCGCGTGTGGGATGTGCGCGCCGAGAAGCCCGTCCACGAGGCACCAGGCCACCCGGGCGCCAAGAACAGCAGGGCCGTGTGGATGGGCGAACACAACCGCTTCGCCACGGCCGGTTTCTCGCGCATGAGTGAGCGTCAGCTCGCGCTGTGGGAGCCCGGTCGCAATGAGCCCATCGGAGGCTTCTCCATGCTGGACTCGATCTCGGGTGTCATTATGCCCTTCTGGGGTGGGTCTTCGTGGTTTACGTGACAGGGGCGGCCAAATGCTGACTTTAGGACAGACGAGGGATCCAACTGTTTGTATCTTGCTGGCAAGGGGTAGGTATCCCGGTACCGTCGGGTTGGTGCTTTGCTGACGGATCATGCAGTGACGGCAACATCCGCTACTACGAGTATGAAAACGACAAGTTCGAGTACCTGAGCGAGTACAAGTCCGCCGAGCCCCAAAGAGGCATTGCCTTCGTTCCGCGCCGCGGCATTAACGTAAGTTGGCATATGCAGGTGGTGCAGCAGGAGGTCAAGTCTAACACTGCTTAGGTGCACGATAACGAGGTTATGAGAGCTTACAAGACGGTCAACGATACTCACATCGAGCCCATCTCCTTCACCGTCCCCCGTAGAGCCGAGACCTTCCAGTCCGATATCTTCCCCCCTGCTACTGGTCTCAAGCCGGCCGTAAGCGCCCAGGAGTGGCTGGGTGGCAAGGATGGCATCCCCGCCAAGATTGACCTGGAGAGCGTGTACGAGGGCACTGCTCCCAAGGAGGTCGCCTCTGACTATAAGCCCCCTGCGATTGCCTCTGCTCCTGCGCCAGCTGCTAAGCCGGCGCCGAAGCCCGCCCCTGCTCCGGAGCCCACCCCGGTCGCCCGCTCACCGCCGCCCTCAATGAGGGATCAGCAGGTCTCCATGTCCAACATGGCGTCCAAGTTCAAGGACGACGAGCCTGCCGAGCCGGAAGATGATGACGACAACTCCAGTTTCGAGGAGATACAGAGACCAGCCCAGCGTGCTGCTGTCCCTGCTGCCGCTGCCGCCCCTGCCCCTGCCCCTGCTCCTGCTCCTGCTCCTGCCCGTGTCGAGCCCGCCAACATCCCGCCCCCCATTAAAGCGCCGTCCCCCTCCCAAATCAAGTCGCCTCCCGCCCAGCAGTCGCCTGTCAAGGCGTCAGCCAACTCACCTGCATCCCCGACGCACATCGAGTCGTCTCTGGACCAGATTAGACAGATGCTGGAGAACCAGACGAAGCTGATCAGCAAGCAGAACGACAAGATTAGCCAGCTGTCAGGCGAAGTTGAGGGGCTGAAGCGCAAGGTGAACGCCGGCGGGTCTCAGGATCAGAGCGAGAGGATCAGGCAGCTGGAGCTGGAGCTCGAAGCCGCGCGCTCTTAAAGTGTTATTTTTGCGGTGTGAGTGATGTGCAAAGGGGAGAGAGGGGGGTTAGTGGATATGCATGTGCGTGTGTCAGTGAGGGGTGTGCATCGGGGGTTGGAAAGATGTGATGAAAAGGGGTTTTGGGATGGATAGCAAGCAGTGTTTGTCACAAGCAGAGTTAGTTAGTTTGGTGTTACCCGCATTTTTGTTCTCTTCGGTCTGTCAAGTGCTTGGTGCATAGAGGGTGGTGCATATGTACATGGGTATTGCGTGGTCTGAGATGGCCGTCACCCTATTGTAGTGATTGGCCCTCGCCCTGAACCTAAGCTCCGACGGCCGACCGGATGGCTGCCAGTTTCATCTAGTTCATTAGACGTGAGCTATTCTTGGGCTGTCGGTCGAAAGTGGTGCACGTCGCGAAACACGTCACATTGCGAAGGCCTCCTTTGATGTCTGGAGTTGAGGGCGTCCGTGGCTCCTTTCATCCCACAAATGGGATATGCAGGAGTAAACTATGGGCAATGCGGAAGAGAAAGAGGGTAGGGTTTGGGGGGGGTTGTTCTGATGTTCGGGGTTTGACGTAAAGGATCTGGTGGGTGATATTTTTGGATGAGGAGGAGGAGGGGGATGCAAAAGCTGTGGCTTGCCCCTCCGTATTATCCCACCAAGGCTGAGAGAGAGAGCTCTTGCACCGCCCCTTGCCCCCACCTCGTCTTTCTAGCGGGTGTCCAATAACATGGTATTATTCAGCCACATTTAGGACGAGGCTGAGGAGAAGCATTGGGGGAGGCCCGCTGAAATTTCTGGGAGGGTGGGCAGACTGAGTGAGCTACAGGTACTGTCGTAGGGGTTTTTATTTTATTTTTATTTCTTACTTTTCTTGCTTTCCTTCCCCCAGTGTTTTGCGACTGCATTTTCCCCGACACGACGCGACCGACTCGCCTGGGCAGCCATCAATCCGACGCCGCAGGCCTTGCATCGGACGACCCCCCTTTGTGTGTTTCGATATCGGTATCCTACACACACTCCCCCAGCGACCAAGACGAGACCGTTTCGCGGGGCCGAAGACAGGGAAGCAATGGCCTCCGTCCTCGGGAAGCGCAAGGCGCCCTCCTCATCCTCCGCCGCCTCCGTCAAGGCCAGCAAGCCCATCTCTACAAACGTCACAAAGAAGGGTACTGGAACGCCAAAGACCACGGCGGCACCGGCGCCGAAGAAGAAGAACAATAAGAGTCTCGAGGCCACAAAGAAAACCGGCCCCGTACAGAAGATCGCCGCGAAGGCGAAGAAGGTTAAGAAGAGGGAAGAGGAAGAAGACCACGACGATGACGAAGAAGAAGAAGAGGTGGACGAGTCCCTGCTCTCCGCGCAGGAGATCTTCCGGAGGCACTTCGAGGCGCAGTTCAAGCCCATTGAGGAACCGAAGCGGAAGAAGGCCAGGGCCGCCGGGGTCCGGGGCGAAGACGGCGACGAAGCCGCCTCGTCGGACGAGGACGACGAGGACGTCTTTGAGGACGAGGGTGTCGACGGGCAGGAGGGGGAGGGAGAGGAGTGGAGCGGCCTCTCCGGCGAGGACGGTAAGCCGACACCTTTTTGTGCTCTCTGCTTGAGGGGACGGAAGCCCGGAGCTGGGCTTACAGGAGAAGAAGAAGAGGGCGTGCTGCTGACGGTTCACGTTTCGGCAGAAGACGACAACGGATCTGGCGAGGAAGAAGAAGACGACTACGAGGACGACATCGAAGAGAACCCCGTAATCGAGGTTGTCGACCACACAAAGTCCAAACCCCAACCCGTCGCGAGCATGAGCAAGCGCGAGCTCAAAGCCTTCATGGTATGTGGCCACCCCCCCTCCACCCCTTACTCTCCACAAACACATACACGCACACACATCCTAACCCGCCCCTCACAGTCCTCCAAACCCCCCTCGCAAACCGACCCGTCTCCCTCCGCCGCCATCTCGGCCCCGGCGGACCCAGACGATGAGAATGACAAGTCTATGCTGGCCAACGACCTCGCCCTCCAGCGCCTCCTCTCCGAGTCACACCTCCTCGCCCGCCACACCGTCACCCCCTTCTTCAACCCCACAGCCGCCGCAAAGACCTTCTCCGAGGGCCGCCTCCGCCAGCGCCAGGCCGACCTGCGCACGCAGGCGCTCGCCCGCGGCGTCTCGGGAGTCGGCTCCGTCTTCACCCAGGACAAGATGCCCATGGCCATCCGCAAGGGCATCGTCGCCGCCACCGCCGGCAGGGAGGCCAAGCGCCGCCGGCAGGCCCGCGAGAACGGCATCGTGCTCGAGAAAGAGGCCGGCCCGGCCCCCGGCAAGAAGGCCAAGAAGAAGGCCGGTCGCGCTGAGAGGAGCGTCGACGGCCCCGCCGTGGGTCGCATGCGCGGCGCCGAGCTGAGGCTGAGCGAGAGGGACGTCCAGAGCATCGAAGGCGGCGGCGGCAGTGGCAGGGGTGGGAGGGGTGGCCGCGGCGGCGGTAGAGGGGGACTGGGGAGGAGGTAGGACTGGCTGACCGTTGGGCCACGATATAACTTGGAAGTCAAAATAGTCCAGTTTTCTTCTCCTTTTTTCCCTCCACCTTTTCTTTCCTTACCCATATTCAATGACAAACTGGTAGCGGGTGCGGAGTATCGCCGACTGGATATATAGACGCGTAGCATCCCTGGCCAACCAATAATGATGAATGCATGAGCATACACATGAATGCCACTGGCATAATTGAGACATGGCATTCGAACCCCACTGGGCGTCATCGGATGCATTTATGCAGCAATATCAGTCCTCCTAGCGACATCACCGGGAGCGAACAGTCACTTCAAGTGGACAGTATAATGTGATCAACATGTATCAGCATTCAAAACTCTGCTAACTTGTGACATGCTCTGTCCAACACTCTTCAGAGTAGCCGAACAGTCTCTCCTGCCTGGTATCATCTGGCCTTCCAAGCAACTTTGCCTCTTCTCAAAGTATGCCCCTCCAGCGCAAAGGAAAAGAAACAAGTATATATACATGTGCGAGTCGTTTCTCTTCTTCGCATCTCGACCCTAAAGCTCATGCATGAAATCTCCCTTTTTCGGTGGGGTACAAACGCGCAGAGAGATCTTCCCAGTCTCTCCGTGCGCCATCTCTATGTGTGCGAGTTTCCTTTTTCTGTCTGGAACCAACGGCCAGACTCGATGCTGAACACACGAAACTGAAAACGAGATAAATAAAAAATCGTCCGGAGCCAAAGGAGCAATAGCCCAATCGCTAACTCGTGCCGAAATCCATGTCTGGAAATGGATGAAGTAAAAGAGAAGAAAAAAAAAATGGAAAAAGAAAAAGTTCCAGACCCATTCCGAAACCGTTATCATAGCCATGCCGCCCTCTAAGTAACACCGTGTCGAAGGAAACGTAACTCCAGTCGTAATGAGAGCTTTAGCTCATAAGATACCGTCTCACATAATGGCGCTCGCGTTCATGGCCGGTTGGCTAATGGTCATCGGCATGCTGAGCGTCTGCAAGCTGTTGAATGACTGGGCCATGCCGTTGGACGTCGGCGGCGTCGAGCCGTTGGCGACGCCGTTGAGCGAGGCGGTAACGTAGGCGTTCTCGGAGTTGGGCGAGGCCTCCCCGAGGGAACCAAGCTGGTCCTCACCAGAGTACTCCTCCTCCTCCTCGCCGGAGAAGTTAAGAGTAGTCTCGCCGTTCTCGCCACGGTCATGAGTACGCTTGTGTCTGCAAGAAAAACATCCCAGTCAGTCCATGTTGCTGTGAGAAGAGGATTGCTTCGCCCCCAATCTAGCGGCTGCGTAATGATGGTGGTAGTGCTGTGGCGCGGCGGTTTGGACGTTGATCATCGCTTGGGGTCTCTCTCGCTCCACATTACAATCTTCTTGACAAAGGAAATGACAAAGGAAATGAGATGAAGGAAAATTGGGGCATACTGTGCTAGGTTGTCTGATCTGGAGAATGCCTTGCTACAATAAGGGCAGATGTAGGGTCTTTCTTGTGTATGTGTTCTCACGTGTCTGGAGGTTTGGTCAGATTTCAGGCAGGTCGTTTTGGTTGGTGACAAATGAAATGTTAGATCTGAATCTTACCGCTTGAGGTGCTCGAGACGCTTAAAGAGGCGGCCACACGTGGGGATGGGGCAGGAGTGGGACTTTTGGGGGTAGGGTCCAAGTTCCATGACAGTCGCGGAGCGGGCTCTACGAACGACGCCGTTGGGGCCCTGCATACCAGGACGCGGAACACCATTCATAGAACCATCACCAGACATGTCATCGTGTTGGAGGTGGTAGTCTTGCTGCTGGAGGGACATGGGGTTGAGAGCGGGGCTGCCCTCGACAGTGGACAGCGGAGTGCCGTGCCGGGACAGGTCCAGCATCTCCTTGTGCTGCTGGCTTACCATGGACATGGCGGAGCTACTGTAGGCAAGGCCGGGTGGGGAGTTGTCCGCAGACTCGTCGCCTTCAGCAACAGGACCGACTGATGCAGAGACCGACCGCCGGAGATCCGATGGTCTGTGCTGCGCCTGTGCTTGAGCGGTGGCAGCGGCGATGGCGGACATTCCAGGCGGGATGGACGAACGGCGCCTTCTCTGCTTGTAGGTGGGGGATCCTTCAATCACCGAGTAGACGTTGTTGGAACCGTAAGCTCTGGAGAACTGAGGGCCGGCGAGGTTGGAGGGGGGGAGCTGGATCATGCCGTTGAGGCCGTTGACGTTGCCGCCCATGTGGTCGGGGATAGCGGTGTACAGACCGGTCTCCTCGTTGGCGATGTAGGCGGGCTCGGCGGCCATGCCCAGAGCCTGCTGGGGCGGCGTGATGGGTTCGAAGGAGATTCCCCGGTTGCTGTAGTCCTCGTACTGAGAAGAGACGAAAGACGGGGCAGGGGAGTACTCGAGGCCGTAGGCAGGCATCGAGGCGTGTCTCTGGTGGCCCTGGGTGATGGGGACACCATTCTGGTTGTACTGAACACGGCTGTAGTCGGGCTCCCGCTTGACCATCTGCTGCGGGGGCATCTGGGGAGGCATGCCCATCGCCCCGTACGGCACCATGGCGTCCATTCCGTCAGACATGGGAGCAACCGACTGGGGGATCATCTGGGGAGGCGGCATGTTGTCCATGGGACGCATAATGGGGGAGGTGGACTGGGACTGGGAAAATGTCACCTGCTGAGCGTTGAAGGAGGACGAGTTGGCCTGCTGGGCCTTGGTGAGCTGCTCGTAGAGAGACTGAGACGAGTCGTACTGGAACGAGAGAGCAGGCTCGCTGACAGCGACGGTGGTGGCTTCCTGACCCATCTTCTCGCGCTTCAGATCCCGCTCAAGAGCGTCGAGGAAGAGCCTGTCGTGGGGGACGCTGTACCAGTAAAAGACCTTCTGCTTCTTTTGTGTGCGAATGCAGTTGTTCTTGTAGAGGAAGTCGAGGAAGGGGCTCTTGGGCTCCTCGAGCGAAGCGTCAGTTCCCGACTTCAAGTTTCTCAGGTCGGAGAAGATGCCCTCCTCGAACTTTTTGGAGTTCTTGACTGGCCGGCCGAAGGCCTGGAATCTGAAAGAAAGGCACCTGACGATGTCGGTTCCGGAGATGTGGAAGAGGTTGTTCCAGAGAACGCAGGAGACATATTCGCCTGTGGGGAGGAGGAATCTGCGAATGTACTGGTCGGGTTGCCAGTCGACAGGTGCAGAGATGAGGAAGTATTTGACTGTGCAATTGCGTCAGCTTAAAGGCCCTCCAAGCGTCCTCGTACCGTCGGTGCGCGACTTACGGTTGTCAACCTGTTGCAGAGCAACCTGAGCGTCATGGGGCAACGCCTGCTGGGCTTCGGTGCTGAGCATGAAGGTCTCTGGTTTTTGGGGGGCCATGCCCGCGGCGGCATGTTGTGAATACATCCTGGCTGATTGTGATCTAGGATGGAAATTGACGACGTGTCGGTCGCGTCTGACCGGATCGGAGAGAGACTGCGCGCGTCAATCGACTCGGCGGGATAGCGCGGTGATTGAGAGTCAAAGAAAATTTGGGTTATGCGAGACGAGGATCGCAAGTGGAAAGGCGCTGCCCTTTTTTGATGAGCCCGGATGAGGGGGTCGATGATTCTTTTTGAGTGTTACTTTTCAGATGTGAGTTCGAGTCCAGCCCGGAGGTAATAAATGCTTTGTGATGTTGGCACGATTGTTGACCAGCACGACCCAAGATCGACCTGTGGTGAATGGTGGACAATGTCCGACGCAGTTGGAAAACCGTCAAGGTGCTGCGAAAAGAGATTTGATGGATTGTTTATCGGCGGCCTTTCGGTCTCAGGATGGAACCTCTAGGTCGAATGGATTAAGGGTCGTCGAAGGAGAACGAATAGGTGCTTCAATGGCAAAACTGGTGGCAAAAGCTCGACGAAGAAACCCGCAGGAACCGATTGGCAACTAGACAAAAAGCTTGGGAAGTTTGCTGGCGCGATGGGATTCGCGATGATGGGCAAGCGTGCGACAGGCAGTGTCTGATGTGTCGTTGGGAGGGGATGATTTGCCTCGGGGGTGGTCAGTCCTGATGAGATGAGAAGAGACACGGGGTGGGAGGTATGTGCGGCTCCGACGAGGAGAGAAGGGGAAGAGGGAGTGGGAAGTGGAGAGGAAGAATAAAAAAAAGAGAGGATGGGAAGAAGAGAAGAGTCTTGTAAGAAGAGATATCAGGAGAGTTTAGGAAGGGGAGGATGGTCTGGGGGTTTAATGATTTTGGACGGGGTGGGAAAAGGGAGGAAGAAAGAGGGTCGGGTTCGCGGCGGGACAGGTTCAAGCAAGGAGAAGCGAGCAGCGGTGCGCGGGTGCGGGTGCGGGTGCTGGTGCTGGTGCGATGGTGGGTGGTGCCTTGGGTGGGAAGGGGAGGCGGAGAGTCGACTGACTATGTGGACGTACAGGAGTGGGAGTAAGACCAGCGGTAGCAGCGAGGTAGGTACACTACTAAGGTACGGTCGCAGCGCGCGTGGGCGTGTGCCGTGGCGGGAGTGAGAGCCAAAATGTGGCAGCGGATGGGCGAGCGAGGGCACAGAGGAACAAGTTGACCTGGGGGGGGGGGGGGCTGTGACCGACTGACTGAGTGACTGACGGACTAAGTGGATGATGGATGGACCACGGGCGACAGGTTAGGGGGGGGGGGGGGAGGAGGGTAAGGAAGGTACGAAGTAGGTAAATAGACGAGGGGGGAGGGGTTTAAGAAAAGAAAAGCAAGGGGGGGTGTGAGCGAAGGCGGGGACGACAAGGGTCAGGAAGAGCGAGAAAGACGAGGAAGGCAGTGTACCCTGCAGCTTGTACCTGACCTGGACCGAATTGGACTGGGCTGGCGGGGAAGGATACCTGGAAGAGAGATGGCGCCCATCCACACGTCCACACCTTCACACGCAAGCCAGGTTAGGTCGGGTAAGATGTAGTGTACCAAGTAGCGCGGGTGGTGGAGGACAAGAGAGCGAGAGAAAGAGAGCGGGCGAGTGGAAGTGGGCTAGTAGCAAGAACAGAACAGACGGAATGCGGTGGTGGGATGGAGACGGAGACCTGAACAGAGGGGCTTGGTTGGGATTGCAGAAGTGGGTAATCTAGGATTGGGCTGTAGGTAGTAGTGTAGTGGTGGCCTAGGGGGGGTATGGGTGTGAGTATATGTTGTAGTGGGTGTGGATGGAACGAGTGGATGGTATTGTGGAAGATGAAAGTTGGAGGGACTAGGGGGAGAGAAGTGGAAAGTGAAAGATGTGGAACTAGAAAGAGAGTGCGCGCGAGCAAGAGACAGGATAAAACAGGACAGGACAGATACACACGGCCGGGGGGGAAGGCACACGCGGGCCCAGGAGATGCGTTACTATAGCAAGAGCAAGGGAAGGGAAGGTACTTCCCATTATTACTTACCATTTTGCACGGAGAGGGACCACAACGAGAGCAATACATATTTTATACTCCGCACACAGTAGTATAATACCTACCTAGACAGTAAGAGACAACAATAACGACAACGGGTCTGAGTTTAGTAGGTAAGAGAGAGACTGAGACTGAAAGAGAGACAGAGAGAGAGAGAGATAGAGCTATCAGGGAGAGGAATAAGGTGCAGAGAGAGCGCTAGGAACTAAGCATAGTATCCTGTGTTTGTCTTTTCCTTGCCTCTATAGATAAAGTTCGCTTCTTCTGCTTCTTCTTATTATTCTTCTTGCCCTTCTTTTTTTCTTCCTCTTTTTTTTTTCTAACTAATTACGTTTCCAGTAACAGTGCCTGTTGTAGTGGTGGTGGTAGTGGTGGTGAGGTCAAATTGACGAACCAGGGAACTCGTGGTTCAGGCCTAAGAACCATCTGACAATTCCTGTTTTTTTTTTCCCCCTTCTCGCCTTCCTCGGTTTTAGATGTATGATGCACACAACCACAACAAATGCGATGTAGATTCTTGGATAGAAAAACCATCTCACCCAAGAGGGGGTAGTTGCTTAATCGATATCTCTTGATTCTCGATTGGCGACGACGACGATGACGACGAAGACGGCAGCCAACCACCACCATCACACACACTCACACACATACGGCTGGGCAGGGAGGCTGCAACTTGCAGACCGCAGACCAGTGAGCATGCCTAGGGCTCTCGGGCGCACGCGCGCGTGTGTACGTGCGCGTGTGCGAGATGAATGAAAAAATTGAAGGAATTGCTTGAAGCGTGGTCGTGGATGTGGACCAAGGTGGATTGCGGCCGCCCGGTGTAAGAGCCAGTGAATCCAGCCTCCCTCCCTCACTCTCTCTCACTCTCTCTGCGATGAATGATGCGATAGTGCTGCGCGGAACGGTATTTTGACATCTAGTTTACAAGTACCTAGGCTCCCCCCCCCCCACGGTGTCTTCTCCACTAGCCCCTATGCCTGACCCAGTATTCCCCTTCCTACTTAATTGTGTTCCTGTCCTAGTGTATCTGTATCCGTAGTATAGCGTACTATGTAGTGTACCTAGGTAGTATGCAGGGCATGCAGTACTGTCAAGGGGAGAAATCCAAGTGGAAGGGGCAGCAGAGCACAGCACAAGGGGGGAAGGACTAGAAAAAGGCAACTAACTGACTTGACTGAGGTGACAGAAGGGAAGGAAAGCGTGCGAAGGTACCGACCGGGGAGGGGGCGACAGGAGGGTTCTAGGGCGTGCTGTAGATCGCCGATTGGCCGGACATGGACCTAGCCTCCAAGAGGCGGCAGAGCAAAGGCAAGAGCTTAGTTCGCTACTTCCTTTTCCTACCTTCCCTTTTTTTTTCTTCCTTTTTTTTCCTTTTTTTTTTTACGTCCTCAACTGTGCTGTGTGCGTGTATCGTGTGTGTGGATGTGTGTGGATGTGTGTGTATAAACATGTCCACGTTTCTCTCCATCTCTTGTCAGAGAGTATGTTTCCCAATGCAAAAACCATAGTGCTCACTTGGCGTCCTTCTTTAGTGACAGGTTCCAGAGAAGACTCTTGACTAACGCCTTACCAAGAACAAAGTAATAAGAAAGCAAGGCGGTCCTCGCAGCTCAGCGTCGCCTTCGTGATAGGTTTTTCCCCTACCGCACGGGGCACTTGGGCGGAAAGTGTAAAGACAGGAGGGGAAGAGTTGAGCAGAGTTGGACGGGAGGTACCCTCATCTCTGCCCTGCACGCAAGCCGGAGACATGTATCGCCCGGTCCCTAGCCACCCACCCACACACCCCTTTTCCTTCTTTCTACACTAAGATCATGGATTGAGTTGAGTTGGCCCAGGATGGGGTAATGCATTGCAGAATGGCGCCACAGCACAACACAGCAGGGAGGCAAGCAACGGTTGCTGTAACCTACAGCATAGCATAGAGCGCCGGATAACGGATAAGCAGTCCGGGTAACAGGCCAGGCTTACCCTGGTAGGCTGTGTTCTCTCTCTCTCTCTCTCTCTTTGCCCCAGAGGCAAAGGCAAAGGCAAAGGCAAAGGCAGAGCACCGCGACGCAGAGCCCAGAGCCTCTCTCTCGATCGCTGACAGAGCGGACAGCGCAACACTGACCGGCTTTGGCAGCGACACTGACTGACACTGGCTCCCGCTCATACACAGCCCGCCCGCCGGTCCCTTGTCCGCGCCTGCGCTTCCATGCCCGGTTGTGGGAGACGAAGGAAGAGGTAACGGGGGAGGGACAGCGCTTTCGCGGACTCTGACCGCTGAGCCAAGTCAGTTAGACAGTCAGACAGTGTCTCTCGCATGGTCCCTCCTCACTGCGCTGCGGCGGACAGTGACTTCCACTCAATCGGGAACAGTCCCTGTGCGCTATGTTGCCCACCACAAGGCACTGTCATTGTCGTTGCCAACCTTGCTCTGCTCCTGTCAGGGTTTCCCCTCCCGAGAGGGTGCGGAACATGCGGACTTCGTCCAACAGAGGGGGGATGGATTGTTTACACCGCAGACGACTGCTCTTCCCTAGAGATGAAGGACGAGGACCACGACGACGAAGAAAGAAAGGGGGGGGGATCGGAATAAGAAACCCCCCGCCTCCTAAACGGTCGATTCGTTCTAGACTGGCGATGCGGTCATGACGGCATTGCTCTGGTTCCATGAGGGAACCGGGGGTGAGGGGACCTTTCCAAGCGATGAGCGACGGCGGCAATGCGCTTCTTTGTCTCACTCTCTTTTAATCTATCTGACAGAGCCTTGTCTTGGTCTTGCAGACCGTCTCTCCCCTTAGAAAAGAGGCGACTCAAGAGTCATGTTCCCGGCCGTCTTCAGAATCGAGAAACGGCTTTTGAGTGCTTGAACGACTGGGCCTTCCAATACATCGCATTCCTAGCTCCACCACCCATCTCGGAATTAATATGCGCTTTGCCTTCAAGCCTCCCCCCTCGAGAGATGTCTAGCAGCAGATCTACCGCATTCCCCCCCCCCCCCCCTCTCTCTC